TCCGGAAAGGTATGATTTGATACCAATAAACCCTTTTCTAGATGTCTCGTATGACATAAAATCCCTCCACTGAACCATAAGTTTATAACCAGGGCATAAGTTAACTCACACAAAAAGCTTCAGTTTAATCAAGTACTTGTTGAATTAATAAACTTTTTGAATAACAGGTACGAGTTTGTGGCACAACTGACTATGTTGCTCAAACATCATGGATTCAAAATGGGACCATTGAAGAAAACGTCTTATTTGGTTTGCCTATGGACAGAGAGAGATACCAGGAAGTTGTCAGGGTTTGCTGCTTGGAGAAGGACTTGGAAATGATGGAGTTTGGAGATCAAACTGAGATAGGAGAGCGTGGCATCAACCTAAGTGGTGGCCAGAAACAGAGGATACAACTTGCCAGGGCTGTATATCAAAATTGTGACATATATCTTCTTGACGACGTTTTCAGTGCTGTCGATGCTCATACTGGATCAGAAATATTTAAGGTGACATTGCTTTAGATTTTCTTCTACATTTGATAGAAAAGAAATGATTTACTTTTGATTCCACAGTGATTGAGCGGTTTTGCTTGCTCTTACAATGGTGGTTTGAACACTATTCAATTTTCATAGTGTAAATGTGTTGAAAATAAATAAGGTCTTGTAAAGAATATCAGTTCAAAGTGATACCCATTGAATATGATTTGTATGCATAATGTTCTACTGATCATGATTTATACTTTTCTGCAGGAATGTGAGGGGTGTGCTTAAAAATAAGACAGTTTTACTGGTAACTCATCAAGTTGACTTCTTGCATAATGTTGATCTTATTTTGGTAGGTATTTGAGAATCTTTTTCATTTTGGTTTCTCACCAGTTTAGTGACCAAAGAAATTATAATTGGAATTTGCACATGTATCTCTCCTACTTATATATTTATTAAAACTTATTACCTCCAAATAATATCAGGTCATGAGAGATGGGATGATAGTACAAGGAGGAAAGTATAATGAGTTGCTAAGCTCTGGCCTGGATTTCAAAGAGCTAGTAGCTGCCCATGAAACCTCCATGGAGCTTGTAGAAATGAGCCCCACTATTCCCAGCAAAAGTTCCCCCAGCCCTCAAATATCTCCTCAACCATCTTCAAACCACCGGGAAGCCAATGGTGCAAACAACTCTTTAGGCCAACCAAAGTCTGATAAAGGGACTTCTAAACTCATCAAAGAAGAGGAGAAAGAAACAGGCAAAGTGAGCTTGCACGTTTACAAAGTTTATTGCACAGAGGCTTACGGATGGTGGGGTGTGGTGTTGGTGTTGTCATTGTCTCTCTTGTGGCAAGCAACTCTAATGGCGGGTGATTACTGGCTGTCCTATGAAACTTCAGCAGATCGTGCAGTGGCATTCAAGCCATCTGTCTTTTTAACCGTCTATGCTATTATTGCTGCTATTTCATTTCTTGTGGTATCGGTAAGAGCATTTTCTGTGACGATTGTGGGGCTTTCGACAGCTCAAATTTTTTTCAAGCAAATTCTTCACAGCATCCTGCATGCCCCCATGTCATTTTTCGATACTACACCTTCTGGAAGAATTCTGAGTAGGGTAAGAGTTTGTGAGTTAGAATTGCTTGCCTTTTCTTTTTCTATTTAAGCATTAGTTTTTGTCATACTTGATGTGATCTTATTTTCTAACTGATGAGAATATATCCCCCACCAGGCATCAACAGATCAGACGAATATCGATCTATTTCTTCCCTTCATGTTGGGTGTTACCGTTGCCATGTACATCACTGTGCTTGGCATCTTTATCATCGTATGCCAAAATTCGTGGCCAACAATATTCTTGCTGATTCCACTTATTTGGCTTAATATATGGTACCGGGTATGTTAATTCTTTCTATCATGCTGTTGATATTTAACTATAATGTTGCAATGAATGTGTTAGACATATGTGAATGGATTGCACTGAAGCACCCTTTTCTATGATCTTGGTCATGCATATTATTGGTCATATATGATTGTGGCCATGTATTGGTCATTTTAAATAATGTGTATGAATCCAACTCCTGATCCTTTCAATTACTGGCAAAGTTTGACATTTTGGCTTATCCATGAATGCAAAAATGTCAAACTTGATGGCAAAAACTTTTTTTTAACCAAAACCATATGACTCTGTAACCATTGGTGTCGCCTTTATTATATGCTGAAGATCTTTCTTCTGTTTGGATTTTAGGGTTACTATCTTGCATCATCTCGTGAATTAACTCGGCTGGATTCAATCACAAAAGCTCCTGTTATCCATCACTTCTCAGAAAGCATATCAGGGGTGGTGACGATCCGCTCTTTCAGAAGGCAGAACATGTTCTCCAGGGAAAATGTTAAACGTGTTAATGCCAATTTACGTATGGATTTCCACAACTACGGATCCAATGAGTGGTTGGGTTTCCGTTTGGAGATGCTTGGGAGTTTAATTCTCTGCATTTCCACTGTATTCATGATCTTATTGCCAAGCAGTATTATAAAGCCAGGTATGTAAATCCTCCCATCCCTTTTTAATTGTGGAACACTCATATCTAGCACTTGATTCATGGTCACTCGTGATATGCGATGCCGAAATAAATAATAATTATGCTTCAGTTTATGGTTATTATTATAATGTCTTATTGATTTGAGGTGTGTGTTAGCATCTTATTTTGACACATCTGATATAAATTAGCTGCAGTAGATGAGTGTCTATTTCAGAAATTTGGCTAAATCAGTTATTCCTTCATGGTACAGAGAATGTTGGTTTAACTCTCTCCTACGGATTGTCCTTGAACGGTGTGCTGTTCTGGGCCGTTTATATGAGCTGCTTTGTTGAAAATAGGATGGTTTCGGTTGAGAGGATAAAACAGTTTACAAACATCCCATCAGAAGCAGAATGGGAGATAAAAGACCGTGTTCCTCCTTCAAATTGGCCTTCCCAAGGCAATGTCGAGCTCAAAGATTTGCAGGTAGTTTATCTTCAATTCTGTTTATATCTTCTGAAAAAATAAAGCCAAACTTACATTCCATGAGCTGCTACACTCTAGCCATTTGACTTCCAAATGGTATCTTTGTAGTACATCTGCCATGGATAGTGTAGTGGAAGGAGAAATGAAGTGGTCTGAATGCAAGTTGTTATTAGTTGGTCATCTCCATTACTTTTTCCCCAGCTAAAAGGGCCCTGTTCCATTTGATGATGTTTTTAATTTTATGGAAAACAGGTCAGATATCGTCCAAATACACCCTTGGTTCTCAAAGGCATTAGTCTAAGCATTCACGGGGGGTGAGAAGATTGGTGTTGTCGGTCGAACAGGGGGCGGGAAATCAACTTTGGTCCAAGTGTTCTTTAGGCTGGTGGAACCGTCAGGGGGCAAAATCATCATCGATGGGATTGATATAACCACATTAGGACTTCATGATCTCAGGTCCCGCTTCGGAATCATTCCTCAAGAACCTGTACTTTTTGAGGGAACTGTGAGAAGCAACATTGATCCAGTAGGAATTTATTCAGATGAAGAAATTTGGAAGGTAAACACATTGCTACCTGGTTTCCTGATTACATAGGAGTAACCCATGTCAGGTTATATGAAACAATGCTGTATGTTTATTTGTTAAATCTTAATGTAATTTTTTTTTGGTAGAGCCTTGAACGCTGCCAACTTAAAGATGTGGTAGCTGCAAAACCTGATAAACTCAATTCTTTAGGTATGTGTTTTTTTTTTTTTTTTTTTTTTTTTTTTTTTTTTTTTTTTTTTTTTTTTTTTTTTTTTTTTTTTTTTTTTTTTTTTTTTTTTTTTTTTTTTTTTTTTTTTTTTTTTTTTTTTTTTTTTTTTTTTTTTTTTTTTTTTTTTTTTTTTTTTTTTTTTTTTTTTTTTTTTTTTTTTTTTTTTTTTTTTTTTTTTTTTTTTTTTTTTTTTTTTTTTTTTTTTTTTTTTTTTTTTTTTTTTTTTTTTTTTTTTTTTTTTTTTTTTTTTTTTTTTTTTTTTTTTTTTTTTTTTTTTTTTTTTTTTTTTTTTTTTTTTTTTTTTTTTTTTTTTTTTTTTTTTTTTTTTTTTTTTTTTTTTTTTTTTTTTTTTTTTTTTTTTTTTTTTTTTTTTTTTTTTTTTTTCCAATTATTTTTTTTATATCAATCATATTGGGGAATGAGAATTTAGGGCATGTTTACGTATCAGTAATGGGAATGAGAGGAAAGGGAATGATTTCCATTCCTGACTTCTCCTGCGTTTACTTGCAATCAGGAATGAAAAAATAAGTGGGCCCCACCTCAAAATCCGTAATCACATTCCCTCAAAACTAGGAATCAGATCAACTAGGGGGGAGTAGTCGATACGATTCCCATTCCTGTTTTCTCTTAATAACTTCCAAAAATAGCCTTATCACTTTACCATAATTCTAAAATTAATTTGGATTCTGATTCATGCAAATTAGTAAACAATAACAATGGGAATCAATCCCATTCCATTGCTAATTCCAGATACCTCCCATTTTATTGATTTCTAGCTATTAGTCCATTAGGCAAGAATACAAAATGGATTTTATTTATAAGAATTAATACAGGTTAAACCCATAAATACAACAACAACAAAAGGGGATCCACCAACATTTTGGGGATAAAAGAATCTTGAATTTCGTATTATGAAATTGCTTGTGCAAGAATTTACTTAGAAGCATCATTCAAGCAAAATGAAAAAGTAAAAAATAAAACATAGAAAGTGTAATAAAATTGAACCATCCTTGGCAATCCAAAAAAGAAGAAATAAATAACCTGGAATGAGAAAATGAAAGAATGTGTCTGCATATCATGGTCCTCTTTTTGGATAATGAACATGAAGTAATTTCAAGAAGTATAGATAATAGCAAACATGGAAGATGAAAGAAGATAGATTGCATACACTTTAACATTTGTAGTAGGAATCATGTGCGTTCTTGTGTTTGTTGTGCTGGGCACGAGACGGAACAACAGGTTCCAATCTAATGTGATGAAGTGTTGGGATTCAAGAATGAAGGCAACAAATGAGATGCTTAACTACATGCGTGTGATCAAATTCCAGGCTTGGGAGGAGCACTTTAATAAGAGAATCCAGCCTTTCCGCGAGTCGGAGTTTAGCTGGCTGACCAAGTTCATGTATTCAATCTCTGCCAATGTTGTGCACCCCAGTACTTATATCAACTCTCACATTTGGCACTGCACTCTTATTGGGTGTCCGGCTTGATGCCGGCCCGAGACATTGTTCAGAACCACAAGCATCTTCAACATTTTTTGGGATCCCATCAGGACCTTCCCACAATCTATGATTTCAATTTCTCAAGCTATGATATCTCTTGGGAGGTTGGACCGTTATATGATGAGTAGGGAATTGGTGGAGGATGCGGTGGAGAGAGGCAAGGGCTGTGATAGTAGAACTGCTGTGGTGGTTAAAAATGGCGCGTTTAGCTGGGATGATGAAAGCAAAGAAGAGGATTTGAAACACATAAATTTGAATGTCAATAAAGGGGAGCTGACGGCTATTGTAGGGACAGTGGGATCTGGAAACCCATAAATACAACAACAAAAAAAGGGGATCCGCACGGTGAGTGCAAGCTTAAGGAGTATAGCCGCACGGCAATACCTTAAAATATTCTATAGTATAGCCGCACGGCGGTACCTTTTAAAATAATATATTTAAATAGTATAGCAGTGCGTCTGTACCTTTAAAATATTCGAATATATTCGAAACGTATAGCCGCACGGCTATACTCTGAAAATAATAGTATATCCGTGCGGCTATACTATGCAAATATACAATTTTGTCATCTTATTTTAAAATACCACTTTAGCTAATTAGGATAGAGTTATTTCTTCAATTTTTTTTTATACCAGTGATATTGGAGAATGAGAATTTAAATTCTTTCTGATACCTCCCATTCTAATGATTTCCAACTATTAGTCCATTAGGCAAGAATAAAAAATGGATTTTATTTATAAGAAATAATACGGGTTAAACCCATAAATACAACAACAAAAAAAAAGGGGATCCACCAACATTTTGGGGGATAAAAGAATCTTGAATTTCGTAGTATAAAATTGCTTGTGTGTAAGAATTTACTTAGAAGTATCATTCAAGCAAAATGAAAAAGTAAAAAATAAAACATAGAAAGTGTAATAAAATTGAACCATCCTTGGCAATCCAAAAAAGAAGAAATAAATAACCTGGAATGAGAAAATGAAAGAATGTGTCTGCATATCATGGTCCTCTTTTTGGATAATGAACATGAAGTAATTTCAAGAAGATAGATTGCATACGCTTTAACTGGGGGACGCCTTTTCACTTGTATGCAGGCCTCAACATTGTCTTGCATTATGTGTATCAGCTACCTGTGGAGTTTCCAGATATGTTACAATGGATAGCTGATTTCATTGGTCTGTGCAAGATTACATTCGGATTGGACTGAAGTTTGTTCGAGCTTCTGTCTTCTACTTTTCTACATCATGGTACTTCTATCTTTTATGACATCTACAAATCCAACACAGTTTATGCAGGATACTTGAAAACCAGTGACTTTAGCTTCTCTAAAGTGTAGGTTCTGCAAGTTGATCATGTAATAATTCATTCCTGGATGGTATGGTTATATCATCCAAGCAAATTGATCAGTTAAGAACCATGCAGATTTGGATTATGTGCAACAGAGAATCTTATGTTACTTATTAAATGTGTGTGTCATCCTTGCTACTTTGCTACGTAAGTGTTTCAATTCTTAAAATCCTTGCCGCATTGCTTTACCTTCTTGTGGTTTGTCTTTTACCTTTTCTTCCTTCTAATGCAGTTATCCTGTGTTAAATAAATGTGATCTAGAGGAAATGGATTCAATAATTTGAGTTGGTCTTATATGAAAGTGCAGTTGAAGTTGGGTTTTATAAATCGCTTGCTCAATCAAATTGAAGGGTCTACTAGAATATTTTAAAAAATTATGTTTAAAGAGTCGAACTGCGCGGCTGTACGCTGAAAATATTATATTTATAATATTTTAACGTTATAGCCGAACGGCTTGACTCTGAAAAAATTATATTTAAACAGTAGAGCTATACCCTTCTAATATATTTGAATATTGTAAAGGTGTAGCGGATCGGCTGGAGCTTAGCCGAGCGGGTATAGCCACCCGGCGATACTCTTTAAATATATACGATTTTAAAGTGCAGCCATCTATCTTCTGATTCTATTCGAATTGGTCGTTTCTGAGGAAATTCGAAGTCTTTGGGAAATGGGTTTTCGTGATTTTGATGTTAATCGAAAACCCAATGATGAAAATTTGAATTTGAAGTGATTGGATTGGTTCTAAGGGCCTCTCATGGGGAGATTTCTTGGCGGGTTTGTGTTGCCTCTGCTGCTGCTAACAGGTTTTTAAATGAAAATGCCTTTTGTTAATTTATTGTAATAACCATGTTATTGTAGTAACAAAATTATTTCAAGTGGATGTGTTGCACTTGACCAGCTGGTCTAGTTAATTGCAACTCAAAAATTTAGCATGCATTTGGATTGGGGTGCTGATTTCCTTGTTGAGTTTTCTTCAGTTATGTTTTTATGGTAATTTAGATAAGTTAAGCTTGTCTCCTACTGTCTCCCTCATCATCACCATAATTAGTAGTCTGAATTATCATTTGATATGGTTATGGAGAAATTCTGGACGCAGAAAACTTATAGATACTGACAATCTCTGCGTGCTTAGTAACTGAGGTAAATGTGATAGCATGATTCTGCATTAGTTTTTCTTTTGTTTTCGTTGTCAAAAATGCTAAGTGCATGCTATATGGATGATGACAGTGCAACTTGCCATTGCAATGTTCTTTCTGTATAACAGCCTTGGTGCAGCAATGATCACATCTGTAGTAGGAATCATGTGTGTTCTTGTGTCTGTTGTGCTGGGCACGAGACGGAACAACAGGTTCCAATCTAATGTGATGAAGTGTCAGGATTCAAGAATGAAGGCAACAAATGAGATGCTTAACTACATGCGTGCGATCAAATTCCAGGCTTGGGAGGAGCACTTTAATAAGAGAATTCCGGCTTTCCGTGAGTCGGAGTTTAGCTGGCTGACCAAGTTCATGTACTCAATCTCTGTGGTTATGTGGTGCACCCCAGTACTTACATCAACTCTCACATTTGGCACTGTACTCTTATTGGGTGTCTGGCTTGATGCCGGGACATTGTTCACAACCACAACCATCTTCAACAATTTGCGGGATCCCATCAGGACCTTCCCACAATCTATGATTTCAATTTCTCAAGCTATGATATCTCTTGGGAGGTTGGACCGTTATATGATGAGTAGGGAATTGGTGGACGATGCGGTGGAGAGAGACAAGGGCTGTGATGGTAGAACTGCTGTGGAGGTTAAAAATGGCGCGTTTAGCTGGGATGATGAAAGCAAAGAAGAGGATTTGAAACACATAAATTTGAATGTCAATAAAGGGGAGCTAACGGCTATTGTAGGAACAGTGGGATCTGGAAAGTCTTCCCTTCTAGCCTCAATTCTTGGTGAGATGCACAAGTTATCCGGAAAGGTATGATTTGATACCATTGAACCCTTTTCTAGATGTCTCTTATGACATAAAATCCCTCCACTGAACCATAAGTTTATAACCAGGTCATAACTCACTCCAAAAGCTTCAGTTTAATCAAGTACTTGTTGAATTAATAAACTTTTTGAATAACAGGTACGAGTTTGTGGAACAACTGCCCATGTTGCTCAAACATCATGGATTCAAAATGGGACTACTGAAGAAAATATATTATTTGGTTTGCCAATGGACAGAGATAGATACCAGGAAGTTATATCAGGGTTTGCTGCTTGGAGAAGGAAATGGAGTTTGGAGATCACACTGAGATAGGAGAGCATGGCATCAACCTAAGTGGTGGCCAGAAACAGAGGATACAACTTGCTAGGGCTGTATATCAAAATTGTGACATATATCTTCTCGATGATGTTTTCAGTGCTGTTGATGCTCATACTGGATCAGAAATATTTAAGGTGACATTGCGTTAGATTTTCTACTACATTTGATAGTAAATAAATGATTTACTTATGATTCCACAGTGATTGAACATTCAAGCTTGTTCTTAATATAGTGGTTTGAACACTTTTTTACTTTCATAGTCTAAATGTGCTAAGATAATAAAAAAACAGTACAAAGTGACACTCATTGAATTTGATTTGTATGCATAATGTTCTACTGATCATGATTTATACTTCTCTGCAGGAATGTGTGAGGGGAGTGCTTAAAAACAAGACGGTTTTAGTTGTAACTCATCAAGTTGACTTCTTGCATAATGTTGATCTTATTTTGGTAAGATTATAATTGCAGTTTGCACACATTTATCCCTTGTACTTATATATTTATTTAAACTTATTACCTCCAAATAATATCAGGTCATGAGAGATGGGATGATAGTACAGGCTGGAAAGTCTAATGATTTGCTAAATTCTGGCCTGGATTTCAAACAGCTAGTAGCTGCCCATGAAACCTCCATGGAACTTGTAGAAATGAGCACCACTATTCCCAGCAAAAGTTCCCCCAGTCCTCAAATATCTCCACAACTCTCTTCGAACCACCGGGAAGCCAATGGTGGAAACAACTCTTTGGACCAACCAAAGTCTGATAACAGGACTTCTAAACTCATCAAAGAAGAGGAGAAAGAAACAGGCAAAGTGAGCTTGCACGTTTACAAAGTTTGTGAGTTAGAATTGCTCACCTTTTCTTTTTCTGTTTAAGCATTAGTTTTTTTCATAGTTGATGAGAGATCCTATTCTCTATTTAATCTAAATTGTATACGTTGTCTTCTTTGCTAACTGATGAGAATTTATCACCCACCAGGCATCAACTGATCAGACGAATATCAATCAATTTCTTCCCTTCATTTTGGCTATGACCATTGCCATGTACATCACTGTGCTTGCCATATTTATCGTTGTATGCCAAAATTTGTGGCCAACAGTATTCTTGTTGATTCCACTTATTTGGCTTAATATCTGGTACTGGGTATGTCATTCTTTTTATCATGCTGTTGATATTTATCAGTGTAAGATCTATAATGTTGCAATGAATGTGTTCTTCTTGTTTAACAAATGTGTGTTAGACAGGAAAATAAAATATCTAGTTCTATGATCTTTGTCATGAATACTGTTGGTCAATCCAACTCTTGTTAGACAGATAATATAAATATTTTGAACTGAAGCACCCCTATGCAGATATATGAATGTGCTACACTGGAAAAGTAAAATCTCTTGTTTGCCTTAATTATATGCTGAGATTTTTCTACTGTTTGGATTTTAGGGTTACTATCTTGCATCATCTCCTGAATTAACTCGACTCGATTCGATCACAAAAGCTCCTGTTATCCATCACTTCTCAGGGAGCATATCCGGAGTTATGACAATCCACTCTTGCAGAATGCAGAACATGTTCTCCAAGGAAAATGTTAAAACGGGTTAACGCCAATTCACGTATGGATTTCCACAACAATGGGTCCAATGAGTGGTTTGGTTTCCGTATGGAGATGCTTGGGAGTTTAGTTTTCTGCATTTCCACTGTATTCATGTTCTTGTTGCCAAGCAGTATAATTAAGCCAGGTACATCCTTCTTCTTTTGGTGCGACACTTAACAAGAGGTCATATCTAGCACTTGATTCATGGCCAATTATGATATGGGATGCCTAAGTATATAATACTTAGCGTATCTGATATAAATTAGCATCTTATTTTGGCACATCTGAAAGAATGTGTCTGCATATCATGGTCCTCTTTTTGGATAATGAACATGAAGTAATTTCAAGAAGTATAGATAATAGCAAACATGGAAGATGAAAGAAGATAGATTGCATACACTTCTGGGGGACGCCTTTTCACTTGTATACAGGCCTCAACATTGTCTTGCTTTATGTGTATCAGCTACCTGTGGAGTTTCCAGATATGTTACAATGAATAGCTGATTTCATTGGTGTGTGCAAGATTACATTCGGATTGGACTGAAGTTTGTTCGAGCTTCTGTCTTCTACTTTTCTACATCATGGTACTTCTATCTTTTTTGACATCTACAAATCCAACACAGTTTATGCAGGATACTTGAAAACCAGTGACTTTAGCTTCTCTACAGTGTAGGTTCTGCAAGTTGATCATGTAATAATTCATTCCTGGATGGTATGGTTATATTATCCAAACAAATTGATCAGTTAAGAACCATGCAGATTTGGATTATGTGCAACAGAGAATCTTATGTTACTTATCAAATGTGTGTGTGTGTCATCCTTGCTATTGCTACATAAGTGTTTCAATTCTTAAATCCTTGCCGCATTGCTTACCTTCTTGTGGTTTTTCTTTTACCTTTTCTTCCTTCTAATGCAGCTATCCTGTGTTAAATCATTTAATTTAAAAGGCGAGGTGTACATGCGAGGCGTAAGCCTTTTGAACATTAATTTATTTTAATAAGAAAAATTTACGTATAATACAATATAATTAAAGAGAGAAAAATAAAATGACTTACTTGCAGTCAAAAGGTGAAGAGAATTCTTGAAATTGATGGAGATTATCTGGTAAAGGTAGAAAGTCCATGTGTTAATATATTAATTTAGGGGAAAAAAAAAGGGTAAGTAGAAAAGCTACAGCCGGTTGGAGTTAGAAAAGGCAAGAAAGATATTAATTCTTTTTGCCTTAAGTTTATATTGCAATAAAGGTAAGTAAAAAAAACAGAAACTGGCCCTGTGTTTTTTTTTAAACACTCCAAGTGAAACGACGCCGTTTCACGTGAAGATTGTTTTTAAAACACTACAATCAAACGACGTCGTTTTATGACATTTAACCTAAAAAAAAAAACAATAAAAGGGAGTCGTCTTCCTCGCACACAATTTGCAGACTCGCAAATTTGTTCCGGTTCAGAAGTTTCGAGATCTGGCACGTCTTGCTCCGCCTTGCTGCGCCTAGCCACGCCTTGCAACGCCTTCTAAAGCCTTCCCAGCGCTAAACGTGTAACTCGAGAAACAGCCGACCGGCTCAGGCGTTTTCCTGCCGCCTCGCGCCGACGCGCGCTCCGACGCACGCGAAGGCATGCCTTTGAAAAACTGATATAAATACAATCATTTGCATAACTGTCTGCTCACAAGGAGCAAAAGTTGATTTACTGTCTTTTTTTGTTATATTTAAACCCATATGTTTATATCTGACCCAAAATGTTTTTTAAATTTACAATTGTCAGGTAAGGGGAACTAGCTTGGGATTTTGATACGGGATAAGAACCTCAACCAGTGTATTCGTGCTTCGTAGCTGAGGATGCTTCGACCACCACCAATATGAAAATTGAAGGTATGGGCAAAGTTGCGGGTTCTTGATCTTCTCCTTTTGAAGCATTTTTGGTTGGATCATTCGCAATCAATCGAATTCTTGATGCGAACTTGAATTAACATAAAGGTGTCAGAAACATTTCAAACAAAAATATCACACTTAACCAAGATTTCAGTCAAAGCCAATCAACTACAAACTAATTGAATAAATAAATAGAGTTATATAATATCAAAATGCCACTAAAAACAATAGAACAGTATGTCTCATTCACATTTGATTTGGTATGAGAAACGTTAATGAACATTAGCGTCTTGGCGTTACCACCAAATGAATCACTCATCAACATCGTCAATTTACCGTTCCTGTAGGGTATGTGTTGATTTCGTTCAGACAAAGCTTTGATAACATCTCCGAGTGCTGAAAGTGATTTATTAAAGCTTTGAGCTTCTTTAAGTTCACTGCCTGAAGAGCGTGACTTTTTATTTCTTTCCGAACCAGCAAGATCCACGAAACTTAGCTACACATTAAAGGAAAGGCATTATGAGCATAACTTCACATGAAACACTAAACCATGCCTTAAGTGAATGCAAACTAATGTGCATGAACAAATATTCATTCATTTATTATGGAAAACATTGATATACCTTTCCTCTTCCAACTGATTGAAGTTGAAGGTTGGTACTTTCAATGAAAATTGAAAGTATGGCATGAGATCTTGAACCTTCTGCATTCATTTGAGTTCCAGCTATATGTCTTTGTTCTAAGCCGCTTTGAATGACGTTTTTCATTTCATCATATGTTGAAATTGATAGAACAATTGCATTTTCAACAAAAACCATACCATAACATCACAAATGAAACATTGAAAGCGAACTTAAAAGAAGGTGATACTAATCAACAAATTAGGCCAGATACCAAAACGAAATATTTAAATAACGTAGAAATTTAAGGACCAGATATGCATAACAACTCAAAACATTCGCCAGTCTTATAAAAACCACATGGCTCATAGAATTACAAAACATTATAGACATACATAAACAGATTACCTTTGGATCTTTATTGACATTCAATTTCAAAGACTTTGAATTTTTTGGTAAGAGAAGGTTCACAAATGTTTCTCAATACAACTCCACCATGTATGCCTGTGCAAAAATATATAGATGAATACCGTTATCAAGTCTAAACAACAAGAATGAAAGTAATTTGTATATTTTCATTCTTGTTGTTTAGACTTGATAACGGTATTCATCTATATATTTTTGCACAGGCATACATGGTGGAGTTGTATTGAGAAACATTTGTGAACCTTCTCTTACCAAAAAATTCAAAGTCTTTGAAATTGAATGTCAAGAAAGATCCAAAGGTAATCTGTTTATGTAGGTCTATAATGTTTTGTAATTCTATGAGCCATGTGGTTTTTATAAGACTGGCGAATGTTTTGAGTTGTTATGCATATCTGGTCCTTAAATTTCTACGTTATTTAAATATTTCGTTTTGGTATCTGGCCTAATTTGTTGATTAGTATCACCTTCTTTTAAGTTCGCTCTCAATGTTTCATTTGTGATGTATGGTTTTTGTTGAAAATGCAACGGTTCTATCAATTTCAACATATGATGAAAAACGTCATTCAAAGCGGCTTAGATCAAAGACATATAGCTGGAACTCAAATGAATGCAGAAGGTTCAAGATCTCATGTCATACTTTCAATTTTCATTGAAAGTACCAACCTTCAACTTCAATCAGTTGGAAGAGGAAAGGTATATCAATGTTTTCTAGAATAAATGAATGAATATTTGTTCATGCACATTAGTTTGCATTCACTTAAGGCATGGTTTAATGTTTCATGTGAAGTTATGCTCATAATGTCTTTCCTTTAATATGTAGCTAAGTTCCGTGGATCTTGCTGGTTCGGAAAGAAATAAAAAGTCACGCTCTTCAAGCAGTGAACTTAAAGAAGCTCAAAGCTTTAATAAATCACTTTCAGCACTCGGAGATGTTATCAGAGCTTTGTCTGAACGAAATCAACACATACCCTACAGGAATGATAAATTGACGATGTTGATGAGTGATTCACTTGGTGGTAACGCCAACGCCAATGTTCATTAACGTTTCTCCTACCGAATCAAATGTGGATGAGACATACTGTTCTATTGTTCTTAGTGGCATTTTGATATTATATAACTTTGTTTATTTATTCAATTAGTTTGTAGTTGATTGGCTTTGACTGAAATCTTGGTTAAATGTGATATTTTTGTTTGAAATGTTTCTGACACCTTTATGCTAATTCAGGTTCGCATCAAGAGTTCGATTGATTGCGAATCCAACCAAAATGTTGCTTCAAAAGGAGAAGATCAAGAACCCGCAACTTTGCCCTCAAAACCCAATTCTTCCTCTCTGTTTTCTTCTTTACCCAAATCCCAACTTCATCTCTCTTCGAATCCCTTCCGCAACGTAAACAAAACCATATTTTCTCAATATGACAGCATGTCTTGGCATTAGATGGCCATTGTAGGAGGCAGTTGGCTGTCTGTAAGTCAGGGGATTGCAGAGGATACATCTGATCCAGTTTCTGGTTTTGCTACTGTTGGTGACGGATTGAGTGAATCTGTTGACTATCCAAACAAGTATTGGGACTCTGATGAATATGATGAAGTGGGATACATGAGACAACCTATTGAAGATGAGGCCTGGTTTCTGGCCCATGAAATCGATTACCCAAGTGACAATGAAAAGGGAAAAGGGCATGGGAGTGTTCTGGATCCACAGGAAAGAGGTCCAACCAAAGATGAGGATGATGACCAATCCTTTGCTGAGGAGGATTCTCACTTTTCTGGTGAGCGGTACTTTCAAGCGAAAAATGTTGAACCAATTGTAACATCAGATGATCCTATAGGACTAACAGTGACTGAATTGTATGGGAGGAGTGATGAGAATGATTTAATAGCTCAATATGATGGACAGTTTATGGATGAAGAGGAACTTAATTTGATGTGTGCAGAACCTGTCTGGCAGGGCTTTGTCACTCAGACTAATGAACTCATCATGTTAGGGGATGGGAAAGTTCTGAATGAGCATGGAAGGCCACGTCTAGATGATGTTTGTGTGGATGATGATCAGGTTGGTTCAGTAAGATCAATAGGTGTGGGAATCAATAGTGATGCTGCTGATATTGGCAGTGAAGTACGGGAAAGTTTGGTTCGAGGCAGTAGTGAAGGGGATCTAGAATACTTTCGAGACCGTAACATAGGAATTGGTGGGTCCCGGAAGCATCGTCATGAATCAGATAAGAAAAACATAGATAGATCTAACAAGGACAAAAGGAAAACTAGTAAACATGAGGCAAATAAATATATAGTTGAGAATGATACGGGTGCATCGGGACAGAAGAAAAATCATACAGCAGGGTATTTTCATTCCCTCCACAACTTAGAGATGGACAGTTGGTGCAGGCAAGCTCTAGTAAATCTTTATGGTCAAACAACTGCAATGCTGTTGTCACTAATGAAACTGATGACTGTATGGTGGGTTCTGATAACATGGAGGCAGAAAAGTAATGATTCCTCACCTAGAATGAGTTGTAGGGACGAAAATAATGCGAATGCTGTTAGATCCACAAACTCTATTCCCTCAACGCTCTCTAATTATGCTTATGCCGAGAGAGAGCATGCCAAGCAAGAAGATGATAAAATTGCTGCTGTTGGGAAGAAGATACAGGAGCATCACTTGAGGATGAAGAGGCAGCTGCTGTGCAAGAGCAAGTAAGGCAAATAAAGGCTCAAGAGGAAGAGTTGAGACCTTCAACATCAAGATTGTGCATAGAAAAAACAGGTATGTCTTCACCTATGCACTAATCTCAAATATAAATTAATCGATCATGGTTCTTTACGGGAGAATTGTGCTTGGGCATATGATGTTTCTGTTTACACCAATAGTAAATTTAAAAAGTTCTGAAAACTATTGAAGCTGCTATACTGTAGTTTTAGGTTGGTTTTTTGGAAGAAAATAATTGTATAGTAATGCATCTATCTGTAATAATGAAGATTTTGCAGCTATCTATCTATGCCACGGTTTCCCTAAATCCTAAACCCTTGTTCTTTCCTCTCTTCTTTTATTTTTTTATCATTTTAACCAAATAAAAGGAAATCATCCTATCTGTTTGAGCTTCTTGATCTGCTAATTGTACAATCAGTTATTTGACTGCAACTACCCCTTTTTTTTTGGGGATAAGAAACGTGAATATTTATACAAAATAAAACAACCCCTCTTTTCTTTTGTTGTGTCATGTGGATTATTAATCGATTAGTGTGATCTCTTTTAGATGTAGTTTTCATTTTCAAGTTACACTAATCTTACTATAAACCTAAGCTTTGTGTAATGGTTGCTATTTTGTCGAGGCATGTAATTATTTGATGGACTTTAATCTCTCAGCTTTTTCTGATAAGTGTTGCTGCCTTGAAGCTCTTCTTTGCCATTTATACTGTTGTTGGTTACTTAACTTGCTTCTGGTAGACTATTAGAACTCATGTTTTTATTCCACAGAACTGGCGGCTTTGAAGAGGACAAAAAAATGTCATGTTGTGTTGAATTCTGTGATAACCACGCTATCATGTCACCAAATATCTTGGATCAGCTGCTCTCAGCAAAGCTATGCAGGCGCATGATCTGCATACAGGCATGGATGTTTGTGTGAAAATTATAAAGAACAACAAAGATTTCTTTGATCAGAGCCTTGATGAGATAAAGCTTCTCAAATACATCAATAAGCATGATCCTGCTGACAAGTACCACATTCTACATTTGTACGATTACTTCTATTATCGAGTAAGGGAATGTACAATTTTGATACTTATCTTGTTTGGTTTTGAGCTTTTATAATATTTCGACATAGATTTTTGTTTCATACGTGCACATTTGCTAGATTTGAATTACTTGTCTTTCATTGTCTTGTGTACCTGTGACCCCTATGCTCTGGGGCAGTGCCTTTCTGCTAGCATGGAGAGGGCAACACTTGAAAGTTTTGTATATGGCTTCTTGTGGTTAGTCATTATACTATTGAGCTTCCTTTTTGGGGATGTTTCGTACAGACATATATTATATTGACAACTTGCTTCGCGTGTTTAGTGTATTGATCTCGTTTATGGAATGATGCATTGCATATTAATCTGAAATGAATGATAACTTGATTTGCATTCGACTTTATTTTGTAGGAACATCTGTTGATAGTATGTGAACTTCTCAAAGAAAACATGTATGAATTTCATAAATTTAATCGGGAGTCAGGAGGGGAGGTCTACTTCACAATGCCAAGACTGCAGGTTTGTTGTGTTCCATTTTCTACTTGACCCATTTTTTTGCCTTGCTGGTGTGTTTTTTTTGTAGTCAATTACAATTCAGTGTCTAGAGGCGCTTCAGTTTTTGCATGGCCTTGGCCTGATACATTGTGACTTGAAGCCTGAGAATATACTGGTGAAAAGCTACAGTAGGTGTGAGGTGAAAGTCATTGATCTTGGGAGTAGTTGCTTTGAGACAGATCATCTCTGCTCCTATGTTCAGTCTAGATCATATCGTGCTCCTGAGGTTATCTTGAGACTTGCATATGATAAGAAAATAGATACATGGTCACTTGGCTGCATCTTGGGCGAACTTTGTACTGGCAATGTAAGTGCTATGCATCCATATATGCTTGTGACTCTGGACATGAGGGCTATACTCTGAGAATATAATATTTAAAAATTATAGCCGCGTGGCTAAACCCTTCGAATATATTCGAATATTATAAAAGTATAGCCGCACGGCGGTACTCTTAAAATAATGACCTTTCACAGGTTTCACCAATGAATTTTGGCAATATGGGTAACAGTTTGGGGTTTCATTAATGAATTTTTGCATCTCAGGGTTTCACTAATGAATTTTTGCATTTCGGGGTTAAGCAAATAAATTTTCGCTTTTTTGGGGTTTATGAATGAATTTTTAGAGTTTATGGTTTCACAAATGAATTTTCGGATTTCTGGGTTTTGCCAATGAATTCTCGCAGTTTTGGTTTTCACCATCAAAAATTCATTTTGCAAAACCTCGATATGCAAAAATTCACTAATGAAACCCCAAAATGTAAAAAATTCATTTACAAAGCCCAAAAATATGAAAATTCATTTGTGAAACCCCAAAAAAGGAAAAATTCATTAACATCGAAATGCGAAAATTCATTAACTCTGAAATGTGAAAATTCATGTGCGAAAATGAATATTAGTAGTTTTTGGTTTTGCTAATGAATTTTCACATTTAAAGGTTTCGTCAATTTTCGCTGTTTGGTTCACAATTTGGACTTTTATGAACTATTTCGGAACAAGGATGAAACCATTAGATCTATGAAATCATTTCATTACTTATCGAAAAACAACAAATTGTTTAAGAACAATGGCTCAACTTATAACTAATTCTTGAAAACTTTCTAGACAACCAAATGGAATGGGGCACCGCAAAGCACCAAAACCCTCGAGCCGCACGCCGCCATACATTGTAAGTGAAAAAGCCTTTGCTTCTCAAGACTTGGGAAGAAGTTCTTCAGAAGGAACCTCAAGCGTTGCTCCCGCATGATCTTTGTCTGCCTTCACTTCTGCATAAATCAATCAGTGTTTGAATGTAAACAAATCAGTTTGGAAGCTTTCTCATAAAATTCAAAGCTAAATCTAAGTAGCCATATTATTGGAGCTTCATTGAAATTGACACACAAGGTTATCAGATTTCGACATAACAACAATAAAAGCTAACAAGCAAATGGTAAATAAAAGTATAGGAAAGCAGCCAAAGGAGCAATTTAACAAACACCTTCAAGGCATGACAAGGGCATTCAACGACATACAACAACTACTGGTTAATTCGATATGGGATTCATTCACGAGAGAGATGATTTCATTGGAAATGAAAGTTTACCGTAACCGCCGCGAGAATTGAGCTTAGCCTGGACGATCATTTGGGTGATGAAAAGGGAGGCCTCACGTGCCTCTTCCAGGAGTCTCCGGATCTCCACATCCGAGGTCACGTGCCTATTCTCTTCGAACTTCTTGCGGACCTCCGCCGCCGACCCCTTTAGCATCGGTGTGTCTCCGGCGAACGACTTCCGAGTCGCTCTTAGCAGCGCCCTGTACGCGTTCAATGCTTCTGCTCTCGCCATCTCAGCCCCCTCTCTCCCCCTCAGTCCTCTCTCTCTGCTTCAGGCCTTGTTTTGAAAATTGTAAGCTACTACTAGTACACCCCCCCCCCCAACAAAACGATGTCGTCTTGTCATCCCACAGTGGCCTCAGTCTTCTTTAAATATGATGCATGGGCTACTTTAGTGAACTTCACACTTTCAGCAACCTGGCTTTATTTTGGGCCAGTCAATAATTCTTAAGCCCGTATATAGGGATGTGGGCTCTTTATCTATTTTTCTCTAAAGTTGACATTTCTTATATCTGATCAGAACTCAGAAACACAAAAATAGCAGAAGACATTCATTTCACAATGTACATATTAATGAAGATTTCCAACCAGTTGGCAACTTTGGGAATAACACACTATACTACAATGTACAGTCAAAATCCTTTAAGTATAAATTACATAAAGCGACATCGTGACATGAATCCAAAACCATTCGATGATATATATACCAAGCCCTCTCACTGTCAAAATGGACCTAAGAAGTGACAGAATGTGGTCATGCAGTGATTAGATCATGCATACACGGATTCCATCCAGGGGCCGACATCCTTCTCAATAGAAAGCTGATGCCTAGATGATATAAAGAAGCCTTTTGTATTCTCCAACTGATTCAGTTACCTCAGCGAATCAACCATTCTGCAGTCATGCTTCTTACGCCGACATCTGTGATGAGATTTTTGATCGACGAATGTATTTTCCCCCACAATCTCCATCATGGAATCAGTATCTGGATTAAGAAAAGGACCCATCAGCATATCTCCAGTTGAATCAAACGACTTGGAAAACCAAAATTCAGAATCTCATGAATGCATGTATGTAACATAATCAAAAGACGTAAGCAAAGTAGAAGATTCTGTAAATCTCCTAAACTACTTTATGCTATTCTTCTTCTTATACTGGTCCCTTATTCCTTTTTCTCATATCCATAGCGGCACCATTTGCCTATGTTGCCAGGAATAAAATTGATAATTAATAGAGTTGATAACTGATAAAGAAGAATAAATTATATAAACAAGCCGATAACAGCAAAACCAATGATCTACTCATTCAGACAAAGAATGTGAAACATGAACATCTGTTGAGGGTTTTCAACTTAGATCATAATGCTGTTGTCCAGTGGTGATACACATATTCGAAAAATGAAAGAACAAATGTAAACCCCGTAAATTCACACCCATATGTACAGAGACTAAACTAGTGCAAGCAATCATACCGATAGAGTAAAGAACTACAGTGTTATGAAACTATCACCAAAGTTCAAGAAGGAAAGTCAGTCAAATTCACTTCAATCCTGACTAGAAATTAAAATTATGGCTTTGCTTGTTAATACTTTTCTGATTACTGCCTACCATGTTCAAATGCATCATTGGTGATGCCACCTACCTTATCCATTTATATTCAAAGTTCCAACTAAGATCCTGCTGCCAAAGTCTATGTTCAGATTCTATCTACCAAGCAAACTTGAATATCGAACTAGAAACACTGCAGAGAACTAAAGATATGCATATATAATTCACCAATCTGCAACTATAAGCAACTTTTACTAGAATGAAACTAAAAATTTGCACAAAATCTGCAATGCTTCATCGTGCTTCAAATGGAAGAACGTTTGTTCAAAATGTACCTCCAAATTGATCACCCCAAAACAACAGACGAGTATCCTCCTCCTCCTCATCAAGCTCATCGCCGTACCCGAACTCCGCATCCCCTCGGTAACCCGGTTCGCTGCCGTACCCGGACTCATTCCCCTGAACATCAAAACCCCCAATAGGCCCAAACCCAATACCCAGATTCTCCTTCTCTCCACTCCCACCTCCATCTCTCTCCTTCCTCGAATTCCTAGCTTCACTCACATCCGATGCCCAATTTGCATCCCCATTCCCAAACAGCTCACCACTGGAGTCCGTACCCACCGCCACCGGAAAATCCGAGCACGTACCGTACGCAGCCGAAGCCCCGACCGAGCAGCACCTCCGGGTCCCACTCCGATCGCTGCTCCGACCCGAAACTGACCGGGACCCGTGGCGCCGCCTCTTCTTCGCAATGAATCGAAAGCTGCCGTGCCTATTGTGATGGCCACCGGAGATCGTCCTGTCGTCGTCGACCAAGGTCAACCGAGACATGTCGATGGCGTCGATTGAAAACGAGGTCGCTCGGTTGGATAGGCAGGGACGCTTGGTGTGGATCACCAGGCCATTGGAAGAGGAGTTGTAGGGTTTGGGGTTGGGGAGGGAGGGATCGGAGTCTAGGGCTTTGGAGGTAGGTGTGGTCTGTTGATGCAGCTGAAAAGGTCTCCAGCTATGGAGCTGAAATGCGCACGAATCGATGGGGTGCCGGTGTTCTAGGGCTTTGTGTGACATAGGATTTTGTTTTATAATGGGAATTCTGTGAGGGTTTAGGGTTTACAGCCTTGCGTACAAACATGGAGATGAAGACGATCAGCTTCAGCTACTTGCATTCCAGGAGCTTCACATTTCTTAGATTTCTTAGAAATAAATTAATTCCTAAATCACTTTATAATTTTCTTTTGTCTTTTCCTGGTAAGGAGGAATACAGCTCCAACGCGCGGGAAATGTGACCCACCTTAACACGTGCCACGTCCTCATCCTTTAAACAAATCAAGGCCAAAGTAAAAAGTTGATGAAACAAAAATTTGTTTAGTCCCGACTACAGCATTCGTTACCGCATTCACCTTGGGCAACTCCACCAATTTGTCATTTGCCATGTCAAGGGGGGCCCCTTGCAAAAAGGCATTTCCGTTTCCACCCGTTGCCATGGCAAAGGACAATTACTATTCATTTTTTTTTGTTTTTTTCACAAATTTTTTTACCTCAATAATTAATTTGGATAATATTTTCAGATAAGATTTTCGGGTTCCTACGTGTCAATACTATTCATATCTCATAATCGGATAAAATTTTCAATTTCAAATTTCATATAAATTTAAAAAAAATTAGCCGGTATTTATAGAAAAATATTCATTAATTTTTGGGTTTTTTAAAAAAAAATTTCCGAATTTTTTCCAGACGCCAAGGTGCAGTATTGACTAAGTATGAAAAATGGTTTTTCGGAATAATCATTTTCTCAAGATAATTTTTGGCAGCTTTTATTCCTTACACATCAAATAAGAAAACTTGATTTTGTGGGATTTTAATATGAAGTATATATTGACTTAATGAGCCATCATTTTTAGCCTAAATCGTATTTTGCACTAAAACCGATTTTTCATATTTTGATTTGGTGGGAATTTGATTTTCTAATATTTTTATTTGAATCCAAATGGGAGGTACTTCCTTATTTACATTGTAAACTTAAGTAAATTGAGTAATATAAAAATAAATGGAAGAAAAATAGTGTTTCTAGCAACAAAAGCCAACCTGGCGTTAGCGATGACATCACAGCCCTCGGGCTCGCACTCGGGCCGAACTCCACCTCGGGCCAGCCCAGTCTGGTGGCCCCCACCTCCTACCTGGGCTGCCTTTTGTTGCTGGAAACGCTATTTTCTCCCAAACTCTCATTTCACACTGAACCTCGCGTTTGCAAAATTTGAATCTTCATATCTATTTCAGATTTGGAATTTCTCAAATTTATGACAAATTTGTAAAAGAGAAGCGTGAGTTTAAAAATCATTTTCTATTTTGAGCAAAAATTGTATATCAAAAATATACTTCCAGAGTTTGATGAGGAGTTAATAATACTAGGAAAACAGAAAGTTCAGAATTTGGGTAAATAGGGAACATTTGAAGACCTAAGTAAGAAAAGGTAATATCTGTCGATAATCCGACTGCCAAATCTTAGTAACTAGTAAAGCTTATTATACAGGTCCAGCAGATGATGACTTTTTACACATCATCCTGGATCTCATGATGAAGAAAACTGTGAAGTCCGGCTGCATAGTCACCAAACTGAATGTCTGAAGGTGGGTGCAAGTCAAAAACGTATGAAATGGGCCTCGAAACCATCAACGGCTTTTTTGTGCTGACTTTGTCTGGCAACTCCCCAAAGCTGGCGTCATCAAATGGAAATGACTCTGTAAGGAAGAAGAAGCTCTCCCTGCCCAACTTTTCCACCTGAAACGATCATAACCAAATGCCTTAAAACATCACACAACCATCATTATTATTATGTAAGATCAAACCCTCATCCTTCTCCTCTATGTTATGTACATGTTTATTATACATGTATCAGAACAGCAAGTTGACACTGCAGGCACCAAGAACTAGATTTTCAAAAGAATTTCAATAAACTTGTGAGTGCAAGGTGCAATGTGTAATGTGCATGTGCCGAGTAGTGCGCACTGCAACCAAATAAGCGAGTTGTTCGATAAAGAAAGTCTTTGCCATCTCTTTAGATTTGCTATTTCTACAAAAAAAAATTAGCAGGGATGCAAACAGTTTGCAGTGTTATTATTACCTGCAGCTGTGCAAACCTGATATTGTTCATAGTGAGAATAACTCGCACATTGTCCAAGTCATCAGCCAGCATTCGGACGGCAAGATACTCGAAGAAATTCTGCAAGAGAAGCTTCTGTCTATCTAAGTTCTCACTGTAGCTATCGAAATTAGGAAACCATAGCACACACTTAACTTCGTTCCATGGGATTTGGCTCTCCCCTGCTTTGGAAATGATTGTCTCATATGGATGATATAGCCCCCACAAAATTTTGACACCAGTCAGTGATGAGTCAAATATGGATGTGTCTGACAAACTAGTGGTAGAAACTATTTTTGATGGATCATAATGTCTAGCAAAATTTGAGGAAAATTGTAGATTGGTGTCATCCAATAAGAGAATGCATCCATCAGCGGGCAACAATCGTATAAGCAATGTAGCTTTGGCTTCTCCACCTTCTGGCAGGCATAAAGTTGAGTTAGATGATGTCACTGATGAACTCTCATCATGAGAAAAGAAGCATGACGCTCCATATCGACAACCCTGTAATTATTAGAAAGAAAATAGATATTATACCACAAGCAAGGTATGCGACTAGGCAGTACTCAGATTCAAGCCAAAAATTTATCAAAGAATGTTGTGCTGCATATGACAAGTTTTCAGCCAGGCAGCCCCACCAATTCTTAACAACTCCTAGTGTCGTAAAACGGATTATAATACAAGCCTTTAACCATAAGTCTGCAGATATGCATCACAGTAACAATTAACTTCCAAGAACTTCTATAGAAGATAAACCTTAAGAAATCATTCTCTGAAAATTCCTCCATAATTTCACCTTTTAAATGCCTAATCTTGGAACAGATCAGAGAGTGCCAAGGACAATAACAGGAAATGTCATCCCAAAACTTTTAACAATTTAAAACTATGTACATCCCATAACTATACAAGTACCAAAGAGATAGCTATACAAACATCTTTAAAGGCCACATAGAATTGACTAAAGCTGTGAATTTTTAATACCTGGGCAGAATAGAAAAATTTGCATGGGGGTCTCTTTGCTTTAAGTGAATGAGAAAACAGGCATTGACTGCCCTTGTTGCAGGATCCATTAACAAAATATATACAAATAGAAGCCTCCCCATTGACATGATAGCCATCATCAACATCTAAATCCTGATTACTAGATAAATCTTCTGTATGTTGGACTCGTATCTGCAAAACGTGAGAAGTAAGGGAATGATCATGTGTAGGAAAATACACAAGAGGTATGCAGATGAGAGGACCTGTTTGATTATGGTTGCCAACTTTTTTGCCACATCATTGTTTTGGAAGTTATTTGGAGCAACAAAAGGTACAGCGACACATTTCATTGTTTCACTAGATGGCTCAAGGTGCTTATCATCTGTAGTAAGAGCATCTGTATCTTCATTTGGTTGTTGACATGTAGGGAGGCATATATGCTCAAATTCATAAGGATCGTAGTAGGATGGAAGGCCATTAGATGTAGACAAAAACTTGGGCCGATACCGGTGCACTGAATCTAGTATATCTTCATCTGAAAAAAAGACACCTGAAATAACTAATGCCACTCTACTGTACCAGAAAAATTCCAGACTGATGGAGCAATGAATATTGTCGGCGGATGATTACTAGTAAGACAATAAAGTATGCTGATGTAATAGCAACGTACAACATACATATTTCAGATACATGTTTTAGTGACGACTGCACAAGATTATGGGAAGAGCACCAATCTTCTTCAATCTTGGGAAGCCGGAACGCAGTAGCTTTCATCTCATCAAACTTAAGAAGTTGCTTCAAACGCTCAACACGGTGGTTATCCTTTAGGGTAAAGCAAAATGTTTAAATCATACACAAAATGTACTCCAAGTGGGCTTTAAAAACGTACGTGCCCACTAATAAGCATTGTGAAAGTTCATGTACAATATACCTTGAAAACACGTTGCCAAAATTGAAATGCACACAAGTTTGCCATGAATACCATCTCCTTCCTACCATTTAGGCCAGTATTGCCATCATCTCCACAAAAGTAGCTGTCAGCATATTCTGCAAACTGAATTGTAGAATTAACTATATCAAAGGTCAATTCTCAAGCAATCAAGCAAATCCAAAATCTACAAAATTTATACATTTAACAGTTAATACCAAAATTTCATCTCCAAAAGGATGAAGGATAGGTAGAGGTTGTGTGTCCATTAATATGCCCAGAAGAATGCCTTCACGCAGCATTCCAATGTCTCCAAACTTGAGTACAACCAGAGAAGCATCAAAAGACAATGACAAACTGGAAAGCAACCTCCCATAAAATGTCGGCTCATACCGGCCCCTTGGAGATGTTTTTTCTAATGCTTGCATATGAACAAGCAAATCCAACGCATCTTCAACAACTTCAGGATGTGGTTGATCTAGAGCCTTCTGCAACAAAGCTGACACCAAAGCTCCATGTCTTAGAAACACACCAAAACTTCAGGATAAAAGAACATGCTTAATGTAGCAGACAACATGCTGAATATCACCTTAACTTGTGATGTCAAGTTTAACTCACACCTAGCATGATCTTGAACTTCAGTGCCGTTACAGAAACAGTCTTCCAACAACTATAGCTTATGCATCAAACCAGATTGTATAGTTTACTTTTTTAAAAATAAAAGGAAAAGGAGTTGTAGTTTTCTAAATAGAAATGTGACGAATAGAGAAAAGTACTGCAACCTTGGTCAAAGACCAACTCAACCCTTAAGCCTTCAACAAAGTTCGAGAAAATCTTATATCAGGTTCAAGGAGCACACCAACAGATAATCAAGATATAGAATGTTGGTCAGGTTTCCTTTGTCTTGCCTAATTAGCCACAAAACGTGTGTTCCTTGTCTTTCTCAATTACTCTGTTACATCATCCTTCCAAAAACTAGATGGAATCCCTTGTTTGGCATATCAATACAAAGACTAAAGAAATCTTCTTCTTTTTTCCTGATGAGTGATGAATCACTCCAATGAGAGTAAAGCAAATTATCAAAACCTAAATGCAAGGATGAAAACAATGACAAAGAACAGCATACCTTTGGGATCGTTAATGGCCTTAGATTCAGCACAGCAGATCTGAAGCACTTGCAGCCGCAATGATAACCTCAGTACAGAGGGACCCTCGTATTCGTCAAACTGGATGAAAAATGGTCTAGTAACCAACCGATAAATCTGGCCATCACAAGTTCGACCAGTTCTCCCTCTACGCTGATCGGCCTGCAGCATAAACCTAAAGTAAGGAATCAATAAACCACAAAAATTAATCATCCAGTTAGAGTCCTTCAATACCTGAGACTTAGAAACCCAAACAAGCTTTGCAGATTCCTTTTTCTGATAACTGTTCCAAAAAACTTGTAAAGATCGGCATGAATCAATAACATAGGCCACCTTGGGTATTGTTACTGACGACTCTGCAATATTTGTAGCCAGTATAACCTGTGCAGATTATTGTTTTCAGAAACAACCATAAGTGTGAAGATAAGGATATAATGGAGGATAAAATCAACCAGATTTTTTTTGGGGGGGGGGGGGGGGGGGGGGGCGACTAATCTACATCCCAAATATCTCAAACTAACTTTATTTGCAGCTATTGTTACAGTCATGTCTAGCAAGGGAAAAGTATTGGGATTAAACTACCCTTACATTTTGTTAGAACCAACAGCACACGTACAAAAACAACCACATCAAAAAAATTAAATAACGCAGCTAGGATATCAAACATACTTTACGATGGGATTTCCAAATCTTCATAGTCATGAGAGCTTGTTCAGTGTCAATGCTGCTATGTAAAATGTGAACTTTAAAAGATGAACTAAATGGCTTCAGAAGGAACCATTGCTGCTCCAGTGCATAGTATGTTGGAAGAAAAATCAAAATGCTCTTTTCAATGTCTGGTTCATGCTCATGAATATGCAACACCAAATCATGAATAAGTTTGTGCACTTTAGCCTTAATATCAGCTTTGGCCATAGAAGGACTTGGACCTGAACAATAACTATCAGAAAGCGGCTCTGAGTCGATATTGAGAAGATCAGCAACCTGTTCAGGAAAGAATCACAGAACCATCACTTCTATAAATGAAATGGGTTTCCATATATAATTCATGTGCTATTGTAAACTCTAAAACTGGCCCCCTGACTTAGTTTTTCAATTAGTTCACATTTTTCATGATTTAAACCGAAGGTGATGTTTTTGGAAGTTGACATAAATTCAATATTAACTTTACTATTTTATTCTAAAGCATTTTTTATTGATGGTACACAGTGTCATAGAGAAATGTCGCCTCATCTCCGTAAAATTTATAGCTTCCATCTTTTACATTTGTTTTATTAGCTCTTATATACTTACCTATTAAATCTTTTCAAAACAGTTACGTACTTACCTACTAAATCTCTTCAAAACAAATCATACAGACTCTTGTTCCTGACACCTTTATATACCAATTCTACATCTGGCTGACAATATTCTCTCGCCAATGCAATAATTAAAGGCTACTCTCATTTGTTATTTTTCTAAACAGAGATCCGTAAGCTACACCCTATATTGTATTATCAAGATCTTGGGATCAAAGCATCATGCTCAACACCAATAAGAGTGCCTCAGATGATGAAGGCGGGAAGCATTAATTGAGTTAGGTTCCCTAGAATAAACATAATATTTCCAGTAAAGAGTACAAGTAAATGCCTCTTCAAGATAAGAAACCCTTCGCTGAAATATGGCTTTCTGATTGGATGTAGGGATTGCAAGCACTTCCACTCGTTCACCTCTGCCAAGATCCTTAAAGTAATCCCTGTATCTTGCAATATCAGCAGTTGCAGACATCAAAACCACCCTGAAATTTCATAAATCCATTAGATTCTCGTGTAACAAAAGCCCGAGGAAATTATACTTACGTATGGAATACATAAATGTGCTGTTCCTAGAGAATGTAAGCAGAAACAGCCAAGTATAAAATAAGCCTAAATGTAGGAAAAGTTCGAACATCCATATAAGGAAAAGGCAGGTAGAAGTCGACCTCAAGTTGTTATTCCTCATCATAAACTGCTTCACACAAACAAGAACAAGATCGGATTCCACCGATCTTTCATGCACTTCATCAAGAACAATGACCTTGTAATCAAGCGCATGCATCCCCTTATCTCGCATTTCATCCAATAGAACTCCAGCAGTTTTAAAAACAATCGAAGACCTCCAAAAACATTAAAACAAATAAAGAAATGAACACAAACGTAACGTAACACACACTCTCAAATGAAAATTTAGAAAAGATTATTAGAAAATGGGACATAAGGTAACACACCTTGGTGATAAGTGCTTTGAATGGCCGATGTGATATCCAACCTCTCCACCAATTTCACAATTTCGAGCTTTTGCCACCATTTTAGCAACAGCTACTACGGCGAATCTCCTAGGCTGTGTACATAGAATGGGCTTCAAATTCGCCTCTAGAAGAAACTGCGGAACTTGCGAGCTTTTCCCTTTGATTAAACCAAACAAAACAAATTAACAACACGAATAACAATTAGAAAGCAAATGCGGCGTTTTGTGAACACCGCACTATTTTTCTTCTCAGTTTTCTCGGGAACCAAACGGCCTGCATAATAGAGAATACATGACGAAGTACGAAATAGTTCGCGATAGTTAAACCGCAGAACCGTGCGGAGTAAGAGAGTAGGGAGTGTACCACAACCAGTCTCGCCGACGATGAGAGTGACGCGATTATCGAGAATTTTCTCCACGATTTTTTCGCGGAGCGCCATTACTGGAAGAGACGAGAATTTGGCGTTCGAAAACGACGAGGAGTAGGAGGAGCTGCACGACGACGTTGGGGACGACGGTGACGCCATTGTCGGAACCCTCTCGTCTTCTCTCTGCTTAACGAAAAGAAAGGGAAGGGGATTGGAAATGTCTCTATTTGCTCTTTTGCAAAAGCGGAAGAGCAGAGACGAGTAAGTCGCTTATTAGTCTCCCGCGCGCCTCGGTCCTTTTCTCAGGGGAGCAATGTTCGGACGCAGTAAGCTCTACGTGCGCTTGATAGTCATGAGCCTCGTGACGACTGAGGTCTTGATAAAAACAAACGAGTCAATTAGTTTTTCATTTAGTGTTGACTTTGGTTCCTATTTGGACCAATCGTGTGCTACATTCGGGGGGTGTACGCTGCACGCGAATTACGGGGAGCGGGGCCCGAATACTTCCTTGACACGTCCATTGTGGAGTGTGGGTCCGGTATTAGGAATCTATGTTGCGAGAAGGGGATGGGACCCCGGGTATATGTATGTGGATTTGGGTCCTTTTTCTCCGGGACCGATTATGATCTGATGAAATGGGAAGGACCATACTGATGCATGTTGTGATGTAGAGGAATTCTACTACATTTCTTTCTTTCTTTTTTCGGTGAAAATTCTGCTACATTTCTATCCATCTACTTTTACATCCTCCTTTTTTTTCCTTAACCGACGTCTACTCTGTCTTTGTGTGCAAAGAACAACAATTCTTTGCCCAAAAAAAAAAAGTTTTTAATTCTTCATAAAATTATTTTCACTTTCTTATATTATTGAGTTTTTTTTGTCTTGATCAAGTCAAGAACTTTCATTCTTATTGAAAACATCAATAATACAACCAGAAAGGTCTTCGCCTCTTTAGGTGCTACAAAGTTGTCTCGTTAAAATCTTGCCATAAATTTTTTTATGTAATTTGCTTCATTTGCGGTGTCATTTCGTTTTTATATCGAACTTGTCAACATCAACTCTATTCATTAAATTATTTTGTTAAATAATTTAATTTAACTGATTCAATATTCTCATTTAATTGGAATTTACCCACATATATTATGAGCTAAAAACTTAAAATATAACTCCTTTATTTATGAATCAAGTTTTTTGTTTATACATTACTACGTCAAAGTAAGAGTATCTCCAACAATCAACAACTTTGAAATTTTAAAATATGTGAGTCGCATCATCAAAACTCTCTCCAACAACATTGTCACACTTAGTCATCAAAGATGCAACCTCTCTCTCTCTCTCTCTCTCTCTCTCTCTCTCTCTCTCTTCAAGACTAATAAGTTTACCTTAACTCTTTTATTTTGAAAAAATAAAACTTACCTTAAAAATGTTTAAAACATGCAGTTTTTATTTTCAAGTAACAAGCCTCTCCGCACGTGCTTCTGCGCCTGAGAAAGGTTTTTTTTTAAAAAAATTTATATTTATTTTAGAATTAAAAAGATAATGGGTAGTTGTGTTCCATAAAAAGAGGATCCATTATCTGATTTTTCTTTTAATTTTAAATTTTTTTAATATGAAAAAGTATGAATTTACCATATTATCTTGATTTAATTAATAATTTTAATTCTTAATGTTTGCATTAACCAAGGGTATTTTCTGGTATTTTGAATGTTTCGCCATTCTCTGCCTTTTGCTCTTTATATATATATATATATATATATATATATATATATATATACAGAGAGCTTCTATTGAGGGATCCCTCAAATAAGCTTATTTGAGGGACACCCCTTGTAGGGCCCACTACGGATTGTATTTCACTAATCCAAACCGTCTATTTTGTAGATACACATTCAAAGATCATCTCTACAAAAAATCACTTGAATCCGATATCATTTGACCATTCAATTGAGTTATTGAAATTTTAGTACTTTCTTGAAGCACCGTGTTCATTGATTTTGTAGGACACAATTGGATGTCGAAACGGTTTCCGATTTGCCTAATTTTTTGTAAGGATGATCTATGAATGAAGACCTAAAAATAGATGGTTTTGATCATTGGAAAAAAAATTGTAGGGTACCCTAAAAGGCGTCCCTCAAATAAAATTATTTGAGGGATCCCTCAATATAAGGGGACTGTATATATATATATATATATAGATAAATACATAGACATTCTTCACATGTTTTCGTATTTTTCATTATTTTCCATGGCATTGAATAAATTGAATTGAATAGTCTACTTGAGCATAAATTATTAAAGCAGCAAATAACCATTTTCAATAAGTCAATAAACTTTAATTTAACGAATTTATTGTGTGGAGCTTGAGGATTCATTGTGTGTATCCTGACGCATCTAATGATGACTTTGGAGTTCTATAAAAAGATGAATTTGGAGTTGTAGCATCCCAAAAATTAATTGAAAGAGATTTATGATATTATCTTACTAGTAAAGGAAGTATGCATTTTAAAGTGAAATCCTCAACCACAAAACAAGCCTAAGTTCAAAACTATGCGACAATAGGATTCATTGATTTGAGAGTCAAATGGGATTAATTTGAGGTTAATTTATAATGAGAATGATATTTTGATTAAATAACATGGTAAAACATGAAGGGATGTTGTTAATGGGGTATAACTCAGTTGGTTAAGCCACCTCCATCGATGTGGGTAGAGGTTAGAAACCCCTTGCACCCAACTAATATTTGTGTAAACTCCCTTCCCAATTGCTTATACTAAAATTTTATTTTATTTTATTTTAAAAGAAAAGATGTCACAAGCAATGAGATGTACAAAAAAAAAATTCATACAAATATACCGTTGACGAGTTCTTACTTAGTTAGGATTTTGGTTCTCTTGTGACTTGTGCTTGTGTTCTCATTGCAATTTAAGTGATCTCCTACCCCACCCCCCCCCCCCCCCCCCCCCCCCCCTTTTCAAGAAGGAGCGGGGGAGTGAAAATGATATGTTTCTCTTTCCCATGAAGATATTGCCTATTCCTTAACTTCGCCGGCCCATTATCTTCAAGGAGAGAGGGGAGTGAAGAGAATTTGTGTATGCGTGAATTAGGTAAAGTATATATGAAGGAATTCTCCTTTACTATGGTTGATGTTGTTGTTGTTGTCGTTGTTGTCTTCGTTGACGTTGCATTTGCTTACTTATCTTTCCGTTGCTATGGTTATTGTCGTCGTTGTTGTTGTGGCCATCTCCTTTGCCTTTATTTGCCTTACTTTTCCTTACCTTACTTTGCTTTGCCTCACCTTTCTTTACCATGCCACCGACTCTTTGCACCGCGACAGCCTAACACATGTATTCACTTACTCTCTCTATTTTTCAATCCTTTATTTTATATCTTGCACTTCATCCTGTATGCACATGGCTCATTTGAAACTTCTCTCCCTACCTTTCTCACGTAATAGACTTTTGACTCATTGCATCTTTTATTCTACCTCTCTTTATTTTAATTTTTGGCCATTCCTATGTGAGAAATGATTTTCTTCGTCTGTCATCTCACTTCTTGTCCTTGTTTTTTTTCCAAATTTACATCCATTATCGAGGGGGAGTGTTGGCAAGTCCCTACTTTGTTAGGATTTTGGTTACTTACCAATTTGTCTAGTCGTATTATAATTGAGATTTATTTTGTATTCTAATTTATATTTATTTCTTATTGTATTTAGGATTAATATATCTTTGTATTTCCTTATAAATACCTTTATATTGAAGAAGAATACATATCCGAGCATAACTGAAAATTTACCTTATTCTATTTAACTTATACCCTATTAATGCACATAAAATTGTGTCACGAGTCACTCAATATTTATCTTATAAAATTAAAAGGAGAAGCCAAAGTTATATAAACAAATGATAAGTAAATTTTGATTTTGTAAACTAACTTAGAGACTTGTGGCATTTTGGTCCATAAGCCTCCAAATTCATATAATCAATTAACTTATAGTTTTAGCTTACACTTCATAAAAGAGACCAAATTTCGAACCCCGTCATCAATTAAAAATAAAATAAAAATAAAGAGCCCGTATAAAATTAGTTCAAAAAAGAAAGCTAGGAACTCCCATAGATTTTTCTTGAAGAGCATATGTGAGTCACTAAGCTCGCCCCGTAACATCCAATTTCAAATTCCCCTAACATATATTAGATTAATTTCAATAACTCCTATAGATGGTTCAAAAACTATTTTTTCTTAAAAGATACAACCTACAGAAAATACACCCTCAAATCCATTTACAAAACATAGTTCATAATCCACCATCCATTTACAAGAAGAATACGCATTCGACGGTCACGATTAACTGATTAGTTTGTTCATTTATCTATTTTTGATATTTTTTGGGACGTCTTTACAGGCGAAAATTTCCATCGGTTTACATTGGTACCGCCAACAATCAGCGGCAGCTTGAGCGAAGCAACCATTAAATCCCGATTACTTTTGAACCCATTAACCATCGTCGACAACACTACCGGCAAATTGATTTGATTCGACGCTCTGTGAGAGACGAAAATGGCATCCGGTTGGGGAATCACAGGGAACAAAGGGCGCTGCTACGATTTCTGGGTCGACTTCAGCGAGTGCATGTCTCGCTGCCGTCAGCCCAAGGACTGTGTTCTTCTTCGCGAAGACTACCTCGAGTGTCTTCACCACTCCAAAGAGGTTAGTTTTTTCTTTCAATTAGGGTTTTAATCTCATTTATTGCTCAGATCGGCGCATGAACCTTAAATCACCAGCTCCATTTTCAGGCACTGTTTGGTTATTAATTAATTAATTAATTAATTAATTAATTAATTAATTAATTAATTAATTAATTAATTAATTATTAATCTAGCTCAGCTGTGTTCAATTTTAGCTCTAGTTCCCCTCAATTGATTTACTGTTCCATCGATGTGTGTTTCAAGCTTGCTATAGACAATGTCGTGTTTCTAAACCCTAGGGCATCGACCGCCACTCAATTTCAAGTCTGATTTAAGGTTTTATGAAAATTGATTTTATGTATTAGTCGAAAATGTCGAGTTATGGTTTCTCTTCATACATCTCGTATGTGTTGTTGTGAACATTTAGGAACTAGAATCATTACCCAAACATTGAGAAGCAATCTCGTAGAAGCTTAGTGTTGTTTGTGCAATTTTTTTAATGGCTTTTGAAAATATTTCAAACTGCTGAACAGCTCCAAATTGCAAAGCTAAACAAGTTTTTCTTTTGGTTAGAAGGTTGACAAGTTATTTTCGTAGATGATTTATATTTGAATTAATGGTCCATCTTCAATCAAAGCCTGCTGTGTTCAATCAAAGCCAGGGTCAAGTCTCCATATGATCATATTACAATCACCTATCTAAATGTCGAATGAAGAGTAGATCCCACTATTTTTCCCCATTACCATGCACAGAAAGTGATGTAGTATCTACAGAAAAAACATGAAATAGATTCTGGAATATCCTACAACAAGGAAATATAAGCTTAGGGTTTCACAATGGTGAAGTTAGCTTTGAAGGGTCACAACCCAATCTGAGTGCAGGATACAGTTCTATGTATCTCCTATAAAAATTCAAGCATAAAAACAGATACAATTCTATTTATCAGCTATTTTGACACCTAGGAGTTGCTTGGGTTTACTTTTCATGTTCTTTACGGCTCACTTCGAGTATCGAGGCTGTCATGCTTAGTTGTTATAGTTTGTGCTTTATATTTTTGGATTTCATTCACTACAATAGTTCAATGTTATGTCAAATGTTGAGTTCAATGCCTTTATACACCTTTCTGTAGCATTTTAAGAGTAGGAGGTTAAACATAATGGCGAAATGTCAACACAGTTGGCATAAAGTATAGAATTCGAACAAGAGGCAACTTCGACAGAGTTCTGCTCTATCAGAAAAGGTTCATAGTTGGAGGGAAATCTCAAAAACATAAATGATTGTCTTCGTAGTATCATCTTAATTTCTTATCATTATTCAAATTTGTGTCTTTTATGGGTGGGGTGAGGAGAACATCATAACCTGGTATATAGTGCTTTCCCAAATTTTAAGGACATTTGGAAATTTTGAATCAAGATGGCATTCTCATCTCTCAAATTTTTAGCTCTCCCTGCCAAGGTAATAAATTTATCCAATGGCTTTGTTTGATTGTATGCATGTGTTATTCATCTCGGGTTTTGACTATTGATATATATTTCATAACATTTTTGAACTTACTGAACAACAAGTATGCAACTTTGCAATTTAGCAATGTGTTCGGCTTAGAAGGACATAACCCAATTGATATCCGAATTTTCAGTTACAGGGATGAGGTTTTTTTGTTGACCTAAAAAAAAAAAGAGATGAGGTTTTAGTCAAAATCCCCAGATGTTGTATGCAATCCACATAATATAACTTGATTTGTGTGTACATACATGAACACAGACTTGTTTCGTTTTGGTTTAAATTGGTAAATACTGATTGGGCTCATGGTTTCTCTGCATGTTTATTATCGCAGTTTCAACGAAGAAACCGAATTTACAAGGAGGAGCAGCGTAAAATAAGGGCAGCTGCACGGGCCAAAGAGGGTGGAGAGGTTGATAAGCATCACCATCCATAGCAGAAATCGATCATCATTTGAACTGAAGAAATAATAAATGTTTGGAGAATGGATGCTGTATTTTTTTTTCCAAGACCGGTCTTTTACTTGATTATGTGATCTGTTTTGTTTCTCCTGGAAAGAGTGTGGGCCTCGTTGGTCTATGCAATAAGATAATGGTCAATTTAGTTTTGCTTGCAGTAGTTGCAGATTGGACATTGATTTGCTTGGTGACTTAAACCGGCGTTTCTGCACTCCAGACTAAAATGACTTGTGGAATATAAACCGGATTCGGTTTTAAGTTCTTTGTTTATCTTTGCGATCATTCGGAAAGTTGTTCCTACAGGCTTACATGGATTATGAATTCTCCTAGGCTTTGGCATGGGTTTTAAAGCAATTATTCTATTCTTTAGATTATGAATTGTCCTTTCCCTTCCAGTCTATCCTCCATTTTCTCTTCCTGAATATCAATAAGATCGTTACCATTTAATCAGTGGAGGAAGCGTGAGTGAATGAGTATAAATTTGTTATCCAAAAACAAAAGGGATGACTTATATTCTTTTATTTTAGAGGTTGAGTGGAAATTTGGAAAAGTAAAAGGTCCGAGAAAGAAATACGAGGAATACGGGGGCATAACTATAAAAGACAAAGTTTCACTCCGAAGTGCCATTACAGTGTCTCTAGCCAGATCAGATTAGAATTTAGACCGCTTCGGCACGTGTGGTGTGCACGCTTGGTCCGCATGAGTTTCAACGGTCCAGATACAAATTGGCGCAAATAGACAACGATCAGACTGTTTACGTTAATAAATTAATAATAGAGTCGTATATATTGCTGTACTCAGCGTGACAGGTTATCTAGACCGTAATTTAATCAGGAGCCCTACCTTTCCCTCAAATTCAAAACCCTAATTTACGAACTTCAGCCTTTGTGCTTCGGTGCGATCCCCAATTTCATCGGAGGTAAGCTCTCGTCTACCACCTGAGAACCATAGCAACCTTAAGTTTCATTCCCATGTCGAGTTGAATTTGTATTTTCATGCTTGTTTCCGGATTCATGTTGACTGAGCACTATGCTGTACCGGGTTTAGTTTGATTATTTTGTGCAATCGTTTAGCATCCTAAGAGATAATTGTAAGATTTGAATTCCTTATTTATTTTCTTTTCACTGTCTTGTCTATGCGAACAGGATCCTTCATGATTTCTGTTATTTTCTTTTGCCTTAATTTTTTTTTTGTCGGGGATATAATTTACAGTTCTCAGGAAAATGAGCAGCCGTAGTACAAGCAGAACTCTCTATGTTGGGAATCTGCCTGGTGATATACGCGAGAGAGAGGTTGAAGATTTGTTTTTGAAGGTAATTCAAACCTTTTTTTGCTTGAATTGATGCCAACATATAATGCTATGCGATTTTGCGATGAAGTTGTTATTTGGAATGCATTTGTTTATGCTTGCACATGTAGACATTGGGAAACAACAGAATTTTGAAATTGGGATACAACATGTGTTTTTTTTTTTTTTTTTTTTTTTTTTTTTTTTTTTTTTTTTTTTAATTTTGTATTATCTTTCTTCGGTGTGAACAATTGTGTCCTATTGGTAGTGGAGTGGCAGGGGGTGTTGGATGGAAGGGTATAGAGTACCCTAAAGAATAAGGAAGGCTTACGGACTGACTGAAATTTCTAATTTTCTTTGCAGTATGGACGCATAGCCCATATTGACTTGAAGGTTCCCCCAAGGCCTCCTGGTTATGCATTTGTTGAGGTGAGAGCCCTCAGCTGCTTAATTTAATTTTATGTTTGTATGTTTCCTTTATAATATGTTTGAACAAGTTTTTTTTTACAGTTTGAAGATGCTCGTGATGCTGAAGATGCACTTCGTGGTCGTGATGGCTACGATTTTGATGGTCATCGTTTACGGGTACACAATTATGCTTACATGCCATATGGTAGATGTGGTACTTTTCCTAGACATAATATTCTAATGTATATCTCTTTAGGTTGAACTTGCACATGGAGGGCGTGGACATTCATCTTCGTCAGATCGTCATAGTAATTATAGTGGTGGTCGAGGTGGGCGTGGGATGTCCAGGCGCTCAGATTTTCGTGGTTTGTATTTCACTTGTTACACTTTGTGCTCTTTTATATGGTAGGATGCATTCGATATGTTTCTAAACCTGTTCCATCCACAGTGTTAGTCAGTGGACTACCCTCTTCTGCTTCATGGCAAGATCTTAAGGTGTGTGTATTTATCAATTGGAGATATTTTTATTATAACTGTATTTCTGTGTGAGGGAACTTTTCACTGCATGTCTGACACATACGATGTATTTTTATTCAGGATCACATGCGACGGGCTGGAGATGTCTGTTTCTCCCAAGTTTTTCGTGATGGTAGTGGTAAGATGCTCTTCATGCTTCAAGTGTGTTTCTTGGTGGTATATTGTGGAAAAGTTAGTAATAGAAACATTTATTGTGATCTTTTTCTTCCTTGGTCACTTAAAGTTCTTTTGTGCTAGGTGGTGCTAATAGAATTTATTAAATTGACTGGTTAATACTAATAGTGCTTCTCAACCGAATTTCGCACTGTCTTTGGATTTTCTCTGCTCTTTGATTGTGTTGTTGTTTCCAAATTTGTATTCTTAAGACCTACTTCACAAGACATTAGAATAGCAATTGTTTTAGCTTTCTGTCCCATGATTGTTTTATAGGCACAACAGGGATTGTGGATTACACTAACTTTGACGACATGAAGTATGCGGTAAGTCTTGCTTTTACTTTCTCACTCCAGACATTCATATTGTGGATAACATTTGATGAAGTATGGGTGCTTGGTTTCCTTTTTATCAACACATGCATGTGTCTAACGTTTCTACTTACTACATAGATTGTAATCTTAAACTTCATTGATTTTTTTTCTGCAGATCAAAAAGCTTGATGGCTCTGAGTTCCGGAATGCCTTTTCTCGCTCTTCTGTTCGTGTATGCATCTTACCAATTTGAAAAATGTACTCTGCTTTCCTCCTGTATTTGTCTTTTGTTAAAGATGCTCATTGTCTCATTTTCTTACAGGTGAGGGAGTATGATTCCAAGCGGGACTCATCTAGGAGCCCTAGTCGTGGTAGATCTCATTCAAGAGGCAGGAGCTACAGTCGTAGTCGTAGTCGAAGTTATAGCAGGAGCAGAAGCAGGAGGTTTGACCATTTTCAATAACTCAACTTAGTAAATATGGGGAATAAACATTTCTATATTGCGTTCTTACTGTTTCACTTGTTTTGCAGCAAGTCTCCGAAAACCAAATCTTCACGCCGCTCACCTGCTAGATCTCGATCAAGGTCTGCTTCTCCGCCTCGCTCGCGATCAAGATCTCGCTCTCCGTTAGGGTATGTGTTATTTTTCACAGTTAGTCATTATACCTATTTGTTTGTTGGTATTCATGCCGGCTGGGTTTTCATTGGTCCATGAGGTGAAGACTGATGGACACAATAATATTTTTTGCCAGTTGAATTGTGACATCTGCGTTGTAACATTTTCTAGTTGTGCTATTAAATTTCTGAGTTGTTGAAATTTAACTAATTGTTGTGTTGACAGATGTAAGTACTGACTCAGATTAACTGGGTCGTTGGATGTGATATATGTCTAAAGATTAGTGGTGTGCTATTTTGCTTAGATTAAATGTCTTCTTGCTGTTGTGTAGTATGAATTATGTCCTTTGTGTTGAAATATTTTCTGTTGCTTCATTCCATTATTTGCTTGGTCAGCAGTGGGGTTTACTAAGAAAGAGTCAGATATCCACCTAGTTTTCATTTTCTTTTCTCTTTTTTGCTTGCATGAAAATTACCTTTGTTTTTCTTTTAGATATGGATATATGCGGCGAACTGGGGATTGGATATTAGGACTTGATTGGATATGGTCAATTGCTTACAACTCTTTTTCTGTGGAGGTATGCTGTTTTTTAGATAGGCAGCTTTGGAAACCTTCATGGTACCTCTGTTCTAATGCTTTTAGCATTGTAAATGTCCATGGGTGCTAGATTGGGAACAATGGAGGTCTTGGATTGCACTAGTAAAGCTGGATATCTGTGAACTAAGTGCCATTGGGATTTGGAAGTCATCATCAATGAGCATTTGATTTTCATTTCCTGCTCCAACATTTTGCCAAGCTAATAGGGCGCACTATCTGGATATCCTGGATTCTTGTGTTACAGTAGGGAAGAATGCTCCTCTTGTTTCCACTGGTGTCTAATAATAATCATAATGTATTTTTTTTCATATATATTTTTGCCTCTGATTTTGTTCTGTTTTGGCGGGGATTACGTTAATTGTTTTATTCTGTTTTTCTTCTTTCTATTCATATGCTGAGTGTTTAAACCTTTTTCTTCTATCCTTATTGGATATGGTAACTTCACATGGAAGAGGCATCAAGGACCTTGGACCAAATTGGTAAAAGGAACATGGTTATTAAATTGGGTTGTTTCTGGAACTTTTGCAGATCACGATCAAGAAGCAGATCTCCACTGCCTTCGGTAAGTGTTACCTTTTATTCTTTTGAATAATTTTGCAATATCTTTTGACTCACCCAGTTTTATAAGGACATTATATTGCGACAGTTGAAGCATAATGTTTAATGTTTATTTGATTTCTCCTTGACTAATGGATGGCCTCCCTGGATTCTTTTAACATTGGATTCGTATAATACCTACAACTGGATTGGTTACGGTTCCTTCCTGCCTTTCATAATTTTTTTTCTTTGGAATAATCAGAAACACACAAGTAAAAGCCCGAAGAAACACATAAGTAAAAGTCCAAAGAAGCGTAGTCCTAGCCGGAGTCCAAGCCGGAGCCGGAGTAGGAGCAGGAGTTTGTCACGGTATTCTTGAGAATTATATCTACTTTGAGTAGTGTCATCATTGGGCACTGTCTTTTTCTCCTCCGACTACATTTCCCGTGAAACGCTCTTGCTTTGTGATTAATATGCAAACATTCCTTCTAGATTGTGATTGCAATATTTCTGTTTGACAGGTGATACTTGACCCCTTACCTGAAGCTACCAGCAGGAGGGAGCTTCACTATGGTTGTTAAAGCAGTGGAAGTGGGACGCCTTTTATTTATCCGACTTTTAAGTTTATGGATGGATTCATTTTGCAAGCCATTGTGTTGGTTGCATTCTTGTTTAACTGAAACAGATGTTTTACCATCTTCGCACCTTGTAATGAATATGAGATTTTTGCTATGTTGCTGTTGGAAGTTTCGGAGTATGTTTTCTTGCTGCTTTGTTTACTTTCCTCGTAGTTAACTTATATATAATATCATGCGTTGATGCTGAATCGGGATGCCATTTGAAACTTGGTGCTTGCTTTGGGTTGCCGTTTAGATTTTAGATTATTACACCGGGATTTTGTTTTCGATGGCGTTCGTTCATTTTATTGTTCTCTTTTCATCACCAATTGACACGCTTGATAAGTAGTCGTTTTCTCCAAAAAAGTGAACTGAGCAACTAGCTAGGTAATCAAGCAAGGATAAGGAAGAAAGGAAAAGAAACCGTGAATGAATGTAGAAAAAGCAAGGCCGGTCCACATCCATTCAAGATCAAGATTCAAGACCACCCCCTCCTATTGCTATTATTATTATTTCTTTATTTCGCCTGGAAACTGGGGAGATAAGAAACACTGTATGCAAGGACAAGGTGATAAGAAATGCAAACACCAATCTACAAAGAAAGTAGAGATTGTACGGGCCATGTTCGATCTTATGCCACTCATTATTTTGTCTAGCGTGAGTGAACCAACCATGTTCTTTTTTGTGGACTCAAATTTCCTGAATCCAACAACCACATTCCACAAAATCCAATGAAAATCAATATTTATAAATGTTCAAATCCATATTCCTATCTTTCGAAAAAAATAAAATAAAAAAATTGAGTGTTTTAATTAAGAGTAATTATCTATGCATCCGGGATTTGATGTTCAAATTCTCTTCTTTAGTTTAGATATCGCTTGTTTTTATTTTTTATTTTTTAAAAACAAGTTTAATGCTACTACTGTTCTTTTTAATGTTGGAAGAAATATCAAGATAGATTCTTTATATTAAAAAAGAATTAATGTTTTGACTACATTGTTAAGGTCAGAATGCGAACATCATATGATAAGTGAGGGGAGGAGAGCCTGTTGTTTTCCCCTAATCAGTAGTCAAAAGGCTCACGATTCATGAGAGGATTGAGGGGCCCTAACAAAATAAGTGTGACAAAATCACAAAAAAAACAAACAAATTTTTGTACCTTCAAAGCAAGAAAGAGAGAGGGGCAAGAACTGAAAAAGGAATCAAATAGCTGGTAAGAGTCCCCCACCACAGCCACACCCATCTCACCGCCATCGGATTCCCACCCACCCAACAACAAAAACAATCAACTCTCTCTCACTTTGGCCCTTCCTTTTTAAACAAACATTCGCCGCACTCTCCTTCTCACTCTCATACTTCCTTCCCGGTCTCTCTTCCAATTCCATTCGCTAGACAAAAACCAGAAAAACAAACACCGAACAAACAGAAATTCCGTCAAGTTACCACCCAAAAAACAAAAATACGCAATTCCTGCATTTATCATTTTCCTTTCTCCTAGGACAAATTAACATGGCCGGACCCCTCTTCTCCCAGCTCTCCGACGACGTCGTTCTCAAGATTCTCTTCAAGCTCGAAGAGGACCCGCGAAACTGGGCCAGGCTCGCCTGCTCTTGCACCAAGTTCTCGTCTTTGATTCGCAACGTTTGCTGCAAGACCAAGTGCTCCGAAGTCATCCCTTCCGTCGTCTCCGATCTCCTCTCTGGCTCATCTGTGCCACCGGGCGGTTGGGCCGCGCTTCACAAGCTCGCCGTGTGCTGCCCCGGTCTCCTCCACTCCGGTGTTCTCTTTGAGAACTCCGATTTCGGCCTCGAACGTGAGGTTGGCCCCGATGAGAATTATCGGAGATTGGATTCGTCTCCGGCCGCCAAGCCCCAAACCGAGCCTTCCTCGAGCCAAATTGGTGCGAATCATGAAGTGGGTGCTTCAGGGCCTAATTGTTCTTGGTCTCTCTTCGATGATCTTTATTTCGATACGGTGTATGATGATTCTGAAGCCCAAGTAGAAGCAGCAGAGGATCAGGCTAGTGTTGAGAAAGGTGGTGTTAGAGTGGGCGGTGAATTTTCTATATGTAAGAAGAGGAAGGTTTGTAGGCCGATGAGGTCGCATTTAGCTTCTGGGGTTTGGAATTTGAGCCGTGAACAGGGCAATAAGCTTCTTCACAGTCGGTTCCGTGGTGATTGCTTATACATATGTGATTGGCCTTTCTGTGTTCACATCGAAGAGAAGCGGAATTACATGCTTTTCAGAGGGATTTTCAAGGATTTCAAGGGGTCTCAAGTGTGGAGGACCATAAGGGATGGGAATAGGAGCAAGATTGATCTGAATTGTGCGTTTTGCTCCTGTAAAGAAACTTGGGATTTGCATTCTGCCTTCTGTTTGAGGCGGGTTTTCGGTTACCATGACGATGGTGAGCCGGTTGTTCGAGCTTATGTCTGTGAAAATGGGCATGTCTCAGGGGCTTGGACTGACTTGCCATTGTACTCTTAATGGCATTTGCTTTGTTCTCAGTTCGTGGAGGGTTTTCTAGTTCTTTCATTTATCATTGAAGTGTCTCTTATGCGTATAGGAATTGAGGAATTGAGAGAGGAATGTGTTTATTTCCAATGTATGTCAGTTTCTGAAGAGCATTATGTAGTTGTTGCTGTCATTGGTGTGTCCTTCAAACCTGCTTTGTTTTATTGTTGTTATTTGTGTTTCAATAAGAAATTTGTAATTTGAATGAGATGCTTCATTTTAAGATCGTCTTTGCGATGAATGCGATGCTTTCATTTTGTTAAGATCCTAAGTTCTGTTGTTGTTTTAGATGGTTGGTAAGAAATTTTGAGTTGAATGCGATGCTTTCATTTTGATAAGAAACTTTGGTTAGCTTGTAATTGCTTCGTCTCTTGCCCTTCCTAATTTCAACAAGCCAATTCTCTAGGAATAGCTTTGGTTCTGTCGTGCGTGTTGGAAAACATTTTCCAATTTCAAGCTTTAGAATAGAAAGTAGCCCTCTGTTCCCTGATGATGATGTTTGCTGGAATCAGAAAGATGCAACTTTGATCTCCAAAATCATGGATCATCATCCAACTAGAAAAGCCGATTCAAGTGTCATTTATATGCTAGTTCATTGGAACAGCGGCATTGTTTAGATTTGAAGTCGGATTTCATAATTCGAACAAATACGAAGTGCTTTTACCATCAGAAACAAGCAGAAGTCTGGAAAGTAAACAGATATGTTGATAAACCAAAACTACATAACATGCATGTCAGCAACATATTTCCCAAGTAAAACGACATTTCTTTGGCTGACACAGCAGCTAGCTAGTGCTGCAGCAGCATATGTGTTGGCTTATTTGAAGCAGGCAGCTAAGGCAAGGTAGCTGGAGTGGTAGGTGGGTAGCTTCAATTTTTGATTTTGGGCCTCTTCACAATGATCACGGTGCAGCGAGCATGATGCGCACAATAATCACTTACACTGCCTAAAACAGCCCTGCAAGTTACAACAACAGAATATGCCAATGACTTCCCTTGTGATAATACCTTCACCATTAACATCGAAATGTGAAAATTCATTAACTCCAAAATGCGAGAACTCATTTGCGAAGATGAATATTAGTAGTTTTTGGTTTTGCTAATGAATTTTCACATTTCAGATTGGACTGAAGTTTGTTCGAGCTTCTGTCTTCTAATTTTCTACTTCATGGTACGTCTATCTTTTATGACATCTACAAATCCAACACAGTTTATGCAGGATACTTGAAAACCAATGACTTCAGCTTCTCTACAGTGTAGGTTCTGCAAGTTGATCATGTAATAATTCATTCCTATTGATCAGTTAAGAACCATGCAGATTTGGATTATGTGCAACAGAGAATCTTATGTTACTTATCAAATGTGTGTGTGTGTGTCATCCTTGCTACTTTGCTACATAAGTGTTTCAATTCTTAAAATCCTTGCCGCATTGCTCACCTTGTTGTGGTTTTGCTTTTACCTTTTCTTCCTTCTAATGCAGCCATCCTGTGTTAAATGCGATCTAGAGGAAATGGATTTAATGTTAAATGAATGATCCAATAATTTGAGTTTAGAAATCAATTCCTCATCTCTCTCAAGCGCAAGAGAGAAAAAACTCTCAAATTGAAGGGTGTAGTAGAATATTTAAAAAATTATATTAAAATACTACAGCCGTGCAGCTATATTCTTCGAATATATTCGAATATTTTAACAGTAGAGCCAACCGGCTGTACCCTTCGAGTATATTCGGATACGTTAAGTCTAGGCGTGCGGCTGTACTTTGAAAATACTATATTTAAATGGTATAGCCGCACGGACCTGCCATTGAGTGACTTTTAAGTTTTTTGCTTTGAGTGATTGTCTCGCCATTCAAATCGCCAAGCAATTGATCAGTTGTTAAAGACTTTTCAAGAAAATGTCAACGACACCTCGGGTAACCGACCACCACCTCCGACGGTCGACATCCACCTCTCCCTCCCTCAGCTCCTCTCACCACCGCCTCCAAAGGTCGAGTTCCACCTCCTCCTCCCTTAGCTCCTCGCTCTCAATCCCACAACGAAGCTCCACCATCACCGGTCAGGTATGGGTCTGATTGGGACTTAGGCTTTGGGAATTAGCACATCACATTTTTTATTGTTTTGCTTATATTGTTAGAATTGTGGGGAAAACAAAGTAGCTCTTGGCTCCCTTAGTTGAGACGAAGAGAAATGTCTATCTATTTTATTTAGTTATTCAGTTAAACCAATGAGTCATTATTGTAGCAGATAGCAACAACCATTTCATCCGACATGCGTTTTTTTGATTTTCCAATGGATTTACATCTTTCATTAATGGAAATTTTTTGATGTAGTGAGTAATAGCTCTGGTTGTTCGCTGTTCAAGAATTCTTGTTTAGGCAGTTCATACCATCCATACATAATGTTTTGATCTAAGATTTCAATTCTTCCATGTTTCAGCAGTAGTTAGTATATTGTTCCATGGAGCTAAGGTCCAAAATATGGAAGAAACAGGTGTTTCCACGACTCTACCGCCCAGTCAATTCTGTTCCACTTAATCCCTGTTTCATGGCCACATATCTTTCCGGCTAAGGAATGGGAAACCTTTCTCTTGTTACATGAATCCAATTTTCATTTCATCCGGGAAAAGCCATCTTTTTCTCAACAATGTCTTTGTCATTTGATCCAATAGCGTTCCGTTAGATAGGAACAGCTTTGATAAATACTGATAACTCTCGGATGGAGTATTAGAACGGAAAAATCCATTAGATAATGAACTATTGGTTCTAAGCCATCTCTGGCGATGAATCAACAATTCGAAGTACCTTTCTTGCGTATTCTTGATAAACCAGCGTTTATATATAGATGTAGGAAGATCTGTTTGGGAAGTAAGAAGCCCCTTTGACATCTCTTCATCTGCAAAGAATTCTCGATGTGAAAACACAGAGATAAAAGGCTGATCTTTGAATAGGAAAAAGAGTGGATCCGCAGGGTCCCAAATGAATTGGCTTATTCGAAAAAAGCCTTGTTCTCCCACATATATTGCGAGTTCTAGTAGTTGACTCCACTTTGCTTGGGAAGGCTACAAGTCATTTTATAGATGAGAGTAGCCGACATCACCAAGTCCCCTGACTTGGCTTTTTATTTCCAGCCACATGTTTAACCGACATAGTTGGTGAACTTCTCAATTTATTGCTGCATGCTTTGTGTTAGCCAACATTCCTTTTCTTCAAGGTTCTAGATTTTTCTACAAAAATGCATTAATTTCAACATATATATGTCAATTTTAATAAAAACTTTCAAATATAGCCAAAAATCCACTTAAATTGACACAAATACTCTCAAAATTAAAATATAATTACTCATAAAACCAACCTCTTCACATTATCTATACTAGCCTCTCTGCACACGTTTCCGCGCCTGCGAGAGGCTTTTTTTTATTTTATTTTTTATAATAAAAAAAATTATTTTATTTTAGAATTAAAAAAAAATAATGGGTAGTTGTGCTCCATAAAAATAGGATCTATTATCTGAATTTTCTTTTAATTTTAATTTTTTAAATACGAAAAATTATGAATTTATCATATTATCCTCATTTAATTAATAATTTCAATTCTTAATGTTTGCATTAACCAATGACATTTTTTGGTATTTTGAATATTTCACCATTCTTTGCCTTTTGCTTTATATATATAGATTACTAAAACAACAAAAGAAAAAGAGGAATTTTTTTCCACAATCGAAGACTAAAAGTCCCAATTATGCTGCTTCTTAATTATCACCACAAACACAAACATAGAACCTCAAAGATTGACCATGAGGAAATTCAAAATCCCATTTTGTTTTTGCTCGACTTTTGTAGATCTAAAACTTCCCCTTTCTAAATAATAAAAAACCTTCAACCAAAAACAATGGAACCCATATCAAGAGAAACACAGCAAAATCGCAACAATATTTGCCTTATGTTGGTTTTTATGTTCCAAAAGAATACAAACACAATTCATTTTATTTAATTTAAGAGAGTGTAAAGGAGATATTATTATATTAATACAGTTTGAAATTAAAAGGAAAAATCACATACAACAATGCAGAAGCATTTCATTCAACATCAGATAAAGGATTGGAAAAATATGGTATTTTAGTTTTAGGGTGAGAGAAGAAAGAAAAGCTATTGAATTTGTCAAGTCCATCAAACTTGAAATAACATTGGGGTTTTGAGTTTTTAAGTAGAGTTTAGGGTTCATAGCCTGTGAGTTATTTGATTTGTAAGTTTTTGGTTATTTGGTATCGCCAAGCCTTTTCCAGAAAATGTCAACGACACCTCGGGTAACAGACCACCACCTCCGACGGTCGACATCCACCTCTCCCTCCCTCAGCTCCTCTCACCACCACCTCCAAGGGTCGAGTTCCGCCTCCTCCTCCTTCAGCTCCTCTCACCACCGCCTCCAAGGGTCGAGTTCCGCCTCCTCCTCCCACAGCTCCTCGCTCTCTCTCCCACAACGAAGCTCCACCATCACCGGTCAGGTATGGGTCTGATTGGGACTTAGGCTTTGGGAATTAGCACATCACATTTTTTATTGTTTTGCTTATATTGTTAGAATTGTGGGGAAAACAAAGTAGCTCTTGGCTCCCTTAGTTTGGGAGTTCTTTTGTTATCTGATCTTCTGTTTTGCAGTACACCAGTTCAATTTCTTTTGCTTGAATGGCTTCCCTTATAAAATGAAATTTCCTGCTGATGTGTCTTGTCTTTTGGTGATGAACTGGATTCCTTGCCATTGCAATTGCAGAGGTGTTGTCACATAGAATTGGAGTCCCTCCTACCTGTTCTTCACCAAAATCTTCAAGCACAAATCTGAGCCACTTAGCTTGTGAAGTTGCTTCTGCAGCACTCACATATTCAGCTTCGGCTGTAGATAAAGCAACTGTGTTTTGCTTGATGGAAGCCCAAGAGAACATGCCTGAGCCTAGTGTGAAGGCATATCCTGAGGTGCTCCTCATATCATCCTCACTCCCAGCCCAGTCACTGTCACAATACCCAATTAGAGTAGCTGTTTTCCCCTTTGCAAACTCAATTCCAAAATCTAATGTGCCTTGTATGTATCTCAGCACCCGTTTAGCAGTTCCCATGTGTTTCTTTGAGGGATTGTGCATAAACCTAGCAAGCAAGCTAGATGCAAACATGACATCTGGTCTTGTGGCAGTCAGATAAAGCAGACTCCCTACAATCTGTCTGAATTCATTTTCATCTGCTGCTTCACTTCCATCTTCTCTACACAATTTCTCATTTACCACTAATGGAATTGCCACTGACTTGCAGTCTCTCATTCCAAACTTCTCAAGAATTTTCATGGCATATTTCTTTTGATGAATGAAAATATGCTTATCAGTTTGTTCCACTCCCATGCCAAGAAAATGGTGCAACAGACCCAAGTCTGTCATCTCATAGTGTTGCATCATATCTTGTTTAAACTCTTCAAGCATTTTAGGACAGCTTCCAGTATATATAATGTCTACATAGTTCATCATATCTTGGTGAACTTCTCAATTTATTGCTGCATGCTTTGTTGGTTGTTTTGGAACTTTCTTCAAACTTTAGTTGTGTTAGCCAACATTCCTTTTCTTCAAGCTCCGTGCTCTTGTGGCACTGTGTCTGTTTGTGCTCTTGATAGTTCTTCGTCGGCAATTTTTATTCTTCTCAACGCCCAATTTTTTTAAGTTTCAACATACGGGCTTCTTTTTTGCACACCCCACATGGAGGACAGTTTTTCCTCTCATGCCATCCTTTTTTATTTTCACTATCTCCTCCTCTAGAACTTTCTTTAGATCTCCTTCCCCTTCTCTGGAGTTCTTGAAACTTTGAATTGAATATCGATAGCACGTACCTTGTTTCCTTAGAATTGGCCCATGCGCCCATAGTTGATCGAACACGGCTCTCGAGTCGGCCCTTAGGCCCAAAGCATACTGGCTTATTGGCCACTACACTTGTTTTAGAATAGTTTGAGCTATTTGGCCCTTCACTTAGATTAGTTTGGGCAATTTGGCCCTTACACTTTGATTAATGAACTTATTGGCTCTCAACATAGTTTGATTTGGGTAGCTCTTGGCTCCCTTAGTTTTGGGAGTTCTTTTGTTTCACTCCTCCATATAACTTGGGTTGGGTAGCTTTTGTGCTCCCACATATATTGCGAGTTCTAGTAGTTGACTCCACTTTGCTTGGGAAGGCTACAAGTCATTTTATAGATGAGAGTAGCCGACATCACCAAGTCCACCGGCTTGGCTTTTTATTTCCAGCCACATGTTTAGCCGACATAGTTGGTGAACTTCTCAATTTATTGCTGCATGCTTTGTTGGTTGTTCTGGAACTTTCTTCAAACTTTAGTTGTGTTAGCCAACATTCCTTTTCTTCAAGCTCCTAGATTTTTCTACAAATATGCATTAATTGCAACATATTTATATATATATATAAATTTATGCTAAGAGAAAGATGTATGCATATATATATATATATATATGTATGTGGGTGTTTGAAGTGAGTGGAGAAATTTACCTTTTATGGAACAAAACTGCGCGTCCTAAGGGGCTACTCTTGTTTTTGATCAATTTAGGTTCGAACTTGAGATCTCTTTCAACATTAGGAAGAGAAGTAACACTAAACCAAGACCTAGTTGGTCAAATAATAAGTTTCTATTATTATTTGGGTAGTTTCTTTGTAAATTTGTATTATTATTAGGATTTCAATAGTTGCTATAGCTTTGCATCTTAATTTCTTAATATTAGTTTTAACTTTCAACCTCATCTCGTAGATCATCTTCTTTGAGTTCCACAATGTAGATGAAGTGGGTTGTGAAGCCAGTAAACATCTAGCCATGAATGATAATCAGTTCATGGTTGTGATGAGTAAGACATCGCTCACACAAAGCAACACGGTAAGACTTACTCATATGCAACATTAGTTTTATTTTTTTATTTTCTTTTTTAAAGTATGATAATTTTCTTTTTCTTTTTTATTCTTGCAGATGATACCTAAAACATCTATGCAAAAGATTCAACTTGACAAACTTTGTACAAGTTGCGAACCGTTTTTCTCTCCACCTCCTAATGTAAAAAAAAAGTTGAGTACTGTAAGATTTGGAATGTTCACCCTTAGAATAAGTAGAAAAATATGCCTGGGTAAATGGGGGACTAAAAAGTGGCGAGTAGAAATTAAAAATGAATTAACACGCCCGTGTAGAACAACCATAGGTAGGGAGTGGCTCACGTTTGTAAGAGAGAACCAACTTCTACTTGGTGACCATGTTGTTTTCCGGGTCCTTCCCTCCACTATGGAGTTGGTGCTGGTTGGCGTTTATCGCCACAACCCAGCTACTCCTCACCGTGCTTCCTCCGGTGTTCATCCACATGAGGCCACTAGCAGAGACCAAGATCTGTCGGAGGTATAAATCCACTCCTTACTCTTTTCTTTCCATTTTCCTTTTTGTTTTTGTTTTCATTTTTTTGTTGTGGAATGATATCTTACATAGGTGGTACAGAAATGTCATAATTTGGAGTTGCAAGGAAAAGAGGACAGTATTAGGAAACTAAAAAATGAAATAGTGTTGTTGAAGCAAAGGATGTCTGGGATTGAGAAATCTAAAGCAAATGAGGTAAAGCAGGTGTTCTTCACGTTTCCAATTTGAAACTGAGCAGGTTTTTGGGGTTTTAATGCCTCTTCACTTATATATTTTTTTGACTTAGATGCATTTCTGCTTTCCATGCAGGGTAAAGATATTTCTGTTGCCCTTCCAATACGTACAAATGATGCCATGCAAATGGAGACAGAAGCTGGCGGAGCCCAAGTTCAATCAGAGGTATAAATCCACTCATTTCTCATTTCTTTCCATTTTCCTTTTTGTTTCTCTTTTCATTTATTGATAGTGGAATGATATCTTACATAGGAGGTACAGAAGCTTAACGATGTGATAAAGCTTTGTAATGAGGATTTGGAAGCGAAAGAGGAAACTATAAGGAAACTAAGATTGTTATTGGAGCAAAGGATTTCTGGACTTGTGAAAACTCAAGCCGATAAGGTAATGCCTTTGGGTTTTCTTTTCTTCAAAACACTTTTTTTTCTTTCTATGTTTGTGGTACCCAATGGAGAAATCAAATATCTCAGTGAATGTTAACTATGCAGATTGATTTTCTAGAGAAAAAAATTGAGCAAGAATTCGCTGTTGTTAATTCAACAATTTCCATCATGAACTCTGAGATTGCTTCGTTGCAAAGTAACCTAAAGGTAATGATAATCCTGTACTAGATTTTTTATTTTATTTCTTATGTTTCTTAAGGTTTAGGGTTGCTTTGTTGCTGTGCTTGTTTCTTATAGTTTCTCGACCTTGAGAGCAGGCACTTGCTCTTTTTGTTGTTTGTTTTTTAGGATTGCTTATCCTCTTGAACATTTTGTGAATGAATTTATGTTGATTTCAGGACATCGATAGAAAGAATGAGCTCATCTTGAGGATGCAAGGGGCTCGATTAGCTGAGGTGGAAGTGCTTTTCAAAGAGGAACAAGTCATGAGGGAGCGCTATTTTAATACTGTTAGAAGGTTGGCATTTCTTTTGAGAGGTAAACATATTTTATTGTACTATTTATGTTTAGTTTTAATAGCAACACTAAACGTCTTTGTGCATTCATGATCTTGTTCACTTTTTAAATGGTCTCCCACCAGTCCCACCATTTATAAATGACTGGTGGGTCCTGCTTGCAAAATATTTTAAAGAAATCTGGACCTTTGTAAGTTGGATTTCTCTGTCATTGGTTAAAATTTTTCATTTCTGATTGTTTATCATTTGGGGATCTGATCTTTGTCCTAGGTATGAAATCAAAATGGTTCTTCATTTAGGTGGTTTAGATGAATAAATAGGCACATTGTTATCACAGGTCTGTTATGCAATGGAAAGAAGCCCTATGCGTACTCTTATGGTTGAGTCTAAAAGCATGTCGTAGAAAATCCATTTGTTGAATTGTTGGTGAATCTGGTTTGTCTCATTCGATTATTTGCTTGCTCTTCAGGATGAGTGTAAAGCAGACAACACGGCTTATTTACGAGTTTGCACTCGTGGAGGGTGTTTCCAATTCATCCTTGAAATGTACTGTCTGACTTGGTGCTGCCAAAGAGTTCGAAGATAGTCATTCAACCCCACGAACGGGACTATAAGGACCTTTATGTAAATAAGTTATTAAAACTTGAACACTAACCATGTTCTGCCATTTTAATGGACGCTTGAGAAAAAGAGTTCTTCTCTAAGATAATCGACTGCCTTAGCTTAATATTCTAGATGGGGTGAATATCTTGATGAGTTGTGTGTGTCGGCTCTTAGAGGGAGCTCTTCTATTTATACGCATCACTCAAGGAGTCTTGCCCATCAAGAAACTCCTTGAGGTATCCTTATTGCAATAGAACAGTGAATCCCAATTCTAAAAGGATTAGAAACCCTTTAGCCTTGTAATCCAATTAAAACATTGATACACAGGCTACTGGATGAGATTAGTTTGAGTCCTTGGTTAATCAAGAAGTCTTGCAATCCGACAATGATTAGAAGACCACTTTATGCGAGTTTAAGATAGTAAACTATCTTACATTCTCCCACGTGGTCAAATAATCATTGTGACTCAAGATTAATCACTTAATGGCCAATTTAGGACTTAAACTTCTCAGTTTCTTATCAAGCCACTGCCATTGATATGAACTCATATGGAACTGTCAAAGCACATTGAATAAATATCATTCAAGTCTTTTACAGCCACACATATAAGTCTATAACAACACATAAGGCTGCCAACTGAATTAGGATCAAAGAATTGTAGAGATTTGCCTTAGAATGTGCTTGATGATCAAAACAATTCTTAGCTCACCCTTACAAGACTACCAAGGTCTTAATAAAACTATCATGGCTCCTTCATGGATACGAAAATGCAAAACACAAGTGCTAGCAAATTTTGCAGATTCTTCCTTCATCCATATGCCAAAACATTCATAAATTGAAAAACATGATTTTAAGAAAAACTTGAATAACATTATCAAAACAAAACTGTAAGGACAACTTCGATTGAAACTAGTTAAATGAACACAAAACTAACTCTGACTCCCACTAACTCTCACAGACTTAAACATCAAAACTGATATGCAAAACCATGCTTCTAACATGCCTATTAAAAACATGATTATGCAAACCTTTGTTCAAAGAACTGCAATCATAGAATCTTTCCCAATGTGATCCAAAGCTGTAAAACCATCTCGGATCTTCTCTTTTGTTGACAAAAACTTTAACTGTAGATGTCTCATACCCAAGGTCTTAAATATCGAGGGTTTCGGAAATATCGGTGCTTCAAAAACATGGAAATATCGATGGAAATATCGGGAAAATATCGATATCGATAAAAATTGGATAAAAACCACGGAAATTGTGATAAATACATGGAAATTTTTAATGAAACTTTGTAAAAAGTTTATTTAGTCAATCATCTATTATTTTAACACAAAAGATTGAAGGAAATGCATTGCATAGCATGTTTGAGTGATTTAAGTTGATTATATTGCGAGTTGACAAACTTTGTGACTTAGAAAATCTAGAGTAATTAATGAAAGAAAATTAAACACCCTCTAGTAATTTATTTATCATTTTTACTACAATATTTTACACTTTATAAGTTGCATGGTAAGATACATGAGTAACTTTATTTCACGTTATTCACTGGACATCATGACATGGTACATGTTCTTATATTTATTATTTATCAAAAATTGAAAAATAATAAAAGATGTAAACCAACTTGATTTTCATGAAAATTAAGCACTTTACCATGCTTAAAAAATAATAGTGAAGATTGAAAATTAACTAAGAACATAAATAAAGTTATCCAAAGAAGAATTAAATAGGAAATAAAGAAAATGATTATAGAGATTTAAGTAATTAAGCAACAATTTGAAGGGGAATTTAGTAATGTAAGTACTTATAATGAATAATAAAATAAGCAATAACATTAAATGGATTAAATAGGAAAGAAAAAAAATTATATTAAGTAATTAAATATTTGATCAACAATATAGAACAATAAGTAATTATTTTATATTTTGAGAAACCTTGGAAGAGTTATAAATACCAAATTCGATAAATAGTAATCACAAAGTGGGGAGGGGTTCAAACCCCTGTGTGCGATGTTCAAGCGAATTACTTCATTTTTGTTCACTGGAAGCAACTACCTCTAATAACTATCCTACAGTGTCAAAATCATAATTAATCACCAAAACCCAGGGCATTGCAGAATGGGCATTTTCGGGACAATTAGATTATGGTATATAAGGGCCCCACCTTTGTCCATTTCATCTGCAAACTGTTTTTAATCTTTTCCTTCTCTGTCCTGTGGTAGCTTCCATCACTCTCTCACTCTCAGAGATTGCACCGAGGAAGACACAGACTACGGCACTCACTCTCTTAGATCTGAAACCCACAAACCCCAAAAACCCTGAGCTCCAAGGACGATCTGGTGAGCATTTTCTCTGCTACACTCTCTGCTTTTCTGTTTCTTTCATTTTGTATGGATATGGGGGTTGTTTTAGTTCTTGAGGGATCTGAGTGTTCTAAAATTTCTTATTCATGATTAAATGAAACCCTGTGTGCGACGTTCAAGCGAATTACTTCATTTTTGAAAGTTCATATCGCGATATTATCGATAATATCGCGATATGTTGACCATTTGCAGCTGCCATTTGAACGAAAATATCTTTCCCGAAATATCGGCGAAATTATCGACGAAAATATCGAAAAAATCACGATATATAATTGGAATTGTGCTAAAATTTCGGAACCCCAAAAAAACGATAATTTTTGGACTGTGGTTGTGATTATGAATATAATGGGAAGCAGTCTGGCATTCTTTTGGAGATATGTGTAGATCCTTCTGACTCTAAGGAGACTCATACAGTTGAGGTTAAGTGACAACTATAGCACCCTTTCAAAGTTTTCCCTAACCCGGCAATATCTGCTGTGAGTATCAGGGACGGATCCAGAATTTCAAAATGAGGTGGGCTAAAGTTACCTTACATACAAACCTATTGAAAACTTAACAATATGAGTAAATTTCATTGATAACAAAAAAATACACGGGAGACATAATGAGTCTTACCCCTCAAATAACACTTATATAAGTTGCTCCATTCAAGTCTTCACAGCATTAAAATCACTAATTATTGATTCATTATCTATATTATCAGCAAATTCTCTTTCAATATGAAGTAGCATACAATTAGCAAGAAACTCATCACCTATCTTATTCCAAAGTCGATTTTTAATACGTCTCATACATGAAAATGCTCATTCTATTGTTGTTGTAGACACAGGAAGAGTTAGCACCAAACGAATCAATCTATCAATCAAGTAGTATGTTTCTGCTAATTTTGTTCTTTTTATTTATTTGTTGGCCAGCCTAGTCCTAATAGGATTAGTTAATAATATTTTATTTAAGTGGTTAGCTTAGTCCTAATGGGATTAATTAATAATATTTTATTTAGGTGACCTAGGCTAGAATATTAATTTAGTCTATAAAAAAACAAGTTGCATGGGCTTTAGCCCAGGTTAGCATGTTAGTAGGTACGTGCCTGCATATGTGTATGTGTGTGTGTGTGTATATATATATATATATATATATATGTTTAAAAGGCCTATTTTATTCCAACAATGCCAACTAAGGTCTACCATGATGAGCAAAAATGAATTAAGAGAAAAGAAAATTCATAAGAAAATTCAAAAATGAACTAGAGGTAATATCCAATTAGTTCAAATTAATATTTTTGCTATAAATGGGATTAACACTAACGCTAACTATAAGAAATAAATAAAAAAAACTCACCTGGGCTATAGCCCAGGTTGTACAAGTCATAGGACCGTCCCTGGTGAGTATGAGCAGCAGTCTAGGTGTCCTTCGAGATATGTATCCTTTTGGCTCTATTAAGTGTCTTACAGTTGATGTTAAGCGACAGTAAAAGCTTTTCTAATAGTCTAAAACAATGTCATTTGAGGTCACACATCCTATTTTACTCTAGCACATCTTGTGGTGCTTAGTTTTGAGCCAGATTTGAATTTTTCTACTGAAAATAGTATAGCCGATCGGCTATACTCAGGATTTTTTACTACATGGAAACTTTTGTTTATCGATAGCTTAGAACATTTTCCATTACAATTAGGCCTTTACATGAGTCTCTATTGTACCCTTTTGAGTTTTTAACTTTTTCAAAGTTATTAGCCGTATAAAAAATTTAGCATTTTCATGTTTAATACTTGTATTTTACACGTACGTATGTATTTTTCATGTTTAATACACTTGTTTTTCACAAAATTTTCAATAATACACATAAAATTCACGTATTATACACCCAATTTTCACATACTATTCAATAAAAATAATATATATTCAAAAATTTAAATCTATAGAGTATATATATCTAAACTAGCAAATTAATATATATAAAGTATAAACTAATGCAAATAGGTTTTTTTTTTTTTTTTTTTTTTTTTTTTTTTTTTTTTTTAATCCAATAAATAGCCGCACAGTCCTTTTCTAAACCCTAAACATAACTCCGTTGTCATCCTCGTTTCTCTCTCTCTCTCTCTCTCTCTCTCTCTCTCTCTCTCTCTCTCTCTCTCTCTCTCTCTCTCTCTCTCCAGCGCCCGCCTATACCGCCTACCGCCCGCCTAGCCCGCCAAGACCGCCTAGCGCCCGCCCAGCCCCGGCCTAGACTGCCCAGCCCCCGCCTAGGCTGCCTAGGCCATTTATTTAACTCCATTCTATGCTTTGTATGAAATAGCTTTTCAGGTGACCTTAATTGCTCAAGGGGATGTTCCTCTGTCTATTGTAATGACGGTATGCACAGGTTTAGGTGTCAGAAGTCAATGGTTTTTTTGCACACGAAAATCCTTTACGCATCGGAGTTTACTAAATATCTGACGTTGTAAGTATAAAAAGGCCACGGATAATAGCAATAGGCAACATGCTTGAATACCACTGTATTTTAGGGGAATAGGCAACATATTTTATTCGTTGCTAAAGGCCTTTTTTGGCATAGTGTGTGCCCAAAGCTTGAAATCCATGATATCTATGTTGTGATTGCCATATTTGACTGTTCAACTTCTTTTTCCTGAAAATAATTTTCTCAAATAATTTATTATAATGTTATATCTTACCAAATTGTGAATAATTATATAAAATTATCTGCTATATTGATTCCCATAGATATTGTCATTGTAGGCTCAAGCGATTATATATGCGTCTTGCCAGTGAAAACTCATCGGTCAAACCTCTTGTCATTGTAGGCTCCATCATGGCTCGCTAGACTGTCCCAATTGAACCAAAACCTTTTTGCTCTTGACAATGATACTTTTCGATACTCCTCTGAGTTTACTTAGAGTCAGAGTTAATTCATCGACTCTTGCAAATAGACCAATTATAGATGATAAGAGGATCAATATATAGGATGGAAATGGTAGAATTTTTGTTTCAATGGTTAATACACTAGATTTTAATTCATCGCTAGTATGTATTTTCATGTTTAATACACTAGATTTTGTACAAAATTTTCAATAATACACATAAAATTCATGTATTATGCACACAATTTTCACATACTATAGAATAAAAATAATATATATTAAAAAAATTAAATCTATAAGGTATATATATCAAAACTAGCAAATTAATATCTATAAAGTATAAACTAATGCAAATAGAATGGTTTTTTAATATAAAAAATTGTATAGCCGGTCGGCTATACCCTTTTGATTGGGCGATATGCGTGCCCTTTAAAAAAAAACACAAAAAGTATAGCCGCTATACTCTGGATTTTAAAAACATTATAGCCGACCGGCTTTACTAAGGTCTTTTTTATTTTTTATTTTTATAAATAGTATAGCCGCGCGGTCCTTTTCTAAACCCTAAACATAGCACCGTCGTCATCCTCGTTTCTCTCTCTCTCGCCTCATAGCACCGTCGTCGTCCTCGTTTCTCTCTCTCTCTCTCTCTCTCTCTCTCTCTCCAGCGCCCGCCTAGAGCACCTAGCCCGCCTATCCGCCGCCTAGCCCGCCTAGCCCCAGCCTAGACAGTCTAGCCCGCCTAGCCCGCCTAGCCGCCGCCTAGCGCCCGCCTAGCCCATTTATTCAACTCCATTCAATGCTTTTTATGAAATTGCCTTTCAGGTGACCTCAATTGCTCAAGGGGATGTTCCTCTGTCTATTGTAATGACGTTATGCACAACTCTTGGGGCAGTATATTGTCAGGGACTTGCGTCCCTGTGGATGCTGCCAAACTGTCAATTAGCACCATGCAGGTTAAGTCACCTTGAACCTGTTCTGCTTCAAACAACCAATCTTTGTCCTCGACACAGAGTAATATTTCAGGGGTTTCTTGTATACCATTTCAGTTTTGTGCTAGTCATGGGATGATGGGAATTTGGCTATATATATATATATATATATATATATAATTTTCATTTCCTTTATATGGGGGTTCGATGTTCAGCAATTTTGTTTTTATTTATATGGGGCTATATGTATACATATGTTTGATGACTTCTGTTCACTTCTTGGGAATAAGTTGGGAGAGAGCAACATATATATATATATATATATATATATATCATGGCTTGTAGCACTCCAATTATACCAAAGGACTTCTTCATGAAAACAGACCAAGAACTGTATGGAGAAGACGAAAATAAAAATAGTTCTGGTTTTGAAATAGTTACGAGGACCCCAGATGACCTGCAAAGAGACATCCAGCATAAGATCAATGGATGAAGAGAATAATATGTCTCAAAGTGTTTGGTTCTTCAGTAAGTATCTTCATACAAGAAGTCACAATAACGTGGCTAAAACCAGCATGGAAGCTGAATTTGAATCAGAAATTAGCAAAAGGCATTCATCGCCCCGCCCTTTATTACCACCTAAATTTCTTGGTAGTAATAATTTCCCAGGACACCGGCTATCTTTGCCAGAGCAACAGTTGCTTCCTTGACTGCGGTACGTTTTCCTTACATTCGTTATTATATATGCTTATTATGTTTGGGTACCGATGTTGGCACAATCTGTTTATGCTTCTAGAACGTCCACTGAGAGTCTTTAAAAGGAATTAAATTGAATTTCTACAAGCTAAACTAGGAGTGCCAAAATCGTTACCCTAATTATTTCTTGTGTTATAACATTAGTTTCCCTTTTGAAGTTAGTCCTCTTCAATTTTTGTTGTGTGTATACATACACAGATGTGATGATCAATCCAACAGGACTTCAGAACAACTTACAATATTTTATGATGGGATTATCAATGTCTATGACAATATTCCTGCTAAGGTGAATAGTTTAAAGAAATGCACACAAATTTTTAATTTACGGGAAATAATAATGTGCCCAAAGCTTGAAATCCATGATGTCTATGTTGTGACTGCCATATTTGACTGTTCAACTTCTTTTTCCTGAAAATAATTTTCTCAAACAATTTATTATAATGTTATATCTTACCAAATTGTGAATAATTATATAAAATTATCTGCTGTATTGATTCCCATAGATATTGTCATTGTAGGCTCAAGCGATTATATATGCGTCTTGCCAGTGAAAACTCATCGGTCAAACCTCTTGTCATTGTAGGCTCCATCGTGGCTCGCTAGACTGTCCCAATTGAACCAAAACCTTTTTGCTCTTGGACCAATTATAGATGATAAGAGGATCGATATATAGGATGGAAATGGTAGAATTTTTGTTTCAATGGTTCCGAAAACAAATGCGAATAATAATAATTGACAATTAAGCAACTGAGTAATCATTTTGTATCCAGAGGATGATTTGTATACACGTGTGTTTTTCATGTACAAAATCGAAAAAGCTAATATATATATTTGGTGGTTTAGGATGTTGAGGAGGGTGACTCTTGTTTTAATCAACTGCAGTCCCTAGCGTCCATACCAACCACCATTACTTGCTTGGACTTCTCAACACTACTCGCCATTGCAGCTTTGTTTAATTCCTGATTTTCTTCTAGATATGCCAGAAACAGAGCTTCTTTACTACTACTCATCACCAGGGGAGGGGGACTATAATTTGCGCATGGTATATGTCTCCTCCATCAACAACGAGGTGAAAACTTATCGTTGGAAGTAAGGCAAGGGCAATGATTTCCATTTTATATTTCATGTAAAAAGAAGGTGGAATAATTTTATCAATAAATTTTGTGAATATAAGAAGCTGGCTAGCATACAGAAAGGATAACAACTAATTAATTAGCGTTTAAGTTTGTTTGAGTCAAAAGGTCGTGGATCAGATCATCAGTAGAGTGTCATTTGGCTGTCGCTTGCCAATAGACGACCATATCTACCATGGTTTCTTCCAGACCACCAACAACGTCAACACCCTTTTTGCTGCTGTCTGTTGTCGGACACTTTTGAGGGCTATGTCGTTTTTTCCCGAAAGATTTGCACTGGTATTTATTTGGAATTCACATTTTTGTAAAATTAAGAACATCAATGATGAATGAAATATAATGAAGGGAATGGGGAAAAAAGTAACTTATATCACTCGTTATACCAAAGTTTGATATACGGATACATCACTCGTTATACCAAAGTTTAAGCTTCAACTTTGTACCTTACAATAATACATACCATACTTTGAAGTTTGAACATTCAAACTATAACCACTAGTATATAACCTTACAACTCACAAATGGTCGAATTTATTATAAGTATCGTAATACTGCCACCACGAAACGCCATGCTTAACTGAAGCCACAGATAGGAGGAGGCTCACTCAGCTCAATGTTTTGTTTTAGGCTTCTTCACAATCATCACGCTGCAGTGAGCGTGATGAGCACAATAGTCACTTACGCTTCCAAGAACCGCCCTGCCACCAGAATCAAACAGAGCATTAAGATTTTCTGCAGACAAGTAACACCCTTTTCCACCAAAACTACTCATGGCACAAACAGTCTAAACGAATTTATGCAGCAACTATTGGCAGCTAAAACCCTGAACAAGACTTAAAATCTTGTTTGCATCCTCGATATAATAAATCAATTAACCACAAATTATACCGTCAACTGAACTCTGAAATTTAGAGATGGTTGTTCTTGTTCCACTGAAAAGATTAGAACATGTATGATGGAATACCTTTTTATGGCTCCGTAGCCATGACTACCGACAACCAAGACGGATGCATGGTGCCTTTCAACAGCGTCACAGAGAACATTCCTAGCATCTCCTTCCACCAACTCCACAGTGACATCAGTCACCTGCATAGAATATGTAATGTTCAGAAACCGGCTAGGGAAATGCAAGTTGTTCATAATCATATCACCTAAGGCTTGCAAGAAGAGTAGTACTAGGATTGTCATTAGCTTCGACTATATCTTTCAGTTTTTTTTATTTATTGATAATAAAAAAACACTTGGGAAAACCAAATTAGTTTTCTTCACAAATCAAAGTAAGCAAAACTCAGATGAAATGTCTGCATCATGACAAGCAAAACCTTAACAATCATATATTTAAATTAAAAGGACCAAACTTCCACAAGAAAGAATTAAAACAAAATGAAAAGAAAAAGAAAAATACCGACCGATTTGGTAGCGCAAAGTTGCTTAGCCTTGTCAGCAACGCGGGCAGCCATCCTCTTCAAATCAGCATCCACAATTGGCAAAACCTCCGCCGCTCCTACAATTAAGCACAACACGGAAATTTAGCTGATCACCTCCACAAAGATCACAATTAAAATAATTAAATAATTAATTAGCGGCTATGAGACTTACCAGGGCCGGCGAGGCCAACGACGGCGGAAGGCATGGACTTGGCGTGGACGATGACGAGCTTGAACGGAGACGTGGGACCGAAGGGTGCGAAGAAGTGGTCCAGAGTCCATTCCAGCGCGTAAGTGCTCTGCTCGCTCTCGTCGGCCCCAATCACCATCACTTGCTTCTCTCCAGTCGTCGCCATTAATGCTCTGGTGTTTCTCCCTCTGTCTCTCTCTCTCTCTGAGTCAATGAAATAGCAGTTTGTAAGAGCTTCTTCTGGTTAAATGTGTCGGTTTGTTGTATTGTAGGAATTGATTCGGTTACGAGCTTGCGTTGTTGTTAATATTCTGACAAGAGGTGAGTGGGACGGCGTCGTTTGGTACGTGAATATAGCTTAATTCCTAATCATTCGCGTTGCCTCTAGAAAGATAGAAACGACTAGGGGTGGAGGGAGGGAGGTTAAGGCAAATCCCCAGAGGTTAAGACAGTGTGTTTAGGAAGAAAACCGTCCACTGATTTGATTCTGTGGGCTAATGTAGCAGCAGCCGCAGGAAAGTGCCCCAGACCACTCGTTTGGTTTTTTCTTTTATTTTATGTTTTTCTATTTATTTGTGGTTAATATTTTCTTTTCTTTGTTTGGTTTTAGGACCACCGATTGGATTTGGTTTTACGACCACCGATTGGATTTGGTTCACATCTTAAATAATTGATGCAACTTCAACTTAGCTCCGAGTGTAAGGTGGGCGATGATTTAATTGGGCCTGCCTTCATACTTTATTTAGGGAATTCTGGACCAAAAGCCCAAAACTGATATGAGTCATGGCAGCCCAAAAGAATAATGGTAGTGGAGTCATTCTATAGTGACCCTTCGGTGAAGTCTTCATATCTCTTAATTGTTTGATCATTCTAATCAATTTGATCCAATAATTAAGAGATATGACCTCATCTAAGGGCCATATATAAAGACCCTCATTATAGAATTCTTGAATGGTAGTGTTCCAAATTTACCCATCAAATTAGACCGAGAGAGAAGTCATACTTATGTATGTGTTATAATAAAAGTGGAATTGTAACACTACGTGACTGTGAATTGGTATGACACTGGCACTGACAAATTACGCCATTTCTTTTTTTGGGCAGTTTTCACATGATCCATGAACTCACGGCTCCTCCAACAACAGATACCCCATTAGGCACCTAAAGGGAGTTATAGTAAAAAGAAATTGGTTTATGTTTGTGATGATGGGTCAATTGTTTATGCATTTGGTTGGCACTCACCATTTTCTAATATGCTTCTGTTACTTTTCCTTTGATTTAAATTATATTTAGTCATTTATGGGTCAGTTTAGCTGGCTGCTTTTGATCAGCTTTCACCACTCATTCTCTGACGAAACTCACCACCGAAGAATTCAGATAATGATGGCCTTAGGCGCTAGTGATCGTTTACAAATGAAACACGTCCAATTGATATTTGTCTAAATCAAATTTTAAATATGGATATCATCATTCATAGCCGTTAAAAAAAGATAAAAGATTCCTTACTCAGAACAGAAAAGATGTGCAATGGAATGGATTTGAAGGCTCCTATGTATCCTATGAAGTAATGTTGTCCGAAGGAAACATTCGTGAGAATCTCCTTTTGCATATGATGCTTTGGACCGACTCACTCAACCCATAGACCATAAGCAAGTGCTCTCGAGAGACAACCCATAGTGGCTCTTCCACTCACAAAGTGACCAGAAAATCCATCTTTTTATTCTCATTCCCGATTGGCGAGAATTTTTGGGTGCATGAGCTCTTCTCAGTGTGGAATTAACTTGCAAGTCACAATGCCCACCCACCAACCCACATATATACATACAGTACTTGAGAGAGGGACTATATATTATATTGTAAGCAGTCATAACGTGGTAATTATATCACGCATACAATGAAGCCATATATCGTGGCATAAACTATTCATATTGACATAGCAACACTTTGGTGACAAAAATCAAAGGTTTAAGATTTGTGTAGCGATTTGAAATAATTGTTCTCCCAAAAAAGGTCTTAGGTTTGAGTCTTAACATTCATATTGTGTACGTGAATTTAGTATACTATCATCTCTCTCAATAGAAAGGGTCTAAAAAAAAAAAAAAAAAAAAAAAAAAAAAAAATAAAGAATCAATTAGTAACTCTCAAATGTAAAAAAGACGGATTCATTGTCCAAGTTAACTGGCTAAACCGCGTTTGCGTAAGTGGTGTTTTAATTGTATCTAGTCACAAAGTATTCTTCTCAAGTTTGTAGCTAGGATGACTTGGTAGAGCTAGGCCAATCCCCATGGCAGTATGGATAAGACTAAACTGACTGGATGGTACTGTAGTGATGATATAAGCATCCCCGATTGCTTGCTAGCTATTTGGCTGTGTTTGTTTGTTTCTGTGTACTTACGCTGCGTGTCTTTATACGAGATTACATATGGTGAAAAAGTTTATTTTCTTGTCCCTTCTACATCGAACTATTATTAATTATAATTAGGCGAGCAACATGGTAATGAAATAATAAAATGTGCTCGTCGTTGACACAGGAACTTGGCCAGACTGCGACAGCCCAAGTGCATACAAGGAAGATACCTAAGACGTGTTTTGGTGTATAATTATTTTGTACACAATATCATATTAATATGTTAATATTATTAAAAAGTAATATCTCTGCGTTTGTTTATTACAATATATATATATATATTTAATCAGTACTAGCCCCAGTTGGTTTTCTTTTTTAATTTATTTTTAGAATTAAGAAAAAATAATATGGGTAGTTATATTTCATAAAAGTAGGATCTGTTATATGATTTTGTTTTTAATTTTAATTTTTTTTAATATGAAAAAAAAAATGAATTTATCATCTTATCTTCATTTAATTAATAATTTTAATTCTTAATATTTGAATTAATTAAAAATATTTTTTAATAATTTAAATATTTTATTATTCTCTACAATTTGCTTTATATATAAATAGATTACTATTATATTTAAAATACAAAAATAATAATAATAATAATGACGATGGAAAAAAAAGTTTGTCAGAAAAAGACTTTAAGAGGACCAGGTGCTACTTTCGTATACGAGACGAAAACGTTTCTTTGTTGAGACTTGAGAAGGCCGGCGGGGGCAGTTTCCTTTCTTTTTTTGGGTACCTAGATCGCTTGCTTTGGCTTTGGCTTCTTGGCTCATCCGCCGTGACCCCACATACCAAAAAGGTGTCTCCCACTAACTGTCTATCGCGTAAAGCAGCACCCCTTTACAGTGGCATAATAGCTGGCCATGTATTGTCGTACGCGGTTTACGCCCTTGCTCTTATCGTCGTGATGGGTGAATCGTGAACTGATAGATAGAGCTCCTCCAACAATTTTTATTCGTTTATTTTTTTGTTTGACAAAAAAGAAAACAATTTTTTATTATCATTGAATAAATTTTATATCCCAAGGTAAAATTTTATTTTGTGTTTTTTTGTTTGACTTTTGGGTTGGTTGAAGCTGCGTTGTCATGATGAAGACATTAAATTGAGATGGTTGGATATCTCAATTTCCTTTCCTTTCCTTTTATATTGTTTGCTACCAAAATTCACATGATCCTCCTCCTTGTCTTTCAAATATTACGTATAATGAGGGTTATCTTATTTTCTTCTTTCTTTTTGGCCAAGTCTTTTTTTAATGAAAAAACTTTTTTTTTCCCCCAATATTTACAACAAAAATGAGGGGTCTAGAATTAACATAGAAAAAGAAGGGTCTAGATATTTTATCAGAGTAATTTTTATCAAATAGGAATCAATCAAGCAGACAAAATATAGAACATCCTACCCCAAGTGGAGGTGGAGCATAACGAGCATACATTACCTGTTGTTGCGTTGCATTATTAATCTTGATTTGGGTCCCAATGTTTTCCCACATGGATTTTACCACAAAATGAAAAAGGTTTTCAAATCTGTGGCTTCATTCACTCAACTCAAATTGACATGTTAAGTCTGTTTTAAGTTTCCGAGAAATTCTTGATAAATTGACTTTTTCTCGGGAATTCAGTGCTCACTTAGCATATGGATGGTATAATTCGTCCTTTATATATTATACGTCTTCTTCAAGCGATATATATAAACCGTTAGAACACATCTCTACACACAGCCAAAGACACAACACCACCTCGTCACCAGAGAGTCTCAGAAAAAGAAAAATACAATTTCATCCATTTCATTAGTGATATTAGCATTAAGGAATCAAAAAGTTTACATCTTTGACATCTTTGCATCTCTCTCTCGGACCCATCTCTGTTTTTTCGCTTAATTTTAATTCAAAGCCAAGGATTTTTAGTGGTCATTGATGAAAAATGAAATTCTGCAAGAAATACCAGGAGTACATGCAAGGCCAGGAGAAGAAGCTTCCTGGGGTTGGCTTCAAGAAGCTGAAGAAGATCTTGAAGAAATGCCGCAGGGAGGACACTCATGAGGTCCATGACGTTCGAACATGCCCTGACCATTGCCCAGGTCATTTTGAATAGCATGTTCTATCTATCTATTTCTGTTGAATCATCATTCTTCAATCTCTTTATTTTGGGTCTAATTGTGACAGTAAATTTATCAACTTTCGTCCATTTCTTGGATATTGGGATTTGATTATCTTTTCTTCAATCCCATTGAAATTCTTTGACATGATCTTGCATTCATATTTATAGCCAAGTTGGAGGATAAATACAAGAAGAAAAAATTTAAGGCCGTATTGATGTTCAGGGATGTTCAGGGCATATGGAATCTGTTTTAACTTCCAAATTTGAAACTTTTTTAAACCACGATTGGTTCATCTGCTCACAGTTGCTAGTTATTTAAAGAAATAAAAAGTTTTGTGTCTGGCAATGGTTTTATGCTAATGTTTAGTTTGAAATTTTGAATTGTGCAGTGTGTGATGGGAGCTTTTTCCCTGCCCTTCTCAAGGAGATGTCTGCAGTGGTAGGCTTCTTTAATAAGCGTGCCCAGAAATTGCTTGAACTGCATCTGGCTTCTGGCTTTCGTAAGTACTTCTTTTGGTTCAAAGGCAAACTTCAAGGGAACCATGTTGGCTTAATTGAAGAAGGCAAGGACCTTGTTACTTATGCACTGATCAACGCCATTGCCATTCGAAAAATACTAAAGAAATATGATAAGGTATACAACTTGCACTTTTTTAACACATTTAATTTATCCTGAGTTTTGATAATCTAGTTGAATGAATATATTTGTTTGTATTTTGAGACAGATTCATTACTCAACGCAAGGACAGGCCTTTAAATCGCAAGCCCAAAGTATGCACATTGGAATCCTTCAGAGTCCATGGCTTTGTGAGCTTATGGCTTTTCACATCAATTTAAGGGAAACCAAGACCAAGTCAAGGAAGGCACCAGCCTTGTTTGAGGGATGCTCCCTCAAAATCAATGATGGGAAACCATCTCTCGCCTGCGAGCTCTTTGATTCTGTCAAGCTTGATGTTGACTTGACATGTTCTATATGCTTGGTAAGTTTCAAGATTTTTTATTTTTCACAGGATGTCCTGCATATCTATCATTCATTTTTTACTGCATATTTTTGTTGTTCTGCACGGAACTGCACATCATTTAATTCTGTCTATGGATTCAATTATAATGTAAGAGGTTTCAAGAACTGAGCTTGAAATATTAAAGCACACTCAAAATATTACTCTTACTCTCTCAAATAGAAAATTTCTGCTATGCCTCATTGTTATGAACTAGGAGCACATATGGCCAGTTTTTAAAGTTTGACATCCTTAAACGCAAACTGCATATGCCATGGCCTATGGGTTTGATTTGATCAACTCAAACTTAAAGCTCTGGCAGCTCTCTAGTCTAGGACTACAGAGACATTATGTTTTTGCCCATCTCAGCAACATGCATGACTGAAGTAGGAGTTGTAGAGAAGAAAACATGTTTGCTATTCTCATTCGAGGTTCTTATTTAATGATAGTTCATGTGATTTTTCTCGTCTTCTGCTTTTCAGGACACAGTTTTTGATCCAGTTGCTCTCACATGTGGTCATATATTCTGCTACATGTGCGCTTGCTCGGCTGCATCAGTGACTATTGTCGATGGATTAAAGGCTGCAGAGCCTAAAGAAAAATGCCCTCTATGCCGAGAGGTGAGCATTCTCTCATTTTCCACTTGGAGCTAGTACGCTGGTAGCCTTTGTACCACAAACAAAGGCACAAAGTGGCGTCTTGTACTTGTGCTTAGGATCTGGTTAAAAGTTAAAACCACTTACCATTTGTAATTTGTTTATATTGATTTCAGGCAAGAGTTTATGAGGGTGCTGTACACTTAGAAGAGCTTAGCATGTTACTTAGCAGAAGGTATGTTTGTGCCCACCATATTACTTACTTTGCATCCTTATTCTCTAGTGAATGACCTAGAAATTATATATGCAAAATTCTCATTCTTATTTTGTTCATATGGAACAGCTGCAATGAATACTGGGAGCAGAGGCTCCAGACAGAAAGGGTAGAGAGGGTTCGGCAAGCAAAGCAGCACTGGGAATCCCAGTGTCGGGCGTTCATGGGGGTTTGAGTGCTGTCTGTTCACAACTCGGGGACCATTTTGCCCTTCTTTTTCCGCCTTACCCACCATGTAAACTGTCACAATAGTTTCTTCATGCTCTTTTGGAACCCATTTACGGGTTATTTTTCCGTTGGGTTCTGTGACCCACCGACTATTTTGTAGCCGTGTGTGGATGTTCTGTTCCTTGTATGTAGCCTTTGATTAACGCTGTACATATAATTTGTTTTTAGTGTTCGAAGTTTTTGGGACTTAACGTTGCGGTCATTGTTTGCTTAATCCAAGTAAACTTGGTCTGTTATTAATATGGATTCACAATCTGTTCATCAATTTTGATTTGGAGAAAAATTTGCATCCTTGTATCATGTCGTAAATTAATGATGCTAGAAGAGATGGGTACTATTGATATGAAAAGGAAAATGTTTGATGCTAAAAGAGATGGTTAGAGTTGAATTGTCCTCAAATTGGGTCCATTATGAAATTATGTAGGCTTTGCTTTGTTTCCATGCTGAATTTCTATCCGGGTATTTCTTTGCGATCCTTTTGCTTTTTAGTAAATTGCGTAAGAATGGTTCATCTGGCAAGCACTTGATAGCCAAGAAGCAGGAAGAGGAGGGGTGCAGGAGGAGAAAAACTTCCCTACCCCGCTGTATTGAGAAATGGGAAATTCGTGCAATGGGTGTAGGAAAGTATTTCTCGTGTCTGAGATGTTTGTGAACAAGGTGATTGATATGAGGGGACCACATGTTCGAATCTCACCCCAATTTGGAGCATTTGAACGACCAAGACAACCTAACCGGAGAAGACAATGTCTTCATGCCGGAGCAGGTACCATCAGCTTAAAGAACACGAAAGAGATACAAAATAGGTCTAAATAGAGTCACTATTTTACTCATACAACATATACGGTTTCATGTTCTTATTACAATACGGTGCGCAATCATATACTCCCGTCGTTCAAAATTTTCTTTAGAACATTTATATTAATCATTCATCAACCAAAATTCTTTCATAAGTCAAAAAGATACAACATATTGAAAACGAGAAAAAGACCACATTAGTGATCGAATCACTCTCATGAGATTGCCATGCACGACTGAGCCTTTCTCAACGGATCAATAAGGGATTTTTATCTTTATGCACGTGATACCTTTTGCATAGTTTCTCCAAAGTTGCAACAGAATGCTGCATTGCATTTAGTTTTGTATCCATGAACATTCCCTGCAAAGCAACAATTCCACCTTAAGCATGAAGAAAGCAACTTTACAACTTCAATTTGTAATAGAATATAAGCTTGTATCCCACCTGATAGTCGTCTCCATACTTCTCAATGAGCCGACCAATATAAACGCGTTGCATGGCCGTTAATGGTTGCAGTGGTGCAGATTTTCCATCTCTCCGCTTTTTCCCAAGACTAGATCTCAAATCTGTATGAAACAAAGAAAGTTGTGTAATCGCAAGTTTCACACCTTTGAAAGAGAAGAAAATAAACAAGCCAACAAGCTCTACAACAAATAATTTATGCAATTCAAAATAGCAGTAAATGTAGTACTGGTTTCAGAGCTAATTTTCGGCAGGACCTCCCCAACAGCATTGTCAATTTAACCGCCAAGTTTGGGATGGTTGGTTCCCCTATAGTGATATTTAATTTCACTGTATTTCTCGAAATCAAACACGCACAGTCCTTTTCCTAGGGCAGAAGACAGAACTTTGGTTCTTGCAACCAGTTCAGCCTCTACATCATTACATTCTAAGGGTATTTATACATTAATTAACTGCAGCACCAACGGTAACGGATAACCTTATAGAAGTTTGTCAGTCAACAAATTGACCAGATTACCTAAGCCAAACTTTTTGGGCTTACAGATTAAAAAGTACTAGATCAAATTAAAGCCAAACTCAATATAGCGATCTCCATCCCATCAAATTATTAAGTATTTGGCCATTCTAAAATTTATTTCAACTTTCGTCCGGGAGTGTTGGATTTAATAACCCTGTAAACTGTCTGGGTTATTCAAACGAAAGGAATTTTGTGTAGAGCTAAAAGCAAACTGACTACCCCTCAACCTCAAGCAGATAACTTCATCCTAAAAGTTCAATCTTTCCAGTAAACCAATTGGAACTTCAATTGCAACTTCCCTTAAAATCCACAACCAGTTATTTCATTAAGCACTAAGCTTTCAATTTTTTATTTCAGCCAAAGAAACTAAATTACCAATTTCTAATTCAGAAAAAGAGAGTAGAGAGAGAACTGACCGTCTTCTTCGACGTCGCTACCGTCGACGGGCTCATCTCCCGAAATAGGCGGAGGAGGGACCTGGAGAGAATCACTTTCTATCATGTGAGAGGTTCGAGAGCGGACGCCGAGCAAGTTAGGGTTAGAAACGAAGCCGAAGGACTTATAGTTTTCGATAACAGTGCCCTCGGCGTCCCATGAGGCAGAGGATGGGCCTTGTTGTTCCAGTAAGGCGCGAAGCTTCGGAGGTAGACAGAAGGCTGCCTTGAAGACGTTGGGCTTCCTCTTCGGCAGCGCCACGCGGACCTTCGTCCTCGATTGCTTGTACTTTCTTCGTGACCTTCCCATCTCTCTTTCTTTCCGTCTCTCTGTGAATCTCTCCCTCTAGGGTTTATGCTCGGGGTTTAGAATAGGGTGCTGTGTCTCTTACCTACAAGGGCTACAACAACACCTTAAACGCTGCGTTTCTTATTGACGCTTTTTAATGTAAAATTGATTAAATAGCTGCTCCATTCAGGAAAAGTGACATCCTATTCTAAACCCTAGCACTATATTTAATTTATATCATAAATTCCAACATCAAAGACATGACGCATTGAGAAAATTTCATTTCTACCTTATTTTATGTGACATTAATCCTATTTATTGGCAAAATTTGATTATTTATGATATAAAATACCTTTTGAAACTTCGAAAATTTGATACTTAAAAAACTTAAAATTGAAGTTATTAACCAATCTTAGACTGGAAGCCTTCTGCACCCCTAAACCAATCAACCATGTCAATAAAAATGCACGTCCAGCACAGAGCCGGACTGATATTCATATATACAATGTAGAGAGAGAGAGAGAGAGAGTGCATCCACAAATTCCAGTCACTGAATTTTCCAAGAATAATACAACTGATTTCCATAAACAGCACCCTTGTCAAGAAGCATAAGTTTAATGTTCTCATCTAAATACATTCTAAACAGAATGGAGAAACGTGGGTGGTAACTGGAGTAGATTAGCTACTTCTTGCCACAAGTCTAAGGGAGGCTTGACTTGGACTTGCATTATTGTCTTGATAATTCCCACACACAGCTGAGAAGGGCCTCTTCTTATTTTAATAATGCGAGGGACAAATGCAGGCAGGTGATTCTTGGAAGATTTGTAAGCACAAAAGGAATCACCGGAAGCAACGATTAGAGAAACCAAAGATGGTTGCTTATAGTCCTGATGAACGGTTGGCATACTCCTGAACCAATGCCCCAAACAATGATTGTCCCTCAAGCAAGCGGGACAGTTTGTCAAATTCTTTAGCCAGTCCTGTTAAAAAAAGGAACATGAGCTACAATTTTCATGTGGTAAACAAATGCCGACCGTGACAAGATGGAAAGAACACTCACCTGCATACTGAAACTCTGTTGCAGTCCATCACTGTAGGTATTCTGTGAGCAATGCTGATTATTGTACATGCAGCAAAATCCTCTCAGATGATCCTTTGTATTACAGCATCTGTCTGTGATTCAACTGAAGCCGTGGCCTCGTCCATGAACAAGAGCCGGCTGTGCTTCAACATAACTCGCCCCAAACAGAGAAGCTGTCTTTTCCCCACGCTCCAGTTGTCGCCGTCATCAGCCACTTAATTTGATGGAAACAGTCAGTACCAAATCCTAATGCTAGTTAGCATTTCAGTTCCAGAGAGTAAATAATGGGGAGAGTCACATACCTAAAGAATTGAGTTTATCAGGTTTTGCAGCTACCACATCTTTAAGTTGGCAGTGTTCAAGGCTCTACAAGAAAATTAAGATTTAATGTGAATAAACATATAGCATTGTTTCATCTAAGTAAGTGGATGACAAACATATACAAAGAAATTGTACAATTCAATCTGATTGTTTTTTGAGGCTATGGGTTACTCTCTTATGTAATCTGGAAACCAGATAGCATTGTGTTTTTTACCTTGCAAATTTCATCATCTGAATAAATTCCTACTGGATCAATGCTGCTTCTCACAGTTCCTTAAAAAAGGACAATCCATTGGAAAATAAAAAAAACGCAGGTTCTTGAGGAATGATCCCGAAGCGAGACCTGATATCATGAAGCCCTATTGTGGTTATATCAATCCTGTCGATGATAATTTTGCCTCCTGAAGGTTCCACCAGCCTAAAGAACACTTGGATCAAAGTTTATTTCCCGCTCCCTGTTCGACCAACAACACCAATCTTTTCACCCCCGTGAATGCTTGCCTTTGAGAACCAAGGGTGTATTTGGACGATATCAAAAGGAACAAGGCTTATTTAGCTTGAGACAAAGCAATGGAGATGACCAAGTAACGACAACTTGCATGCAGACCACTTCATTTGTCCGTCCACTACACTAGCCATGGAAGATGTACTACAAATATACCATTTGGAACGACAAATGGCTAGAGTGTAGCAGCTCATGGAATGTAAGATTTGACTTTATTTGTTCAGAAGATATAAACAGAAATGAAGGTAAACTACCTGCAAGTCTTTGAGCTCGACATTGCCACGGGAAGGCCAATTTGAAGGAGGAACACGGTCTTTTATCTCCAATGCTGCCTCTGATGAGATGTTTGTAAATTGTTTTATCCTCTCAACCGATTCCATCTTATTTTCGACAAAGCAGCTCATATAAATGGCCCAGAACAGCACACCATTCAGGGCCAATCCGTAGGAGAGAGTTAAACCAACATTCTCTGCACCATGAAGGAATAACTGATTTAGCCAAATCTCTGAAATAGACACTCATCTACTGCAGCTAATTTATATCAGATGTGCCAAAATAAGATGCTAATTTATATCAGATACGCTAAGTATTATATACTTAGGCATCCCATATCATAATTGGCCATGAATCAAGTGCTAGATATGACCTCTTGTTAAGTGTCGCACCAAAAGAAGAAGGGTGTACCTGGCTTAATTATACTGCTTGGCAACAAGAACATGAACACAGTGGAAATGCAGAAAACTAAACTCCCAAGCATCTCCATACGGAAACCAAACCACTCATTGGACCCATTGTTGTGGAAATCCATAGGTGAATTGGCGTTAACCCGTTTAACATTTTCCTTGGAGAACATGTTCTGCATTCTGCAAGAGTGGATTGTCATAACTCCGGATATGCTTCCTGAGAAGTGATGGATAACAGGAGCTTTTGTGATCGAATCGAGTCGAGTTAATTCACGAGATGATGCAAGATAGTAACCCTAAAATCCAAACAGTAGAAAAATCTCAGCATATAATTAAGGCCACATTCATAAAACAAGAGATTTTACTTTTCCAGTGTAGCACATTCATATATCTGCATAGGGGTGCTTCAGTTCAAAACATTTATATTATCTGTCTAACAAGAGTTGGATTGACCAACAGTATTCATGACAAAGATCATAGAACTAGATATTTTATTTTCCTGTCTAACACACATTTGTTAAACAAGAAGAACACATTCATTGCAACATTATAGATCTTACACTGATAAATATCAACAGCATGATAAAAAGAATGACATACCCAGTACCAGATATTAAGCCAAATAAGTGGAATCAGCAAGAATACTGTTGGCCACAAATTTTTGGCATACAACGATAAAGATGGCAAGCACAGTGATGTACATGGCAATGGTCATAGCCAAAATGAAGGGAAGAAATTGATTGATATTCGTCTGATCAGTTGATGCCTGGTGGGTGATAAATTCTCATCAGTTAGCAAAGAAGACAACGTATACAATTTAGATTAAATAGAGAATAGGATCTCTCATCAACTATGAAAAAAACTAATGCTTAAACAGAAAAAGAAAAGGTGAGCAATTCTAACTCACAAACTTTGTAAACGTGCAAGCTCACTTTGCCTGTTTCTTTCTCCTCTTCTTTGATGAGTTTAGAAGTCCTGTTATCAGACTTTGGTTGGTCCAAAGAGTTGTTTCCACCATTGGCTTCCCAGTGGTTCGAAGAGAGTTGTGGAGATATTTGAGGACTGGGGGAACTTTTTCTGGGAATAGTGGTGCTCATTTCTACAAGTTCCATGGAGGTTTCATGGGCAGCTACTAGCTGTTTGAAATCCAGGCCAGAATTTAGCAAATCATTAGACTTTCCAGCCTGTACTATCATCCCATCTCTCATGACCTGATATTATTTGGAGGTAATAAGTTTAAATAAATATATAAGTACAAGGGATAAATGTGTGCAAACTGCAATTATAATCTTACCAAAATAAGATCAACATTATGCAAGAAGTCAACTTGATGAGTTACAACTAAAACCGTCTTGTTTTTAAGCACTCCCCTCACACATTCCTGCAGAGAAGTATAAATCATGATCAGTAGAACATTATGCATACAAATAAAATTCAATGAGTGTCACTTTGTACTGTTTTTTTATTATCTTAGCACATTTAGACTATGAAAGTAAAAAAGTGTTCAAACCACTATATTAAGAACAAGCTTGAATGTTCAATCACTGTGTAATCAAAAGTAAATCATTTATTTACTATCAAATGTAGTAGAAAATCTAACGCAATATCACCTTAAATATTTCTGATCCAGTATGAGCATCAACAGCGCTGAAAACGTCATCGAGAAGATATATGTCACAATTTTGATATACAGCCCTAGCAAGTTGTATCCTCTGTTTCTGGCCACCACTTAGGTTGATGCCATGCTCTCCCATCTCAGTGTGATCTCCAAACTCCATGTCCTTCTCCAGGCAGCAAACCCTGATATAACTTCCTGGTATCTATCTCTGTCCATTGGCAAACCAAATAATATATTTTCTTCAGTAGTCCCATTTTGAATCCATGATGTTTGAGCAACATGGGCAGTTGTGCCACAAACTCGTACCTGTTATTCAAAAAGTTTATTAATTCAACAAGTACTTGATTAAACTGAAGCTTTTTGAGTGAGTTATGACCTGGTTATAAACTTATGGTTCATTGGAGGGATTTTATGTCATAAGAGACATCTAGAAAAGGGTTTAATGGTATCAAATCATACCTTTCTGGATAACTTGTGCATCTCACCAAGAATTGAGGCTAGAAGGGAAGACTTTCCAGATCCCACTGTTCCTACAATAGCCGTTAGCTCCCCTTTATTGACATTCAAATTTATGTGTTTCAAATCCTCTTCTTTGCTTTCATCATCCCAGCTAAACGCGCCATTTTTAACCTCCACAGCAGTTCTTCTATCACAGCCCTTGTCTCTCTCCACCGCATCCTCCACCAATTCCCTACTCATCATATAACGGTCCAACCTCCCAAGAGATATCATAGCTTGAGAAATTGAAATCATAGATTGTGGGAAGGTCCTGATGGGATCCCGCAAATTGTTGAAGATGCTTGTGGTTGTGAACAATGTCCTGGCATCAAGCCAGACACCCAATAAGAGTACAGTGCCAAATGTGAGAGTTGATATAAGTACTGGGGTGCACCACATAACCACAGAGATTGAGTACATGAACTTGGTCAGCCAGCTAAACTCCGACTCACGGAAAGCCGGAATTCTCTTATTAAAGTGCTCCTCCCAAGCCTGGAATTTGATCGCACGCATGTAGTTAAGCATCTCATTTGTTGCCTTCATTCTTGAATCCTGACACTTCATCACATTAGATTGGAACCTGTTGTTCCGTCTCGTGCCCAGCACAACAGACACAAGAACACACATGATTCCTACTACAGATGTGATCATTGCTGCACCAAGGCTGTTATACAGAAAGAACATTGCAATGGCAAGTTGCACTGTCATCATCCATATAGCATGCACTTAGCATTTTTGACAACGAAAACAAAAGAAAAACTAATGCAGAATCATGCTATCACATTTACCTCAGTTACTAAGCACGCAGAGATTGTCAGTATCTATAAGTTTTCTGCGTCCAGAATTTCTCCATAACCATATCAAATGATAATTCAGACTACTAATTATGGTGATGATGATGGGGACAGTAGGAGACAAGCTTAACTTATCTAAATTACCATAAAAACATAACTGAAGAAAACTCAACAAGGAAATCAGCACCCCAATCCAAATGCATGCTAAATTTTTGAGTTGCAATTAACTAGACCAGCTGGTCAAGTGCAACACATCCACTTGAAATAATTTTGTTACTACAATAACACGGTTATTACAACAAATTAACAAAAGGCATTTTCATTTAAAAACCTGTTAGCAGCAGCAGAGGCAACACAAACCCGCCAAGAAATCTCCCCATGAGAGGCCCTTAGAACCAATCCAATCACTTCAAATTCAAATTTTCATAATTGGGTTTTCGATTAACATCAAAATCACGAAAACCCATTTCCCAAAGACTTCGAATTTCCTCAGAAACGACCAATTCGAATAGAATCAGACGATAGATGGCTGCAGTTTAAAATCGTATATATTTGAAGAGTATCGCCGGGCGGCTATACTCTTTAAGTATAATATTTTCAGAGTACAGCCGTGCGGCTATACTTTTACAATATTCGATTCTATTCAAGGGTATAGCCACGGCTATACTCTTTAAATATAATATTTTCAAAGTACAGCCGTTCGGCTATACTTGCAAAATATTCGAATATATTTAAAACGTATAGCCGTCCGGATATAATGTTAAAATATTCGAATATATTCAAAACGTATAGCCGGCCGGCTACACCTTTTAAATATAATATTTCCAGAGTACAGCCGAACGGCTGTATGTTTACAATATTATACCCGCTCGGCTAAGCTTTAAATATAATATTTTCAGAGCCCAGCCGATCGGCTATACCTTTACAATATTCGAATATATTGTAAGGGTATAGCCGCCCGGCTATACTGTTTAAATATAATAAGTCAAGCCGTTCAGCTATAACGTTAAAATATTCTTAATATAATATTTTCAGCGTACAGCCGCGCGGTTCGACTCTTTAAATATAATTTTTTTAAATATTCTAGTAGACCCTTCAATTTGATTGAGCAAGCGATTTATAAAACCCAACTTCAACTGCACTTTCATATAAGACCAACTCAAATTATTGAATCCATTTCCTCTAGATCACATTTATTTAACACAGGATAACTGCATTAGAAGGAAGAAAAGGTAAAAGACAAACCACAAGAAGGTAAAGCAATGCGGCAAGGAATTTAAGAATTGAAACACTTACGTAGCAAAGTAGCAAGGATGACACACACACACATTTGATAAGTAACGTAAGATTCTCTGTTGCACATAATCCAAATCTGCATGGTTCATAACTGATCAATTTGCTTGGATGATATAACCATACCATCCAGGAATGAATTATTACTTGCAGAACCTACACTTTAGAGAAGCTAAAGTCACTGGTTTTCAAGTATCCTGCATAAACTGTGTTGGATTTGTAGATGTCATAAAAGATAGAAGTACTATGATGTAGAAAAGTAAAAGACAGAAGCTCGAACAAACTTCAGTCCAATCCGAATGTAATCTTGCACACACCAGTGAAATCAGCTATCCATTGTAACATATATCTGGAAACTCCACAGGTAGCTGATACACATAAAGCAAGACAATGTTGAGGCCTGTATACAAGTGAAAAGGCGTCCCCCAGTTAAAGCGTATGCAATCTATCTTCTTTCATCTTCCATGTTTGCTATTATCTATACTTCTTGAAATTACTTCATGTTCATTATCCAAAAAGAGGACCATGATATGCAGACACATTCTTTCATTTTCCAATTCTAGGTTATTTATTTCTTCTTTTTTGGATTGCCAAGGATGGTTCAATTTTATTACACTTTCTATGTTTTATTTTTTACTTTTTCATTTTGCTTGAATGATGCTTCTAAGTAAATTCTTGCACAAGCAATTTTATAATACGAAATTCAAGATTCTTTTATCCCCAAAATGTTGGTGGATCCCCTTTTTGTTGTTGTTGTATTTATGGGTTTAACCCGTATTAATTCTTATAAATAAAATCCATTTTTTATTCTTGCCTAATGGACTAATAGCTGGAAATCATTAGAATGAGAGGTATCGGAAAGAATTTAAATTCTCATTCCCCAATATCATTGATATAAAAAAAATAATTGAAGAAATAACTCTATCCTAATTAGCTAAAGTGGTATTTTAAAATAACATGACAAAAATGTATATTTACATAGAATCGCCGCACGGCTATACTATTTAAATATATTATTTTCAAGGTATAGCCCTGCGGCGATACGCTTCGAATATATTAAGGTACAAACAAGCGTCTATAATACTTAAATATATTATTTTCACGATATCGCCGCTCGGCTATGGTCTAGAATATTTTAGGGTATAGCCGAACGGCTATACTGCTTAAATATATTCACAAACGCGAAGCTTGCACTTGCAGTCACAGCCATTTCGCTTCTCCATAAGCGCTTCCAAGCTTCAAAGACTCGGTCTTGAGCCTCTCTCTCTCTCTCTCAACTCAAACTTCGATTTTTTTCCTTTCGTTTCGGCTGCTCCGTTGATTGGATTGGATTGGAATCTCTCTACGAAATCCAACAAATGTCATTCAGCCATTGAAATCTCCACTAAGATAACAACTCTGATACTATAAGGGAGTTAGGCGGCCTGGGCGGTTCTAGGCGGCCTGGACGGTTCTAGGCGGCGCCTAGGCGGTTCTAGGCGGTTCTAGGCAGTTCTAGGCGGCTCTGGTGGGTCTAGGCGGCGCCTAGGTGGCCTGGGCGGGTCTGGCCGCCTCTTTTTTTGTTCCAAATGAAGACAGACGAAACTTGCACTCACAGAGGAATGTGGTGCGCGAGTGGAATGAAGAGACAGAGAAACGAACACGATGAAGTTACCGTTACCCTTAGAGCCCTTGACATGTTCTGTACGCAACTTCAACTACATTTGTCTCATATCATCGATGAAAATACCGTTACCCTTGCTATCAAGGCCTGTCAAGGGGACCCCAAATCCAGATACCAAATTCACGGGTTTGCTTCGTATACTACGGTTTCAAATTCTTTGATGAGGTTGTACACCAAAGCTGGACAGTTTGACGGTCAGTTTGATGGTCCCTTACTTATCTTTCAGACTATGTGCTGTACTGATATAGTTTCTTGGAATACTATTCTTTCGTGGTTTCGAACAAGTGAGGGTGCATTGAATTTTGCTCTTATGATGAATTTTAATGGAGTTCTTTTTTATCCAGTGACTTATACTACGATTCTTGCTTTTTGTGCGGATCATGAAGATTTTCTATTTGGATTATAACTGCATTCTCTTATATTTAAGTCTGGTTTAGATGGTGAAGTTTTTTTTATAAGTATGTATTCGAGGTAGAGGCGGTTAATAGAAGCTAGGAATGTGTTTGATGAAATGGCGAATGAGGATGTGGTTTCATGGAATGCAATACTAGCAGGTTACTCTCAAGAGGGAAATCATGGGCTTGAGGCGATTTTTGTCTTTATAGAGATGGTGGAAGAAGGGATGGGTTTAGATCATGTCTCATTTACTAGTGCAGTTTCAGCTTGTGGTCATGAAATGAATTTAGAACTTGGGAAACAGATACATGGCTTGACAATTAAATCAGGATATGGAAGTCATGTTTCAGTTTGTAATGTATTGATCTCGACATATTTAAAGTGTGAGGTTACTGAAGATGCAAAATTAGTCTTTCGGTGCATGAATGATCGCAACATAGTGTCTTGGACAACTATGATTTCAATAGACGAAGAAGATGCCATCTCTCTATTTAATGAGGTGAGATTGGATGGAGTATATCCAAATGATGTTACATTTGTTGGAATAATCCATGCTATATCAATTAGGAAGTTGGTGGAGGAAGGCGAAATGATTCATGGGTTTTGCATAAAGACTGGCTTTTTATCAAAGCGTAATGTTTGCAACAGCTTGGGTATGCTAAGTTTGAGTCCATGCATGACTCCATCAAAGTTGGAGTTAAACTGCAGAGAAATCATATCGTGGAATGCTTTGATTTCAGGGTATGCTCAGAAAGGGCTGTGTCAAGATGCACTAAAAACATTCTTAATTAGTAGCAACTATGGAGTCAAAGCCAAACAATTACACATTTGGTAGTGTTTTGAGTGCAATTGGTGATGCTCAGGATATTTCTCTGAAATATGGCCAATGATGCCACTCTTCCTTGATCAAACTTGGATTAGTGACTGGCCCAATTATCGCAGGTGCTCTTCTTGATATGTATGCAAAGCGAGGAAGCATTTGTGAGTCCAAAAGAGTTTTCAGTGAGACGCCTCATAAAAGCCAGTTTGCTTGGATTGCAATAATATCTGCATATGCTGGGCATGGAGACTATGACTCAGTGATAGAATTGTTCAAGGAGATGGAGAGAGAAGGAGTAAGACCTGATTCAGTCACATTTCTTTCTATACTAGCAGCAGGCTGCAGAAATGGAATGGTGGAGATGGGCCGTCACCTCTTTCATTCAATGGTGAAGGACTATCATATTGAACCATCTCCTCAACATTATTCAAGTATGGTGGACATGTTGGGATGTGCAGGGAAATTGGAGGAAGCACAAGAATTGATGAGTCAGATCCCGGGACAGCCAGGGTTTTCATTGTTGCATAGCCTGCTCGGGGCTTGCAGGATCCATGGGAATGTGGAGATGGCGGAGAGAGTAGCCAATACATTAATGAGATTGGAACCAATGGAATCGGGATCTTTTGTGTTGATGTCCAACTTGTATGCTGAGAAAGGGGACTGGGAAATGGTAGCAAAAGTTGGGAAATGGAAGAGAGATGAAGGAGTGAGAAAGGAATTGTGATATAGTTGGGTGGATACTGGTGATGCTGATGGTTCCCTGTATCTGCATGGGTTTTCATCAGGTGGTATATCCCAACCACACAGTCTGGGGAGATATGTAGAATGGCAAAATGTCTAGGATTAGAGATGAAGATTTTGAGAGAGAACATGTGGGAGACAAAATCACTGAAAATGGACTCCTTCTCAAGGCCCTCACTTTGAAGGCTTGAATCTGTACATGTGAAACTTCAAAAGTAACTCATGATTGTTAAGAAGTTCTGTAGCCAAATGTCAAAATAAAAAAAGGAAATTCATCTTGAGGTAATTCAAAAATGGAAAAACGTGGTCGGCGGGGATTCGAACCTGGGAAGTACCACTCCGGCACAACCACTTGATGGGCGCTGGTCTACATCTTTTCCTATATTACTACTTCCTGTTCACATTGTTGAAGAGCCAACATTCAGAGATGAAACTTACAAGACAACAATAAAATAGTTATTATTTAAATTTTGCAGCCATTGCATTTTTCAGTTAGATTATCCCCAGAATGTTTTTCTTTTGTTTTTCTGAAGAGGATAGGAGTTAGAACTTGGTAGCTGTTCTAACACTGCTAGTTCATCGCAAAACTATTTGATAAAATGCTCTAGCCACCGCTACCTGGTCTACTCAAGGTCCGAAACCTTTGTATGGTAATGCCAAAATTGAGGATGTTATGAAGTTGCATCTTTGAATTTTACAAGGTTGCTAAAAATCTTGTAACAGGTAATGTGTAGAAAGGTCCAAAACCTTTGGATTGGATTCTTATTTTTTGTTGTTGCATTTATGGGTTTAAAACCCGTATTATTTCTTATAAATAAAATCCATTTTTTATTCTTGCCTAATGAGCTAATAGCTGGAAATCATTAGAATGTGAGGTATCGGAAAGAATTTAAATTCTCATTCCCCAATATCACTGGTATAAATAAAATAATTGAAGAGATAACTCTATCCTAATTAGCTAAAGTTGTATTTTAGCCCTAAGCCCTAAAATATCATGACAAAATTGTATATTTAAAGAGTATAGCCGGGCGGCTGTACTATTTAAATATATTATTTTAACGGTATAGCCGTTCGGCGGTACTTCTTGAATATATTCGAATATTTTAAAGGTATAGCCGCCCGGCTATACGCTTCAAATGTATTCGAAACCAACACGAAGCTTGCACTTGCACTCGCAGTCGCGGCCGTTTCCAAGCTTCAAAGACTCTCTCTCTCTCTCTCTCAAGCTTCAAAAAAAAAAATTCTTTCGTTTCGGCTGCTGTGTTGATTGGATTGGATGGGACTCTCTCTACGAAAACCATCAAATGTCATTCAGCTATTGAAATCTCCACTAATTAAGATAACTCGGATGCTATAAGGGAGTTAGGCGGCCTGGGCGGTTCTAGGCGGCGCCTAGGCGGCCTGGGCGGTTCTAGGCGGCGCCTAGGCGGCCTGGGCGGTTCTAGGCGGCACCTAGGCGGCCTGGGCGGGTCTGGGCGTCCTTTTTTTTTCAAATGAACACAGATGAAGCTTGCACTCGCAGAGTTATGTGGTGCGCGAGTGAAATGAAGAGACAGAGAAACGAACACGAAGCTTGCACTCGCAGTCCAATCTTCAAAATTCAAATACTCGGTCTTGAGCCTCTCTCTCAACTCAAGCTTGGATTTTTTTTCTTCGGTTCGGCTGCTGTGTTGATTCGATTTTTGTTTGTGCTTTTCTGTTATTGAAGTTGGCAATGTCAGATGAACATCCAAGGCAGTTTCTTAGTATGCCAGAAGAAGCCCAGCAGATGGTTCTTTAACCTGGGGCACACATTGCAGTTTGGTATTGGATTACACCATGCCGGTCTGAATGACAAAGATGGACCTCTGGTGACACGGACGACTATATTTCGGTGAGTGTGCGTTTGTGCTGTGGCTTCTCTTGTTTGGTTGCTGAGAAAATGTTGAGAAACCAGGAAGAAATTGAGTAATTTGTTTACTGGAATTATGTTTATTTAACAAAACATAGATATTAAGTATATATTGTGTAATACCAGCTGGCTGGCTATTGTATTTGGTTTTGTGAAATTCTAAAATGTTATATTATTTTATCTTTTGTGTGGTATTCTGTAGCAATCCTTTTCAGGAATGTTTTCAGAATTTCATGCCTATTTCAGTCAATGGATCGAGGTGAGTGTTTTGCTGTTATTGATTCTATTTAATTGAGTTAGTCTATATCTATCTTCTAATCCCTTTTTAGTCCTTGACTTGTGTTAATTTTCCTAGGTAACAAATGTCCTTTGTGCCCAACAGTTCTTTTCATTACTCCTAGAACATGTGCTTGTAATAATTGAATGAGATGCTTGTATTATTTGACATCAGAATTGTTGCTTTATGGTTTTCTATACCTATGCTGTTTGTAATGGACATGGTTGCGCATCCCCCAGGAGTTCCACCTATTATAGATTAAGTCTGGCATTCTCACTTTTACAGAGTATGATAATTAGTGGATTTGTGGTTTCTAGATTTTGGAAAGAAAAAAAAATTCCAAGTAATATGAAATTAGAATGATATGTGCATTCTAATTTTTTGTGCTTAATTAGTGTTATAGCTTTCAGAGTTTACCAAGATTGTTTGCTTCAGTTCTGACACCTTCAATATCTTCTTTTTGTTTTTCCCATTGTGACACTTAAGGAAGTTGGAGAACGATACAATGACAAACTTTGGTGTTGAAATGATGCCACTCTTTCTAATGGATGGTGTCCTCCCATTTCAGAAGTTTGAGTGCAAAACAATTACACATTTGGTAGTGTTTTGAGTGCAATTGGTGATGCTCAGGATATTTCTCTGAAATATGGCCAATGATGCCACTCTTCCTTGATCAAACTTGGATTAGTGACTGGCCCAATTATCGCAGGTGCTCTTCTTGATATGTATGCAAACCAGGAAGCATTTGTGAGTCCAAAAGAGTTTTCAGTGAGACGCCTCATAAAAGCCAGTTTGCTTGGATTGCAATAATATCTGCATATGCTGGGCATGGAGACTATGACTCCGTGATAGAATTGTTCAAGGAGATGGAGAGAGAAGGAGTAGACCTGATTCAGTCACATTTCTTTCTATACTAGCAGTAGGCTGCAGAAATGGAATGGTGGAGATGGGCCGTCACCTCTTTCATTCAATGGTGAAGGACTATCATATTGAACCATCTCCTCAACATTATTCAAGTATGGTGGACATGTTGGGATGTGCAGGGAAATTGGAGGAAGCACAAGAATTGATGAGTCAGATCCCGGGACAGCCAGGGTTTTCATTGTTGCATAGCCTGCTCGGGGCTTGCAGGATCCATGGGAATGTGGAGATGGCGGAGAGAGTAGCCAATACATTAATGAGATTGGAACCAATGGAATCGGGATCTTTTGTGTTGATGTCCAACTTGTATGCTGAGAAAGGGGACTGGGAAATGGTAGCAAAAGTTGGGAAATGGAAGAGAGATGAAGGAGTGAGAAAGGAATTGTGATATAGTTGGGTGGATACTGGTGATGCTGATGGTTCCCTGTATCTGCATGGGTTTTCATCAGGTGGTATATCCCAACCACACAGTCTGGGGAGATATGTAGAATGGCAAAATGTCTAGGATTAGAGATGAAGATTTTGAGAGAGAACATGTGGGAGACAAAATCACTGAAAATGGACTCCTTCTCAAGGCCCTCACTTTGAAGGCTTGAATCTGTACATGTGAAACTTCAAAAGTAACTCATGATTGTTAAGAAGTTCTGTAGCCAAATGTCAAAATAAAAAAAGGAAATTCATCTTGAGGTAATTCAAAAATGGAAAAACGTGGTCGGCGGGGATTCGAACCTGGGAAGTACCACTCCGGCACAACCACTTGATGGGCGCTGGTCTACATCTTTTCCTATATTACTACTTCCTGTTCACATTGTTGAAGAGCCAACATTCAGAGATGAAACTTACAAGACAACAATAAAATAGTTATTATTTAAATTTTGCAGCCATTGCATTTTTCATTTAGATTATCCCCAGAATGTTTTTCTTTTGTTTTTCTGAAGAGGACAGGAGTTAGAACTTGGTAGCTGTTCTAACACTGCTAGTTCATCGCAAAACTATTTGATAAAATGCTCTAGCCACCGCTACCTGGTCTACTCAAGGTCCGAAACCTTTGTATGGTAATGCCAAAATTGAGGATGTTATGAAGTTGCATCTTTGAATTTTACAAGGTTGCTAAAAATCTTGTAACAGGTAATGTGTAGAAAGGTCCAAAACCTTTGGATTGGATTCTTATTTTTTGTTGTTGCATTTATGGGTTTAAAACCCGTATTATTTCTTATAAATAAAATCCATTTTTTATTCTTGCCTAATGAGCTAATAGCTGGAAATCATTAGAATGTGAGGTATCGGAAAGAATTTAAATTCTCATTCCCCAATATCACTGGTATAAATAAAATAATTGAAGAAATAACTCTATCCTAATTAGCTAAAGTTGTATTTTAGCCCTAAGCCCTAAAATATCATGACAAAATTGTATATTTAAAGAGTATAGCCGGTCGGCTGTACTATTTAAATATATTATTTTAACGGTATAGCCGTGCGGCTGTATTCCTTGAATATATTCGAATATTTTAAAGGTATAGCCGACCGGCTATACGCTTCAAATGTATTCGAAACCAACACGAAGCTTGCACTTGCACTCGCAGTCGCGGCCGTTTCGCTTCTCTATAAGCGCTTCCAAGCTTCAAAGACTCTCTCTCTCTCTCTCTCTCTCTCTCTCTCTCTCTCAAGCTTCAAAAAAAAAAAATTCTTTCGTTTCGGCTGCTGTGTTGATTGGATTGGATGGGACTCTCTCTACGAAAACCATCAAATGTCATTCAGCTATTGAAATCTCCACTAATTAAGATAACTCGGATGCTATAAGGGAGTTAGGCAGCTTGGGCCGGTCTAGGCGGCGCCTAGGCGGCCTGGGCGGTTCTAGGCGGCGCCTAGGCGGCCTGGGCGGGTCTGGGCGTCCTTTTTTTTTTCAAATGAACACAGATGAAGCTTGCACTCGCAGAGTTATGTGGTGCGCGAGTGAAATGAAGAGACAGAGAAACGAACACGAAGCTTGCACTCGCAGTCCAATCTTCAAAATTCAAATACTCGGTCTTGAGCCTCTCTCTCAACTCAAGCTTGGATTTTTTTTTCTTCGGTTCGGCTGCTGTGTTGATTCGATTTTTGTTTGTGCTTTTCTGTTATTGAAGTTGGCAATGTCAGATGAACATCCAAGGCAGTTTCTTAGTATGCCAGAAGAAGCCCAGCAGATGGTTCTTTAACCTGGGGCACACATTGCAGTTTGGCATTGGATTACACCATGCCGGTCTGAATGACAAAGATGGACCTCTGGTGACACGGACGACTACATTTTGGTGAGTGTGCGTTTGTGCTGTGGTTTCTCTTGTTTGGTTGCTGAGAAAATGTTGGGAAACCAGGAAGAAATTGAGTAATTTGTTTACTGGAATTATGTTTATTTAACAAAACATAGATATTAAGTATATATTGTGTAATACCAGCTGGCTGGCTATTGTATTTGGTTTTGTGAAATTCTAAAATGTTATATTATTTTATCTTTTGTGTGGTATTCTGTAGCAATCCTTTTCAGGAATGTTTTCAGAATTTCATGCCTATTTCAGTCAATGGATCGAGGTGAGTGTTTTGCTGTTATTGATTCTATTTAATTGAGTTAGTCTATATCTATCTTCTAATCCCTTTTTAGTCCTTGACTTGTGTTAATTTTCCTAGGTAACAAATGTCCTTTGTGCCCAACAGTTCTTTTCATTACTCCTAGAACATGTGCTTGTAATAATTGAATGAGATGCTTGTATTATTTGACATCAGAATTGTTGCTTTATGGTTTTCTATACCTATGCTGTTTGTAATGGACATGGTTGCGCATCCCCCAGGAGTTCCACCTATTATAGATTAAGTCTGGCATTCTCACTTTTACAGAGTATGATAATTAGTGGATTTGTGGTTTCTAGATTTTGGAAAGAAAAAAATATTCCAAGTAATATGAAATTAGAATGATATGTGCATTCTAATTTTTTGTGCTTAATTAGTGTTATAGCTTTCAGAGTTTACCAAGATTGTTTGCTTCAGTTCTGACACCTTCAATATCTTCTTTTTGTTTTTCCCATTGTGACACTTAAGGAAGTTGGAGAACGATACAATGACAAACTTTGGTGTTGATATGATGCCACTCTTTGTAATGGATGGTGTCCTCCCATTTCAGAAGTTTCTGCTACCCATTTTTGAACCTCGGTATAGACTTATGGTAAGTTGGTTAGCAGTTTGTATTTTTCACATATGACTTTCATAAAATATTTAAACGTAGAAGTGCATTTGCTGCAAAATAACTATGTTGAAAATGTTATCTAGCAAGTTTTGTATGCCTACTTGGTACTTTTCTACGGTCCATGTGATCCATGTGTTTTGTTGTTTTTGTTGAATATTCATAGATTTTTGCTTGTACCTTGTCACTTAAACAACGGATAAGGAGTATAATGGAAGGCAACTGTCGGATGGAAACGGTAGATTAGTGTCACTGGTCCTTTTCTTTCCCTTTTAACTTTCATAAGGTACATAAAGTTTGACCCAAAGTATAAGTTTCAATCTCTACTTTTGCGCTCTGTTTACATTGTTTTAATGCATTATGAATGCTAAAACTGATCTACTTTTCATTTAATGAACAATTATCCTTTATTTTTTGTCTTTATTTATACACCCGAGGTTGCAAATTAACTATTAGGCTTATCTATGATAAATATTTCCATATCAGAACGTATTTTGTTTGAAGTTATGATGTTTTTTTTTAAATGATCCATTCACACACTTATAATAATACTATTTCATGCAGATTGAAAGTCACTGACGGTTTCGTATAATTCGATCTTGGGACCAAGATGGATGAGTTGTCTTATGAGATGTCTAGCCATTCATTTGATCTTTAGTTACTGCTCTTGTTCAATATTTTTGTCTTTTGATGTGCTCTACCGTATGGGTACAGGACATATATCCACCAGAATGGTCTAGAGAGAGAGAGCAGACGTAAGTTCATGACAATTTGGTTTGCTGTAATCTCTCTATTAGAGTGTGCTCTTTTCTTTTATATTTTATATTTAAATTTTTTGTTGTAGAGAATAGTAAAAAGCTTGAGTTAAACTTGATCTGGTGCTTATCAATTCTTTTGAGTTATTTATTTATTTATTTAAATTTTTTTATTAACAAATTGGTCACACATTTTTCTAGATGCAAAGTTGCGTAGTTTTCAACTTCAATTGGCAAAACTTGGGATACAAAAATCAGATCTTAAAGTGTCGTGGATGAGGCATCTTATTTTACATGTGACATGTGACCTAATGGAATTTAGTTGTAAATCTTCAAATGTATTATAGTTGTCACTGAATTAAGTCTAATAATGTCATTGCTAAAAGGCCCTGTAGCTAGTGTATTAATTGTAACACCCCGACTCCAAATTTATCCCCTATTTTAATTAATTTGAGCGAAATTAAGAATTTACCAGTGGGATAGGGGTATTTTAGTCATTTTCTTACCCGGAAGGAATTTGAGAATTCCAGAGGTACCGTTGCGTAGGGCACGGCGAGATGAGTTCGTAGACACGTAGTGGGCTCGAATCGGAGTTGTAACGAGAGAGATACGATCTAAATACCCTCAGTGGCAAAATCGTAAATATTGTGAAGAGGGATTTTGGTTAAAAGACGGAATTGCCCCCGTCTCTCACACACTCTCTCTCTCCCGCGCGTCTCTCCCTCTCTCCTCTGGTTTTCGCGACAGCCACCGTGGCCGACCACGTTTTGGCCGGCCGTTCGCTCATCCGGCCACCAAAGTTGACGGGGCCGGTACCAAAATGACCGGGCCGCCGTCCTCTTCCTACCCCGGCCAGGTCCCGCCGCCAGCCGCCGTGGTTTCGCCGGAAAACGAGGAGAAAAGCTCCGGTTTTGACAGAAAATTCGCCGGCTTCGTTCTCCGTCGTCCGGCCGCCATTTTTGGCGATCAAGGTATGGAAATTCATCCCTTCTGCATGATCTAGCTGATGGTTGGGTAGGATTGTATCGATTTTGAGCCCAGATTATCTGATTTTCGAGTTAGGGTTCGGCCGGATTTCGGGATGAGATTCCGGCCACTTCCGGTCAGTTTTTGGGGTACGTCCAAGAACAAAAGTGACTCCAAATTAGGTGTATTACCTAGGGTAGGAGTCTGGGCTCACGATTTGGAAGTTTTCCGGCGATGGGTATCGCTTTGGACACCCACGCGCTGCCGGCGCGTGTGGCGGCGCGTGGGCACTGTAGCTGAGGGGCATTTTTGTCCCATTGTGATCCTCTCGATGTCACGAGCGCGTAGGTGTGCTCGGATCTCTTTTTGGATACCGTTAGAGTTCCGAACGGATATCGCATATCGCGTGTTTTCCAGGTTCGCTGGGTTTGGACCGTTGGATGGTCCTGAGATTATTATATGTTGATCTAGGTGTTACCAAGATCGTGTAGGATTCGACGGATCGTAAAACGGAGTCCCGGATACTCCGGAAATGCCAACCCTGGGGTTAGGGTTTTAGTAACCGTCCGATCGTGTGATCGTGAGCGATCCGACCGTCCGATCAAGACCAAACTTGCAGGACGTGCATCCTAGAGCTTGTAGAACCTATAGGAACTTTCGGATCGGAAATTGGAGGTCGTGGGCCCCGCGGGCCCGTTTGACCAAGGTTGGGTAGTTTGACCCTGGTTTGTCTGTGGGACTTCCTTGGTAGTATTACATTCCTAGGAAGATTAAAATGACCGTGGTGACAGGTCCTGATGTCATGGGGATTATGGGGGATTATCGGATGCTAGTTGTTTGTTAAGGTGTTATTATATGATTAGAAATTATATGATATATTTAAATAATTGTGTGGAGGTATAATGATAGATAAGGAGATTGAATATTAGTTTACAGTGCTATACGCACTACCCCACGTACCCCTCATATTGTGATTATGCTCAGGCCCAAGTGACAGTAAGATGGCTGGTGAGAATGTAGCCAGGCCCAGTGTGAGGTCTTTGGATTAGCCGGCGTGTTGACAGGCCCCGTACGTGGCCGGGTACGTCCCGACGTATGAGTGGGAGATATGATGGTATGAGGGCTGGTGAGAATGTAGCCAGGCCCAGTGTGAGGTCGCACGCGTCTTTGGATTAGCCGGCGTGTTGACAGGCCCCGTACGTGGCCGGGTACGTCCCGACGTATGAGTGGGAGATATGATGGTATGAGGGCTGGTGAGAATGTAGCCAGGCCCAGTGTGAGGTCGCACACGTCTTTGGATTAGCCGGCGTGTTGACAGGCCCCGTACGTGGCCGGGTACGTCCCGACGTATGAGTGGGAGATATGATGGTATGATGGCTGGTGAGAATGTAGCCAGGCCCAGTGTGAGGTCGCACGCGTCTTTGGATTAGCCGGCGTGTTGACAGACCCCGTACGTGGCCGGGTGCGTCCCGACGTATGAGTGGGAGATATGATAGTATGATGGCTGGTGAGAATGTAGCCAGGCCAAAGAGAACAGTATGATGGCTGGTGAGAATGTAGCCAGGCCCAGCGAGAGGTCGCACGCGTCTTTGGATTAGCCGGCGTGTAGACAGACCCCATACGAGGCCGGGTGCGTCCCGTCGTATGAGGGGAGCTATGTGATTATGTTTGGTGTGTTGTGATGGATAAACCCGAGAATGTATGTATTTATATGGATGTAATGGTTTATTTGATATTAGGAGCCATGATTGATAAGAAAGAACTACGTGTGGCTTGATCCCTTAGTAGGGTACGTAGGCAGCCTGGGATAGCGCCTAGGTGCAGCCACGACCTAGACACCACTTAGGTGGTTTTATCGGGTATGATGCGGACCCCGTGGTTGGTCCCGAAACTTGGTTGAATTGAGGCTTGTCCGTTGGACTGAGTAAGTGAAGGTGTGTATGGATAGATTTTGAATTGGATATATGCATGTTTAATGCATGGAGTTATTTTGAAAGCAGTGTGAGTAGTTCTGCTAGAATCATTTGAAGGTCGGAGGCCATTTGTGTAAATTGCATGAGATTATAGTGTGCGTGCTGCTGGTTGGGTTATAAAATGAGTTTTATGCAGGTAGAAATTTTGGGGAATGTTCAATTTACAGGGGAGACTCTGCCGAAATTTTGGTAGAAAGTCTCGTGCCCTAAATCCTCTTTGGTAAACGAGGACGTAGATTTAAGGAGTAAACCCGGCGTGGGTGTGATGCCGGGGTCTCCGCAGGGTTCGTCTCGGGTTCCGGGAAATTCGGGACGGGTCCTGTCAGCTTGGTATCAGAGCCTAGTTCAATTTCTTGTGGACCCCGCACCTTGTGTGCATCCTTAAGTTGTGGGATCATGATGGGTTCCGTCACGGGACGTCATCATTTTGATGCGGAGGATTCTTTGACATGGATGGATTTAGGATATTGATGAGTACACTTAAGGGTGTCACGTTCCTAGAAACGTGTCTATCCAAATTGTTGTATCTCAATATCCTACGGGAGGAAACGGAAGAGCCGAAAGTATTGAATCCGCTGAGATGGGACGAAATTGTCAGAGGAAGTTGATGGACAAGTTACATGGGAATGGAGGAGTTGTGAGTCCGACCAAGGAGGGTCGGGACAAATTAAGTTGAGAAGTAGTAGTGTTGGATGAAGTTTGTAGAGTTCTTATGGGCAGGAGGACATGGAGTTGATCAATCTACTTCTGGGGATCCTCCATTGCCTGAACATGTTGCTAATCCTCGATTGTGTGCAGTGAGCACGTTTGAGCAGAAATCTTTCATCGGAATCAGAAATGGGTCATGGTAGAGAGAGGAAGATGATGATTACAATTCGGTAAAAATGATCCTTTCTGACATTCCTCTCAAAGAATCGTGTTGGCAATGTTGCTTATCGATTCTAGAGAAAGAAGAAAGATATCAACAAGTCAAGGAGTTTGGACTTCTCTTCATGGGAGAGCTAGAAGAGAATCAAATCACAAATGGAAGCGTTTAGCTTTCAGAGGAAGATTAAGCATTACCGCAGTTATTGAAGGATATTCTTAGTGGAAGAAAGAGACTTCTCTTCTTCTGCTTGTTTGGATAGAGCGAATGGCTTAACTGCCAACCTGGTTGTGGAGGATGAAGCATGGGAACCCGAGCAGTAGATGCGGGCCCAGTACCCACACCCTTTGAAGTGGCAGGTATGAAATTTCGGGGACGAAATTTTTATAAGGGGGGTAGTCTGTAACACCCCGACTCCAAATTTATCCCCTATTTTAATTAATTTGAGCGAAATTAAGAATTTACCAGTGGGATAGGGGTATTTTAGTCATTTTCTTACCCGGAAGGAATTTGAGAATTCCAGAGGTACCGTTGCGTAGGGCACGGCGAGATGAGTTCGTAGACACGTAGTGGGCTCGAATCGGAGTTGTAACGAGAGAGATACGATCTAAATACCCTCAGTGGCAAAATCGTAAATATTGTGAAGAGGGATTTTGGTTAAAAGACGGAATTGCCCCCGTCTCTCACACACTCTCTCTCTCCCGCGCGTCTCTCCCTCTCTCCTCTGGTTTTCGCGACAGCCACCGTGGCCGACCACGTTTTGGCCGGCCGTTCGCTCATCCGGCCACCAAAGTTGACGGGGCCGGTACCAAAATGACCGGGCCGCCGTCCTCTTCCTACCCCGGCCAGGTCCCGCCGCCAGCCGCCGTGGTTTCGCCGGAAAACGAGGAGAAAAGCTCCGGTTTTGACAGAAAATTCGCCGGCTTCGTTCTCCGTCGTCCGGCCGCCATTTTTGGCGATCAAGGTATGGAAATTCATCCCTTCTGCATGATCTAGCTGATGGTTGGGTAGGATTGTATCGATTTTGAGCCCAGATTATCTGATTTTCGAGTTAGGGTTCGGCCGGATTTCGGGATGAGATTCCGGCCACTTCCGGTCAGTTTTTGGGGTACGTCCAAGAACAAAAGTGACTCCAAATTAGGTGTATTACCTAGGGTAGGAGTCTGGGCTCACGATTTGGAAGTTTTCCGGCGATGGGTATCGCTTTGGACACCCACGCGCTGCCGGCGCGTGTGGCGGCGCGTGGGCACTGTAGCTGAGGGGCATTTTTGTCCCATTGTGATCCTCTCGATGTCACGAGCGCGTAGGTGTGCTCGGATCTCTTTTTGGATACCGTTAGAGTTCCGAACGGATATCGCATATCGCGTGTTTTCCAGGTTCGCTGGGTTTGGACCGTTGGATGGTCCTGAGATTATTATATGTTGATCTAGGTGTTACCAAGATCGTGTAGGATTCGACGGATCGTAAAACGGAGTCCCGGATACTCCGGAAATGCCAACCCTGGGGTTAGGGTTTTAGTAACCGTCCGATCGTGTGATCGTGAGCGATCCGACCGTCCGATCAAGACCAAACTTGCAGGACGTGCATCCTAGAGCTTGTAGAACCTATAGGAACTTTCGGATCGGAAATTGGAGGTCGTGGGCCCCGCGGGCCCGTTTGACCAAGGTTGGGTAGTTTGACCCTGGTTTGTCTGTGGGACTTCCTTGGTAGTATTACATTCCTAGGAAGATTAAAATGACCGTGGTGACAGGTCCTGATGTCATGGGGATTATGGGGGATTATCGGATGCTAGTTGTTTGTTAAGGTGTTATTATATGATTAGAAATTATATGATATATTTAAATAATTGTGTGGAGGTATAATGATAGATAAGGAGATTGAATATTAGTTTACAGTGCTATACGCACTACCCCACGTACCCCTCATATTGTGATTATGCTCAGGCCCAAGTGACAGTAAGATGGCTGGTGAGAATGTAGCCAGGCCCAGTGTGAGGTCTTTGGATTAGCCGGCGTGTTGACAGGCCCCGTACGTGGCCGGGTACGTCCCGACGTATGAGTGGGAGATATGATGGTATGAGGGCTGGTGAGAATGTAGCCAGGCCCAGTGTGAGGTCGCACGCGTCTTTGGATTAGCCGGCGTGTTGACAGGCCCCGTACGTGGCCGGGTACGTCCCGACGTATGAGTGGGAGATATGATGGTATGAGGGCTGGTGAGAATGTAGCCAGGCCCAGTGTGAGGTCGCACACGTCTTTGGATTAGCCGGCGTGTTGACAGGCCCCGTACGTGGCCGGGTACGTCCCGACGTATGAGTGGGAGATATGATGGTATGATGGCTGGTGAGAATGTAGCCAGGCCCAGTGTGAGGTCGCACGCGTCTTTGGATTAGCCGGCGTGTTGACAGACCCCGTACGTGGCCGGGTGCGTCCCGACGTATGAGTGGGAGATATGATAGTATGATGGCTGGTGAGAATGTAGCCAGGCCAAAGAGAACAGTATGATGGCTGGTGAGAATGTAGCCAGGCCCAGCGAGAGGTCGCACGCGTCTTTGGATTAGCCGGCGTGTAGACAGACCCCATACGAGGCCGGGTGCGTCCCGTCGTATGAGGGGAGCTATGTGATTATGTTTGGTGTGTTGTGATGGATAAACCCGAGAATGTATGTATTTATATGGATGTAATGGTTTATTTGATATTAGGAGCCATGATTGATAAGAAAGAACTACGTGTGGCTTGATCCCTTAGTAGGGTACGTAGGCAGCCTGGGATAGCGCCTAGGTGCAGCCACGACCTAGACACCACTTAGGTGGTTTTATCGGGTATGATGCGGACCCCGTGGTTGGTCCCGAAACTTGGTTGAATTGAGGCTTGTCCGTTGGACTGAGTAAGTGAAGGTGTGTATGGATAGATTTTGAATTGGATATATGCATGTTTAATGCATGGAGTTATTTTGAAAGCAGTGTGAGTAGTTCTGCTAGAATCATTTGAAGGTCGGAGGCCATTTGTGTAAATTGCATGAGATTATAGTGTGCGTGCTGCTGGTTGGGTTATAAAATGAGTTTTATGCAGGTAGAAATTTTGGGGAATGTTCAATTTACAGGGGAGACTCTGCCGAAATTTTGGTAGAAAGTCTCGTGCCCTAAATCCTCTTTGGTAAACGAGGACGTAGATTTAAGGAGTAAACCCGGCGTGGGTGTGATGCCGGGGTCTCCGCAGGGTTCGTCTCGGGTTCCGGGAAATTCGGGACGGGTCCTGTCATTATATCCTTTTTTTTTTTTTTTTTTTTTTTTTTTTTTTTTTTTTTTTTTTTTTTTTTTTTTTTTTTTTTTTTTTTTTTTTTTTTTTTTTTTTTTTTTTTTTTTTTTTTTTTTTTTTTTTTTTTTTTTTTTTTTTTTTTTTTTTTTTTTTTTTTTTTTTTTTTTTTTTTTTTTTTTTTTTTTTTTTTTTTTTTTTTTTTTTTTTTTTTTTTTTTTTTTTTTTTTTTTTTTTTTTTTTTTTTTTTTTTTTTTTTTTTTTTTTTTTTTTTTTTTTTTTTTTTTTTTTTTTTTTTTTTTTTTTTTTTTTTTTTTTTTTTTTTTTTTTTTTTTTTTTTTTTTTTTTTTTTTTTTTTTTTTTTTTTTTTTTTTTTTTTTTTTTTTTTTTTTTTTTTTTTTTTGGGGTCATCATCCATATAGCATGCACTTAGCATTTTTGACAACGAAAACAAAAGAAAAACTAATGCAGAATCATGCTATCACATTTACCTCAGTTACTAAGCACGCAGAGATTGTCAGTATCTATAAGTTTTCTGCGTCCAGAATTTCTCCATAACCATATCAAATGATAATTCAGACTACTAATTATGGTGATGATGATGGAGACAGTAGGAGACAAGCTTAACTTATCTAAATTACCATAAAAACATAACTGAAGAAAACTCAACAAGGAAATCAGCACCCCAATCCAAATGCATGCTAAATTTTTGAGTTGCAATTAACTAGACCAGCTGGTCAAGTGCAACACATCCACTTGAAATAATTTTGTTACTACAATAACACGGTTATTACAACAAATTAACAAAAGGCATTTTCATTTAAAAACCTGTTAGCAGCAGCAGAGGCAACACAAACCCGCCAAGAAATCTCCCCATGAGAGGCCCTTAGAACCAATCCAATCACTTCAAATTCAAATTTTCATAATTGGGTTTTCGATTAACATCAAAATCACGAAAACCCATTTCCCAAAGACTTCCAGAGTACAGCCGAACGGCTGTATGTTTACAATATTATACCCGCTCGGCTAAGCTTTAAATATAATATTTTCAGAGTCCAGCCGATCGGCTATACCTTTACAATATTCGAATATATTATAAGGGTATAGCCGCCCGGCTATACTGTTTAAATATAATAAGTCAAGTCGTTCAGCTATAATGTTAAAATATTCTTAATATAATATTTTCAGCGTACAGCCGCGCGGTTCGACTCTTTAAAAATATTTTTTTTAAATATTCTTGTAGACCCTTCAATTTGATTGAGCAAGCGATTTATAAAACCCAACTTCAACTGCACTTTCATATAAGACCAACTCAAATTATTGAATCCATTTTTTTTTTTTTTTTTTTTTTTTTTTTTTTTTTTTTTTTTTTTTTTTTTTTTTTTTTTTTTTTTTTTTTTTTTTTTTTTTTTTTTTTTTTTTTTTTTTTTTTTTTTTTTTTTTTTTTTTTTTTTTTTTTTTTTTTTTTTTTTTTTTTTTTTTTTTTTTTTTTTTTTTTTTTTTTTTTTTTTTTTTTTTTTTTTTTTTTTTTTTTTTTTTTTTTTTTTTTTTTTTTTTTTTTTTTTTTTTTTTTTTTTTTTTTTTTTTTTTTTTTTTTTTTTTTTTTTTTTTTTTTTTTTTTTTTTTTTTTTTTTTTTTTTTTTTTTTTTTTTTTTTTTTTTTTTTTTTTTTTTTTTTTTTTTTTTTTTTTTTTTTTTTTTTTTTTTTTTTTTTTTTTTTTTCACACGCATTTAGTTAAGCATCTCATTTGTTGCCTTCATTCTTGAATCCCAACACTTCATCACATTAGATTGGAACCTGTTGTTCCGTCTCGTGCCCAGCACAACAAACACAAGAACGCACATGATTCCTACTACAGATGTTATATACTCCGTGTTTTTTTTGTTTTTTTGTCAAATTAATAGTATAGCCGCGCGGCTATACTGTACACATATAAAAATTGGGTCAGATGTCTTCTTCTTCCCAGCGTCGCCTTCTCCTTCCTCTCTCTCTCTCTCTCTCCGTCTTTCTTCCTAACAAGCAGCGGATCCTGCGCACTTCAACCGCCCTTCCTCCACTCCTCAACGGCAAAACGCCCGCCCAGACCCGCCTAGGGCCGCCTAGGCGGGCGCCCTGATGCGGCCTAGCTCCCTGGCGCCTACCCTTGGATGCCAGCGTCGCCTTCTCCTTCCTCTCTCTCTCTCTCTCTCCGTCTTTCTTCCTAACAAGCAGCGGATCCTGCGCACTTCAACCGCCCTTCCTCCACTCCTCAAAGGCAAAACGCCCGCCCAGACCCGCCCAGAGCCGCCTAGGGCCGCCTAGGCCGCCTAGAGCCGCCTAGAGCCGCCTAGGGCCGCCTAGGCGGGCTCCCAGATGCGGCCTAGCTCCCTGGCGCCTACCCTTGGATGCCACATCCTGGAAGGGTACCTCTTGGTGTACCGGAACTGACTTAAGTTGGTTCGAAATTGAAAGATAATTAGCTTTCGGTTGGCGTGGAATTAGGATTACACTGTTTTCACAGTCATGTGGCAGGTCACTGGTGAATCAACCTTCCTAGTCTGATGATCTTGTACTGTAAAACCACAGCAAGGTAAGCAATGCGGCAAGGATTTTAAGAATTGAAACACTTACGTAGCTAAGTAGCAAGGATGACACACACATTTAATAAGTAACATAAGATTCTCTGTTGCACATAATCCAAATCTGCGATCAACTTGCAGAACCTACACTGTAGAGATGCTGAAGTCACTGGTTTTCAAGTATCCTGCTACATAAACTGTGTTGGATTTGTAGATGTCATAAACTATTCGTTGACTTTACATTGGATGGGCATCGAAAGAGAAAATAGTGATGCGGTTGAGGAGGAGAGTGATGTAATTATTAAGTCAATGGAAGCGTTGCAGCCCCATTCAAGTCTAAAACAGTTAATCCTGAAGTACTATATGGGTGCGAGGTTTGCGAGTTGGTTTCATTCTCTCACAAATATTGTTGATCTCAGATTGTATAACTGTGATAGATGCCAACATCTTCCACCGTTGGATCATTTTCCTTTTCTTAAGATTCTTGTGCTTTGGGGGTTAAGGAATTTGGAGCACATATCAGCAGAAGACAAGGTTAAGGACTTTGCCGGTGATGAGATGATGATGATGTCAGCTGCTTCTCCATCGACGACCTTCTTTCCCTCCTTAGAGAGTCTTCGTCTAATTCATTGCCCTAATCTCAAGGGATGGTGGAGGAATGAAACAGCTTCTTCATTTCCTTATCTTTCTACTTTATATATAGAGAATTGTCCTAGCCTAACTTCCATGCCAATGTACCCAAATCTTCATAGACTGGAGTTAAAGAACAACAGCTGGAAGGTCATTCCCTCCTCCTTTGTTCCCTCATCCAAATTAAAATCTCTGGACATTATGGGTGTTGAGGATATAGAATATGTGCCAGAAGAAGGGATTGGAAACCTCACATTACTCCGAGAGCTCTCAATTACAAATTGCCCTAATTGGTATCACTACCAGATCAAGGGATGGGTCGCCTCATCTCCTTACAGGGACTGCATATTTCAGATTGTCCTAAATTGACATCACTACCAGAAGGGGTCGGCAACCTCACATTACTCCAGCACCTCAAAATTAGAGATTGTCCTAAATTGGCATCACTGCCAGAAGGGATCAGCAACCTCAAATCACTTTCCAATCTTCGAATTCGATGCTTCCCCAATCTGGCATCACTCCCAGAAGGGCTTCGATGCCTCATCTCCTTACAGGATCTGAAAATTTTGATTGCTCGAAATTGGCTTCACTACCAGAAGGGATGGGCAACCTCAAATCACTAAAGTTGCTTTGGATATCGGATTGCCCTAATTTGGCATCACTCCCAGAAGGGCTTCGTTGCCTCGCCTCATTAAAAAGTTTGAACATTTGGAAATGTCCCATGTTAGCACAAAGATGCCATAAAGGAACAGGTGAAGACTGGTCCAAGATTGCTCACATCCCAGACATTCGCATTAATCCAGAAGCTGGTGCGTTTTTCTAACTAATTTCTTTCTTTTGCATTGACACTTTCATTCAAATGGCAACCAACCTCAGCTTGTTCATTTTATTCTTTTCCAGCTCCATCTTATATGTTTTTCTAAGGGTTGGGTCAGTGGAAATTGGGTCCCCACTAAAAACTCTTATGGCTTGATTGTGATTGTGCAACAGCAGGTCACCAAGAAAGTGGTATGTATGTATTAGATGATGAGCCCTTGATCCTAACATTGTTTTGTTGTTGGTATGTTTACATGACAATAACATTCGGTTTTGTTCTTATTTTTCTTTATGGATATGCAGTGATTAAAGAAGAAACTGATTAGGCATCCTGACTTTAATCATATAAGTGACTCAGTTGTACATGTGATGAATTTAGGTAATTCTAACTCTCATATTTCGTTATGGCTTTTGAAATTGGTGTCTTTGATTTTTTTTTTTTTTTTTTTTTTTTTTTTTTTTTTTTTTTTTTTTTTTTTTTTTTTTTTTTTTTTTTTTTTTTTTTTTTTTTTTTTTTTTTTTTTTTTTTTTTTTTTTTTTTTTTTTTTTTTTTTTTTTTTTTTTTTTTTTTTTTTTTTTTTTTTTTTTTTTTTTTTTTTTTTTTTTTTTTTTTTTTTTTTTTTTTTTTTTTTTTTTTTTTTTTTTTTTTTTTTTTTTTTTTTTTTTTTTTTTTTTTTTTTTTTTTTTTTTTTTTTTTTTTTTTTTTTTTTTTTTTTTTTTTTTTTTTTTTTTTTTTTTTTTTTTTTTTTTTTTTTTTTTTTTTTTTTTTTTTTTTTTTTTTTTTTTTTTTTTTTTTTTTTTTTTTTTTTTTTTTTTTTCCACACCAATAGGGCTTCACAATATCAGGTCTTGCTTCGGGATCAATCCTCAAGAACCTGTCCTTTTTGAAGGAACTGTGGGAAGCAACATTGATCCAGTAGGAATGTATTCAGATGAAGAAATTTGGAAGGTAAAAAACACAATGCTATCTGGTTTCCGGATTACATAAGAGGGTAACCCATAGCCTCAAAAAACAATAAGATTGAATTATACAATTTGTTTGTATATGTTTGTCATCATTCACTCACTTAGATGAAACAATGCTGTATGTTTATTCACATGAAATCTTAATTTTCTTGTAGAGCCTTGAACGCTGCCAACTTAAAGTTGAGGTAGCTGCAAAACCTGATAAACTCAATTCTTTAGGTATGTGACTCTCCCCATTATATACTCTCTCTCTGGAACTGAACTGCTAGCTAGCATAAGGATTAGGTACTGACTGTTTCCATCAAATTAAGTGGCTGATGATGGCAACAACTGGAGCATGGGGCAAACACAGCTTCTCTGTTTGGGGCGAGTTATGTTCAAGCACAAACATTACAAACTGAAACATGACTTCCATATCCTGATTTATTTGTCAAGCCATGTATCTTTTTCCCAAGTTCTAAATTCATTTCATGTCCGCAAGCTGAAACTGCACTAGTAAATGAGACATGATCTCTTCTCCCACCATCTCAATAAAGACAAAAATCGCCCCAAGCTCATGATTTCCTTCTTGAGAGTAAACTGATAGTATTGCATTCCATGAAACCAGATCCTCATTCGCCATTTCACAAACACACTCCTAGCTTCTATTAACCGCCTCAACCTCGAATACATACTTATAAGTGCATTTCCAACAAAAACGTCACCATCTAAACCAGACTTAAATATAAGAGAATGCAGTTGTAATCCAAATAGAAAATCTTCATGATCCGCACAAAAAGCAAGAATCGTAGTATAAGTCACTGGATAAAAAACAACTCCATTAAAATTCATCCAATGAGCAAAATTCAATGCCCTTCACTTGTTCGAAACCCCGAAAGAATAGTATTCCAAGAAACTATATTAGTATAGCACATAGTCTCAAAGATAAGTAAGGGACCATCAAACTGTCCAGCTTTGGTGTACATACTCATCAAAGAATTTGAAATCGTAGTATACGAAGCAAACTCAGAAGAAACTGCAAACCCGTGAATTTGGCCTCCGGGTTTGGGGTCCCCTTGACAGCAAGGGTAAGGGTAACTTCATCGATGTTATGAGACAAAGGTAGTTGAAGTTGCTTACAGAACATGCCAAGGGCTCTAAGGGTAACGGTAACTTCATCGATTTCGTTTCTCTGTCTCTTCATTTCACTAGCGCACCACATTCCTCTGCGAGTGCAAGCTTCATCTGTCTTCATTTGGAAAAAAAAGGAGGCGGCCAGACCCGCCCAAGCTGCCTAGGCGCTGCCTAGACCCACCCTCGCAGCTCAGAACCGCTCAGGCCACCTAGGACGCCTAGAACCGCCCAGGACGCCTAGGTGCCGCCTAGAACCGCCCAGGCCGCCTAGGCACCGCCCAGAACCTCCCAGGCCGCCTAGGCGCCGCCCAGAACCGCCCAGGCCACCTAGGCTCCGCCCAGAACCGCCCAGGCCACCTAGGCTCCGCCCAGAACCGCCCAGGCCGCCTAACTCCCTTATAGCATCAGAGTTGTTATCTTAGTGGAGATTTCAATAGCTGAATGCCGTTTGATGGTTTTTGTAGAGAGAGTCCAATCCAATCCAATCAACGCAGCAGCTGAAACGAAAGAAAAAAGATCGAAGCTTGAGTTGAGAGAGAGAGGCTCAAGACCGAGCCTTTGTAGCTTGGAAGCGGTTATAGAGAAGCATCTGTGGCTGCGAGTGCAAGCTTCGCGTTCGTTTTGGAATATATTTAAGGATTATAGCCGAACGGCTATACCTTGAAAATAATATATTTAAATACTATAGCCGCACGTCTATACCTTTAAAATATTCGAGTATATTCAAAGACTATAGTCGTACGGCTATACCGTTAAAATAATATATTTAAATAGTATAGCCGCGTGGCGATACTATTAAATATACAATTTTGTCATGTTATTTTAAAATACAACTTTAGCTAATTAGGATAGAGTTATTTCTTGAGTTTTATTTTTATTTTTTATACCAGTGATATTGGGGAATGAGAATTTAAATTCTTTCCGATACCTCCCATTCTAATGATTTCCAGCTATTAATCCATTAGGCAAGAATAAAAAATGGATTTTATTTATAAGAAATAATGCGGGTTAAACCCATAAATGCAACAACAAAAATTATGGATCCACCAACATTTTGAGGATAAAAGAATCTTGAATTTCATAGTATAAAATTGCTTGTGTAAGAATTTACTTTCTAAAATGTATGCATCGTAATTATGAACTAAACCCAATGACAACTTTTTTCTCATCAAAGAAGAGGGGAAAGAAACAGGCAAAGTGAGCTTGCACGTTTACAAAGTTTGTGAGTTAGAATTGCTCACCTTTTCTTTTTCTGTTTAAGCATTTGTTTTTGTCATAGTTGATGAGAGATCCTATTCTTTGTTTAATCTAAATTGTATACGTTGTTTTCTTTGCTAACTGATGAGAATTTATCACCCACCACCAGGCATCAAACTGATCAGATACTCTCAATTTCTTCTCTTCATTTTGGGTATGACCATTGCCATGGACATCACTGTGCTTGCCATCTTTATCGTTGTATGCCAAAATTCGTGGCCAACAGTATTCTTGCTGATTCCACTTATTTGGCTTAATATCTGGTACCGGGTATGTCATTCTTTTTATCATGCTGTTGATATTTATCAGTGTAAGAACTATAATGTTGCAATGAATGTGTTCTTCTTGTTTAACAAATGTGTGTTAGACAGGAAAATAAAATATCTAGTTCTATGATCTTTGGCATGAATACTATTGGTCAATCCAACTCTTGTTAGACAGATAATATAAATGTTTTGAACTGAAGCACCCCTATGCAGATATATGAATGTGCTAGACTGGAAAAGTAAATTTTGTTGTTTGCCTCAATTATATGCTGAGATTTTGCTACTGTTTGGATTTTAGGGTTACTATCTTGCATCATCTCGTGAATTAACTCGACTCAATTCAATCACAAAAGCTCCTGTTATCCATCACTTCTCAGAGAGCATATCCGGAGTTATGACCATCCACTCTTGCAGAATGCAGAACATGTTCTCCAAGAAAATGTTAAACGGGTTAATGCTAATTTACGTATGGATTTCCACAACAATGGGTCCAATGAGTGGTTTGGTTTCCGTATGGAGATGCTTGGGAGTTTAGTTTTCTGCATTTCCACTGTATTCATGTTCTTGTTGCCAAGCAGTATAATAAAGCCAGGTACATCCTTCTTCTTCTTTTGGTGCGACACTTAACAAGATGTCATATGTAGCACTTGATTCATGGCCAATTATGATATGGGATGCCTGAGTATATAATACTTAGCGTATCTGATATAAATTAGCATCTTATCTTGGCACATCTGATATAAATTAGCTGCAGTAGATGAGTGTCTATTTCAGAGATTTGGCTAAATCAGTTATTCCTTCATGGTGCAGAGAATGTTGGTTTAACTCTCTCCTACGGATTGCCCCTGAATGGTGTGCTGTTCTGGTATCGGTTGAGAGGATACCAGAAGCAGCCGCACGGTTATATGAGCTGCTTTGTCTAAAATAAGATGGTATCGGTTGAGAGAACAAAACAATTTACAAACATCCCATCAGAAGCAGCATGGGAGATAAAAGACCTGTGTTCCTCCTTCAAATTGGCCTTCCCGTGTCAATGTCGAGCTCAAAGACTTGCAGGTAGTTTACCTTCAGTTCTGTTTATATCTTCTGAACAAATAAAGTCAAATCTTACATTCCATGAGCTGCTGCACTCTAGCCATTTGTCGTCCCAAATGGTATATTTGTAGTACATCTTCCATGGCTAATGTAGTGGATGGACAAATAAAGTGGTCTGCATGCAAGTTGTCATTACTTGGTCATCTCCATTACTGTCTCAAGCTAAATAAACCCTGTTCCTTTTGATGTCGTCCAAATACACCTTTGGTTCTCAAAGGCATTAGTCCAAGCATTCACGGGGGTGAAAAGATTGGTGTTGTGGGTCGAGCAGGGAGCGGGAAATCAACTTTGATCCAAGTGTTCTTTAGGCTGGTGGAACCTTCAGGAGGCAAAATTATCATCGATGGGATTGATATAACCACAATAGGGCTTCACAATATCAGGTCTTGCTTCGGGATCATTCCTCAAGAACCTGTCCTTTTTGAAGGAACTGTGGGAAGCAACATTGATCCAGTAGGAATGTATTCAGATGAAGAAATTTGGAAGGTAAAAAACACAATGCTATCTGGTTTCCGGATTACATAAGAGAGTAACCCATAGCCTCAAAAAACAATAAGATTGAATTATACGATTTGTTTGTATATGTTTGTCATCATTCACTCACTTAGATGAAACAATGCTGTATGTTTATTCACATGAAATCTTAATTTTCTTGTAGAGCCTTGAACGCTGCCAACTTAAAGATGAGGTAGCTGCAAAACCTGATAAACTCAATTCTTTAGGTATGTGACTCTCCCCATTATATACTCTCTCTCTGGAACTGAACTGCTAGCTAGCATAAGGATTAGGTACTGACTGTTTCCATCAAATTAAGTGGCTGATGATGGCGACAACTGGAGCATGGGGCAAACACAGCTTCTCTGTTTGGGGCGAGTTATGTTGAAGCACAACCGGCTCTTGTTCATGGACGAGGTCACGGCTTCAATTGATTCACAGACAGATGCTGTAACACAAAGGATCATCCGAGAGGATTTTGTTTGGGGCGAGTTATGTTGAAGCACAAACATTACAAACTGAAACATGACTTCCATATCCTGATTTAATTGTCAAGCCATGTATCTGTTTCCCAAGTTCTAAATTCATTTCATGTCCGCAAGCTGAAACTGCACTAGTAAATGAGACATGATCTCTTCTCCCACCATCTCAATAAAGACAAAAATCGCCCCAAGCTCATGATTTCCTTCTTGAGAGTAACCTGATAGTATTGCATTCCATGAAACCAGATCCTCATTCGCCATTTCATCAAACACACTCCTAGCTTCTATTAACCGCCTCAACCTCGAATACATACTTATAAGTGCATTTCCAACAAAAACTTCACCATCTAAACCAGACTTAAATATAAGTCACTGGATAAAAAATCTCCATGATCCGCACAAAAAGCAAGAATCGTAGTATAAGTCACTGGATAAAAAACAATTCCATTAAAATTCACCCTAAGAGCAAAATTCAATGCACCTTCACTTGTTCGAAACCCCGAAAGAATAGTATTCCAAGAAACTATATCAGTATAGCACATAGTCTCAAAGATAAGTAAGGGACCATCAAACTGTCCAGCTTTGGTGTACATACACATAAAAGAATTTGAAATCGTGGTATACGAAGAAAACCCAGAAGAAACTGCAAACCCGTGAATCTGGCATCCGGATTTGGGGTCCCCTTGACAGGCTTTGACAGAAAGGGTAACGGTAACTTCATCGATGTCATGATACAAATGTAGTTGAAGTTGCTTACAGAACATGTCAAGGGCTCTGAGGGTAACGGTAACTTCATTGAGTTCGTTTCTCTGTCTCTTCATTTCACTAGCGCACCACATTCCTCTGCGAGTGCAAGCTTCATCTGTCTTCATTTGGAACAAAAAGGAGGCGGCCAGACCCGCCCAGGCTGCCTAGGCGCCGCCTAGACCCACCCTCGCAGCCTAGAACCGCTCAGGCCGCCTAGGCGCCGCCTAGAACCGCCCAGGCCGCCTAGAACCGCCCAGGCCGCCTAGCTGCAGCCTAGAACCGCTCCGGCCCCCTTGGCGCCTCCTAGAATCGCCCAGGCCGCCTAACTCCCTTATAGCATCAGAGTTGTTATCTTAGTGGAGATTTCAATAGCTGAATGACATATGATGGTTTTCGTATAGAGAGTCCAATCCAATCCAATCCAATCAACGCAGCAGCAGAAACGAAAGAAAAAAAATCGAAGCTTGAGTTGAGAGAGAGAGAGGCTCAAGACCGAGCCTTTGTAGCTTGGAAGCGCTTATAGAGAAGCATCTGTGGCTGCGAGTGCAAGCTTCGCGTTCGTTTTGGAATATAATTAAGGAGTATAGCCGATCGGCTATACCGTTAAAATTTTCGAATATGTCCAAAGCATATAGCCGTACGGCTATACCTTGAAAATAATATATTTAAATAGTATAGCCGCGAATCTATACCTCTAAAATGTTCGAATATGTACTATTTAAATATACAATTTTGTCATGTTATTTTAAAATACAACTTTAGCTAATTAGGATAGAGTTATTTCCTCAATTTTTTTTTTAATACCAGTGATATTGGGGAATGAGAATTTAAATTCTTTCCGATACCTTACATTCTAATACTATCTCAATCATCATCAACCATAATGAGTAGTCTGAATTATCCATGCGTTATGGAGAAATTCTGGACGCAGAAAACTTACTTATATATACTGACAATCCATGCATGCTTAGTAACTCAGGTAAATGTGATAGCATGATTCTGCATTAGGTTTTCTTTTGTTTTCGTTGTCAAAAATGCTAAGTGCATGCTATATGGATGATGCCAGTGCAACTTGCCATTGCAATGTTCCTTCTGTATGACAGCCTTGGTGCAGCAGTGATCACATCTGTAGTAGGAATCATGTGTGTTCTTGTGTTTGTTGTGCTGGGCACGAGACGGAACAACAGGTTCCAATCTAATGTGGTGAAGTGTCGGGATTCAAGAATGAAGGCAACAAATGACACGCTTAACTACATGCGTGTGATCAAATTCCAGGCTTGGGAGGAGCACTTTAATAAGAGAATCCAGGCTTTCCGCAAGTCGGAGTTTAGCTGGCTGACCAAGTTCATGTACTCAATCTCTGCCAATGTTGTGGTTATGTTGTGCACCCCAGTACTTATATCAACTCTTACATTTGGCACTGCACTCTTATTGGGTGTCCGGATTGATGCCTGCCCGGGACATTGTTCAGAACCACAAGCATCTTCAACATTTTGTGGGATCCCATCAGGACCTTCCCACAATCTATGATTTCAATTTCTCAAGCTATGATATCTCTTGGGAGGTTGGACCGTTATATGATGAGTAGGGAATTGGTGGAGGATGCGACGAAGAGAGACGAGGGCTGTGATAGTAGAACTGCTGTGGAGGTTAAAAATGGCCCATTTAGCTGCGCTGATGAAAGCAAAGAAGAGGATTTGAAACACATAAATTTGAATGTCAATAAAGGGGAGCTAACGGCTATTGTAGGGATAGTGGGATCTGGAAAGTCTTCCCTTCTAGCTTTAATTCTTGGTGAGATGCACAAGTTATCCTTAAAGGTACGATTCGATACCATTAAACCCTTTCCTAGATGTCTCTTATGACATAAAATCCTTCCACTGAACCATAAGTTTATAACCAGGTCATAACTCACTCAAAAAGCTTCAGTTTAATCAAGTACTTGTTGAATTAATAAACTTTTTGAATAACAGGTACGAGTTTGTGGAACAACTGCCTATGTTGCTCAAACATCATGGATTCAAAATGGGACTACTGAAGAAAATATATTATTTGGTTTGCCAATGGACAGAGATAGATACCAGGAAGTTGTCAGGGTTTGCTGCTTGGAGAAGGACTTGGAAATGATGGAGTTTGGAGATCAAACTGAGATAGGAGAGCGTGGCATCAACCTAAGTGGTGGCCAGAAACAGAGGATACAACTCGCTAGGGTTGTATATCAAAATTGTGACATATATCTTCTCGATGACGTTTTCAGTGCTATTGATGCTCACACTTTATCAGAAATATTTAAGGTAACATTGCATTAAATGAATGATTTACTTTTGATTCCACAGTGATTGAACATTCAAGCTTGTTCTTAAGATAATTGTTTGAACACTTTTTTACTTTCTTAGTCTAAATGTGCTAAGATAGTATAAAAACAATGCATAATGTTCTACTGATCATGATTTATACTTCTCTGCCGGAATGTGTGAGGGGAGTGCAAAAACAAGACGGTTTTACTTGTAACTCATCAAGTTGACTTCTTGCATAATGTTGATCTTATTTTGGTAAGATTATAATTGCAGTTTGCACATGTATCCTTCCTACTTATATATTTATTTAAACTTATTACCTCCAAATAATATAAGGTCATGAGATATATCAGTTCACATTGTATGCTCTGCCGATGAAAAATTTGATACAAAATAGTCTAGTAAGACAACGAAGAGAAGAGTTTTGAAATAAATTGAAGGTATCCGAGGTCATATGACATTGATATATATACGAACTATTCTAAATGAGATTTCAAACAACGTGTTAGATAAGAAGTAGCATCTCATTCTTACATATACCACACCCACATGCACCTGAAATTCCCAACGTTAAAAGGGGAGAAAAGTGCAATACCTCTCTTGTATCTCGCAAGTGTAGGAGATCCAACCTTTCTTGAGGATGCTGGTTTGATAAAGAAGCAAGCTACATCCAATCATACATTAATACCGACAATCACAGCCCACAATATACTCAATTTTAATAAAGAGAATTATAAAGTTACCTAGAAGCTGAAACGCTTAGGATCTTGTAGTGAAGGCATCAGCGCTTCCACGCCGAGAAGTCTCTCAAATTGTCTTCGATATGTAAAGAGATACTATCATACATCAAAAGGGCACATAGGTATACTGAACACAAGAATAGGGGAAGAAACCATTCTTATGTACACTGGCATTACATATAAATAAGATATGTTGATCTAGAGATAAAGATCCTCCCCAAATGTTCCAAGCAGAAGCTTCCTAAAGACGAAATCTGAATATGATAGACATTTCAGTGGAACAAAAGGTTTACCCTAATAAAACTAATCCTTCATTTCCAACCATTACAACTGACCACTAAATTGAAACATGCAATCTCAGTCAGGTAGTAATATTAATCTGATTCAGGATATTCTTAAAGGTCATCCATATACCTATTATAGAGAACTACGAGATTTAACTTATGGAGATAACCCATGAAAAAAATAAAACAAAAAATAAGGTAAATTCCGAGTTCATTCAATTGATGTCATTCCTGAGCATTTTACCTTGATGTGCTGATCTTTTACCCCGCCCTATCCATAACTGAGCATACTCTGCTGCATTATTTGTCAATTCCTGCAACTGGACAGGTATTGAAGTTAAACCATATAGGCGCAACCAATATGAGGGGGAAAAACATGGAAGAACTTTGTCCTGCATCTTCCTACAGTGATGCATGTTACACTTCAGGCTATTAATACATTAGCTACAGGGCCTTTTAGCAATGACATTATTAGACTTAATTCAGTGACAACTATAATACATTTGAAGATTTACAACCAAATTCCATTAGGTCACATGTCACATGTAAAATAAGATGCCTCATCCACAACACTTTAAGCTCTGATTATTGTATCCCAAGTTTTGCCAATTGAAGTTGAAAACTACACAACTTTGCATCTGGACAGGTATTTCAATATGCATGAAATAGTATTATTATAAGTGCGTTGGATCATTATAAATAATTTTAAAAAAAACATCATAACTTGAATAATAATTTTTTTCTTGAAAAGGAGGAAGCATGGTAGTGGAGTTTACAAATGACATTCTGCATACTAGAAAATTAAGAAGGAAAGGAGGAGGATGAAAGACCTACTTGGTAATTTCCACTTCACAAGCAAAATCAGCTATTGAACCTCTTGAAGAATCAATGATAACCTACAAAATTAAAAAACAAGCCACAATCAGTGAAACTTATACTTTGGGCCAAACTTTATGTACCTTATGAAAGTTAAAAGGGAAAGAAAAGGACCAGTGACACTAATCTACCATTCCCATCCGACGGTTGCCTTCCATTATACTCCTTACCCGTTGTTTAAGTGACAAGGGTACAAGCAAAAATCTATGAATATTCAACAAAAACAACAAAACACATGGATCACATGGACTGTAGAAAAGTACCAAGTAGGCATACAAAACTTGCCAGATAACATTTTCAACATAGTTATTTTGCAGCAAATGCACTTCTACGTTTAAATATTTTATGAATGTCATATGTGAAAAATACAAACTGCTAACCAACTTACCATAAGCCTATACCGAGGTTCAAAAATGGGTAGCGGAAACTTCTGAAATAGGAGGACACCATCCATTACAAAGAGTGGCATCAAACCAACACCAAATTTGTCATTGTATCATTCTCCAACTTCCTTTCGGCAAATTCCTCTGTGAATTTCTTTTGTATAATGTCATTAAGTGTCACAATGGGAAAAACAAAAAGAAGATATTGAAGGTGTCAGAACTGAAGCAAACAATCTTGGTAAACTCTGAAGGCTAACACTAATTAAGCACAAAAAATTAGAAAGCACATATCATCCTAATTTCATATTACTTGGAATTTTTTTTTCTTTCCAAAATCTAGAAACCACAAATCCACTAATTGTTATACTCTGTAGAAGTGAGAATGCCAGACTCAATCTATAATAGGTGGAACTCCTGGGGGATGCGCAACCACGTCCATTACAAACAGCATAGGTATAGAAAACCATAAAGCAACAATTCTGATGTCAAATAATACAAGCATCTCATTCAATTATTATATGCACATGTTCTAGGAGTAATGAAAAGAACTGTTGGGCACAAAGGACATTTGTTACCTAGGAAAATTAACACAAGTCAAGGACTAAAAAGGGATTAGAAGATATAGACTAACTCAATTAAATAGAATTAGTAACAGCAAAACACTCACATCGATCCATTGACTGAAATAGGCATGAAATGCCCACAAGCAGTTGTGACAGGTTCATACAGTAATTTCAAGCATAGTGTGCAATCAAAGTCATCACTGCGTTCTGCTTTTCTATGGCTTCTCCTCCCTGTGAAATTAGCTTGTATTCTCTCTATATTATGAAAACATTCCTGAAGAGGATTGCTACAGAATACCACACAAAAGATCAAATAATATAACATTTTAGAATTTCACAAAACCAAATACAATAGCCAGCCAGCTGGTATTAAACAATATATACTTAATATCTATGTTTTGTTAAATAAACATAATTCCAGTAAACAAATTACTCAATTTCTTCCTGGTTTCCCGACATTTTCTCAGCAACCAAACAAGAGAAACCACAGCACAAACGCACACTCACCAAAATGTAGTCGTCCGCGTCACCAGAGGTCCATCTTTGTCATTCAGACCGGCATGGTGTAATCCAATGCCAAACTGCAATGTGTGCCCCAGGTTAAAGAACCATCTGCTGGGCTTCTTCTGGCATACTAAGAAACTGCCTTGGATGTTCATCTGACGTTGCCAACTTCAATAACAGAAAAGCACAAACAAAAATTGAATCAACACAGCAGCCGAAACCGAAGAAAAAAATCCAAGCTTGAGTTGAGAGAGAGGCTCAAGACCGAGTATTTGAATTTTGAAGATTGGACTGCGAGTGCAAGCTTCGCGTTCGTTTCTCCGTCTCTTCATTTCACTCGCACACCACATTCCTCTGCGAGTGCAAGCTTCATCTGTGTTCATTTGAAAAAAAAAGGGACGCCCAGACCCGCCCAGGCCACCTAGGCGCCGCCTAGAACCGCCCAGGCCGCCTAGGCGCCGCCTAGAACCGCCCAGGCCGCCTAGGCGCCGCCTAGAACCGCCCAGGCCGCCTAGGCGCCGCCTAGAACCGCCCAGGCCTCCTAGGAACCGCCCACTCCCTTATAGCATCAGAGTTGTTATCTTAGTGGAGATTTCAATAGTTGAATGACATTTGATGGTTTTCATAGAGAGAGTCCAATCCAATCCAATCAACGCAGCAGCCGAAACGAAAGAAATTTTTTTTTTTTGAAGCTTGAGTTGAGAGAGAGAGTGAGAGAGAGAGAGAGAGAAGAGAGAGGCTTGGAAGCGCTTATAGAGAAGCGAAACAGCTGCGACTACGAGTGCAAGTGCAAGCGCAGTGTTAATATATTTGAAGCGTATAGCCGTTCGGCTATAGCTTTAAAATATTGGAATATATTCGAAGAGTACAGCCGCACGGCTATACCGTTAAAATAATATATTTAAATAGTACAGCCGCTCGGATTGATTAAATTTTATTGGTTTCAAATCAACGAATACCCTTAATCCCGATGCCTCAAAATTATAAAGATGCCTCAAGACAACCACCAAAACAAGTATTTTTTTGCTTTTGTAATCATATGAATGTAATCATAACAAGCACTATGCATGGAATGGAATCAAATCCCTCACACAAGGAATTTAGATTATGTTCATGATTACGGACATTCTTCACTCGCAAATCAAGAAATTGCTCCATATAATCATACCCATCATCAAATAGTTAATACATTTTTAGTAAAATCTCACGCAATATAACTTGTGGGGGGATATGCGGTGCGAGTTTGGTGTTTGTATAATTTGTTTCCATGTGGTGTGGGTTATGGTTTATATATATGTATATATATGTTGAGGCAATCACAAGACACTGAATTTTATTTGCCTTTTCTTTTTCCTTTTTTCTAACGAAATGAAACGATTTTGTGATCAATCATTAAATCATTAAATGTTATAAAATCACGCCAAAGATGATATTGATTGGTGAGTCAAGTTGTATGTAGTTTGGTTTTCACGATGTTCCTCCTTGCGTTCTACATCAACTTCAAGAGTTAAATAAGAAGTGAGAGGTGGATTATTTATTTATTTATTTTCTTCTTGCTTTTCAAGTTGAAAAGGAGGCTGGGCTGAAAGCTTCAAACCAAACAGAGCCCTGACTAATTAAGAACGTTCACTTTTTATTGTTTATTTTTATACAAGCGATAATAATGGAGGGATACGCTTATGCAAGAAAAGATAATTACTTTTCAAATACTTGAGGTACAAGTCCCTTGATTAAGAATGCTCGCATTTACACATGAAAGCTAACTTTATAGTCCATTATACAAAGTTCAGCTGAAAGGTCTTGTCCACTACCCATGGGCCATGTTATGTTAGCTCGATACAAATTGGAATTGTGCATGATCATGTCGGGTTAGATATGAAAGTGCAGTTGAAGTTGGGTTTTACAAATCAATTGCCCAAGAGAGAAGAAACTCTTGATCAAATTGAAGGGTCTAGTAGAATATTTTAAAAATTATATTAAAATAGTCTAGCCGAGCGGCTGTACTCTTAAATATTATATTTAAGAAGTATAGCCGCACGGCTATACTCTCGTAATACATTCCAATATTTTACAAGTATAGCCGTGCGGCTGCACTCGTAAAATATTATATTTAAAATGTATAGCCGTTCGGCTATACGCGCTAAAATGTATAGCCGTCCAGCCAATTTCGTGAATTAACTCGACTCAATTCAATCACAAAAGCTCTTGTTATCCATCACTTCTCAGAGAGCATATCCGGAGTTATGACGATCCACTCTTGCAGAATGCAGAACATGTTCACCAAGAAAATGTATGAGCTGCTTTGTCTGGTATCGGTTGAGAGGATACCAGAAGCAGCCGCACGGTTATATGAGCTGCTTTGTCTAAAATAAGATTGGTATCGGTTGAGAGGATAAAACAATTTTCAAACATCCCATCAGAAGCAGCATGGGAGATAAAGTCAAATCTTACATTCCATGAGCTGCTACACTCTAGCCATTTGTCGTCCCAAATGGTATATTTGTAGTACATCTTCCATGGCTAGTGTAGTGGATGGACAAATAAAGTGGTCTGCATGCAAGTTGTCATTACTTGGTCATCTCCATTACTGTCTCAAGCGCCCTGTTCCTTTTGATGTCGTCCAAATACACCTTTGGTTCTCAAAGGCATTAGTCCAAGCATTCACGGGGGTGAAAATATTGGTGTTGTGGGTCGAGCAGGGCGCGGGAAATCAACTTTGATCCAAGTGTTCTTTAGGCTGGTGGAACCTTCAGGAGGAAAAATTATCATCGTTGGGATTGATATAACCACAATAGGGCTTCAAAATATCAGGTCTCGCTTCGGGATCATTCCTCAAGAACCTGTCCTTTTTGAAGGAACTGTGGGAAGCAACATTGATCCAGTAGGAATGTATTCAGATGAAGAAATTTGGAAGGTAAAAAACACAATGCTATCTGGTTTCCGGATTACATAAGAGAGTAACCCATAGCCTCAAAAAACAATAAGATTGAATTATACGATTTGTTTGTATACGTTTGTCGTTATTCACTCACTTAGATGAAACAATGCTGTACGTTTGTATACGTTTGTCGGCTTCAATTGATTCACAGACAGATGCTGTAACACAAAGGATCATACGAGAGGATTTTGTTGCATGTACAATAATCAGCATTGAAAATTCTCCTCTCTCTCTCATGCGCAGTTGAAGTTGGGTTTCAGAAATCAATTGCTCATCTCTCTCATGCTAGAAATCAATTGTTCATCTCTCTCGTGCGCAAGAGAGAAAATACTCTTAATCAAATTGATGGGTGTGCTAGAATATTTAAAAGTTATCTTTAAAACGTATAGCCGCGGCTATACCTATCGAATATTTTAAATGTATAGCCGGTCGGCTGTACGCTAAAAATATTATATTTAAAGCGTATCGCCACGCGGCGATACTTTTCGAATATTTTAAAAGTATAAGCGGCGGTACTCTGGAATTGTTATATTTAAAGAGTATAGCCGAACGGCTATACGTGTCAAATACCGGCTCTACTCTGAAAATATTATAAAGAGTATAGCCGTGCGGCCATACTTTTCCAATATATTCGAATATTTTAACAGTATAGCCGCGCGGCTGTAATCTGAAAATACTATATTTAAAGCGTATAGCCGTTCGGCTATACGCTTTGCATATGTTCGAATATTTTAACAGTATAGCCGCTCTGCTCCACTCCGAAAATACTATATTTAAAGGTATAGCCGATCGGCTATACGCTTTGAATATACACGATTTTAAATTGCAGCCAGCTTTCTTCTGTTCCTAATCGAATTGGGAGTTTCTGAGGAAATTCGAAGTCTTTGGGAAATGGGTTTTTGTGATGTTAATCGAAAACCCATTCATGGGATTTTGAATTTGAAGTGATTGGATTGGTTCTAAGGGCCTCTCATGGGGAGATTTCTTGGCGGGTTTGTGTTGCCTCTGCTGCTGCAAACAGGTATTTAAATGAAAATGCCTTTTGTTCATTTGTTTTAATAACCATGTTATTGCAGTAACAGGATTAAATTCAGGGCAACTCAGTTTTCTTGTAAATTCAGGGGACATGGGACCTCTGAATTCAATGGTGAAGTTGTTGCCACCGTTTGCGGTATCGTCGAGCGCGTCAATAAGCGTTGGAGAGTGGAGATAAACTATAGCCATGATGCAGTGTTGATGCTTTCTTCAATGAACTTACCTGACGGCATCCAGGTATAACTGTTCGCCCGAATATAACATGCATCAGTAGTGATAAATTTCCTTTACCAGAGAAGCAAGCTAACTAGTTCTGTTCTATAAAATTCATGTAAATCTGTTAGATGGTCTGGTTTCTTTGTTTGAACTTTTGTTTATCAATCTGAAGGCTGACGCAAATTGTGAGTTGGAAGTATGGAAATTCTTTCCTTTTGATCCGCTAAAGTCTGTTTCTTTAGATAACTAGTGGATATTCCACCAACTAGGAAAAGATGTATTGAGTGTTAGTATTACATGAATATAGTTAGAGAGCATATTTTGGCATTTTCAAGGGAAAACGCATTTGAGCAACTCTGTTATTAATTATAATATAAAACGTAAGGAAAATTGCTCCATTTTCCCTTGCTATTCCCTCGTTTAAGTTTTACTCTTTCATTGCTAGAGGCGACGAACTGCTCTGGATGAACTCAACATGCGCAGCATTTTTTAGGAGAATGATGTCATTTGTGTATGTCCTCTAACATATATTACTGGCCTAATCGAATCATGAAAAAAGAAGGGAATAAGTTAAGAACTGATCCAGTGTTGCAAATACTTGCCCTTTTCCAGGCTGAAGTTCGTGGTTTTCAACATGATGGTTTACATCTCCAAGCAAGAAGTCAGAAGTATGGAAAGGTTTGTCTTCTTTTTATGTATTGACTATTAGAAGGATGCTTCTGATCATTATCTTACTTGAGCTTGCTTATCTTGCATTCTATTTGGCTGTTATGGGATATTTTCGTTGTCATTTTTGCTTCTCTCAATCAATTTTAATTTGCATTGCTTTCATTGCATCCATCCGATGTGGTCTTATGATTATCCATTGTTTTGTTATTGGTTTTCATTATGATTGTAACCTGCATTGCAGCTTGGAAGGGGTCAATTGCTGACAGTCCCTCCTTATCTGGTGAAAAGACGCAAGCAGCACTTCCATCATTTAGAAAACTATGCTATTGACTTGATAATTGGCTGTAACGGATTCATCTGGGTTGGGGAACATGTTCAAGTGACAGACGATATGGTAGTGGATCAAGTGAACAAGTCTGAACAAGATGATGCCAAACCTGATGAAAATTCCATTAGTCCCGAAGATCAAGAGAAAAACTACACTCGGCAAGAGACAAGAGAGAACATATGCAGGGCTGCAAATGCTGTCCGCGTATTGTCTACTTTAGGCTTCAATATTACTGTAGAAGTAATCACGGAGACGGTTGATTTGAGCACTTCTATTAATGTTGCTATACATGAAATGCTCGGTTCAGAGTTCTATGTTTTGGTTGCAGAGAAGGAGTCTGTAAGGCAAAGCATGACAAAAAAAAAAGTGATGACTCTGTGTCCACTTGTGAATTCTGTTATAAGAGAGTTTTTCGTCCATAATCCTTTTCTTTTATCTTTATATTTTACACAATCAAACGTATTTTTGGAGAACCAGTGAACAGAAGAGTTATACTCCATCCAATCTCATCTCCTTAAATAGAGAGATGACATCTTCTTCGTCTATTGAAATAGTCTCCATGCCCAGCATATGCAGATATTATTGCAGTCCAAGCAAACTGACTTATATGAGGTGTCTCACTGAAAACTCTTTTGGACTCACAAATGCTTCCTCGCTTTGCATACATGTCAAGAAGAGCACATGCGATAATTGGGCCAGTCACTAATCCAAGTTTGATCAAGGAAGAGTGGCATCATTGATCATCACCAATTGGACTCAAGACACTACCAAATGTGTAATTGTTTGGCTTTGACTCCATAGTTGCTACCAAGAATGTTTTTAGTGCATCATGACACAGCCTGTTCTGAGCATACCCTGAAATCAAAGCATTCCACGATATGATATCTCTGCAGTTTAGCCCCTCAAAAACTTTGAGTCATGCATGGACTCAAGCTTAGCATAGATGGTGATCAAGCTGTTGCAAACATTATGATTTGATAAAAAGCCAGTCTTTATGAAAAACCCATAAATCATTTCGCCTTCCTCCACCAACTTCCTAACTGATATAGCATGGATTAGTCCAACAAATGTAACATCATTTGGATATACTCCATCCAATCTCATCTCATTAAATAGAGAGAAGACATCTTCTTCGTCTACTGAAATCATAGTTGTCCAACAAGACACTACGTTGCGATCATTCATGCACTGAAAGACTAATTTTGCATCTTCAGTAACCTCACACTTTGAATATGTCGAGATCAATACATTACAAACTGAAACATGACTTCCATATCCTGATTTAATTGCCAAGCCATGTATCTGTTTCCCAAGTTCTAAATTCATTTCATGTCCGCAAGCTGAAACTGCACCAGTAAATGAGACATGATCTAACCCCATCCCTTCTCCCACCATCTCAATAAAGACAAAAATCGCCTCAAGCCCATGATTTCCCTCTTGAGAGTAACCTGATAGTTTTGCATTCCATGAAACCAGATCCTCATTCGCCATTTCATCAAACACACTCCTAGCTTTTATTAACCGCCTCAACCTCGAATACATACTTATAAGTGCATTTCCAACAAAAACTTCACCATCTAAACCAGACTCAAATATGAGAGAATGCAGTTGTAATCCAAATAGAAAATCTTCACGATCCGCACAAAAAGCAAGAATCGTAGTATAAGTCACTGGATAAAAAACAACTCCATTAAAATTCATCCTAAGAGCAAAATTCAATGCACCTTCACTTGTTCGAAACCCCGAAAGAATAGTATTCCAAGAAACTATATCAGTATAGCACATAGTCTCAAAGATAAGTAAGGGACCATCAAACTGTCCAGCTTTGGTGTACAACCTCATCAAAGAATTTGAAACCATAGTATACGAAGCAAACTCAGAAGAAACTGCAAACCCGTGAATTTGGCATCGGGTTTGGGGTCCCCTTGACAGGCCTTGATAGCAAGGGTAACCGTATTTTCATCGATGATATGAGACAAATGTAGTTGAAGTTGCTTACAGTACATAGGGCTCTAAGGGTAACGGTAACTTCATCGTGTTCGTTTCTCTGTCTCTTCATTTCACTAGCGCACCACATTTTTCTGTGAGTGCAAGCTTCGTCTGTCTTCATTTGGAACAAAAAGGAGGCGGCCAGACCCGCCCAGGCCACCTAGGGGCCGCCTAGACCCACCAGAGCAGCCTAGAACTTCTCAGGCCGCCTAGGCCCCGCCTAGAACAGCCCAGGCCGCCTAACTCCCTCATAGCATCAGAGTTGTTATCTTAGTGGAGATTTCAATAGCTGAATGACATTTGATGGTTTTCGTAGAGAGTCCAATCCAATCCAGTCAACGGAGCAGACGAAACGAAAGGAAAAAAATCGAAGCTTGAGTTGAGAGAGAGACAGAGAGGCTCAAGACCGAGTCTCTGAAGTGCTTATGGAGATGCGAAATGGCTGTGACTGCGAGTGCAAGAATCGTGTTTGTGAATATATCTAAGGAGTATAGCCGGGCGGCTGTACCTTGAAAATAATATATTTAAATAGTATAGCCGTCCGACTGTACTATTTAAATATACAATTTTGTCATGTTATTTTAAAATACCACTTTAGCAAATTAGGATAGAGTTATTTCTTCAATTATTTTTTGTATACTAGTGATATTGGGGTTAAACCCATAAATACCACAACAACAAAAGGGGATCCACCAACATTTTGGGGATAAAAGAATCTTGAATTTCATAGTAAAAAATTGCTTGTGTAAGAATTTACTTTCTAAAATGTATCCATCGTAATTATGAACTAAACTCAATGACAACATTTTTCTCATTGCACTTGACAACCTTGCTCTTTTGCTATGAGATATATCAGTTTGCGTTGTGTACTCTGCAGATGAAAAATTTGATACAAAACAGTCTAGTAAGACAACGAAGAGATTAGTTTTGAAATAAATTGAAGGTATCCGAGGTCATATGACATTGATATATATACGAACTATTCTAAATGAGATTTCAAACAACGTGTTAGATGAGAAGTAGCATCTGATTCTTACATATACCATACCCACATGCACTTGAAATTCCCAACGTTAAGAGGGGAGAAAAGTGCAATACCTCTCTTGTATCTCTCAAGCGTAGGAGATCCAACCTTTCTTGAGGATGCTGGTTTGATAAAGAAGCAAGCTACATCCAATCATACATTAATACAGGCAGTCACAGCCCACAATATACTCAATTTTAATAAAGAGAATTATAAAGTTACCTAGAAGCTGAAACGCTTAGGATCTTGTAGTGAAGGCATCAGCGCTTCCACGCCGAGAAGTCCCTCAAATTGTCTTCGATATGTAAAGAGATACTATCATACATCAAAAGGGCACATATATTTGAGGACTGGTATTGAAGTTAAACCATATAGGGGCAACCAATATGAGGGGGAAAAACATGGAAGAACTTTGTCCTGCATCTTCCGACAGTGATGCATGTTACACTTCAGGCTATTAATACATTAGCTACAGGGCCTTTTAGCAATGACATTATTAGACTTAATTCAGTGACAACTATAATACATTTGAAGATTTACAACCAAATTCCATTAGGTCACATGTCACATGTAAAATAAGATGCCTCATCCACAACACTTTAAGCTCTGATTATTGTCTCCCAAGTTTTGCCAATTGAAGTTGAAAACTACACAACTTTGCATCTGGACAGGTATTTCAATATGCATGAAATAGTATTATTATAAGTGCGTTGGATCATTATAAATAATTTTAAAAAAAACATCATAACTTGAATAATAATTTTTTTCTTGAAAAGGAGGAAGCATGGTAGTGGAGTTTACAAATGACATTCTGCATACTAGAAAATTAAGAAGGAAAGGAGGAGGATGAAAGACCTACTTGGTAATTTCCACTTCACAAGCAAAATCAGCTATTGAACCTCTTGAAGAATCAATGATAACCTACAAAATTAAAAAACAAGCCACAATCAGTGACACTAATCTACCATTCCCATCCGACGGTTGCCATATTTTATGAATGTCATATGTGAAAAATACAAACTGCTAACCAACTTACCATAAGTCCATACCGAGGTTCAAAAATGGGTAGCGGAAACTTCTGAAATGGAAGGACACCATCCATTAAAAAGAGTGGCATCAAACCAACACCAAAGTTTGTCATTGTATCATTCTCCAACTTCCTTTCGGCAAATTCCTCTGTGAATTTCTTTTGTATTGAAGGTGTCAGAACTGAAGCAAACAATCTTGGTAAACTCTGAAGGCTATGACACTAATTAAGCACAAAAAATTAGAAAGCACATATCATCCTAATTTCATATTACTTGGAATTTTTTTTTCTTTCCAAAATCTAGAAACCACAAATCCACTAATTGTTATACTCTGTAGAAGTGAGAATGCCAGACTCAATCTATAATAGGTGGAACTCCTGGGGGATGCGCAACCACGTCCATTACAAACAGCATAGGCATAGAAAACCATAAAGCAACAATTCTGATGTCAAATAATACAAGCATCTCATTCAATTATTATACGCACATGTTCTAGGAGTAATGAAAAGAGCTGTTGGCCACAAAGGACATTTGTTACCTAGGAAAATTAACACAAGTCAAGGACTAAAAAGGGATTAGAAGATATAGACTAACTCAATTAAATAGAATTAGTAACAGCAAAACACTCACATCGATCCATTGACTGAAATAGGCATGAAATGCCGACAAGCAGTTGTGACAGGTTCATATAGTAATTTCAAGCATAGTGTGCAATCAAAGTCATCACTGCGTTCTGCTTTTCTATGGCTTCTCCTCCCTGTGAAATTAGCTTGTATTCTCTCTATATTATGAAAACATTCCTGAAGAGGATTGCTACAGAATACCACACGAAAGATCAAATAATATAACATTTTAGAATTTCACAAAACCAAATACAATAGCCAGCCAGCTGGTATTAAACAATATATACTTAATATCTATGTTTTGTTAAATAAACATAATTCCAGTAAACAAATTACTCAATTTCTTCCTGGTTTCCCGACATTTTCTCAGCAACCAAACAAGAGAAACCACAGCACAAACACACACTCACCAAAATGTAGTCGTCCGTGTCACCAGAGGTCCATCTTTGTCATTCAGACCGGCATGGTGTAATCCAATGCCAAACTGCAATGTGTGCCCCAGGTTAAAGAACCATCTGCTGGGATTCTTCTGGCATACTAAGAAACTGCCTTGGATGTTCATCTGACGTTGCCAACTTCAATAACAGAAAAGCACAAACAAAAATTGAATCAACACAGCAGCCGAAACCGAAGAAAAAAAATCCAAGCTTGAGTTGAGAGAGAGGCTCAAGACCGAGTATTTGAATTTTGAAGATTGGACTGCGAGTGCAAGCTTCGCGTTCGTTTCTCCGTCTCTTCATTTCACTCGCACACCACATTCCTCTGCGAGTGCAAGCTTCATCTGTGTTCATTCGAAAAAAAAAGGGACGCCCAGACCCGCCCAGGCCACCTAGAACCGCCCAGGCCGCCTAGAACCGCCCAGGCCTCCTAGGCGCCGCCCAGAACCGCCCAGGCCGCCTAACTCCCTTATAGCATCAGAGTTGTTATCTTAGTGGAGATTTCAATAGTTGAATGACATTTGATGGTTTTCGTAGAGAGAGTCCAATCCAATCCAATCAACGCAGCAGCCGAAACGAAAGAATTTTTTTTTTGAAGCTTGAGTTGAGAGAGAGAGAGAGAGAGAGAGAGAGAGAGAGGCTTGGAAGCGCTTATAGAGAAGCGAAACAGATGCGACTACGAGTGCAAGTGCAAGCGCAGTGTTAATATATTTGAAGCGTACAGCCGCCCGGCTATACCGTTAAAATATTCGAATATATTCGAAGAGTACAGCCGCACGAAATGAAACGATTTTGTGATCAATCATTAAATCATTAAATATTATAAAATCATGCCAAAGATGATATTGATTGGTGAGTCAAGTTGTGTGTAGTTTGGTTTTCACGATGTTCCTCCTTGCGTTCTACATCAACTTCAAGAGTTAAATAAGAAGTGAGAGGTGGATTATTTATTTATTTATTTTCTTCTTGAAAAGGAGGCTGAGCTGAAAGCTTCAAACCAAACAGAGCCCTCACTAATTAAGAACGTTCACTTTTTATTGTTTATTTTTATACAAGCGATAATAATGGAGGGATATGCTTATGCATGAAAAGATAATTACTTTTTAAATACTTGAGGTACAAATCCCTTGATTAAGAATGCTCTCTTTTACACATGAAAGCTAACTTTATAGTCCATTATATAGAGCACAAAGTTCAGCTGAAAGGTCTTGTCCACTACCCATGGGCCATGTTATGTTAGCTCAATACAAATAGGAATTGGGCATGATCATGTCGGGTTAGATACGAAAGTGCAGTTGAAGTTGGGTTTTACAAATCAATTGCTCATCTCTCTCATGCCCAAGAGAGAAGAAACTCTTGATCAAATTGAAGGGTCTAGTAGAATATTTTAAAAATTATATTAAAATAGTCTAGCCGAGCGGCGGTACTCTTAAAATATTATATTTAAGAAGTATAGCCGCACGGCTATAATCTGGATATATTCCAATATTTTACAAGTATAGCCGTGCGGCTGAACTCGTAAAATATTATATTTAAAATGTATAGCCGTTCAGCCAATTTCGTGAATTAACACGACTCAATTCAATCACAAAAGCTCCTGTTATCCGTCACTTCTCAGAGAGCATATCCGGAGTTATGACCATCCACTCTTGCAGAATGCAGAACATGTTCTCCAAGAAAATGTTAAACGGGTTAACGCTAATTTACGTACGGATTTCCACAACAATGGGTCCAATGAGTGGTTTGGTTTCCGTATGGAGATGCTTGGGAGTTTAGTTTTCTGCATTTCCACTGTATTCATGTTCTTGTTGCCCAGCAGTATAATAAAGCCAGGTACATCCTTCTTCTTCTTTTGGTGCGACACTTAACAAGATGTCATATCTAGCACTTGATTCCTGGCCAATTATGATATGGGATGCCTGAGTATATAATACTTAGCGTATCTGATATAAATTAGCATCTTATCTTGGCACATCTAATATAAATTAGCTGCAGTAGATGAGTGTCTATTTCAGAGATTTGGCTAAATCAGTTATTCCTTCATGGTGCAGAGAATGTTGGTTTAACTCTCTCCTACGGATTGCCCCTGAATGGTGTGCTGTTCTGGTATCGGTTGAGAGGATACCAGAAGCAGCCGCACGGTTATATGAGCTGCTTTGTCTAAAATAAGATGGTATCGGTTGAGAGGATAAAACAATTTACAAACATCCCATCAGAAGCAGCATGGGAGATAAAAGACCTGTGTTCCTCCTTCAAATTGGCCTTCCCGTGTCAATGTCGAGCTCAAAGACTTGCAGGTAGTTTACCTTCAGTTCTGTTTATATCTTCTGAACAAATAAAGTCAAATCTTACATTCCATGAGCTGCTCTAGCCATTTGTCATCCCAAATGGTATATTTGTAGTACATCTTCCATGGCTAGTGTAGTGGATGGACAAATAAAGTGGTCTGCATGCAAGTTGTCATTACTTGGTCATCTCCATTACTGTCTCAAGCTAAATAAGCCCTGTTCCTTTTGATGTCGTCCAAATACACCTTTGGTTCTCAAAGGCATTAGTCCAAGCATTCACAGGGGTGAAAAGATTGGTGTTGTGGGTCGAACAGGGAGCGGGAAATCAACTTTGATCCAAGTGTTCTTTAGGCTGGTGGAACCTTCAGGAGGCAAAATTATCATCGATGGGATTGATATAACCACAATAGGGCTTCACAATATCAGGTCTCACTAGTGTGCAATCAAAGTCATCACTGCGTTCTGCTTTTCTATGGCTTCTCCTCCCTGTGAAATTAGCTTGTATTCTCTCTATATTATGAAAACATTCCTGAAGAGGATTGCTACAGAATACCACACGAAAGATCAAATAATATAACATTTTAGAATTTCACAAAACCAAATACAATAGCCAGCCAGCTGGTATTAAACAATATATACTTAATATCTATGTTTTGTTAAATAAACATAATTCCAGTAAACAAATTACTCAATTTCTTCCTGGTTTCCCGACATTTTCTCAGCAACCAAACAAGAGAAACCACAGCACAAACGCACACTCACCAAAATGTAGTCGTCCGTGTCACCAGAGGTCCATCTTTGTCATTCAGACCGGCATGGTGTAATCCAATGCCAAACTGCAATGTGTGCCCCAGGTTAAAGAACCATCTGCTGGGATTCTTCTGGCATACTAAGAAACTGCCTTGGATGTTCATCTGACGTTGCCAACTTCAATAACAGAAAAGCACAAACAAAAATTGAATCAACACAGCAGCCGAAACCGAAGAAAAAAAATCCAAGCTTGAGTTGAGAGAGAGGCTCAAGACCGAGTATTTGAATTTTGAAGATTGGACTGCGAGTGCAAGCTTCGCGTTCGTTTCTCCGTCTCTTCATTTCACTCGCACACCACATTCCTCTGTGAGTGCAAGCTTCATCTGTGTTCATTTGAAAAAAAAAGGACGCCCAGACCCGCCCAGGCCGCCTAGGTGCCGCCTAGAACCGCCCAGGCCGCCTAGGCGCCGCCTAGAACCGCCCAGGCCGCCTAGGCGCCGCCTAGAACCGTCCAGGCCGCCTAGGCGCCGCCTAGAACCGCCCAGGCCTCCTAGGCGCCGCCCAGAACCGCCCAGGCCGCCTAACTCCCTTATAGCATCAGAGTTGTTATCTTAGTGGAGATTTCAATAGTTGAATGACATTTGATGGTTTTCATAGAGAGAGTCCAATCCAATCCAATCAACGCAGCAGCCGAAACGAAAGAAATTTTTTTTTGAAGCTTGAGTTGAGAGAGAGAGAGAGAGAGAGGAGTCTTTGAAGCTTGGAAGCGCTTATAGGGAAGCGAAACAGCTGCGACTACGAGTGCAAGTGCAAGCGCAGTGTTAATATATTTGAAGCGTACAGCCGCGCGGCTATACCTTTAAGATATTCGAATATATTCGAAACGTACAGCCGCGCGGCTATACTCTTTAAATACCACTTTAGCTAATTACGATAGAGTTAATTCTTCAATTATTTTATTTATACCAGTGATATTGGGGAATGAGAATTTAAGTTCTTTCCGATACCTCACATTCTAATGATTTTCAGTTATTAGCCCACTAGGCAAGAATAAAAAATGGATTTTATTTATAAGAAATAATACGGGTTAAACCCATAAATGCAACAACAAAAAATAAGAATCCAATCCAAAGGTTTTGGACTTTTCTACACATTACCAGTTACAAGATTTTTATTTGTGGCAGCTCTTCTTGCCAATTAATTTTACGATTTTTAGCACCTTTCTACACATTACCTGTTACAAAATTTTTAGCAACCTTGTAAAATTCAAAGATGCAGCTTCATAACATCCTCAATTTTGGCATTACCATACAAAGGTTTTGGACCTTGAGTAGACCAAGTAGCGGTGGCTAGAGCATTTTATCAAATAGTTTTAATATAAATGTCATCAATGTCAAACTTTAATTAGGTTTGATTGGATTCATGCAGAAAATGCACTTTGAACAATTTTGGTTTACAATGTAACTTAGGAGACGAAAGAAAATGATTTTTGGTGTTTTTGATACTGCTTCTTATTATATTAAATGTTGGAAATTTCTCTACAATATAACGGGAGAGAGAGTCGCCCGGTTTATTAGCAGAAGGGGTTGGTTCCCTGGAATCAAAGGAGGTTGTAGAGAAGAAAGATGAAGAAGAAAAGAGAAAAGGGAGAAAAAGAGTCGAACGGCTAACGTAACCGTGATTAGAAAATAAAAGAGATAAGATGGCTGACAATGGCATCTGGGACTGGGAATACGCACGCACGTAAACACAGCACAGCACACACTTGTTGAATTATCGTTAACTGTATTTGATTAAATGCATTATATTTGTGTTGGAAGCTGGGCATATTATATTCTAATATCAAAGATAACGCTATAAAATAAAATAAAAATGGTTAAGCCGTGACGAGATGCTTGCTGTTATATTCAAAAGTGATGTTTTAAACGTGACAATAATTATAATATTCAATTTGTTTTGTGTAGAGTGTGATGTATGCAAATTGGCATGTGGAGCTTTGTTATAAAGGTCAAATTCAAAGGGTAGAGTTGAATGCTAAGAAAATAAGCATGAAAAGTCGCCACAGCAGACAACCTACCACAACTTAAGAATTCATGTATTGAAAAGAAAAGTAGACTTTTGTGTGCATACATAGTAAACTAGATTTTGCGCATTAAAAAAAAAAAGTAAACTAGATTTTGTTGTGAATTGCATAATGCAAACAATAATCACAAAGAGACCATCGTTTAGAAGCCCATTAGTGAACCATTTGAGTGGGATGTCATGTAATGTGTCAAATACCATAAGTGGAGACTTTACGTCCCATATAAAATGTTGTTACTAATGTGGTTTGAAAATGTGATACTTATGAGTTATCTTTTTCGAGAGAAATACTACCTATTCCCGTTTCATTGTTTCGTTCTCTTTATTTATCTAATGAGGTCGAGAAGCGAATAATGTAACGGGGGTATGAAAAATTCTCTACGGGGATTGGGCCTCGCAAAATCTCAAGTTGAAGTCCCAAAAGACACGCACATAGTGACAGAGGTGACACGACATAGGCCGGCGAATCAGATTAGTTGCTGAGGGCGGGCGGGTAGGAAGCTTCTCTGAGCTTGCCACCTACTCCAACTCAGTGACTAATCATCAACTGTCAAACTGGCTGGCTGGACTGGATTTTACCAGAACGGTAAGCAAGCACCACACCACACCACTTGCTCTTCTCCACCTTCCCCTTCCCTTTCCCTCCTTCCCTTCGCCTTGCTCCAATTATCATGCCCTCGATCCAAACATCCCCTTATGAAACCCTAACCATCCCAACCCCAATGTCCTCTCTCCTCTTTCTCCTTCTCCTCCTACTACTTTCCTCCTCACCTCCTCCAACTCTCTCCCAGCAAAACGCCACCGTCGCATGCCCCCTCAACTTCACCGTCCTCCGCCGGTTCGACCCGGCCTCCAACCGCCCCAAATTCGACCGCAACACCGAGTGCCAGTACATCCTCCAAGGCCTCCGGCTCGTCGAAGCACAGTACCTCCAGCTCACCGGCTCCTTCCTCCCCCCACCCAACGCCTCCGAGTCCTGCTGGGCCGCCTACCAAGCACTAGCCTCCGAGTTCATCCCCAATTTCGACATTCGCTCCTCCTGCGGCTTCGAGACCAGCTGGATTTCGCAGGGCTGCATGAACATCACCACCAGGCAGCAATTCGAAGCCCTGGTCGGAAACGCAACGCTTAAGGACGTCGTCGACAACTGTAACCAGTCTCTCGAGAACAGCTCGCCCTGTGCCTCTTGCACCACCAGCTTGTCCAGCTTGCAAGCCTCGTATTTGACCGGCAAGTCCGTCGGGAACGTCTCCACTTGCACGGCGTACCCGTCGGTGTATGCGGCGGCTTTCGCCAATCAGTATGGGCCGGCCGATGCCGGCACCGCCGAGTGCCTGTTCGCGCTCAATTTCTCGACGCAGGGCTCCGGTAAGAAGAAAAGGACTGTTATTTTGATTTCTTTGGTTGCTTGTGGTGTTGCGTTGTTGGTTATAATTGGCGGTGTTTGGTTCTTGTGGCATAAATATGACCAATTTATGATCAAGAAGAGGAGAAAGGATTATAATGATAAAATTGAGAAGGGTTTGGGTTCTGCCTTAGAGTCAATTAGTGGAAGCACTACTTTGATTAAGTTTAAATACGAAGAGATTAGTGCCGCAACTAAGAATTTCTCTAGGGACAACATAATTGGACGAGGAGGCTATGGGAATGTGTACAAGGGCATTTTGGATGATGGCTCTGAAGTTGCATTGAAGAGGTTCAAGAATTGCTCGGCTGCTGGCGACGCGAATTTCGCTCACGAGGTTGAGGTGATTGCAAGTGTCAGGCATGTCAATCTTGTTGCTTTGAGAGGTTATTGCACTGCCACTACTCCTTTGGTGGGTCACCAGAGGATCATTGTGTGTGATTTGATGAAGAATGGAAGCCTCCATGACCATTTGTTTGGGTCTTTTGGTAGCAAGCTTAGTTGGCCAATCCGTCAAAGGATTGTGCTGGGGACTGCAAGGGGATTGGCATATTTGCATTATGGGGCTCAACCGGCTATTATCCACAGGGATATCAAAGCTAATAACATACTTTTGGATGAGGCATTTGAGGCCAAGGTGGCAGATTTTGGACTTGCAAAGTTTACAGAAGAGGGAATGACGCATATGAGCACGAGGGTGGCTGGAACGATGGGTTATGTTGCTCCCGAGTATGCATTGTATGGGCAATTGACGGAGAAAAGTGATGTGTATAGTTTTGGTGTTGTGTTTCTTGAGCTTTTGAGTGGAAAGAAAGCGCTTCATGTGACTAACGATAACGAGCCATTGCTCGTGACTGATTGGGCGTGGGCGTTGGTGCGAAATGGAAAACCCCTGGATGTTATTGATGATGATATGCCGGAGAAGGGTGCACCTGAAGTTTTAGAGAAGTATGTATTGATTGCTGTTCTTTGTTCTCACCCACAGTTGTATGCTAGGCCAACAATGGATCAGGTTGTGAAAATGTTGGAAACAGACTTGTCAGTTCCCTCAATCCCAGAAAGACCGGTTTCCATTGTGGCTAATATTGAAGACATTGAAAGACACAGCAGTAGTGGGTCACTTCAGCTCTCTAGTTCAGGTGGCTATCAGTCTTATACATTTGAAAGTCCCCTCCCTTTTAACCCTAAGGGAGACGGAGAAAGTTCATTTTCCGGAGTATCAACTGTGTGACAGATTCCACTAATTGGTATGTTCACCCCCAATTTGTTTGTTGGTTCAGATTGTATGGTTTTATAATCAAATTTCCCACTGTAAATATAAAATAGATGTATGACTAAAGCTGATTCTTTATTCAAGTGAAATAGAACAGAACACACTACACATTTTGACCGTCAGTGTCCTTTGTTACTTGAGCCCCTAATAGATATGGAAGCTTATTGTATCATTGAAGTATATTGCTTTGCAAGTCCAACGAGGGATGGTTATGGAAATGTGATGCCTTTTGTTGCGAAAAAATCTCGAAATTATCCTTGCCTACTAAGATGCGGAATTTTGTTTTTCAACCATGAGTTAGTGGTCATAGTTTCTGAGTTCAAAGTTCCTGTGAAAACATAGACTGGTTGGTATATGTTGAGTACGGCTTTTCATAATTCAGAGTTCCTCCGAAAAAAAATATCCGCATTTACTTGCCTTTGGTAAATGTAATGAAAGCAAAATTCAGGAAATGGTAGGTAGGTAAAGTTTCATGTGTTTTGTCATATTTTTGTAAAAAATGTTTTCATAGCTGGTACTGGGGGCTCGCCAAGTACCCGCTGGTATTATTGTAAGAGAAGTGAATAATTTCAAAGCTGTCAACACGACAAATCTCTTGGGACCACGGCCTATCATTTTCAATAAATTACTGGTTTGGAGATTCTTTTCTAAGTTTGATTCTGTGATCCAAGTCGACTCAAGACTGCAAATATGAGCTTATCTTATATACGGTGGATCTGGGTTTTAGCAGTCATGATCATAGATCTATAGATCTGTCATTTTATTTGAATTGAGTGCCCATCTTATTTTTTGGGTTACAGACAAATGAAGCTTTAGACAACGTGGGTGTCTGATGCCTAAGACCCAGAAATAGAAAATTAAAAAGGGAGCTCAAATTCAAACCTAAAGAAGAATGGTTGTTCAATGATTGAGAACTTTGTTTTAAGAAAGCGTCATTAATGTGCCGACAGGTAAAAAAGGGCATTGACTTGCAGATTAGTGGTCTCAAATTCGAATCATCATGGCACATTCGTAGTGTGTGTGTGAGAAACCCCTAATATCACTTGTATTTATAAAAAGAAACTGGCATTAGCGTCAAGTTTCTCTTGGTATATACTTATTTACCAAAAAAATCCCCAACGGTATTGTCCTTTGCCTCCAATAATTCATCTTACATGATAAAACCCACGTCCACTCAGATTTTTCTTTTCGGCCACATTTAATATGGTAACACCAGCTAGCAGCAGAAAGAAAGGGACATAACAGCAAATATATCAATCGAATAGTCAGAACTTAGAAAGCTTGGATTTGATTATCTGCAAAATGCCTATTAAATGAACCACAAAATTAATGAAGTTCCATCTTTTGAAAGGAAGATAAAGAAAGAAAAGAAGAGATCATATGAACCTGTACTGGCAAAGCAATCACTTTGACCAGACCTACATTCGTCCTTTATCTTCTCTCTCGGATTTTTATCTGCATCCTCTTCTTATCTTCAAAGCCATAGAAGGTTTTGTGATAATTTTTCTCATTCTTCCTTCCTTCCTTCCGTGTTTACGTGAAACCCATAACTTTTTTGTTTTTGTTTTCGTTTTTTGCATTGACACGACAGGGCAATTTTTTCTTGAACAAAACAGAGATTCTTGTATTCCTCTTTTACTGAACTGGTGTTATGATGTTACCGCCTGCCTTGTCAGCTTATGCAATTGGTGGCAAAACTTGAGCACAACAACAATTGCCTGCATTTAGCTCTTTGTTGTTTTTATTAAATCAACCAGGCACTGTCAGTGAGAACGCGCAAGTGTAAGTCAACATTTAGAAGTTGGAAAAAAGTTACTTTTGTAGAAATTTTTTACATCCTTTCTCGCATATTGCTCTCTCGTCTCTCCATGTCTTTGCCAATAAGAGATTAAAGTTTTGCTGTTTCCTGTTTTCCATTATTTGATAGTTTCTTGCTTACACTACCCATCTCTTTGAATCTTCTTCACTTTGCCATTCATAAAAATTCATATAGACAGTGGGAGTTATATAATCCGGCAGACATGGCCATCAAAGAGGATGTAGAGAGTGATTTGAATGAGGGCATAACAGATCCACTCATGAGGGTAGAGAAGAACTTGGCTGATGGAGGAAGCAGCAGAGGAGGGAATCAATGGATGGTTTACCTCAGCACATTTGTTGCAGTCTGTGGCTCTTACGAATTTGGATGCTGTGTAAGTGCTTTTTATGCATTTAGCTTTTAATTAATATAGCTGTAAAAGTTGTGATCGTTGGACAGGAAAATTCTGACACTCTTCTACTGCCGGCTTCCAGATCGGTTATTCGTCGCCTACACAGTCTGCCATCAGGGAAGATCTCAGTCTTACATTAGCAGAGGTATTTATTGCAACATTTATAACTGCTCTATTAATATTTCTATCGGAGCTGTTCTTTTGGATATGCAAGTTCATGAGTGGAAATCTCTATCTGTTGTACTGGAGGACTGAGGGTTTGCATTGTCTGCTATGCCATTGCTTTCAATCTCTGAGTACAATGGGACAATGTTTAAAAGCAATTCAGTAAACTTTCAGCATAATGCTTCATAAATTTTTTCTTTCAAATAACTTACTGGATATTCCTTTAAATGCTAACAAAAAAAGAACTTCTAATTGCTATCTTGACAACTTCTGCATGCAGTATTCAGTGTTCGGCTCCATTGTGACATTTGGTGCAATGATAGGCGCTATTACAATTGGGCCCATCACTGATTTTCTTGGTCGAAAAGGGGTACGATTGTGAAACTATGTTGAATATACAGAACACACCGGTTATTAAGAACTTTTAGCAGTAATTTAAATCTGTTTCAATTGATATCACCATGTAACAACATCTATACTGCAAAATTGTATGCAGGCCTTGAGAGTGTCTTGTGCTTTCTGTGTTGCAGGTTGGCTTGCTATTTACTTTTCCAAGGTTCGTATGATTTTGCACTTAAATTTTTGTCTGTTCTTTTAGATACTAAGCAAATGTTCTCCTCAGATATTTGACTTTAGTCATGTTCTCTATCTTATTGCTACTGAAGGGGGCTTTGTCTTTGGACATTGGGAGACTGGCAACTGGATACGGAATGGGAGCCTTTTCGTATGTGGTAAGTTGTTTACCCTCCTCTAGAGCCCCATTATTATTTCAATACATGTTATTAACAAAGATTAATGCAATATTGGATGGATGATAAGGTACCTGTTTTCATAGCTGAAATTGCACCCAAAAATCTTCGAGGAAGATTAACTGCTATAAATCAGGTAAACATGTAACAAGAAATACAATCCTTGAACCTAGCTAGTAGATTTCTTTTGTGAGTTAGCTTTGATATTTTAAGCAAGAAATTGATGTGGGTTAGTTCAACAACAAACTATATGGGTTTGGATTGGATCATATCTAACTTTGTCTTCTGCTTATTTTATAGTTAATGATCATTTCTGGAGTGTCCATTTCCTTCATAATTGGGGTACTAGTAAGCTGGAGGGCTTTAGCATTAATCGGTGATTTACTTAGACAGACTGTGCTTTAGAATACTTATCTAAAATAGTAGTAGAGTGCTCATTTGTGTGGTGATTGCAGGACTAGTTCCCTGTGCAGTGACCATTTTCGGTCTCTTTTTCATTCCTGAGTCTCCAAGATGGTTGGTAAGAACTACTTTTCTTTTTCTTTTTGTAGTTATATAATGGCAACATTCAAAAAGTTGATGACTTCCTCATCAATTCAGGCGAAAACAGGACGCCAGAGAGAGTTTGAAATGGCACTGCAGAAACTTCGTGGCAAAGATGCTGACATATCTCATGAAGCAGCAGAAATACAGGTTCTTATTTTCAACTCCTCAACTCCGTCTCCTAGCCTACATTGAAAATCTCTTGGAGCATCAGGATGATCATATATGTTATGGAATAACATGTAAATACCTTGATAGGATTATATCCTAACTCTTGACCGGCTCCCTAAAGCCAAATTGCTGGATTTGTTTCAAAGGAGATACTTGCGCTCGGTCATGGTAAGAGCTTCTTTCTACACCGTTTGTACCGTCAGTTTTTTCTTTTTTTCTTTCTTTGCCTTTCTGGTTAGACCTTTCTGTGCTATTAATCTTTGTTTGATCAGATTGCAGTTGGGTTGATGGTCTTTCAACAATTGGGGGGAATCAATGGGGTCTGTTTCTATGTCAGCAATATCTTTGAACAAGCAGGTAGAAAGAAAGAATAGCTTGGCATTCTGGCAGTCCTACAATCTATGTTTTCAGTATCTACAACTTTAATGTACCTTTCTGTATCTACTTCAGGATTTTCTTCCAGCGTTGGAACTATAACTTACGCTATTCTTCAGGTTCGAAATCCTACTGTGACAGCTATTGGAATCTTTTAATTTTTATCCACTAAAGCATCTTGATGTGGTTATGCTTTACAGGTTGTGGTTACTGCCGTTGCTGCATCCGTAATGGATAAAGCAGGACGAAAGCCTCTAATTTTGGTAAATTGGTGCACAGTTTTTGTTCTGAGAATTTACCGAGACAAGTTGCTATTCACATTCAGAAGGTTTAACTTTTTCCAATTTCTTCTAGGTGTCTGCGTCAGGGTTGGTACTTGGCTCTCTCCTGACTGCAATTTCATTCTTTCTGAAGGTAATCCTCAATCAGTGACACCCTAACGTCTCTCTGTTTAGGTTTATCCAACATAACATGACGAAAAGCTCTTTGTGAACCAGGTTCATGAATTGGCACTCACTGCAACTCCCATACTTGCTGTAACTGGCATACTGGTAACTGACGAGCCTTGTCAAAATATATTATCCACGCAGATCGTTCTCTTTTAACATTGAGTTTCCATTTTTTCTCTTATATTTCTTTAACAATTTGTTTCTGGATTCAGATATATATAGGATCCTTCTCAATAGGAATGGGAGCAGTTCCTTGGATTGTGATGTCTGAGGTATATAAAATTTGAAACATTTACTCATCTAACCGTCCGTAATTGATCATGTCACCGATCTGAATAAATTTCCATCTGCTGCAGATATTCCCTATAAATATTAAGGGGCAGGCTGGAAGCTTTTCAACTTTAGTGAACTGGCTGGGTGCATGGTTGTGTTCCTACACCTTCAACTTTCTTATGAGTTGGAGCTCCTATGGTAAATACCTTTTCCTTTTCTCATTATAAAAACTCGAGAGTAATATTTAGTAGAGTTAATTTATAAAGCAATCTGATTATACATGGTAATAACTCATTACATGTCTCTATTTTCAGGTACCTTCATTCTGTATGCAGCCATCAATGCTCTGGCTATATTGTTCGTGATCTTGATGGTACCAGAAACGAAAGGGAAAACCCTGGAACAAATCCAAGGAGACATTAATAAATAGAGAATTGAAGGAAGAATTAAAAAAGAAAAGAAATGAGGAGAATTTTTTGTGGACATTCGTTGATGGAATCTTGAGAGACGCTTCCAAACCACACAAATATTGTACTGCTACTGTTTACCCCACAAAAACATTGTCCCTACTTCCTTTTCATTTGTTGCAATGACTTTTGGCATTGATTGGTCTATTATTTTGCTTTTGTTTTGCCCCATGGGAGAGCTGAGGGTATTGCAGAATTAGAAAGGAACAGAAGAGCAAAAATATCAATGGAATTGTTAAAAAGCTTGGATTTTCTAATTTGGAAAATAAATGTCCACCTTCCTTATGAAAAGGAAGAAATTATAACATAAACCTATACTGGCAGCCACTTCGACCAGACCTACATCCTTCCTTATCTCCACCGTCGGATCTTGAAATTATAATATGAACTTATACCATATACGACAAAGTTATTCTAAACGGCATGTCTCTTTTACTGTTCTGATGTTGACATGTTGTGATGTTACTGCCTGCCTTGGCGTTGGCGGCTTTGCAACTGGTGGCAAACATAAAAGCAAGTCAAGTTAGAAAGAACTACTTGAGCACAACAAAACAATTGCCGGCATTTAGCATTTTGTTGATGTTTTTAATTCAACAGGGTACTGTCTCATTAACAGGCAGTGCAGATCAATCAAACCTTCAGAAATTCAAAAAAGAATAAAGAAAACAAAAAAAGAAAAGATACTTTCGTACAAAAAAGCATTTACATCCCTTCTGGCATATTGCTCTCACTATTTTTTTGCCTATAAGAAGAGGATAGAGATTTCTTGATTTCCATTATTTGATAGTTTTTTGCCTACACTACCCATCTCTTTGATTCTTCTTCTCTTTGCCATTTATAGAAGTTCATAGGTACAGTGGGAGTTATATAATCAGGCAGGCATGGCCATCAAAGAGGATGTAGAGAGTGATCTGCAGGAGGGCATAAGAGCGCCACTGATGAGGGTAGAGAATAACTTGGCTGATGGAAATGGATCAGCTGATGGAGGAAGCAGCGGAGGAGGGAATCCATGGATGGTTTACCTCAGCACATTTGTTGCAGTTTGTGGCTCTTATGAATTTGGATGCTGTGTAAGTGTTTATAGTTTTTTAACTGATACAGAAAAACCATTGTGATCTCTGGACAGGCAAATTCTGAAACTTTTGTATGGCTTCCAGGCCGGTTATTCGTCGCCTACTCAGTCTGCCATCAGGGAAGATCTCAGTTTATCATTAGCAGAGGTATGGAAGTGATTAGATCATCTATAACTTTTCTATTAATATTTCTATATGAGCTGTTCTTTGGACATATAATAAGTTCATGAGTAGAAATCTATATTTGTTCTACTGTATGACTGAGGGTTTGCATTCTCTGCTGTGCCATTGCTTTCAATCTCTGAGGTGCTATCAGTGTAATTTCAGCATGCTTTAGCAAATTTTCTTTCAACTGATTCGCTGGATGTTCCTTTAAATGCTAAAGGAAAACAGTTTTTTACTTTGATCTTGACAACTTTCAAACTGAAGTTTCTTCTCTCTTCATGTGCATCTGTATTCTTTATGCAGTATTCAGTGTTTGGCTCCATTTTGACGTTTGGTGCAATGATAGGTGCTATCACAATTGGTCCCATCACTGATCTTCTTGGTCGAAAAGGGGTACAAATTGCGAAACGATGTTAATTATACAGGACACACCGCTTATTCAGAAATTTTAGCTGTAAATTAATTCCATTTCCGTTAATATTTACTAAGAGAATCTTCACTGTAAACTTGTATGCAGGCATTGAGAGTGTCGAGTGCTTTCTGTGTTGCAGGTTGGCTTGCTATTTACTTTTCCAAGGTTTGTATTATTTTATGCTTGGGATTTCTCTGCGCTTATACCTACTAAGCAAATATTTTCCTTAGATATATATATTTGCCTAATTCCTGTTCTGCATCTTATTACTTTTGAAGGAGGCTTGGTCTCTGGACATTGGCAGACTGGCAAACGGATACGGAATGGGAGCCTTTTCATACGTGGTTAGCTATTACCCTCCTTTATAACTTGAGTGTATGTTGAGACCACAAAATACATACAAGTACCTGTTTCAACACATGTTAATAACAAAGTTTGATGCAATATTGGGTGGATGAAGGTGCCTGTTTTCATAGCTGAAATTGCTCCAAAAAATCTTCGAGGAAGACTAACTGCTATAAATCAGGTAAACCTGTAACAAGAAATGCAATCCTTGAAGCTTACTACTAACAACTAACAATCTTTTGCGACTTGCCTTTGATACTTTTTAGCAAGCAAAAACAGATTACTTCAACAACAAACTATATGTATTTGGATCATATCTAACTTTGGTATTCATTCTGCAGTTAATGATCTGCTGTGGAGTGTCTGTTTCCTTCATTCTTGGGGTACTAGTTAGTTGGAGGGCTTTAGCATTAATTGGTGATTACTTAGACAAACTGTGCTTGTAGTTCGAGATTTAAATAGACAATAATATCCCATACAATAGCAGAGGGCTCATTTGTGAGGTGACTGCAGGACTTATTCCCTGTGCTGTGAACATTTTCGGTCTCTTTTTCATTCCTGAGTCTCCAAGATGGCTGGTAAGGAACTGCTTTTATTTAATTGTTTCTACTGAGTTGATGGTAACATTCAACAAAATAAAGACATTATGATCTCCTCATAAATGCAGGCAAAGAAAGGACGCCATAAAGAGTTCAAAGTTGCACTGCAGAAACTTCGTGGGAAAGATGCTGACATATCTCATGAAGCAGAAGAAATCCAGGTTCTTATCTCCGATTCCTGAACTCCTCTGAGCCCACATTGATGATTTCTTAGAGCATTTGGAAGATCAGATATGTTAAGACATACCATGTAAATACTTTGACAGGATTATATAGAAACTCTTGATCGGCTTCCTAAAGCCAAATTGCTGGATTTGTTTCAAAGGAGATACTCACGCTCAGTCATTGTAATAGTTTCTCTCTACCATTTCCACAGTCAGTTTTACATTTCTTAGTCTCTGAGTTAACTTTCCGTTGATATTACACCTTTGTTTTATCAGATTGGAGTTGGGCTGATGGTCTGTCAACAATTTGGAGGAATCAACGGCGTCTGTTTCTATGTCAGCGATATTTTTGATCAAGCAGGTACAAAATAAAGAATAGCTTGGCATTCTGATACTACTATAATCTATGTTTTCAGTATCTAACGACAACTTCAGTGCACCTTTCTGTATCTTGCTCTACAATTGAATATAAATGTTCTATCTCAGGATTTTCTTCCAGCATTGGAACTATAACCTATGCTATTCTTCAGGTTCTATACTCCTACTGTGACATCTCTTGGAATCTCTTAATCTTGTCCATTAGATGCATCCTAAAGTGGTTCTGTTTTACAGGTTGTGGTTACTGGCATTGGGGCAGCAGTAATGGATAAAGCCGGAAGAAAGCCTCTAATTTTGGTAAACTAGTGCACAGACTTTAGTTCTGAGAATCTGCTGAGACAAATTCCCATTTATATTCACAAGGTTTAACTTTTTCCAATTTCTTTTCTAGGTTTCTGCATCAGGGGTGGTACTTGGCTGTCTTTTGACTGCAGTTTCATTCTTTCTGAAGGTGATCCCTCAATTTTTGACCCTAACTTCTCTTTGTCTAGGTTTATTATCCAACAATAATCTGAAAAAATCTCTGGGTGAACCAGGTTCATGAACTGGCACTCACAGCAACTCCCATACTTGCTGTAACCGGCATACTGGTAATGCATTAGCCTTGTCGAAACATTATCCATGCTTCTCAATCTCTCTTAGCATCAAGTTTTCATTTATTCTCCTTGCATTGTTTAACAACTGGTTTCTGGATTCAGGTCTATATAGGATCCTTTTCAATTGGAATGGGAGCAGTGCCTTGGGTTGTGATGTCTGAGGTACATAAAATTGCAACATTTACTCGTCTAACTGTCCATAATGGATCATGTCGTCGACGTAAACAAATTTTCATCTGCTGCAGATATTCCCTATAAATATTAAAGGGCAGGCTGGAAGCTTAGCAACGTTAGTGAACTGGTTTGGTGCATGGTTGTGTTCCTACACTTTCAACTATCTTATGAGTTGGAGCTCCTATGGTAAATACCTTTTCCTTTGTTATTGTAAAAACTGAATAGTAAAATTGGAAAGCAATCTGATCATACATGGTAATAACTAGTTATATGTCTCTAATTTCAGGTACCTTCATTCTGTATGCAGCAATCAATGCTCTGGCTATATTGTTTGTGATTTTGATGGTACCTGAAACAAAGGGGAGAACCCTGGAACAAATCCAAGGAGCCATTAACAAATAGAGAATTCAAGCAAGAATTAAAAAAATAATAATAAGAGCATTATTTGTGGTAATTCTCATTGAAAATTATGACAGCTCAATTCAGCAACTAGGTAGATGGAATCTTCGAAGATGCTTCAAAACCACAAGAATATTGCACTGCTTTTCTTTTTTAATAAAAAAATAGTTTAAATTATTCGTACCTTTGTGTTTTATTTGTTGCAAGGAATGTATTAAAAATATATATTTTTTTTTTTAGAAAAAAAAAGGGAAAATATTGTCGGGAACAAAATTCGCCGGGAAAGGTAACAAAAGCTTATAAATCAGGACCTAGAAAGAAACACGTAGAAGCATCTTAAATCTTGTGTTTTGCTTGAACCCTTTTCTGAAAAGTCTTCGGACAATGCTGATTTCCAATTGACACCAACTGGTCGTCTTCTAGATAAGTAAATGAATTTGTCTGTATCAAAAGGAAATGATGGACAAGGAGGCATTGATCAAATCAAAACATATTATCTTAGAGGTATTGACCATTCATTTTTTTGCTCCTTTTACTAGTTTTATGTGCGAGAGCACACAGATAGCATACTGGGCATGTTTTGATTCAAATCCTTTCTTTTGTCACAGAACCTGTAGGGGGAAGGCTTGCACTGATAGGAAGCACTCCCATCTGGAAAAAAGCTCTAACCGTTGCAATGTTAATAATAGAATCAACATCTTCCTTTTATTTTACTACTTGTGGTGTGATGTCCACAAGTTATAAGAGCTGATAGTTTACTTGTTTGTGATTTTCAGGAATGTTCATTCTGTATGCAGCATTATGTTTGCCATACATGACAATAACCAACAAATGGAGATCACTTCTACAAGCATTGTGATAAAAAGCCTTGAGAAGAAGTATAATCTGAATTAATACATAGCATTCTGAAATACAAGGCTTGAATTCGATCAAGCCACAATACATTTGGTGCTCATTTACAATCTAACAACATAACATGCTAGATGTTTGATTAGAGTTTATATGGTCATTTTACGTAGTTTTTGAACCTAACTATTCGCCAAGCCATCACAATTCAGCTATCATGCAGAGACAGCATAATGAAAACGGATAGAAATGTTACAAAAACGGAAAGAAAAATAGGATTATTGTAAGCCTATATTGGCTGCAACTTTGGACAATGACTGCCGACCAAAGTCCTTCCTGTCTCGTCTCTCATATTAGGGTCTTCTTTTTTATCTTTGTAGTGATTGACTTTTAATCTAAGCCTACTATAATACAAATCCTATAATTACTCCTCAAAATCTTCAAAGACATAGAAGAAACCAATTGCTTGTGTCGTTTTCCAATTCTGTCAATACGTTTATGTGAAAGTGAGAGCATGTCATGCAAACGACAACAATTTATTCAATACGGCATATTACTATATATTGTCCTGTTTTACTGGACTGATGTTGCGATGCACTGCCTTGCTTTGTCAGCAAATATACAATTCGTAGCAATCTTGAGCAAGTCAAGTTTTAACCAATTTAGCACAAGAATTGCCTACTTTTGAGCTCCTTTGTTACAATCCTAAGAAAAAAGAAAAAAACAATGACCGCAAAGAGGCAGCATTGAGGTTTTAAAATAATAATTTTATCAAAAATTTAGAAAATTTACCACCCTTCTGGCATATTGTGCTCTCTATGTTTGCCTTCCATTATATCATATTTTCTTGCTTAAAGTACCCGTCTGTTCGAATCATCTTCTCTTTGCAATTTATACAGATTCATAGACATACAGGGGAGTTATATATAATCAGGCAGACATGGCCGCCATCAAAGAGTATGCAAAGAATGATGCGCGGGAGGAGATAAGAGAGCCATTGGTGAGGGTGGATAATAACTTGGATGCTGGAGATGGATCAGGTCATGGAAGCACCAAAGGGGATCAGTGGATGGTTTACCTCAGCACATTCGTTGCAGTTTGTGGCTCTTATGAATTTGGATGTGGTGTAAGTGCTTAGTATGCATTTAGCTTTTGATTGGCAGAGCAGAAAATTTGTGATCTTTGGACCGAAAATTTCGTTCGATATTGTGTTGTTCTGACACTCTTTGTATGGCTTCCAGGTGGGTTATTCATCACCTACTCAGTCTGCCATCAGGAAAGATCTCAATTTATCATTAGCAGAGGTATGAAGGTGACTAGGACACCTATAACAATATTACTAACACAGCTATTTTAATGGATATGTAAATGCATGCATGGTATAAGGGTGGACTTTTAGATTCAAGAAAACAAAAACAAGATATAAAACTAATTCCTGAAATGAATTAGAGGTTGAAAATAAAATGGGAGAATACTATCAAGGAATTTGGTAAACATTCCGCATAATACTTTTGCTGGATTTTGTTTAAATGCTAAAGAACAACTAAAGCTTTTTTTTTCCTCTCCTGTGCATTTGTGTGCAGTATTCAATGTTTGGCTCCATTTTGACATTTGGTGCAATGATAGGTGCTATCACAATTGGCCCCATCACAGATTTTCTTGGTCGAAAAGGGGTACGATTTGAGAAACTATGTTGAATTTATAGGACACGCCTTAATTGAGTTCATTGATACATTCACTAACAGTATCTAAACTGTAAACTTGTATGCAGGCCTTGAGAATGTCCTGTGTTTTTTGTGTTGCAGGTTGGCTTGCTATTTACTTTTCCAAGGTTTGTATTAACTGTACTTTCGAAATTTCTTTGTGCTTTTTCCTACTAACCAAATACTCTCCTCATATATGTAACCATATTCATGTTCTACTGAAGGGGGCTTTGTCTCTGGACATTGGGAGACTGGCAACAGGGTACGGTAGCGGTGCCTTTTCATACATTGTGAGTTATTACCCTCCTCTATAATTTGAGTATTTTGTGAGACCAAAATATAGTGGAAGTACCTTATATATGATATTTCAAGTTTTAACATATGTTATTAACCAAGTTTGATGCAATATTGGGCGGATGATAAGGTACCTGTTTTCATAGCTGAAATTGCACCTAAAAATCTTCGAGGAAGACTAACTGCTATAAACCAGGTAAACATGTAATCAGAAATGCAATCCTTGAAGCTAACTGGCAACAATCTCTGTACCTTATGGGTTTTGATCATAACTAACTTTGCCTTTTGCTTATTGTAAAGTTAATGATCGTTACCGGAGTGTCTGTCTCCTTCATAATTGGGGTAGTAGTCAGTTGGAGGGCTTTAGCAATAATTGGTGAATTTCTTAGACAACCTGTGCTTTTAATTAGAACATCCTATGATCTCTAATACAGTGGCGGAGGCTCATCTGTGTGGTGATTGCAGGAATTGTTCCCTGCGCTGTGATCATTTTTGGTCTCTTTTTCATTCCTGAGTCTCCAAGATGGTTGGTAAGAAAGTACTTCTTTTCTTTTTCTGTTTATCTGATGGTAACATTCAATAAAATGAAGACATAGATTATGACTCATCATCAGTGCAGGCAAAGACAGGACGCCAGAGAGATTTTGAAGTTGCACTGCAGAAACTTCGTGGCAAAGATGCTGACATATCTCACGAAGCAGCAGAAATCCAGGTTCTTATCTTCAACTTCTTAACTCATTTCCTAACCCACATTGATAATCTGATAGAGCATTTCGAAGATCATATGCGTAAAGGCATTTCATTTACTACCTTGACAGGAATATATAGCCTCTCTTGACCTGCTCCCTCAAGCCAAATTGCTGGATTTGTTTCAAAGAAGATACTTGCGCTCAGTCATTGTAATAACTTGTCTCTACACTATTTATTTGTACAGTCAGTTTTATCTCTCTTTCACTTTGAGTTAAACTTTCCTTTTCAGATTGCAGTTGGGTTGATGGTCTGTCAACAATTGGGGGGAATCAATGGGGTCTGTTTCTATGTCAGCAATATTTTTGAGCAAGCAGGTATAAAACCTACTAACAGAAAGAATAGCTTGACCATCTGACACTACTAGTCTCTATAATCTATGTTTCTAATATCTACAACTTCAGTGTATCTGTCTCTGTCTCTTCCATCTTCCTCAGCAAACTGAATCACTCACTTAAAGCAGATTTGTTATACAATTGAAAGCTAACTACTCTATTATTTGAACTATCTCAGGCTTTTCTCCTAGACTTGGAACTATAACCTACGCTATTCTTCAGGTTCTAAATTCCTACTGTGACAGCTCTTGGAATCTTTTAATTTCTCCCCATTATGTTCATGTGGTTTTTTTTCACAGGTTGTGGTTACTGGCCTTGGCGCAGCCGTAATGGATAAAGCTGGAAGAAAGCCCCTAATTTTGGTAAACTAGTGCACACTTTTAGTTCTAAGAATCTTCTGAGATAAACTCCTATTCATACTCGGGAAGTATAACTTTTTTCCAATTTATTCCAGGCTTCTGCATCAGGGTTGGTACTTGGCTGCGTCCTCATTGCCACTTCATTCTTTCTCAAGGTAATCGTCAAATGCTGACCCTAATATCTGTTTAGGTTTAGGTTTATCCAACAAAAGATAAAAAGATAGAGAGCCTTTGTGAAACAGGTTCATGGATTGGCACTCAAGGCATCTCCCATCTTTGCGGTAGCCGGAATATTGGTTAGTAACTCATTAGCCTATCTCAAAGCATACTCTCCATGCAGATCAGTTTCTTTTAAAATCGACTTTTCGTGTCTTTTCTCTTTTCATTCTCTAGTTAACAATTCATTTCTGCATTCAGATCTTTATAGGATCCTTTTCAATAGGAATGGGAGCAGTTCCTTGGGTTCTGATGTCGGAGGTATACAAAATCTGCTAGGTTTACTCATTTTATCCATCTCATGATTGTCTTGATCAAGTCACCAATCTAAAAAAAAATTATATCCTCTGCAGATATTCCCTATAAACATTAAAGGACAGGCTGGAAGCTTAACAACGTTAGTGAACTGGCTTGGTGCATGGTTGTGTTCCTACACTTTCAATTTTCTTATGAGTTGGAGCTCCTACGGTAAATAGACATCAACATTTTCTTCACTTATAAAGAGAAATATTTAGCAGAGTAAACTTATTAAGCAAACAACTCTTCTATTTTGTGAAAGCTAAGTCCAAGTAATTTATAAGAGCTATTCATTAATTTACTTGTGTGTCATTTTCAGGTACCTTCATTCTCTATGCAGTAGTAAATGTTCTGTCTGTGTTGTTCGTGATTGTGATAGTACCTGAAACAAAAGGGAAAACCCTGGAACAAATCCAAGGAGCCATTAACAAATAGATGATTAAGGAAGAACAAGAGAAGCCATGAAGAGCACTCTTTATGGGTATTTCTCATTGAAAATTTTGACAGCATAAACCAGGAACCTGGTACAAGGAAGAGGCTTCCACACCAGAAGAATTTTGTACTGTTATTTTTACATATAATTAAATTGATACATGCCAGAATTAGTTTTTATACAAACATAAACAAGAACCAACTAATACTTGGATTTAAGGTGAAAGTTTTTGTTTTTATGGGATTAAAGGTGAAAATGGGGGTTTCTCACTAACACACTATCAAAGTGTAATGAGATTTTGAACATGAGACCACTAGTCTGCAAGTCAATGCCCCTTTTCACTAGACTAGACCGTTGACAAAGGTGAAAATCAAGTAGCCAATTGTATTATACTTTTTATTTAAAAGCAAAAGCCAATTGTATGAGTTTGGGATTGCTGCCGCTTTAAAAAAAAAATTGCTTCTGCTGTGCTTAAAAAAAAAATCAGCTACAAAGTAAAGCAGTTAAACGTTTGGTAAACTGTAATTTTAAAAGTGTTGTGAGTATGAAAAGCAGTGTCAGAGCGTTTAGTAAATTTTACCATAAAAGTGCATGGACACCGTTCATGCTTGAAGAAACCATGGATTTGATTTGGCCAGGAAGTTTTCGTGTGAGAAAATTTCCAACACAAGAATCATATGTACATGATAAGCAGCTGGACTTAAATCTTCGGCTGTGTTTCTAAAATCTTATCCTAGTGTTTTATAGCAAAGCACAACTAAAAGAAAAAAAAAAAAAAAACAAAAACAAAACACATCTACACACAAAATTTGAGAGATTGAAGAGATCGAAGAATAAATATATCCCAGAAAATTATAATCAATAACTTTGAAGAGATTAATGATCTACCTTGTGAAAGAGATTGAGAGAATGGTTGTCTTCAAGCTTGGGAGGCTATGCGAAGATGAACTTTGGTGTCTGCTAATTTGAGAGAAATACGTGAGGATAAATTTCTAACCTAATAAGGGTATTTGTGGAATTGGAAAATTTTCATTAAAGGGAGCTTGCTGCTTCAATTAAAAGCAGCTTTAAAAAGCAACCTCGAGGTTGCTTTTAAAAGCTGTTGTCAAAAGACCATTACTTTTAAAATAAGCAAGATATTTTATTTTTACCAAACACCTTAAACTGCTTAACTTTAAAGTTAAATGGTTTTTGGCAACAAAAAAAAACAATCCCAAACGGGACCTTAGCCAATATATTGTGTTAGTTTGCACATTTTACAATTTGACTATTATAGGCTTGGGTTTCTTGAACATTATAATTCTCTTTATCTAGAGCGGGCTCATTACTCTTTGGGCCACCAAAAAAATAAAAACCCAATTTCTCTGAACTTGAAGAATAATAGATGACGATTTTAGGCCTGCGATTTGGGGCCAATCGACAAAAACCAAAATCCCCAAATGTATTCGACCAAAAACAAAATCCCTAAACCTAGTTATTCACAAGTCGTCGCTAGCCATTTTACCTCTGTCAGATTTGTAGCAAGAGGGAAAATGCACTACCATGCTCCCAATTTGTCCAATACAAGGTAACCGCTGGCTTCTACTCTAGGTTAATTGCGCTTTTTATATTTCCCAGATATATCTAAGTGGTTTAATAATTGTTATCTCTTTATTATTTTCCACAGATCTAACTTGTAGAAAATCAAAATTACATCCTTTGTTCTTTCCCTAATGTACAAGTTGATCTTTTTTCAATTTAATCCTTTTGGTGTGATTTGTGGCTTGATTTTGTTGTTCTATGATAAATGATGTGAGCATTATATTTTCTTCATCCTCATGATTTTTGTGATTTGTGGCCTACAGTAGTGAAGAAAAAAACCAAGTGTCACCACCAAGGACAACCAATGTGATTGAAAGGGGAAATTGCTCGCTCTTGAAGAGCTTTTGAGCGATGATCATATGAAGCGTGGTAAGGTAACCAATATACTTTTCAAATTAGAAGTACTGTTAAATTGTATATGTTGAAGGTGATGATGAAGTGATGATGATGATATATGAGAAATTGGAGTTAAAATTGTATGTGTTTCTCATATGTGCTCATAATTAAGTCTTGGGTTCCTTCTTTGGTTTACTGTTATTAGCTCAAGAATTCTGAGAAATTGGAGTTAATCCTTTGACTTATTTATCTTTTCATAAATATTATGAGGTTTATTGCAGGTTAGCTATATATACGTCTTAGTTTTCTAAGTTGTAATTAGGATGTAATCTATGAGGGTTAGTTGAATGAGATATACTTCACCCTTTATGTAATATAAGGGGATGGAAGCCATAAGATCACTAAATGATTTATGGTATGTTGAAGGGTCGATTTTTGTGTAATAATTTTCTAACATTGCATTGCACTCATAGGACCTGCATAAGAGATTAGTTTAGGATAGTCTTTCTGTTTACATACGTTGTTATTAAAACGTCATAGCCAATGCTGGTAGAGGTTGGGAAATGATGTACTGGAATATAAACATAAATTCTGGTAGGGATTTTATAGCGTCTTGGAAAGTTTTGAATGCTTGCTTCTTCCATTTGCCTTAATCTTCTTAATATCTAATTTATTTGTTGTGTTTCTCTATTTTTCTTGTAGTGTCGTAAAAGACGGTTAAGAATGGCTGTAAAAACCATAGACAATGATGTTTTGATAATGGACAAAACTTCTGGTGTCGATACAGCTGTTGAAGAAGCACAATGGGCAATAAATTCAGCATATAATCGAGGTAAATTATCGTGCTTATTGTTTCTTATGTTACTTATTCACTGCTCATGCATGGATTTATGTTCATGTAAGACCAGTGGGTTTTGTTACTTTGAAGATTGATATCTCTATAATTTTGCACATGTATATATCATATATATGGTTACTTTCCTTGATTAGTAGGAGGTGAAGTATTTGACACTTTATCAGCATGAAATTACTTTTGGAGTTTACTTGACACTTTGGTATTTGTTGCAGTCTCGGATAATCGGTTAGCTGCGGGCCTAATCCAACTATGTGGGGGTGCCTCTGCCTAAGCCATGGAGAAGCGGGAAAATAGTTTTAATGCCTGCACAACATTGTATAAAATCCGAATGAATAGCATTAGTGAAATTTTGAACATTTTCATTTAATATTTGTGAACGTGGACCATCAAAGAAAATGTATGCTCTTTCTAACTTTATAAATTCCTAAGATCACGTTATGTGTCAAAATATGCATTCGTATTAACCTTTGGAAGGGGAAAAATTAAAATTCAAAATCAACTTTTAGCGGCGGTTTTCTTAACCGTTGCTATAGACCCTTTTAGCAACGCTTAGCGACGACTAAAAGCGTTACCAAATCTATTTTGCATGATGGGTATCAAAATTTCGTCACTAGAGCCCTTAAAACCGCCGTGAAATCTTGAAAATCGCTGTTAAATGTTTTAAACCGTCATTTAAAACTCTACTGGCTACTTTCTTCTAATTAGAGCCTTCCTCCTTTTCTTTTCCAGCTGAAATTCATTTTCCGGCTTATACCGCAGGAAATTTAGCAAGCTACAAATCCGAATTTTATTACTATGCTATTCTTCAGGTTCTAAATTCCTACTATGACAGCTCTTCGAATCCTTATAGCAGCCGTAATGGATAAAGCTGGAAGAAAACCTCTAATTTTGGTAAATTAGTGCACAGTTTAGTTCTAAGAATCTTCTGAGATAATTAACACCTATTCATACTCAGAAAGTGCAAAGTTTTTCCAATTTATTCTAGGTTTCTGCATCATGAAGAAGGAACACTCCAGCAAAGTGCAACTCTTTGTGGGTAATTCTCATTGAAATTTTGACAGCACAATCCAGCAACCTGCTAGAAGGATCACTCTTCGACACCACAAGAGTTGTACTGTTATTTTTACAGATGATTAAATTGATTCGTACCAGAATGTTTTCTTTGCTTTTATTACCCCCAAAAGAGCTGATGCTAATTGTAGATTTGATTAACATCTCTTACAAAAACAAAAGCCATAAGCAAACATAAACAAGAACCAATAAATAAACAAGTAAGAGACACAGAGTAACCGACGATTATGAACAAATTTTACAAGAATCATTTGTTACAACAATGTATTAGTTAATCAGAACTACAGTTCAAGGTGAAGAACTTTCAGACACGTGTGTTGTACACTACACCCATAATTTAAGGTTCAAGATATAAATCATACAGGAGGACGCATCTTGCCAAGAGTAAACCTTGATTTCTCTTTCTTGTCAAGAATTCATACAATGGTAACAAGAGCAGATCCTTCAAGGAGACGAGCAATTTCACGATTTCTTATGATCTTGGGTGGTTTATACTGACTAGCTGGTGCTCCATTCCTGATGGCTACCTGTGATAGTCTGTCAAAGCTACCAGGCTTTACAACATATAATAGCAAAGGGCCTGATTCACCTCTATCTCTCTGGACCCTGTAAATGCCTCCCAAACCATCCTCGAGGGAAGAACAAAACCTCCTTAGAACTACAATTGACTCCTCTATCTTCTCTTGCATAAGTGACAGGCATCCCTCTTCAACTTCTACAAATACCTTCAACTGTTTTGGGCTCAACTCCATGTCTACAAAACTCGCAAACTCTGCAATCTCCATTTCCATTGCATTTCCAAGGTCAAGCTCAAACTTGTGGATTGCAGACATCAAGTCCTTCTCAGTTATAATCTCATTGGGCCCTTTGGGTGCTTTCATGACATATTCCACTTGTGGAGATAAATTATAAAAACCAACAACCCTCACTATGTCACCCAAATGATACCGGTAAAATCCTCTGTAAGTAGTGACAACGACTTCATACATCTTCCCCACTTCAACACCAGAAATATCGACTGTTTCTTTGCCAGCAGCATCAGTCTCATTCATATCAAATGGAAGAAACTCCAAATATGCTGCCGTTGGAAGCAAAACAAATCGAGTTTTCTCGGGGGGTTGCATAATATCCAAGTTAATACCCACACAACATTCTGAGGCAAAATAGTCTCCACCTAAAAGAGGTATCTCTCCTGCATAGTGCTTAAGTTTTGGATAATACTGCTCCATACTTCCAGTAGTAACACACCTAACATAACGAACATTTGGCCATAACTTGCTCACAATCCCACCCCGACTCTTTTCCTCGAAAACTGATCGAACTCTCTTTGCCAAGTCCAGTTGAGGCCCACCAAGAACCTCAACAACAGAATTCCTCATTGCAACATCAGAAATCTCCAAACTCGGGAACCCATGTTCAAGATCATGACATAGCTGCTCCCACTTGGACTCTAGAAGGCAAAACACTTTGATCAAGCCTATGGCATACGGGGCTCGAATTCCATCGACTAAATCAAAGCTCCTAATGCCACATAGAAGATGGCAATACATTTGGTGCTCGGCATTGGACCCAAGAATAACTTCCCGGGGACTAACAATAAAGCTAAGCTGAGACCAGTTTGCATTGCCACTCTGCAAAGGGTATGTGGAAGCAGCCATAACCTTAACACCACCTCTAGTAGTTCTTACATTATCGGCATATATAAACCATAGTATCTTATTGACTGTAGGCCTTGGAGGAAACAACCTAGATACAAAATTTTAAATCAAACCCATCACACAAAAATCTAAGTTAAATACGAAAATGAAAAACAGAAATCAAGAATTTTGTTAAAAATTATACCTTTTGAGAATTGCGGCACTGCCTTGGTGAGCTATGTAGGAGGCGGCTTTGGAGAGTTTAGAGTCGAAGTAAGGTATCAACTTGGGCCTCGGTGAACTTGTCCCGGAGCTTCAAAAGCCAAAAAATTATATAAAGGACCAATTTTTCATTTAGATTTGCCATGGCAGAAGAGTGAGATCGAGAGTCAGATTGATGAATATATATATATATATATATATATATATACGTATGTATGTACCTGTAGAAGAAGCAGACCAGAGGATCGACAGAGAGGAGAGGTTGATGATGATGACGTGGACTGTCGGCCATTTGATTGATGAGGTCAGCGTAGTCATCGTACGAAGACAAGGGCACGGAGCGGCGGAACGTGGCGGCGTCTAGCGGCGCATCGTGGGGTGGGAGGTAAGGCTGGAGATACAACACGGTACCGTTTTGGTCGAGGATGGAGCGGAGGGTGTCCAGCTGGTGACGCGTGGCGTTGCGGGTGGAGTCGTCGAGTTTCAGGAGGAGCTCGTCGTCCGTCATATCGTCCAGTCCAATGAGGCAAAAAGAACAGAGACGGCGCGCTTTTGCTCCAACAGAGGTGACACGTATCTATAAAAACCCAATAATGCCCTTACTATTTTCGTATTTTAGTAGGTAGAAACGACTTTAGCTATTTTTCGTCATTTTCAGTTTGACCCCAAGGTTAGCTGTCGTGTAGTGAAATATTTTCCAATTAGGCCCAAATACTCGTTGAACTTTTATATGCTGCCACGTGTCCGCATGTACTCTCCTTTCTCCTAGGCCTAGCAAAGAAAAGGTTTTGGACCGTTGAAGAAGCAGAGCAGAGGACCGAGAGAGAGAGAGAGAGAGAGAGAAGAGAGAGAGAGAATCGGCGGAATATGGCGGCGTCGGGCGGCGCCATTGATGCCTGCGAAGCTAGAGATGACTGAAGAACGATGCCGTTTTGATCGCGGATAGAAACATGTTGGTAGTTTTAGTAAATGAAAGCAATTAAGTAAATGAAAGCAATTAAGCAAATGAAAGAAGTGCAAAACTCATTTCTTGATCAACGACCTGATCATCATCATGATCATCAAGATCATGTTTTTCTTGGTGCGGAGGGTTCGGACTTGACAATGTGTACGGAGATTCTGGGCTCAGAGAGCGGCGATTTCATGGTGGCCGAGACTCTGTGGACGGCGATGGCCGATGAAGACGTCCGATCAGGAATATCGTCGTCTTCTTCTTCTTCTTCTTCAGCATTAAAACTGAGAACGACGTCGTCAATGCTGAGGAAACAGAGGCTGATGAAGAATTTGGCGCCAATGCTGCCATTGCTGTCCACGCTGGACATGTACGGACGGCCAAGATTCACTCTGGAAAGGAAAACGAGGATGATGAGCGAAGGACGGCTCTTGATTTCTATAGACAAGGAGCAGCGCCCCAGGGCTGTGCCGCCTAATGGGAAGCGGAGGAGCACTAGCAGTAGTATCAGTAAAAAGCTAGTGCTTTCTTACAATTCAGACTCTGATGAGGAAGAAGCTGAAGAAGAAGAAGATGATGATGATCGAGAAGATTCGGAAAAGAAACGAGAGGGTTTATCAAATTGAAAATCTATACTGTGAAACTAATTGGTGTTAGGTAATTTTGATCTTCTTCAATTCCATAGGAGGATTTGGTAATTTTCAATTTCATAGTAGAAGATTCAAGAAAACGAGGGAGAAATTAGTCTCGTTATGAAATCGTCTCCGTGACGTTCTTGATTTTCTTGATCATCCGGCAGACTTCGCAGTCGCAGAGAGAGATCAGAGGTTGATGATGAGGAGGAGGGATTTCCCGCCATTATTGTTTACACTGAATGGGAACGGACGGCCAAGATTCGCTATGAAGAAAGTCAGGAGCGATGGACGGCTCTTGATTTTTGTGGAGAATAACTAACCCCCCGGCTGTTGAAAAACAACCACAAGTAGAAGAAGTTCTGTGATTTACAGTTTTGAATATGAACACAACCAATTGATCGTGCATGACTACTTTACATAATTTGTGATCATCGACTTGTTTAGTTAATTAAGAAATTGGATTGGATTAATTTAGACTAGACTGTAGTCTGCAGAAGTAATTACTGTTTTAACTAAGTTTTCATAACTAGAGCTAAAAACCATGCAAATTGCGAGAACATTTTCAGTGGGGCTGCCGAATGTGGCACCCTCTTAGAACGGAGTATGATTAGTGTGAGGTTGTGTTGGACCAAATTACAGGATCTTGTTTTTTTATTCATAAGAATATTCGAACAATTCACGTGATCAGACTACGCTATTGAAGATTATATCACGAATTGCAATGCTTAATTAATATAGGGTCTCATTTTTAATTTGCATAGCTTTGAGCACCAATGTCATTTCCTCCTCCGCAATGCAATTTGTTTGAATGCCAATAGGCACCCAACGATTGATCAAAGAGTGATTTATGGACGACAGCCAAGGTGTCAACTGGGCTGTTGCTGATATAACATGCTCCTCCTACCTACTCATTGATTGCACAAGAAAATATGATGGTTTGGCAAAGAAAATATGTCTTGCACAATGAAGACAATATTTCCCTTTGCCATAGTTGTTGTTACTTGTACTATACGTTTGGAATTGTATATAAGAACTGAGAAGGGGATGCATTTAATGTGGAAGGTTGATAAGACTAATGGTCAAAGCAGCTCATCTTTCTCAAGTCAAAGTTTACATTCAATGTCTGGGGTAACAAATCAAGAAAATGAAGAACAAAGAAATCACTCTGATAATATATTAACTTTTCACTCTGCTGTACAATTTGAAGAAAAGACAAAATGCTAACCACACCCACCAAATTTCATCTTTTTGTTATTTCATCTGTTGTTCTGTTCCTAATAACCCAAGTGGACAGTAAATCAATCTTCCCCTCCTTTAACAAAACAACACTAAATCTAAACTGTAAAAACACAAGTCAATTAACCTATATATTATTTCTGATCATATCTGTGGAAGTTTCCATATCCCTTTTGATGGAGAAGTAGTGTTTGTTATCTTTGTAACCTTTTGCTTCATTTGCCGCCTTCTGGTGTGATCTTCTCCAACACCATTATCCACTTTTATCACATCAACTCTTACTATATGATGATCTGATGTCCCTTTGGAAGAAAACACTGAGTATGACCCTGGAACAAACTTGTAGGGTGAATTTGAAGATGCCAATATGTAATCCACCCTGGTTCCATACTTGCAGGTCCCCTGCACACCTGCATCAAAACATAAATCTAGGCATTTAGAAGGGGATTAATTCGAATTCGTCGACTTTTTTTAATTAGGCCTAATTGGGAAGAGAGAAAATAATAATAATAACACTAGGGTACAGGTTGGTTCTTGTACTTTGGCCCTTGGCAATCATAACCACTGATTCATATTCTCCTTCAAAGTCCTTAGCATCTGTATACTGTTTACTCTTCAAGTATCTCATTACTTCAACCTTAGGCCTTGGCTTTCCCATCTCCTCATAATACTGCAGCCAAAGAAAAACAAGGTGATTAATTAACTATATAATCAGTATACATAATAATCATTAGAAACCTCAATTATGTATCACCTTTACAATATCAGTCCATCTTTCTTGAGAGTAGTCTGATTCATCCAAAGAATTGAGACCTCCAGCCAAGATGTGGGGTTCATTGCTAGATTGGATTATAGCATTGATCTGCCTCATCCTCCAGTTCTCATCAAGATGGTCAAGGTGGGTGCAGTTGAAGTTGACTTCTCCTGCTTCAGGAACATCTATGGTGGCCTTTAGGACATTCCTGTGTGTGTGTCATTTTCAAGCACCCAATTTAGTTAATCTTTCTGTCCGATTTTCACTTATTACTAAAAGTGATTTTACATCGGCATTAATCATGATGTTTTCACTGTTAGCAGAAAAATAGAGGACTAATAACAGTTAAAGGCAATGCTGCCTTTTCAAGAAACAGAAAGATGTGAAAGTCTCGTGTATCTCAATCATGCTAATTATTTTATTAACATAACCCACCGATACTGCAGTCCAGTCATACGAATGTACTCCTTACCTAACATTACTTTTTTATACTCCTTAACAGCGATATTTCTCTTTCATTAAAAGGAAGCTTATGGTTAGCTAGGAGGGTTCAGCCTTGTAAAGTTTGAGTGATATTGACAATCATTCCATCATCAGATACCTTTCTGAAAAGAGAAACATCGCTAGATATTGAAATATGAGTAAACTGGTACATCTGTAATTCCAAATTTCAAATCCACCAAGTACAATCCTAACCAAGTGCTCTCAAGCGACAGATACATCTGTAAAGTTGGGATTTTATGCAGCATAGAAATGCATTAAGTTTTAGTTCCCCCCGCCCAAAAAAGAAAAAGAAAAAAAAGAAATGCATTAATTTGTGATTCAGAAATCAGGTTGCCAAGGAAATTATATGAAATGAGGTGCAAATTTCCAAGAAACACTTGGTTAGGATATTCCTCAAAAACTCAGTAAATTTGGAAGCTTTGATTTATCGTAGGAAATGTCCGTAGATCAGCTAAGAACATTGTCAGTGCATTCTGGAAATGAATAATTATCAAGTCTCAGGACAACCCAGAAGATAATATATAAAAAATTGCAAAATACGTGGACAACTCTGCACAGCACAGCTGTTACTGAGGAGACTCAGACAATAGCAGACCCAGTAAAACACCAAACTTTCTACCAAATATAGTTGAACCAGACAGGCTGTAAGGTAATAGAAGCCCATGAACAGATAGATCACAGAATTAATTTAGGACACTGGAATCGATTCCGATATGGGTTATTTTTTCTAGCTTTTGAAAAGTTACCCAAATAATATCAGATTGTATTCTATGATAAAGTTTAGAACTTTAGAATCGCTGATGACTTTATGAAAAAAAAGAAAAAGAAAGTAAACATGTCTTCAACTTTGTTTTGCAAAGTCTGGGACCATAAACTGAGCATTCAATCGAAGAAATTTCCTTGAAAGCACCATCAGAAAAGAGAAAAACAGAGGACATTACTGAATGATGTTAAAGAACCAATTCTATATACAAAGGAAAAGGAAAAGTTGTAATCACCTGAAATCAGTGTCATCAAAGATTTTCTGAACCTTCGACCGCTTAATCGGCCATTTTGATAAGATGGCGTTGCCGTACTCAGGTGCCCAACTTTCAGCAAAAACATAATTCATGCCCAAAGCAGCAGCCAAATCAGACAGAGGCTTCATGGCCTTTTCTTCCTCTGCCTTCACATCTTGCAAAGCCAATATATCAGCATCCAACTCTCTCAGCACATCAAGCACTGTCCTATGGCTTCTATAAAACTCTCCTCCATCTGCTGTGTCATTCCCAATATTTGCACAAAAGCTCACACTTGATGATCTCAGAGGAGCCTTTCCTCTCAGAAGTCTAGTCTTACCACTACTACTTGGACAAGAAGAGTCTTCCTTTCCTCCTCCTTCTTCAGAAAAGTTCAATTGTCTATTTCTCAGTAAAGAAATCTCATTGTCAGGCAAATTGATCGAAACCCGTAACTTGGATTTCACAAACTTCTGTTGCTTAGAGAGATTCTCTGTGTTGTTCATTGAATTGGGATGTAAAGGAGATTGCTTTAAAATACTCTTTGGGCGATCATTTACAGACTTTGCTCGAACGTTAATGTGCCTAACCTTCATACTATCTCCATTTTCATCATCAAAGCTCTCAATTTTCTCACTTTTTGGAACCGCAGGTGCCATTGAGAACAGGGCAGCATTAAAAGTCGCTATCCTTACAGGCCTCTCTGTTTTTAAGTCACCCAATTGACCATTCGGGTGAACTGCCGCCGACCCATTAATGCTAGCTTCATGTCTAGCGTCAAGTTGAGATTTTTTGGAGTTTGTTCTCCCAAATCGCTTGATGACAACTTTGGGCCTGGAGCGGCGGCGAACAGGCCACCGGAGGCGGTGGCAGAGGCGGAGGAGGCTCTTGTTGAGGAATTTGAGCATTGGGAAGAAATGGGGGCACAAAATGGCTGGTTCTGGTTTTGTTGTTGTTGTTGTTGAGAGCATGAGAATGAGAATTTTAAAGGGAAATTGGAGAAAGCTGCAGAGTTGTTTTCAACTCTGGCTCTCTCTGATGGTTGTGTTGTTAGGCATGAATTTTATGGAGGTAGAAGGATAAGTTTAGTGACTTAAAACTTTGTTAGATAGAAGGTGAAAATGTTGAAGGAGTCTTCTAGGAAAATGGTTGGTGACACTTGGCAGTCAACTAGGGGTTGAATAAGACTTTAAGGGTTAATGATGATGCATATAGAGTCGTGGAGAGAGAGAGAGAGAGAGAGAGAGAGAAGAGGGTGAAATCCTATTTTCAACTGCTCCATACTCTCCAAAGAAACAAAGAAAAATGCATAACTGCATTATTTGTATATGCCCGGCCTGCTCCTAGCTAGTGGGTTTATTGGACTTTATAGAAATGTCATGTCGTTTGGTTTGGGATTTAAGATTAAGATAATGGGAATGAGTTGTTTAATTAGTGAGGTCCAATAAATAAATAAACAGAGAAAGAAATGTGAATAATTATTTTTGAGAAAGGCAAAAATAAATTAATAAGAAAATTAAGGCCCCTGCCCGACAACTACAGGCCATGCATGCAAGTAGGATTCTTATTTGGAACGCCACGTCACCTGAAATCCGGCGTATCCAACTCCTATGCAAGCCTAGTGGAGCTGGACTGCTGGAGTCCTTATTTGTCAAATACTAGAAATGAGGTGTTGTATTGTAGGGCCCTATGGGCTCCTCCTCCTCTCATCATCCTTACATATAAAGGCCCATTAATTCTCTGCTGCGTACATACAAATACAAAAAACCGATTATTCTTTTCTCATTAAATAAAATATGTTATGTTGTCATACCGTGAATTTAAACTATACATAGATTGATACTCTAACAAAATAACATGTCAGACACGAATCGAAGAGAAATAAAATAGCAAGCATAGAAAAAGCCAAGAGAGTTAGACAACAAATGTTGACAAAAATGGAATCCGCATTCTCCTCTGGAAGATGAAGAATAATAAACGAGGGATATAATAAAAAGAATAGTAGGTGAGTTGGGATTTGTTTATGTCTTTGTGGGGGTGACTTAGTTTTATTTTAGTGTGTGTGGGTCTCTAGCTGGATATGAATCTGATGCATGGGATTTTTGGCAGCTCTTATTTTCTCAGCAAAATGACAGCTCTTATTTTCTCTCTTGTTGCCCCACCTCAGCACCTGATCATCATTTTTTGGGCTCTTGGAAGATTGAGATCGGAATATTTTAGTGGCTGTCCTAGTCTCTTAGTGGAATAAGAAAAAGTGAGGCCCATAATCTGGAGAGAGAGAGAGAGAGGTGCAACATGGAATGTTAAAGATGTAGTTTGCTAGAGATGGAAAGTAGGATTAATTTGATTCTTAGCAGAGAGGTCAACTGGCTTCCTGGATTTCAAGACCTACCAGTCTAAGATGAGGTTTTGATCAAACTTTTGAGATTTTTTTGGTCTGTGAGATCAAATCAAACAAGTCTATATACAAATTTATTATTCAAATATCATGCTGAACATGTAGAGCAGCAATTTTGGGTAAGTAGCATTATATATATACAAGAATGGCCAATCATTTGCCCAATTGTGACCAGATAGAGCTTTCAATTAATGGTGTGTGGCTGCTGGTTTTTCCTACTTTAATTTAAATTCATGGATGGATACAGCAGAAAGCATGGATATATAATTCTCACATGGGCATTGGCCCGAAGATCTAGAAATTTATGGCAGAAATAATAATGACCAGAAAGTTCATTTATGCAGAAGCCTACCTCATGCCTACAAGGGCCATGCGCAGCTTTATTAGGGTGAAGTTGTGCATCGCCTTCAAATGGTAGAGCAGGTTAAGAAGCAGGTGGTTTCTTGGTTTTGCTTCTTCTTCTTCTAACCATAAAAATGAAAATAAAATTTTGAGGCTTTGAAATATATGTGTGCATGATATGTGTGTGAGAGTGCAAAGCACCTTCAAGAAGAAGAGTTTCATGTCGGGATATAGCATGATTAAACAAAAAAGAAGAAAAGAATCGTCGACAGCAGGGTTCGAACCTGCGCGGGCGAAGCCCAACAGATTTCAAGTCTGTCTCCTTAACCACTCGGACATATCGACTTCTTGTTAATTCTGTTCGGCTAATTCACTTATAACTGAATTACTTATTTTTGGAATTGAAGAACACTCTTTCAGTATTCAGTCCAGTCCAACAAGACGTGAAATAAATACAGCAGCATTAGGAGATAAAAATTCTTACTTATATGAGTATGAATAGTCTAACCATTAGTTCTTTTTTAAGAAAAGAAAAATCCAGGTTGAAAAGAACCAGAATTAAAGGAATATTGCAGAAGGCATATTTCATATTATATAAAAAGGTCATCCTACACTTTACAAGGCAACTATGACTCCACAAACTCTTCTCTGTCTATTTCTTTTTGGGGGTGAACCACCTCTATGACCTGTATGACCCAGAAAATAAAAGAAAACAAAATCCACCATAGTAGGAATGAATTTAACTAAAGTTTCCTCCATTGATCCATTCAAATGATTGCTCTCATTATCCAGTCACTATTCTCACTAGAAGGTTTACACACTATGGATGAGCATACTGCACATTGATCCTTCGTTGAATTGGGGTCCTACAAGAAGGGCAGTCCTCCATTCCTTGTTTCTTATGAAGCTCATTGCATTTTGCACAAACAACCTGATGTGCACACGGAAGGAAAACCACTGACATCTCCTCAGATAGGCACATCACACACTCGCGGTCCTGTCTCAAACTTCCAGTCCCAAAATAGTCCTCGGAATTCATTACCCTCTTGATGCTGGTAAAATTTTGGGTTCCCTTTGTTGCCATCACAGTTTTTCTGTCTGACAGGCAACCTCCAAAGCTTCCAGCAGCTCCCCTTCTTAGTGCAGCAATTCTTGAAGAGTCAGACTTCAATTGAAATTCAGATAACTTGCTCTCGAGTTCTTTGATGTCTTCCATATACTTCTGCATATCATTTTCTGCCTTCTGTTTGATCCTATCCTCCTCCACTTTTGCCAAAGATTCACGCTGTTCTCTTTCATTTCTTATGGAGTTAGCATGTGCAAGTAGTTTCTCATTTTCTGTGTTCTCCCGTTTCCATCTAGCCTGTAAAATTTATCATCATTAGTAAGAAATAAACACCAGCACATCACTGGGCCATAAATTTACACCAGCAAAAACTTGAATAGTACCAACTAGTATCACATGTGTGTTGTCTGTCTATTAAATTTTGGTTTTTAAGGTCATAACTAAACCATCCCCAACCCCATCACCCCTTATCGCTTGAGCCAAAGCTCAAGTGGAAATTTTATGTATACAATCGTGTGAACAATTCATGGAAAAAGAAGATTCCTTATTATGCTCAGTGAGAACAATTGTTGACTTAGTAGGATCCCATCACAAGCAAAGATTTTGTTTAAAAACAAGGCCACGACCTTTTCCAGGGACTTAAGACTTGTTCACCAGTATCCCACGAGCGATCCAACTTAACTTGTTTCTGAAAGGTAACTTTTACATCCACGTTGAAGAAGCATACCTCGATTTGATGATGGACACTTTTTGCCTTGCCTAGATCCTGTTGAAGTGAAGCCACCTTCTTCTTTTCTGTTTCAAGCTCCTCCTGCAATGAGCTTATCTCCCCCTCCCATGCCTGGGCCCTTTTCAGTGATCTCTGCTCTTGGTCTAATGCATCCAGGTGACGTCTTGCTTTCTCCAAAGCTATTTTTTTGGCAGCAAGCAACTTCTTTTTCAGTGTGGAATTCTCCACCTCAAGCCTACAGATATTAGAGTTAGCTCTCTCAACCTGGCCAGTTGCATTGTTCAAGGCATGCTCCAACTCAGACAGCCTCTTCATGGTGTTCTCCTCCAACATTTGTTTCTCCTTCTTAAATTGCTCCGCTTCTTCCTTCTCTTGCCTCAGTGTTTTAAGTTCAGGCAGTTCCTTACTAAGCCTACGAGAAACCTGCATTACCTTCTCATTGGCCCACTTAGTCCAGCCTTGTAGCTCATTCTGCAGCTCCTCCAGCCTAGGAACTAGCTTCAAAATCAGCTCATCCTTCTCATCTTGTGGTACATACTTTCCTAGAGACTTATCATATGGAATGCCAGCACAGTAATCAAGAATCTTGGGGGATTCGGAGGTGCAAACTGGGGTCTTAGGTCCAGATATCTCTTCCAACCCAGATTTCTGGGAAAACTTGGTATCTGCAGAAGGCAAGGAAGATATGGTACCTTTTTCAGGTACTGTTGATGAGCAACCTGTTGCAGGTGAAGCAGATGGACTACAGGTTGAAGCATGATGCCTTCCATCTGATGAAGGGATGGTGGCTCCACCTTGAGCACTTGACTTTGAGGAACCAACTGTTGTACGTGCTCCAGGAAGTTCAGGCGGAGGCTTCATCCTCTTCTCCACAAAGAAACCACCAACTGTGACTTTCCCTGACTTGAAGCCTCCTTTTGATCCATAAGCCCTGTAATTTCTCTCCATATGGAAGGACTTCCTCCGAAGTGCTGCTAATTCTTTCTTGGTGCGCCATTTTCGAACGGCTCCTGACTTTTCTTCAGAGGTACATGTTTGAGATTTGTTTTGCATATATTCCTCAGTGAAGCCTAAGCATTTTTCAAGACTATCAAGCATAGATGACAAACTGTCTTTCTCAGGGGTTAGCCCTCCAGGCACATGAGAATGTTTGGAGTTGGGCACGTTAGGGAAACTTCCAAATTTGAGTGCTTCAGTTGAATTGTTTTGAGGAGCTCTCTCTTGAGCATGGGAGAGTGGAGGCATTGAGGAATTTTCTTGGTTGGGATTGGGATTTGGATGGATGGTTTCAAAGCTAGTTGCCTCTGATCTTAATTGGGTAGAGGAAGAATCAGAGGAGCTCTCTCTTGAGGATTCTTCAAAACCAATAGCAGTTAATGGATCTCCTTCCGATGTACAGGCTTGCAAAATGTTTAAGTCACAGATCAACAGCCACCACATTGCTTCCGCAACTGATAAGGATGGCCTCACCTCCCTAAGCACACTGATCATTTCTAGCATTGTGTACTCCACCAGGTGCTGTAAATTACCAAACTCATTATCTCTTGAAGCATCAAAACCTTTCCCTTTGTTAAGAAATTCCAGAGTATCATTAACAATATTTGATAGAGGGTCTTTACTGCCAATGTAAAGGCCGCCTCTGGAAACAGCCTTTTCAGCAACCTCCTCACTGTACCCGCATTCAGCAACCTGCTTAACTGCACTCTGGAAAATTGCTTGCAAATAAGACAGCAACAGTTCTTCCAGCTGACACACAATGGGATCATCCCAATCTGTACATTCAAAGGCTCCCGCTTCCACTTCTTCTTTGGGCTGAACCACCCCAGCATCCACTGACACATTGTCACTCAATTTTGGACACATTTCTGGAGATAATTCGCACTGAGGGAATACAGTTAGGGGAGAACCGGGGTCAGTTGTATTCTCCAGAGAAGGGTCAACTAATTTTCTCTTGTTCTTACTTCCTTTTCTTAAGGATTCCCCTTGGTTGCTAGCAGTACCACTATTGACCATTTTTTTCATACTATGAACAACAAGAACTAACTTCACAATATCACCAGTCGACTCTAAATCAGTAAACCCTATACACGAAAACAAATAAAAAGAAAAAAGTGAGAATTTTACAGAAATGATCGAACAAACATTGTCAAAAGGGAAGCCATATTCTCAAACATTTCGCAGATACTCAATGTAAACAAAAAAATTGTGACTTATCAAGGAAAGTAATCATAAACAACAAGATAGGCATTCGTCATTCTTCAAATGAAATTAACAAGAAATACTAGAAAATTTCATACCTGAGCTACTAAGAGACGAGGGCAAATAGGCACAATAAGAACTCTCCTATTAAAAAAGCACTTAAATTGTTCAAAAGCAGACACGCCCATGTATGAAAGTTGGAGAACAAACAGATTATAAGCGCACCCAGACCCAGTTAGCTAAAACCAGCAAATAGCCAATAACGCATGCAGCCACACAAGTCCAACTGTTCAAATACCAAGACATCACCGACAAACCATTGCTTCAAAAACATCAGAAAGTTGATGCCCATTTCACAAAACCACCAAAAGTTGATCCTCGTGGTTACAAAATCTTAAATAGATAGAGCAAAAAATAAGAACGAACCCAAATGAAGAAAAATATTAAATTTTTTCTTATACCCACAATCAAATAGAGACGTACCAGGCGAAAGCTAAGGTTTCTGTGAAGCCAATAAAAACTTCGACGTAACGTTAATGGCGAGGAGAAAGTTATGGGGCAATGGCTCCCATTCTGCTACGAGAGAGCAATGCGTGAAGCTTCTTCAGAGCCTGCTGCTGTGTTTGCGCCTCACTGGCTCACTCTTGGGTTTTGGGGATGGTTTTACATATACGGAAGCCACATAGCCAAATAAAAACTGGTCCTGCTTTGCACTTGGCCTCTTGGCCCAATTTGGCTTTATAAGGACAACTTATACAAAGATTAGGGACCTTAAACCATTTTCCCTCCTACCTTCAATTCTTGAGATGCACTAATCTCAACCATTCAATCAATATCCCCACTTGAATTCACTTTAATGGATGGCTTGGATTTGCACACTAATTGTAGTAATAGCAGAGGACTTGAAAACATTTAATTTCATCATTAGGTACATGCAACTGACCCAATTTAGGGCTAAATAGGGTGAGTAGTTCTAGTATATTGTTGAGTAATAAAAGGTAGGTATAGGAGTTTTGGTAGGTTAATAAATAAAATGGATTTATAATCCATTTTGCACTTGTATACTGAGCTTTGGTATCGATATCAGTCGATAAAAGTATACATTTTATTAATGATCACAAAGAAGAAGTTCACGTTAACCCATGTCACACTTATTTAGTTCAATCAATTATCAAAATCTAACATAGATTAGTATGATATTTTCCTTCGTAGCAATGTATAAAACACCTACACCAATTTTTTATTATTTTAGTATAAGTGATTGTCTAAGCTGCAGATGATAGAGATTTCTCACACACACACACACACTACTATAATGTCGTGGGGATTCAATCTTGAGACTTTTGGTATGCAAATCAATGCTATTTTTTATTGAGCTACCCGTTGGCACCACACCCAAATTTAAGCACATAGATTAGTCTTATTTTATCCCCTATAGCAATTCACACAAAACAAATTTAGAAAGTAAAAAGGTGAGTTCCTTTTGCTGATTTTCATATCCATATAAGTCCAGATGCTAGAATTAAATTGCATTAATTACCCATGAAAAAGAACAAAAGGAAATAACTGAATAATTAAGGGAATCCAACTCCTACTCCTAGATAAAATAGGAAACTGATTATTTTGTTGGTTTATGGAGTGTTTGTAGACTTATTTTATTTATTTATAATCAGAATTGTAAAACATCCAACATTGTTGTTGGTATACCGTTTAATGTTTATTTATATATATATATATAAATTGTGGTGGAGAAATATTTGTATAATATTTATTTGTTACTTGTTACTTATTAGTGGTTGTTTTAACGATTTCATAATGGAAAATCCATTTAATGTTTTATTTTCTGAGGCCCAATCCTAATCAAAATAAATTATCTAACTAGGGCATTTGGTTTTATTAGTGTTTTAATACTAGGCCCAATTGCAAGCCCATCTCTCCTTTTGTTTTTCCCATCAACAAAAGCCCAGGCCCAAGTCTAACATGAGCCGTCTCCAGCCCCTCCCTGCGACCTATCATGATTCATCTTCTTCAATCCTCATCTCGCCACCCCAAAATCTGAGCCACCATCATCATCTCATCCCGGACCTTGGAGATTCCAAAATGGCGTTTTTTTTCGAGGTCAAAATCGCCCAGGCCGCCTAGGCGCCTAGGCGGCCGCCTAGCTCCAAATCGCCGCCTAGGCCGATTTTTCGAACACTGCCTGAACATCAGAAACCTCCGCAGAAAATAGTATATTCTTATAGCTTCCTGATGCTAATTCCTTGCCTAAACTCCTTGAAAAACTTCCTCATAGGAAATCATGCCCGTCCACCCGAAAACCATTGTTCATGAATAATTTCTGCATTCATTTCCTTGCACTAGTCTAGGGAAGAAAACATGTGGTTCATTTCTTTCTTGACAGAGAAAAACAATTAAAACACTTGAAATCAGCAAACTGACGTTGATCCCAATCTAGTTCAGTCAGTTTCTGCCAGTGCCAACCAAGTAGGCATTATCTCAAGAAAAAAAACATGCGTTCATGGCAAAACCGGTTACAGTGTGCAATAACTTGCCAACGTCATCAGAGGGAGGCCCTACAACAACATACTAAAACGATGAATTCCCCACCCTCCATAAAAGATTATTCCAAACTGGATGCTTATTATATTACACCCAAGGGGAAAAAAGTGAGAACCCGAAATGAGATAGCAGCATTTTTAAAAGAAAATCCTATATACGAAGGCATATCCGCTTCAGATTTCGACTTTGCAAACCTAAAGGTTATGGAAGACACTATCCCTGAGATTGTCGGTAAAAAGGGTTCTGGTAGCAGCTACAAAAAAATGAGACCTCTGAAGGATGAGGAGGAGACGGGCAGTGTATGAGTAGTGTATGTTGAAAGATCACCGGTGAAAATTTTCTTGGGAGGTTTTGCCTTGTGTGGAAATGATGTCCGTTTGTCCGTATTGATATCATGTTGGAATTTTGATGCTCCAGCCGCACTTGTGTTCTTTGTATTTCTATTTGTTCACTTCACTAAAACGAAGACGATTTGAGGAGAGCCGCAATGTCATTCACATAGATTGAACTTGGGTCGATTTCGGAAAAATGATACTTGTAGAGAGTTGCATTGGTTGAATTTCCATCGTATTTTTTGTTTTCTTTGGCAATTGGTTTTAAGCATATTTCATTTCACAAACCTTTTGAGTAGGGGGGGGTGGCAAGGCAACAATATATTCAAATCAAGTCATTACAATGGTGACATGACATGGTTTGTTCAACTGATACATATACATCCAGTCAAACAAAGTAGGGCAAATATTCAGATATGCTCATATTCACTCATATTTTATTCTTCTCCAATATGGATTTATTTATAGAGAAGTACAACCCTAAATAAAATAGGAAATAAATCCAAATTACAATAGAAAATAAATATAAATTATAATAGGAAATAAATCTCAATTATAATATGACTAGATAAATAGTAAGTAACTAAAATCCTAACATAGTAAGCAGGGGCGGAGCTATTCATAGGCCTGAGATGGCCTGGCCCCCCCCCCACCATCTTCTCACCTCTTTGACTATATAAAGAGTGTAGTATAGATTGCACAAAAAATCCCGTAGTTTTAAGCTTGTGGCCCCCCAAAATATCAACCTCTACCTCCGCCACTGATAGTAAGGAACCAAAATCCTAACTAAGTAAGGATTCGCCAACACATCCTGTGTTTTTGAAGGAAAAGGAACAGAAATCTACTGGAAAATATAATATTGCTGTATGGCTTTCCTCCAACTTGTATTGAACTATATACATGATAAATCAAAATAATCTTGAAATACAACATGTGCACATGTAACCACTATGCCTTCTGTGATTATGCAAAGCTATGCGAAAAATGTTGAGCTGTGCATATCCTTATACATGGAAACCAGAGGTTCTCTGGCTGCCGGAGTTTTACATGGCAGCCGAAAGAATTTTGTTTTGTATTTCTTCAAATATAACTGGGTATCAGTATCTGTATTTCCGATACGTATAATGGGTGTTAGTCAAACCTAATGCCAATTGAGGAGACCGGAGCTTTTCTCTCATGGAAACTTGTTGTGGGTAGTTTTCAACCTTGTGCTGCACACCTTCATCTTTATGTGCTATGTGAAAAAATGTATACTGATTTCACTTTCCCTACTTGGTGGTGTTTGGTCACTCATCGTACAGGAAAGCAGAAGTGATTAAGGCCGCTTAATTGAGATGATTTTATTCAATCAAAAGCGAAGGTAAAGAACTTAAGTTATATAATTTTGTTATTCCTTTCTGTTTAGTACTTACTATCCTGTGACATAATGGTCGCAAAGAGGCTGTTTAAGCAACAAGAGTTTGTCATATTACCATGGATGTGGACACGTTTCTGGACATACCACTTCCATTTCCTTATATATTCTTAGAGAGAGAAAGGCCTACCTTGCAGGCTTCTCTTCTCTCTTTATCTATTCGTGGAGGGAGAAGAAAAAATGCCCCCAACTGCGGAAGCTTTTCCTTCTTTATGCATTCTTGGAGGAAAACGAAAGAAGATAAAATCCCTACTTTGGAGGCTTAGTTAACATTAGGAAGCAAGCCCTCTTTTTTCATCCTTTTTGAGCGGATGAGAGAGGCGGCCTCAACAAATATTGTACTATCTTGTAGTTTCATAGAAATTTTTTATTTTTTTCTCAATTTTCCTTTCCCTGTAAAATAACACCATTACCAGAACTATTGTTTTAGTTATGTCAACGAATATAGTACTGCCTGTTACCAACTTTTACAAACTCATAAACTTTCATAAAAACTTAAGGCAAGAAAACCAAGATTCCCAATCAAGAATTGGAAATTCACCAACCCACCACATGCTACCGCGATACTTGAGCTTGTAGGGATCACTATCCAAGCTTCCTCTTTCCCAAAATCGAACCCCACCTCAGATTTTCATAAATTCTAGCAACTTTTCCCAATTCCCCGTTTTCACCCAATTTCCCCTTTTTTGAAACTGAACAACCCCTACTCTCCATTGTAAAAGAAGTGGGGCGCACACTACGTAACGGAACGTCTCTTAAAACTAAAGGAATGGCTAACGTGAGACACTTTTTAAAATTGTAGGGGGTATTTTGAGACGTTTCAAAGCACATGTAATAATCTGAGACAATTTTAAAAGCACATGGAGCATGTACAAGGGAAGAAGAAATCATTTTTGTGTGTGAGAAAAGGACCTTGATTTGCAGACCCGAGATTTCGAGTTTGAACCCCTTAACTATCGATTGTACTAAAATAAAATAAAAAGAAAGAAGAAAGTTTTAATATCGATTATGAGTTATTTGGATATATATATATATATATATTTTTTTTTGGAGAAATATTTGTATAATATTTATACAAATTTATAAATAAACCCAATCCTAGACATGTATTTATAAAAAAACCCACGTACTATTTAAACATAGAAACACACCCAAAATCAACCCCAAAGTTAACTTTTTGGGTGTGTTTATAAATGGGTTTTGAGTGTGTGTAATGATGGGTTTTGAGTGTGTTTATAAAGTGTTTTGGGTGTTGGGTTTTTTTATAATTTCAACCTCCATTTTGGGTGTTTTAGTGAAACTCCCTAATATTTATTTGTTACTTGTTACTTATTAGTGGTTGCTTTAGCGATTTCATTTAATGTTTTATTTTCCGAGGCCCAATCCTAATCAAAATAATTTTTCTAAATAGCGCATTTGGTTTTATTAGGGTTTTAATACGAGGCCCAATTGAAACCCCATCTCTCCTTTTGTTTTTCCCATCAACAGAAGCCGACGCCCAAGTCTAACATGAGCCATCTCCAGCCCCTCCCTGCGACCTCTCATGATTCATCTTCTTCAATCCTCATCTCACCACCCCAAAATCTGACCCACCATCATCATCTCGTCCCTGACCTTGGAGATTCCAAAATGACGTTTTTTTCCTGGGTCAAAATTGCCCAGGCCGCCTAGGCCACCTAGGCGGCCGCCTAGCGCCTAGTCGCCGCCTAGGCCGATTTTTCGAACACTGCCTGAACATCAGAAACCTCCGCAGAAAATAGTATATTCTTATAGCTTCCTGATGCTAATTCCTTGCCTAAACTCCTTGAAAAACTTCCTCATAGGAAATCATGCCCGCCCACCCGAAAGCCATTGCTCATGAATAATTTCTGCATTCATTTCCTTGCACTAGTCTAGGGAAGAAAACATGTGGTGCATTTCTTTCTTGACAGAGAAAAGCAATTAAAACACTTGAAATAAGCAAACTGACTTTGATCCCAATCTAGTTCAGTCAGTTTCTGCCAGTGCCAACCAAGCAGGCAATTCTCTCAAGAAAAAAAAACATGCGTTCATGGCAGAACCGGTTACAGTGAGCTATAACTTGCCAATGTCATCAAAGGGAGGCCCTACAACAACATACTAAAATGATGAATTCCCTACCCTCCATAAAACAATCACCATCCGAAAAAGATAAATGCAGACAAGTATACTATCTTCCTGGACAATCATTTTTGAAGATGCAGAGCTTGAAAATCTTGTTAGATACCCTGCACTGCATGCAAGGCCCGTATACTAGGCCGACTGCCGTTAAACGCAGACCTAAGCACTCAGACTTTGCTGTTTGTGGACTGAACTGCCCCTCCACAACTAAATTGACCAACGTGAAATGACAGGGACCAACGTGTTAAAAGTGGAAAGTGAGGGTTTAAGCACACGCTACCATTCGTCTTCCGAGCCTCCACCATCACCTGCGCCTTCACCTTTCTCGCTCTCTCTCATGGCTACCGCTACTCCAGCTAAGCGAGTCGGCACTCACAATGGCAGCTTCCACTGCGACGAAGCCCTCGGCTGCAAGGTCTACAAGTTAGTTAATTAGCATCCTAGTTCCTTCAGGTTCTGATTGATAGATTGCTTCGAGTCACTGTGATATATTGGTATCTTAATTTAGTGTTTTAAAAAGCTTTCCCCACCCAAATGCATGAATTTGCTTTTGTAATTTTTCTGACCCTGTGGTATTTGTGAATTGTGGCACTGTCATATGTGTGCTGGGGGTCTTATTCATACTATTTGGGCTGCCTGTATTAGGCTATAGGCACTGGAGCAGATCAAGTTAATCTGTATTAGCAAAGCAGATGTGCTTTGAAGTGCTCAATCAGTTGTTTTGTTGTGGTTTGTCCTTAGCAAAGAGAAATGTGTGAGGGAGAAGCGAGACATATGAGATCATGCTAAGCCTTCCATTTGTGCACAATATTTTCGTAGAAAACTGTATGAAATAACTTGCTGATGTGGGGGCAACGGCTCCCATTCTGCTACGAGAGAGCAATGCGTGAAGCCTCTTCAGTGCCAGCCTGCTGCTGTGTTTGCGCCTCACTGACTCACTCTTGGGTTTGGGCGGGATGGTTTTACATATAAAGAAACCACATAGCCAAATAAAAACTGATCCTGCTTTGCACTTGCCGTCTTGGCCCAATTTCCCTCCTACCTGTTTAATTTAAGTCAACTTCAATTCTTGAGATGCACTAATCTCAACCATTCAATCAATATCCCGACTTGACTTCACTTTAATGGATGGCTTGGATTTGCACACTAATTGTAGTAATAGCAGAGGACTCCAAAACATTTAATTTCATCATTAGGTACATGCAACTGACCCAATTTGAGGCTAAATCATAAGGTGAGTAGTTCTAGTGCATTGTTGAGTAATAAAAGGTAGGTATAGGAGTTTTTGTAGGTTCATAAATAAAATGGATTTATAACATGTCATTCACACCCCAAATTGAAGCACAGAGTCTGATCTTATCCCCTATAGCAATCCACACAAAGACAAATTTAGAAAGTAAAAAGGTGAGTTCCTTTTGCTGATTTTCATTGCATATATAAGTCCAGATGCTAGAATTAAATTGCATTAATTACCCATGAAAACGAACAAAAGGCAATAACTCAATAAGAGGAATGTTGGCAACCTTCTCTCTAACCTTCTCCTTTGGACCTTCTTCCTTTTTTGCTTGACATGTCATTCTCCTTACACTTAAAACAATGTCATTAATATATTATACCACAAGAGTAAATTTAGGTTTTAGCCAAAAAAAAATTTTCACTTTTGGAAAAAGCCAAAGTTTTTTCAAAAAAGACAGAAAAACCTCTCAACTTTCAAATCAAAGACATGCAAATGTAAAGGATTCCTTAGGAAATCCAAAAATAAATAAGGGCAATTTTGTCCATTTTGGCTTCTTTTACAAAATTTCTCTCTCCTTTGTGTTTTTCCAAAGTCTCCCTATAATTTTTTAATAAAGAAAATATGTGCTTTTAAGAGGAAATGTCTGGGTTTTTTTTTAAAAAAAAAAACACACAAAAGGTTTAGATAGAAACCAAAAAGTCCTTTGTGTTTTAACATTTCCTCTTTTTTGAAAAAAGTAGGCATTTTCTTTTAAAAAATAATTGATGTTTAAAAAAAAAATTAATAAGATGGTAAGAAAGTTGTGAATTTTTTTTTGGATAAATTGAATACATTTAATAAGGGTAAACTTGGAAAGCAAAAGTTAACTTGTATAATATATTAATGACATTGTTTTAAGTGTAAAGATAATGACACATGTCAAGCAAAAAAGGAAGAATGTCCAAAGGAGAAGGTTAGAGAGAAAGTTGCTAGTATTCCCCAACTGAATAATTAAGGGAATCCAACTCCTATTCCTAGATAAAATAGAAAACTGATTATTTTGTTGGTTTTTGGAGTGTTTGTAGACTTATTTTATTTATTTATTTATTTATTTATAATCAGAATTGTAAAACATACAACATTATTGGTATATTAAATAAAACTTTAGTTCTAGAGACTATTGAGAAAAGAAAGATAGAAAGTGATTGTGAAATAAGGATATGAATAATAGTAAATAAAACTTTTAATTTTTTTTGTTGGATAATAAAACTTAAAAATAAAAATAAAAATTTAAAACCATTTTCATGTATTTTCAAAATCGTTGTGGTGATATTTTGTTTATAAAAAAACAAAGATGCGATTTCATACTTAATTGAATTATTCTTTTGATATAAGATCCAGACATTTGAAGGTAACGACGTCGTTTGGTATAAATATAAATGGAGATCCGCATTGAGCATATATGCTGATTATCCTCCTCCTCTTCCTCCTCCTCCTCCGGCTGTTTGGCAGGAAGGAAAGAGAGAAAGAGTTTTCCAGGAACAGAAAAGCTTAATGGACAGCCAAAGAACCCCTAGAACGTCGTCCAAGGTACGAATAGAATCTGTTTGATCCAATATTTTCCTCAATATCTCATTGAAATTGGGTTTCCAGTGTTTCAATCAAGGATAAGTGCTAGAGGATTTGATTTGCTGCTCTTTAATCCAATTCAAATTATTTTTGCGTTGATAAGTAAATCTGGAAAGCCTTCACCTTGATAGCATTTAGCGAAAATAAAATTGTAAAGCCTAAGTTTAGATTGAGTTTGAAATAATTCTTAAATTTTTATTTTTCAGAAAAAAAATAGTTGAAGCTTGCATGTTCACTATCTTGTATGTTAGCCTGGCGTTAAATGCTCGTCTTGAGTTTCATGGCAAGTGATCAGCAATATGATGCCCCTTTTGGTACATTCATGCTTTTTCAGTTTTGTCTTGGATAAGTAGCAGGGGATTTATTGCTCTTTGACCTTAATCATAATTAGCGAAGAGGGACAATACAACCTTAGATTCAGTTCAAATAAATTTTGAATTTTTCAAAGCATGCTCATAATTTCGTGTGTTAGCTGGTGTTAAATGTGGTTCTTGATGACTTTAATGGCATATAAGATGTTGTTTTTACTACTCAAATGTTGAAAATAATTAGCTTAGAGAGAATTTTAAGAAGTTAAGTCTGGAGTGACTATGATTATCCCACAATGAGATGGATTACATGCTCATACCGGGGAGGCTTGGCGTAGCATTGAAGTGGAGTTGGGGTGAATTGAATGAACAAAGCTGCGCTTTCTTTTCTATATTGTTCTTCTTCATATAATTGTATGCAATCTGGTGTGTTTGCTTCTTATAGGATTTTGACTTTAATCTGCATGAGTAGTTGCAAATTCTTGTTGGGTTTGAATTTGGTTCTGATTTTGATGGCTAAATCATTGAATGTGCTAAATCCATTTGGATTCTCTTGACAGAAGCCACAGACAGGGACAAGTTCAATTGATCTATATGCTGCGCAGTGTGACGAATGCCATAAATGGAGGGTGATTAATTCAGAAGAAGAGTTTGAGGAAATCAGAAGCAAAATGAGTGAGGAACCGTTTTATTGCAACAAAAAACCTGGTGTGTCTTGTGATGATCCTGCCGATATTGAGTACAATAGCACTAGGACCTGGGCCATTGATAAGCCTGACCTTCAGAAGACCCCAGAAGGTTTTAAGAGACATTTGGTGCTTAGAAAAGATTATTCCAAACTGGATGCTTATTATATTACACCCAAGGGGAAGAAAGTGAGAACCCGAAATGAGATAGCAGCATTTTTAAAAGAAAATCCCATATACGAAGGCATATCCGCTTCAGATTTCGACTTTGCAAGCCCAAAGGTTATGGAAGACACTATCCCTGAGATTGTTGGTAAAAAGGGTTCTGGTAGCAGCCACAAAAAAAAGAGACCTCTGAAGGATGAGGAGGAGACGGGCAGTGTATGAGTAGTGTATGTTGAAAGCTCACCGGTGAAAATTCTGTTGGGAGGTTTTGCCTTGTGTGGAAATGATGCCTGTTTGTCCGTTCTGATATCATGTTGGAATTTTGATGCTCCAGCCGCGCTAGTGTTCTTTGTATTTCTATTTGTTCACTTCACTAATGAAGACGATTTGAGGAGAGCCGCAATGTCATTCACATTGATTGAACTTGGGTCGATTTCGGAAAAATGATACTTGTAGTGAGTTGCATTGGTCGAATTTCCATCGTATTTTTTGTTTTCTTTGGTAATTGGTTTTAAGCATATTTCATTTCACAAACCTTTTGAGCAGGGGATGGGTGGCAAGGCAACAATATATTCAAGTGAAGTCATTACAATGGTGACATGACATGGTTTGTCCAACTGATACCTATACATCCTGTGTTTTTTAAGGAAAAGGAACAGAAATCTACTGGAAAATATAATATTGTTGTATGGCTTTTCTCCAACTTGTATTGAACTATGTACATGATAAATCAAAATCATCTTGAAATACAACATGTGTACACGTAACCACTATGCCTTCTGTGATTATGCAAAACTATGCTAAAAATGTTGAGCTCTGTGTATATCCTTAAACATGGAAACCAGAGGTCCTCTGGCTGCTGGAGTTTTACATGGCGGCCGAAAGAATTTTGTTTTGTATTTCTTCAAATATAACTGGGTATCAGTATCTGTATTTCTGATGTGTATAATGGGTGTTAGTCAAACCTAACGTCAATGTTAAACCTAGTTGAGTACTTGTCAACTGGAGGTAGTATGTCTAGTCGGGTTTTGTGTATTCGAGCAGCATGTGCGGTGACCTGTAAATCTTCACCAGCGTCCAGTAAAGGACCTCTTCAACTCCAAGCTCACCCTCTGCTCTTGCAGCATATATATCCTCACAAATGGCTATCAACCTATACAATAAAAGAGCCATATAAGTTTCAGGAAAATATTACTCTTATTGATACTTGGTTTGGAAAATGAAAGATAAGAAGGAAGGACCAAAACAAAGTTGCCTTACCTATCACAGGAAGGAAGGTTCTCATAGGGGATTCTCATTCTTAAGTCAGAGCATTGAAGTCTGATAAAGCGGCCAACAGCAAGAACAAATGTTATGTAGAGACCCCAGATGCTGAACTTGCTAAGGGTGTCACCAAGAATACCCTCTGAAGTAACATTGCAGGTCAGAAATTTCACCCAAAAATGAAGAACAAAAGTCATTTAAACCAAAAATATTGTTAGTAAACCACAAAGCAAACTTGTGCACATGAAACAGGACATTTTTCATAAACTTACGTGGCGGTGTTTCCTCAGATACAATGATGGCCATGGGTCCTCTCAAACCTCCACATCCATTGACGTCGGATGAATTGATGTCATGGAAGGACCACCAGTCATAATTAGCACGATTTATGACAAGATCCGCACTAACAAAATTATCCTGTAAATCAATAGTATTCCATCATTTCAACAAAAAAACTGCTATGGAAATTACTGCAGGAACATGAGCCTCTGTGTAATCTGTGTAAGATTTCAATACAAATATCTCTCTTTCTCTCAATCTCTCACCTGAAACCAAGATCTCAAATTGATAACAAAATTTGACATATAGAACTTACGTTAGTTAAAGATGTAACTGAGAGAGAGAGGGTACCTCTAGTTCCAATGGTCTTACATCCCCGGAACCAGTGACGCGGAAGTATCTTGAATAAACATTGTATATCCTAAAGCTGTTTATAGAGCCATTAAGAACTTGCTGGACATCTGATTGTTTTGGAAGATCCTGAGGATCCACACTTCTTTCATATTTAACAACTTCCTTGCCTTTGGGCCTGCCCCTGGTAAGCACCCAAGTAAAAGATATATCCATGTGGGTCTCCCAATCAAGGGACTGAATGAATCTTGTCTGAACCACATTGGGGATAAGCCACAGAGTACTTGCATCAGCTTCACAGCATATCAACTGGACATCCTTCTGATTATATGTATCCAAATAACCTTTGGGATCAAGATTAACATCAGAGTTGAGCGTATCCCATTGGAGCTTTTTACAGAGGGTGGTTTGATACAGACTCAACCTTCCACTCGCTGTCTTGATGTCAACCTGAACACTGGCATCTTTAATGGGGTTTTCAATGTTGGTCGGGTTACCGCTGCTATACATCTGTAAGGGGAAATGATATAGAGAAAGTTAAAATCAAAGCGCACGTGAACTTGTCTGCGAGTGTGAAAGTTGCTTACCAGCATTGGAGCCCAAATAACACAAATCAATATGAAAAAAAGACATATGCCGTTGCAGCATTTGGTCATTTTTGTTTGCTTTTCTCCTTGCTTGTGCTTTGCTCTATTCAAGACTGCATCACATTTGACAAGGTACAAGCTTGCATGTATGTCCTCCAGCTAAGTAGAAAGCTATAGTCAGTTTCAGGAACAACATGAAAAATGTTCAATCAAAATTCACTGCATAGGTTTCAAAGGTTGAAGTTCAATGCAAGATGAATTATAATGGAATGCTGTAGAGAGATTAAAAGACTTACTTTCAGCCAATCATACATGGTCAAAGATGTGGTTGTGCATGACCAGTCAAGTGCACATCTCAATTCATAAAGGAATGGCAGAGCACGATATAGTCGATATCCTAAGTAATTAATTCGTGAAATTTCACTGGTCAAAAACTGCCGGTACAAAGTGCTTTTATGAGGAATTCCATGTCGGAGTTGTATAGCCTGCAGTGCCAGAGAAACTGCTTTTGCAAGAAATATAGCACGAAGTGCTAATCCTCCAGCATGTTGGTGGGAAGGTTCCATGTGCCAAGCATACTCTGTAACTGAATATGTGAAGAGGATGAGGTTGAAAAGGTAGAAAATTACTTTTCCGGTGGCAAATGAGCAGAGGTAGATTATGCGATCAAGGACAATCAAGAAAAAGATGATCTGCGAGGAAAATCATTTATCCTTTTAGAGAACATTACACATTTCAACCAAGAACAAAAGATGATTTATCTAGCTTCAAATTTGCAACTCCATGTTTTTTGCAATAGACCATAAAGTAAACTCGATTTTGCACTACTTAAAGCACGACAGAAAATGATGAAAAATTAACTGACCATTAAGATGAACACAAACTCCTTAGGAAACTGATCATCAAGCTGATACACGTCCAGAAATTCACTTTTATTTTTTATGACAGATTGGTAGAATATCGCGACTAAAAAGAAAACAGTCAGATCAGCACCAAACACATAGGCATATAGATCAACGTCCCTTTTGCCTCCCCCAATTACAGAGAGTATAGGGTATGGGAATCCTATTTCTTCAACAAACCCAGCATGCTGTGCTTTTAGAATTTCCTTTGCCACATCAGCTGCTGGAGTAAGTGAATTGTACCATTCTACCGAAGCACACTCTGTTACGGGGGAGGCATATACCACCTCGAAAACAACCAACGCTACATTTTCATTTTCTTGACTCCTTTCAATGCTTTGAACATGCACCCTACTAGCAAAAGGGCATGGGGTAGGGGTTTTCTGCTTGCACCTTTCATCATGGATGATTCTAAGCAATTGATTTACTCCAGACTCAATCCTTTCTGGTTGAATTCCATCGTCTGGCCATGAGCGGACATCCATAGACACCTGAATAAAGTAAGGAGGGGAATCTGCTCCCTGTGTCAGTGATTCCCAGTACCTAAAGAAGCTTCTGATTATCAATTTTATTGCATTTCCCATTATGTGCAGCAGCTCCTTTGTTTTCTCACTCCAGCTATAACTTACAGGAACCTCTTTTCCATGGAAAGCACTCCTCCTATAGAAGTCGAAGTCTGTAGATGACATCCACTCACCATCTTTTGCAGTTATAGAGCTCTGTATGAGGGTAAATAAGTAGACAAGAAAGAGAGGCAATGAACTGACAACAAAAGAAGATGTGATTTTATGTGCAGGAAATCCCCACTCACGAAGTAGGTCTGAAGCAACACTCAAACCCCAGTGCTGGATGATAATCTGGTACAGATACTGAAGCAAAATATAGACTTCTGTGTAAATCAGCATAATAACCCAGAAGATGTAACTTGGACCAGAATTTACACATAGGGCGTACAAGAATAAGGCTGCCAAATACACCATAGAAAGCAAACTGAAGTTCCACAAGAAGACAATGACAAAGCAACAATAACACACAATATCATTATTGGACCGCATTTGGGACCATATGTGACGGAAGATCCTTCCTAACTGCAGACTTGTGGGATCAGAACTCGTATCGGACTGCAGGGAAGATGAACGGTTAAAACACATATACTTAGTGTTTTGGCTCTCCATCTCATCATATACCCCATCCTCAACAGAAGAGTGCTCACTGATATCAGAATCTTGTTCAATGTTCAAAAAGCTTACTAGGTTGTTAACTGCCTGATTTCCAATAGACTGTACCTGGGAAACGCCATCACCTATCAGATGAACTGCAGAGATGAGTGGGCTTTCCTTTGCTTGCCCTTTAACTTTCTCCTTCTTTTCTGAAGAATAAAATAATACACCATCAGTAACATCTTCTTCGACTTCAGTGATCTCACAGTGAAAAGATTCCATCGAATCCTTCATAGACTCCACCACTGTTGGGTTTTCCATGTTCACTGTTGCAGGAGATCGATGCAATTCATAAGGGTACAACGAATCCTCTTTAAGTATCTGCTCCTTTTTCATGGGTAATCCTTCTTTATCAGGGATCCCAGCATCATTATTTGAGTTAAGAGAAGTACTCCTCCTCCTTCTTAGGCCTTCACTGACAGGAGGAGAATCACCACAATTAGTAACTGAGTTCATGCTGTGAAGCTGGATTTGCAGGTTGAGCATCTCTGATTTCATTTTCTCCACTTGCAGGTTGCGCTGGTGTTTCTTCTCCTCGGATTCACGAATGTGTTTTAACTGTGCAGTTTTCCAGGCAGCTTTCTTTTCTTGCTCACGCACAATGGCACCAATTTGCTCAGCTTCAAGATATCGAGAAACATTATCAAATTCTTGGGAGGAAAACATATATGACTGAAGTGATACCACCATAAATATGACAATTTCAACGAGAGCTGATCTTGCAGTAATCCGAAACCCATAGTCATACTTATAAAATCCAATCATCTCAAATATGTAATCTACTGTCTCACACTTTCCAGCACAAAACTCCCCCACAAAAGGAGATTGATATGCAAGAGAAAGAACAATAAGAGCAAAATTGTATATGCGCAAGAACTTGAATATCTTGTTCCTCTTCTTTAGGATTTCAAGTCTCACCCGAAAGAAAACCAGCGCAAAAGCAAGATAACCAAGGTGCAGAATGTCATACTCAATGGTCCCAGTAATCAAAACCAACGCTAGCACAAGATCCAATAGGTGGCAGTAGCAGTAAAGCCTCAGGTAGTCAAAGAAGGTCCACATGCTTTTGGTTTCAAAAGAGAGGTCTCTCCACACAAATATATTTTTACGTTGAGATATCATTTGACGGTAAGTTGATGACACCGAGAAGCCGGACAAATGGTCAGCACGAAGTTTGAAACAAGCAAACATGAAGACAGCAAAATAGCTGATAAGCATTCGCTGATCATCAACAATAAGTCCTATGGCATAAGTGGTATACATTGTTAATAACTTAAAGTAATGCATTGATCTATATAAGAACTGAAACATAAAAGCAAACAAGATATATAAGGTCACAGATCAAAATAAATTGTCTTAGAACTTGTCCAAGCAATGGACCAATAATCCAATATCAATTTTCTGCAACATTTTCCAATTTAAAAAAGAAACTAAATAATTTGAGTATCTCAGAAACCACAAAGCCCTCTTAAAGGCTAATGTTGGAAAAAATAAAATAAAACTAAAAGTAGTGTCTGTTTGCACATGCATGTGCATATTTGTGTGTATTTGTGTGCGGGCCTCTACGTAAATCTCGGATGGCTAAGAGAGTAATACCTAACCAACAGTACTTGCAGTAACTGAAATACATAGTTGAGATTTTCCAGCAATCATGGCAACGTGCATTAGTCTCATCAGGATGATTTGAAGGCCACGTACTCTTCCAGATGGCAAAGTACTCGAGGATGAGAATGGATGCAAACAGGAAACAAGTATGGGCCATATCTTACGTATAATATGCCGATTCAAAATAATACAAGTAGCAAGTAACACAATGTATACCAAAGAAATGGCATTCAACAAAGCAAAGCTTGCAAGAAGCAACGCAATCATGTTTATCTCAAGACCAAAGAGGTTGAACATATTTTCCATCCAGAATTTCAAATAGATTTTTGAGATAAGCTTCTGTGTTTCAAATCTCTCCTTTCTCAAGGCAAGAATCCGTTTCTTGTTCCACTTATGACTCTCCTTGGTGCTGCCCCAAATGTACCCAAATGAGTACTTGTTGCTGCTACTACCCTCAGAACCTCCTGCTCTAGGGGACACAGGATTAAGGGATTCCGATAAACCTGGGGAGAAATATGGCCATGAATGGCTCCTAGCCCCTTCTCGTTTCACAGAAAGTGCTTCAGAATCTTTTGATGGCTTGTTTTCCTCACTAGGGATGGAAGAATTAATATTGGCATCTTCTGCTGAGACAAACAATGGACAAGGCTCTTCCCACTTTCCTTTGTTTAGGATAGTACTTGGCATCTTCCCCAACCAGCGGAAAACATTATATTGAAGGGTACACGCAGCAATCACCAGCACTTTTCCTCTCAAGCCGAATTCTAGACCCCAAAATCCAGGTTTAAATACACGGAAACCTAAAAGAAGGGAAATATTAGAGTGCTTTTGTCCAGGAAACATTGCAGCCTGTCTACCCCACATCTGAAAAAGATACTCAGCTGTTACTAGAAATCCTGTGTAAACCAAGAATAATTTAGACGGGATCCGTGAAGCTTTAGGTAATGTTGAACAGATGACAAGGCCAAGTAGATACAAAAATCCAAATGCACTAATTGGAGATAAAGATGCATAGAATACTGCAATAAACAAGATCTTGTTGCTGTGCCAAACGACAAACCGCTTTATAAACCCAAGCACTCCAAATTCTAACACATCAGCATCATCTGGCTTGTTATACCTGCTCTGTCTCCTCTCATAGCTATAAAGTTGCATCACAATCAAGACTGCTAGGGATTCCCAAACATTTTCCAAAGATGAAGCTTCTGAGTCATAGCCTAGATAGAAATAAAGGTCTATTAACCTGGACAACCAAACCTCAATGCAGCGGAAACTGCTCAAGCTATAGATAAAGATAAACACCACAATTGCATATGCTTTCAACGGGAACCAAAGGCGCTTTTTCGTTCTCTCAACAAGTTGTCTTCCAATTATCCAAGCAAGGAGAAGGAATATGTACCCAAATGATACATAATTGGGTCTCACCAGGTATACAGTAAGGAGAATAGTAAGGAAGGCAATGTAGGTTCCACATGATCGGTACACAGATAAAAACCTCTGCCCAATTGCACTGAGGAATAATGCTATTCTTTTCTCTGGAAAGAGAACAAATCAGCAAATATAAATGTCAATAGTAGTTAAAGGAAGGATAGCAGCAGTAGCAGAAAAGCACAAGGACTGGCAGTAGTTTCCCTAGTTGCCTAAGAACAATGGGTAGCAATTGATTTCTAAAACCCAGCTTCAACTGCACTTTCATATAAGACCAACTCAAATTATTGAATTATTCATTTAACATTATATTTCTTATGGTAATTCATTTCACATTATTGAAATCACTAAAACTAAGCATTCAGTAGATTATCACTTGGATTTAATTGAGAAGGTTAAGACCAAATCTCAAATTTAGTCTCATATTTAGTCTTCGATTGTCAGAGACCAGATTGGCCACATTCAAGAAAAAATAAACAAATATAACAAGGATAAAATTATACCATAAGAAGGATTATCATGGCTGTACTTAATGGCTGAGGAGGCATACACTGACAACAAAACTGATTTGTTCAGGCCAGCTTTCAGAATGCTAAATCCAACTGGACGGCTAGGGGTATGCTGCACAATTGCTGAGAACGAAAATAGCATTTCAAAACCATGGTTATGAATTGCACAGAAGCAAGCAAGCAAAGCTATTTTCAAAAAATCCCACGAGCTTTCATGTTGAAGGAGACCTGCATCATTTCCAGATAAGATAATATCAGTACACATTGCTTTTTTCTTTTGGCAGCAGTTTCTGACATTAAGCATAATCAACTCCTCCCTCATAAGAAAATAAACCATAACCAGGTCCACATGTCAAATCATAAAACATAAATGAACCAAGAAAAAACAGTTGCATACCTAACTGTGATAAAACTTCTGCACTCAAAGAGCCTTTTTGCTCCAAAGCATCAGAGATCGGATTAATCTGAATGATATACAATAGTGCAAAGTGAACCTCACATAGGAGAATCAAAGACTGGCGTATCTTTCTGCTAATGTTGTGGCTCAAAAGATATATCAAAAAGAATATCACTGAATCACAGGTCAAAACATAAAATTAATTAGTTAAAGTGCGGTGTTGTAATTTAAGCATTAGTTTCAAGCATTACAAGATATATAAAGACAAGATTGTAAAAAAGGCATCATCATAACAGTCAACTTCATGAATTAATAACTAAATTAGGTTTGACACATACCATACACAGCATGGATGAAACCAGGTTTCATGGCAATAAGAAATATAAGTGCCAGCATGATAGCTCGAGAGCTTTTGCGCAGTCCCCAAGCAATTGTGGCCACAATCAATACTTTGGTCTCTCCCTCACCTATGATTAAAGATATAAACAGAATTAAATATATGGAAGGTAGATACAATAAGACATGACCTAAGCATATGCATTACTGAAAATCAAGGGAAAGCCCAATGGTTAACAGAGATATACTCTCGGAGAGATATATAGCACAAAGATGATGACCTATTTTCATACAATATTGCCAGTAAACTTTACACCACCACACACACACACACAAAGAAATGTATTTCAATACCTTCTACGGTGCTGTTGTCATTTGAAAATCGCCCATCCTCATCAGACAAGCAAAGGAAAACTGAGTTGTTCACAAGATTACCCAAGGCAACCAATATTCCAAGACAGAATTGTGCAAGCAGAAAGAATCCAGGTATGGGATAATGCCACAACCCAACCATCTCCCATATGTCCGTGTTCTGTACATGTAATCAAACAGTTAACTTCCAATCATTTTCTGTTAAATTCAGACATGAAACATCACCAGAAAGAGAGTACTACCTTCCCAATTTTCCAATTCAGGAATGCAAATGCTACATTGAAAATATATGTGCTAACAGCCCACAAGAGAATGAAGACAAGAAGCAGCCCATTCAGTCGATGCAAACGGAATAAGGAAGGGAAGGCATATATGATGTAGCCAACATATGCAAGTAGCCCGAATGCACAAACACTTGCAAAATGAAAACTCCAAAAAGAAAGAGCAAACAAGGACACCTGTCAAATTCACCACTAAAATGTTCATATAAACCCATTAATATAACAAGACTAAAAAGAAAGATCTTAAAACATCAATTTTTGCTAGACGCAGGTAAATGAAAAAAATTGGGAACTCATAAGTTAAAATTCAGCAGATACTTTCATACTACTTCTTTCCACATGTGACAATCATACGGGGATGGAGTAGGGCACCTAATTTCCAACCTGCCCACTTTATCTACCTCAAACTATTATAAAATTTCCAGTTGATCTTAATTTAAAAGAATAAATTGTGTAAAGTTTGCAAGTAATACATTTGGGGAGAAAAGGAGCATGCATTTTGCTACAATAATTTTTTTTTCTTTTTCTGAAACCGAAAAGAAAAAAAAAACAAATCCAAGGCAAATCACTGGCTCATTGGAAAAACATAAAAATAAAAATTAAGTTCAAGCACTGAAAAACACTATGGCAAGTAAGATCCCTAGATGATGGTTTGAACTAAATAGATGCCTAATGCCTCATGCATTAAGTTCAAGCACTGAATTCACTACTGCCTCATCTTCAGCTTCAAAAAGATGGCATGCATGGGTCAATTCAGCCTCAATAAACATCATGATGTTGTTCAGTCAAGAGGAAGGGAGACTCTAGGAATATATACCGGGAATCCATATGTGAAGAAGTTGATACTAAAGGTCCGGAAAAACTGCTCCCGTCAACAAAACATTGGTATGCCTTACACCAGATCTGCGAAGAACAAACAATTACTTAAGCTGCACACAAACACACTGACAATTATAAGGGTTCCCACATCATATCAGCTTTGTTTCATTAAAATCAAAGATATGGATTAAGGGTAGGAAGACAGAAGGTCTCCTCCCATATGTGTTAGAACTTCCAACAAATTTGAATAGTTAACTTATACGCATTGAAGACAATAATCAAAGGAGATGGCATCATGTGAACCAGATGAAAAGATGTTCCAACATCCAAGAATATTACCTAGATTCACGAATAAAAAATGAATGCTTCGAGGGAAGAAGTTGCTCCGTCAAGTTATTTTCTTTCATGGATAAAATAAAATCCATTTCCTCTAGATCACATTTAACACAGGATAGCTGCATTACAAGGAAGAAGAGGTAAAAGAAAAACCACAACAAGGTAAGCAATGCAGCAAGGATTTTAAGAATTGAATCACTTATGTAGCAAAGTAGCAAGGATGACACACACATTTGATAAGTAATATAGGATTCTTTGTTGCACATAATCCAAATCTGCATGGTTGTTAACTTAATTCTGAACTATAGTCAGATTAAATTGAATGATATAACCATATCATCCAGGGATGAATTATTACATGATCAACTTGCAGAACCTACACTGTAGAGAAGCTGAAGTCACTGGTTTTCAAGCATCCTGCTACATAAACTGTGTTGGATTTGTAGATGTCATAAAAGATAGACGTACCATGATGTAGAAAAGTAAAAGAGATAAGCTCGAACAAACTTCAGTCCAATCCGAATGTAAAGTTATCTTGAACAGACCAATGAAATCAGCTATCCATTGTAACATATCTGGAAACTCCACAGGTAGCTGATACACATAAAGCAAGACAATGTTGAAGCCTGCATACAAGTGAAAAGGCTTCCACCACCTTCAAACCCATAGATGCAACCATTAGCAACAAGAGAAACTAATTAAAGCAGAAAGAGAGAGAGAGAGGCAACAATGTTAGCCAGTAACAAATGAAGGTTTACAAGGAAATCACCTGAAAAGTCCTAAAAAATTGCTTGTCAAAGACCAATCTACAAGACCACTGCAGCTCCCAATAAAAAATGGTAGAGAAACCCATGAGGGATGGCTAATTCCAACAACCAGCTGAATGGCAGGCAACAGCAAGCAGGAAGCAACCCTAAGATGAGAACCTTCCAGATGTAACAGATAAATAATTCCAAATCAGTTGTTACATTTGCAAGATCAATTATGGAGTTTAACATGGGCATGCATCTTGCATTTTAATATAAGGTTAATAAGATGAATAAATCAATTATTCAAAGCATCTTTAACAGTTTGCATGAATATTGGCCCAAGAAGAAAATCTAATGCACAACAAGAACCTTAATTCTTTTCTTTTTCATTTCTTTTGAGAATAAAAATAAGAACCTTATTCAAGCTTTGTCTATTAAATTTCTTTATGTATAAATTATGGTTCAACAGGAAAAATCAAAGAAAAACCCAAGGAAGAATAAATAAATTCAAGCGGTTAATTACTTACAAATTAAGCGTTCAACAGCTGATGAAAATCGACCCCAACATGAATCACACGATGAAACAAGACCAAATCTGTTTCCATACAAGTCAACTAAAGCAACAGCTACTACTGATAGTTGTAAGAGTAAAAATATAGCACAGAGGGAGATTTCCATGACTGCAATCTGCAAGACCATACACAATAAACAAAGTATATTATGTATGCATAGGAAATAATGGGATATGAGATTAAAATAGAAACAAAAGACAATTCGTACATCATGAATCCAATAAGATTTGCCCACCAAGCACCTGCTCCAATCCATTTATTTCCCTCAATAGCCCATATAACAAGATATATCACTTGAGAAAAAATAACAAATAAAGAAAATATGACAATGAGCCACAATAATAAAAGCCTCCTTCCAAAATGAAATCCTACAACAAGGAAAACACTGTTAGAAGTAGTAAAAATCAATTATATAAATACGAGAAATTTCCAGCATTTAATATAATAAGAAGCAGTATCAAAAACACCAAAATCATTTCTTTTGTCGCCTAAGTTACATTGTAATTGTCTCCTAAGTTACATTGTAAACCAAAATTGTTCAAAGTGCATTTTCTGAATGAATCCAATCAAACCTAAGGTTTGACATTGAATGAGATACTAAATAAAACTCAAGTAGATCTCCAAAACTTAATTTTCCTTTATTGTATAAAATAAGTTCACAGCATTTATGCCTAAATTTGGTATCCATGTGGTTATAGCTGCTTAAGAAAACCAAAGTTGAGCACTCATAGATGCACTTAATCAAATTCCGACAGCACATTGAAAAAGGATTCATGTCAACTACATATTTTAACAGTAGTTAAAATTTCTACTCAATATATTTTTATGGAATCTATAACTGCATAATCTGTTTCTTTGATCCTCATCCATAAACACACACTTACCATTTTTGACAATGAAAACAAAAGAAAAACTAATGCAGAATCATGCTATCACATTTATGTCATAACTGAGGCACGAGATTCAATTTATGGACTGGTGAGTCAATGCACCTCAAGTAACAGTCAATATGCAGGATAAATTTAATTGAGTGATTGAGATCACTTTACAACTCAGATTGTTCTCAAGCTAAAAAAAAAGAATTTAACTAGTCTGTTGTAGCTAAGAATTGTCATATCAAGAAAACCCCTTCCATATGAAAAGTTTTATGCCAACTCATTAGCAAGACAGTGGTAATCCATAAGCACATACTTTTCCTAGTATATTGATTTCCTGGTCAGACGAAAATGTCTACAATACAGTACCAGAGGAAAAGGGAGAACGAAATTCACATGAAGAGCATCCAACAAGCGCATTTTCACTGGGTAGTGTACTTAGATAAAAGCATTCGTAATGTGGAAGACAAGCAGAAAAATTTATGGAGAGCAACTTACCTATTTTTGGTGCATTAAATAGAATAAGAAGAAATGCTACCAAATCAACAAGAGAGAGCAAGCTCCAATTGATAAAAGCAGCTGCAAGAAAAATGGAGACATGCAAAAATTAATCATACCTCAGTTATTAAGCACGCTTGGATTGTCAGTAGCTATAAGTAAGTTTTTTGCGCCCAGAATTTCTCCACAACCATATAAAATAGAATACTCATTATGGTTGATGATGATGAAGACAGTATGAGACTATATATGCGATAGAGACAATAATAAAAGCTTAGCTCATCTAAATTACCATAAAAAGAAGTGAAATGAGCTCATTAAAATTGCTAAAGAAAACCCAACAACAAGGAACCCCAATCCAAAATGCATGCTAACTTTTGAGTTGCAGATTACTAGAACAGCTGGTCAAGTGCAACACATATAATACCAAGAGTAATATCCAGTTCATCCACTTGAAATAATCTTACGGCTATTAAAGCAAACAAACCAAAGGCATTTTCATTTAAATACCTGTTAGCAGCAGCAGAGGCAACACAAACCCGCCAAGAAATCTCCCCATGAGAGGCCCTTAGCACCAATCCAATCACTTCGAATTCAAAATCCCATCAATGGATTTTCGATTAAATCAAAATCACGAAAACCCATTTCCCAAAGACTTCGAATTTCCTCAGAAACTCCCAATTCGAATTGAAACAGACGAAAGCTGGCTACAGCTTCTTCTCTGTTTCGCGCACGATAACGAAATAAACAGAATATCGGTACGTTGGGTCCTCTAAATTCGCGGCAACTCAAACCATCGTCCAAAGTAAAGATTAAAACGACAGATGTTGATCTCAAGTTACGGTAGCTACCAGTCCCAAGTCCGAGCTAAAAGTCACCCAAATTTTACAGCAAAATGTCGATTTCAAACTGTTGTCTTGTAAATGAGATTGGCAAACTAGCAAGAAAGAAGCTTTGAGAAATAAACTACAAAAATTAAATTAAATAAACAGAAGAAATAATAAAATTTTATTATGTTGTAGCCAGTAATAAGTAATCTCCCGACCAATAGGAAATTAGAACATCGGAAAATTTTTCACTTTTCCGGTTTTAGCCTCGAGACTCGAGACTCAATCTGACGGACTACGGTGATTGGTTTCGCGGGGAAATAAGTGGCGTCCTACAAGTGTTCGTTTCTTTTCGGGCTTCAACTGGTGGGCCCAATGTATGGTCTTTATAATTGGGCCAGAGATTGGGCCCACAGTCAATATTTTGGGCTGTTCTTGGTGTTATAAAGTGAGCCCAAATCTCTGTCTATGAGCTCTGTTCCCTGCCTTAAGTTTCTTATCTCCCTCTGTTTTCTTTGCATCTCCTTCTTGTTTGAGTTGCAGTGATATAACAGTAGAGTGTTTAAACATGAACACCTTAAGTTCAACTTCTCTCTGCAATCACCAAATTTCAAGATTTCCTTTTACTGTTTCAAACCCGAGAAACATATCTCCATTTCCCAGCAGAGTCTTCTTCAAACTATATGCCAATGCCAATACCAATGAGTTAGATACACAGGCACAGGCAGTGGAGGAGCCAAAACAAGAGCTAGAAGCTGATCCAAAGGAAGCAGGCAAGGCCTCCCCTGCTTCTCCACTTGACAAGGACCTCAAAAAGGTTGGTTTTTTTTCTTTTGATTCTACTGGGGCACCCTGAATTACAATTTATTAGAATTATTTCATGAATGCCAGCTCCAAGAAACTGCCCTTTTTTCTTCTTCTATGTGTGTGACTGCATTTTTGTACAATTTTAGGTGGATTTGTAGATGTTCTTGTGGATTGTAAAATTGTGAAATTGGGTAGTAAGAACAGATTGGTTATGTTGCAAAGAAGCAGATTTGGAAAGGCATAATTTTTAGCCTCAGTACTAGCTAGAACATGATAGAAATAGGTCCCAGCTAGTTTATATATTTTACTTACAGTTTTAGAGTCTTACCTGGGTTCCTTTTTGTTTTGCATATCCCCTATGTAATGATAGACTGGTTTTCAGATTGAAAGTTATTGTGTTATCAATTTTCTCTCAAGGTTATGCTTCCATTTTGCCCAACAGGTTGTTCAGAAGACTGCTGCAACCTTTGCACCAAGGGCTTCCACAGCTTCCAAAAACCCTGCTGTGCCTGGCAGTACTCTGTACACTGTTTTTGAGGTTCAAGCCTATGCCTCCATGCTGCTTGGTGGAGTTCTGTCTTTTAATCTCATATTCCCATCAAATGAACCAGACATATGGAGATTGATGGGCATGTGGTCCATTTGGATGTTTAGTAAGTTATTCCCCACTAAACTTAACTGCAAATTTTTCTCCTATACTTTTGGTATTTTGGAGATATGCCATAACTTATCTGTCAATATAAGAACAATATATGGAAACTTTTCACATTGAAGTGAAATAGGCAGCTGTTTCATTTTCATGGTTTACAAATGACCACAGAGCAATGTGTACATGATGATTATTTTACGTACTGCAGAATTGGATTCTAACAAAGAATCCAACTTTCTAATTTTTGCAGCGATTCCTTCACTGCGTGCACGAGACTGCTCAAAAAATGAGAAAGAAGCTCTAAACTATCTCTTTCTTCTCGTCCCTTTACTTAATGTGACAATCCCATTCTTTTGGAAGTCCTTTGCGGTTGTTTGGTCCGCCGACACCGTAGCCTTCTTCGCCATGTATGCATGGAAGGTATGTAATCAGATATATGAATTAGGCATTCCCTTTAATAATTGTGACATTTTTTCTTCTAACATAGAAGCATATATTCTGTTTCTACAGCTTGGTTGGCTACAAAGAAAAAGCTAGGAATCCAAATCGCTTCATTTCTTCAAATGAAATGATAGGCACATGATATGATATTATATGAAATTTCTCAATGCTGATGGCCACAAAGTACGAGGAGAGCTTGTACATTTACAGGACAAAATGGTGCTTGCCTCCCCTGCAGCCTGCAGGAGCCAAAGCCATCATCAATTTTTGGAACATGTCGTGATGAACGAATGCATTTGTGTTCAGGCGCTCTTGTTTATATAGGATGGATATTAACAAGTGAAAATATAGTCGAACAGAGCAATGCAAATGATAAATTTGTACATAGAAATCCTGAATCTTTTCCCCTTTTTTCTGTCACTTGACAATGCCATCTATACTGCTATTCATACATCTCCTTTATGCTTTCTATTTTGTTTGCTATGCGGTTGGCACCAGAGAATGGAAGCTGCATGAAATTGTGGTTCTGGAACCCAGAAAATTAGAATATTCACTCGCTTCCTCATGGGTGTCTAATTACAATCTTGTCATAGTTATTACTATCTGTTCTCAGAAACAAGTATTGAAATTGGTGTGTTTAGCCAAAAGGTGGAAGTGTGTAAAAATGCTTCAAATAAAGAAATTTACTTTCATAAATATAACATCCATAAAATTTACAGGAAACCCCTGATTGAAAAGCCAAACTTTTGAAGGTGATTCACTGAAATTGGGTGATCATTCTATACATAATCATCATCACTGTCATCATAGTCTGAACCCGAATCGTAGCTCCTGGGTTCTGTGAGTGTATTCATATCAAATGATGGCAACAACTCCATCTCCTCCATTTCGATAGTGTCATAGTCCATCCGTTGTGCAAACTTTTCATCAGAGCATTAAGAAGCCATCCAAGGGAGCATTTCAACCCCTTCTTTGAAACCATCTTATGTCTTGGTTTTATAGTAGATTCCAGACTGTAAGTAAAGAACGCCGGGAAATCAACCAAGTCATCCAAATGCCTTTGCATCTCTGTTTGAAAGAAATCGAAGCTAAGTTTCATGATGTCAAGATTCAAGGCAAGCAATTGAGGGCACCCTGCGACCATCTTCCTCACTTGTTCCAAGGAGAATCCACAATTCTTAAGGAAATCTACATGCTTCATCATAGGTCTATCACTGAGGCTAACAACCTGAGGCATCTTCTCAACAACTCTGCCAAACTCCTCAGGACTCAAATCAATTACTGACTTGAGTGAACTTTGTTGACTGAGAAGCTTAGGCTTTAGATCAATTCCTATTATCTCAGGATATTGTGCCACTACAGAAGCAAGTGATTCTTTTCGAACACAAAACTCCAAAAGAGATTGAACATTTGGTTTCACCCTCTCCTCCAATCCAAATCCAAGGATGTGAGGCCGCTTCTCTATCAGTCTAGCCACGCCTAATCTTGGAATACCCAAATCTTCAAGATACTCAACAAAAGGCTTGATCACCCTACCTACACGCATCCCTAAAATCTCGGGGTATCTAGTTAACACCCCTCCAATCTCTCTTCTTGCGACCCCAATTCCGACTAAATAAGCCACTGAAGTGCTCATGGTCCCCTCAAGCTTGAATCCCAAGACTTCTGGATATCTTTCAAGAACCCGGGGAATATCATCGGGTTTGATATCCATTCCTTGAAGATACTTGACCACTGGTGAAAGGTCAATAACAACACTAGCATGCAGGACTTGTGGATATCTTCTCAAGAACTCTGTGAAAGTGGATTTCCTAACACCCAATTTTCCAAGATAATCAAGTACAGGAATCATGTTTTTCTTCACACTGCAGCCTAGAACAAGTGGATAGTTGTTAAGGTCTTCAATTGTAAGCCCCAGCTTGTGAAGAAAATCCACACGTTCCCTCATAACTTCAACTGTAACAGGAAGCTCCAACCCATCAAGCTCATCAGGGACAATACCAATCCCTCGCAAGAACTCATAAACTCGCGCACGATTTTCCATCCTATCATTCTTCATATCTAATAGACTAGGACGACTATATAATGATGAAGAACCTCCTTGTCTCGGACCCAGACGATTGGTGTTTTTATTTGACAATGAATCCCCATATCTAGTTGCCGACCTTCTATCAGCAACAGAATACTGAGACCTTGTAATCATCCCAGTCAACTTCTCACGGTTACAAGGGATTCGGAGCGTGAATAAAGAAGTAAATTGGGGATACGAGATGTAAGTGCTGGTAACTCTGGATGCACAAGCAAAAAGCTGGGTTTGGTAATACCAGCATAGCTTCTGATCTTCATAGTTCCAGATTTAAAACTATCAATGAGCCTAACAAGAGAAAGAAAAATAATAATAATTAAAATACAACAAAAAAAAAAAAAAAAAAAAAAAAAAAAAAAAAAAAAAATCAAAAAGATATACACTCAAATTTACCATTTTATCTTTGTATATTGTTCATATCAAATTGTTAATAAACTTGGAAAATAAAATACAAAGAGCATATCTCTATAATCAACTTCACCAACTCAGAAAAGCTTTTTCCAACTTCAAGGCATTCTTTTTCATCAAACAAATGAGGCTTAATTACATTTAGAAGACAAATTTCTACAAAATCTAGCCTAATATCTTAGGTACCAAAGAAAATTGTGTTCTATTTAGTCTTTGTTAAATTTGAGAAACCATTTTGGTTATCTTGGTTGGTTAACTGAGAAAACCCAGAAGAGGGGAATACAAAGAAACGTAAAAAAAATACGAAGACATCAAACTCTGGAAATCTGAAGGAAAAAAAAACCACCCAAGACTGAAGATTTAGAAGCCCAGTTATAAAAAATCCATAAATTTATCATCTTCTTATCTATCTACATGTTCTTCAGTGAAAAGGTATTAACTTGTACGAAGTTCTAGAGAAGGAAGAAGAAGAAGCTGACCTGTCCGAGAAGTTGGCTCAGGTTGAGTATTGTGCTAGCAGCTTATCCAGAGTGTAGCTGAGATTGACTCAACAGTGGCTTCAGCTCACTCAAGCAGTTAAGCAAATACTCATCTCGTCCTCCTGCTAAAGCCTAAACCTTTTGGAAGGCTGCAAAGAGCTGTTGCAGAGTGAAGAAAGAGGGAACTGGCCTTGCGTGCCTTATCCCACATGACCATGATCCAACACTTGCTCTCATGGGCCTGGAAGTGCTTTTGGGCCCATAGCACAATTAAACTTACGCAACACAAGAAAAAACAGAACTTGAGAAAATAAAATTACTTACGCGCGGAATGTAGAAGTTGTGGAACTAACGAGAAAATGGCAGGGCCTTCTCTTACCATCTTCTTCTTGAGCTTGCTATTCTTCTGTGCGATATCTGAAGCTTCCAAGTGCTCAGTCAAAGGTAAGCTCTAGCTTAATCTTTTATGGATTCAGGTTGTGGCTATGCCCAGAAATGACAAGTATCACAGCTGGTTCGGTATGCTTTACATAATTTGTGCTTCAAGTGGGAATTTCTTGATTTACAGTGTTTTATGACTGAAATCCTACTGGTTTTTTTTAATTTATGTCTATTTTGGTGGCTCGATACGATTGTTGATAGTTTTTTTTTCTTATTGTGTTTAATTTATAATTCTCTGATGGTGTTTGGTTTTGTTTAGTTTCTTCTTAAACTTCTTATTTCGGTTATTTGGTGGGAATTTGAGCTTGCCCCCATTGTGAAATTTCCCCGGTGGCTCGGAGGAGGTTTTGATTGTTTGGTCCAAGTTCCATGGAATTCGCCCCCTTCAGATTGTGAACTTGCTTATTGATGATATAAATTAAGCTAATTAACTGTTCTCTTGCTATTGTATATGTTGGATTCAGGGTTACCTGAAGTAAGAAATATCAGTGCCCTTCCACAGAGTAACTATGGAAGGGGAGGTTTGGCACACACAACTGTTGCTGGTTCACTCTTGCATGGGTTGAAAGAGGTACGCAGTGCACCATTCATTAGAGAATTCACTGTTCTTTTGATCTTGGGGGCTTGAAAGACAATACCATTTGCATGATAACCTTGACCTTAAAACAAACTTCACTGAAAGTTGTCTGATAATTACTCATGGTGTTGATACTTTGAGAAGTAAATGGGCTATCTTTTTTATTTGACTATGTTTGTAGAGCTTTTCGTCCTCACCGTGCCTTGGACATTACAAATCTTACTTTGCAATAACAAGTTATAGATTCCAGAAATATTTTGGGGGACATCATGTTTGATGCAATTATTGGGTTCACAGGTTGAGGTTTGGCTGCAAACATTTTCTCCAGGATCAGGCACACCAATACACAGGCATTCTTGTGAAGAAGTTTTTGTTGTCCTAAAGGGGAGTGGAACTCTCTACCTTGCACCAAACTCACACGAGAAGTCCCCTGGAAAACCACAAGAATTCTCTATCTTTGCAAATAGCACATTTCACATACCTGTTAACGATGCTCACCAGGTAAAACAAAGTATTCTGCACTTAGTGTGTTTTATGCCCTAGAAAATTTCATCAGCGTTCATGATGATTCAGTTTATGTAACTTTTTTGCTTATTCATAATTCTTATAGGGATGTATAGTATAGTTAACCCTGTAATACGTCTGAGACCAAATCCTGGGTTTAGGTCAAAGACTTATTTACAGTTAAGCAGAGGGTAAGGTGGTCATTGTTTTTATTATCACATTGCTTCTTGTAATAGGGCTCATTGAATTGAATCAGAAACTTGCGAGTTGTTTTATTACCAGATAGTTATTATTCTCTGATGGGCAATTCACAACTTTTACCCAGTCGTACTTATTTACAATCCTCATTGCTTTGCAGGTCCGGAATACAAATGAGCATGAGGATCTGCAAGTGCTTGTTGTCATATCTCGTCCCCCAGTTAAAGTGTATGCAATCTATCTTCTTTCATCTTCAATGTTTACTATTATCTATACTTCTTGAAATTGCTTCATGTTTCATCTTCAAAGTAATATCTATACTTCTTCAATGTTTAATTCTTCTTTTTTGGAATGCTAAGGATGGTTCAATTTTATTTCACTTCTATGTTTTATTTTTTACTTTTTCATTTTGCTTGAATAATGCTTCTAAGTTCTTTCCTTCGTTTCAGGTTCATATATGAGGACTGGTTCGTGCCTCACGCTGCAGCAAAATTAAAGTTCCCCTACTACTGGGATGAAGAGTGCCTTGAAGTCGAACCGCCGCCAAAGGACGAGCTATGATATTTGTATCTAGTCTCATTATCATTTGAGAGAATGGAAAAGGTTGTAGACTTTAAAGTTTTCATAACAGCCAAATAGAATGCAAGACAAGCAACCTCAAGTAAGGTAATGATCAGAAGCATCCTTCTAACAGTCAGTATATATAAAGAAGACAAACCTTTCCATACTTCTGACTTCTTGCTTGGAGATGTAAACCATCATGTTGGAAACCTCGAATATAGCTAATACTCATACTCATACATATGTTTACCAGATAATATTAATTACTAATACTCATACATCTTTTTCCCAGTAAACGGAATATCCACTAAATAACCGAGGACTATACTTTCCAGAATAAATAAACATGATCTTACAACTATCATGCAACTGACAATAACTATAGGAAACTTCCTAGAAGTATAATCCTAGGTTTACAGTAATCGAACCCGAACATGTTCACTGGTAGTGTAATTAGAAGTAGTAAAAATCAATTATAAAAATACGAGAAATTTCCAGCATTCAATATAATAAGAAGCAGTATCAAAAACACCAAAATCATTTTCTTTTGTCTCCTAGGTTGCATTTTCTGCATGAATACAATCAAACCTAATTAAGGTTTGACATTGAAGAAATAGAGACAATATACAGGCTTAGCTTATCTAAATTACCATAAGAACATAACTGAAGAAAACCCAACAAGGAAATCAGCACCCCAATCCAAATAAATGCATGCTAAATTTTTGAGTTGCAATTAACTAGACCAGCGGGTCAAGTGCAACACATCCACTTGAAATAATCCAGATACTACGATAACATGGTTATAAAACAAATGAACAAAAGGCATTTTCATTTAAATACCTGTTAGCAGCAGCAGAGGCAACACAAACCTGCCAAGAAATCTCCCCATGAGAGGCCCTTAGAACCAATCCAATCACTTCAAATTCAAAATCCCATCAATGGGTTTTCGATTAACATCAAAAATTCACAATCACAAAAACCCATTTCCCAAAGACTTCGAATTTCCTCAGAAACTCCCAATTCGAATAGGAACAGAAGAAAGCTGGCTGCAATTTAAATTCGTATATATTTAAAGCGTATAGCCGGGCGGCTATACCTTTAAATATAGTATTTTTGGAGTTCAGCCGAACGGCTATACTTTTAAAATATTCGAATGTATTCAAAGCGTATAGCCGACCGGCTATACACTTTAAATATAGAATTTCCAGAGTACCGCCGCGCGGCAATACTTTTAAAATATTCGAATATATTCGCACAGTTTACCCACACGGCTATACTCTTTAAATATAATATTTTCAGTACAGCCGGGCGGCGTTACTGTTAAAATATTCGAATATATTCGAAACGTATAGCCGATCGGCTATACTCTTTAAATATAATAATTTCAGACTACAGCCGTCCGGCTATACGTTTAAAATATTCGAATATATTCGAAATGTATCGCCGCGCGGCTATACTTTTTAAATATAATATTTTCAGCGTACAGCCGAACGGCTATACATTTAAAATATTCGAATATATTCGAAAGGTATTGCCGCGAGGCGATACTGCTTAAATATAATTTTTTAAATATTCTAGCGGACCCTTCAGTTTGATGAGTTTTTTCTCTCTTGCGCATGAGAGAGATGAGCAATTGATTTCTAAAACCCAACTTCAACTGCGCATGAGAGAGAGAGAGAGAGAGAGAGAGAGAGAGAGAGGAGAATTTTCAATGCTGATTATTGTACATGCAACAAAATCCTCTCGGATGATCCTTTGTGTTACAGCATCTGTCTGTGAATCAATTGAAGCCGTGACCTCGTCCATGAACAAGAGCCGGTTGTGCTTCAACATAACTCGCCCCAAACAGAGAAGCTGTGTTTGCCCCATGCTCCAGTTGTCGCCATCATCAGCCACTTAATTTGATGGAAACAGTCAGTACCTAATCCTTATGCTAGCTAGCAGTTCAGTTCCAGAGAGAGAGTATATAATGGGGAGAGTCACATACCTAACGAATTGAGTTTATCAGGTTTTGCAGCTACCTCATCTTTAAGTTGGCAGCGTTCAAGGCTCTACAAGAAAATTAAGATTTCATGTGAATAAACATACGGCATTTTTTCATCTAAGTGAGTGAATGATGACAAACATATACTGCAGCTAATTTATATCAGATGTGCCAAGATAAGATGCTAATTTATATCAGATACGCTAAGTATTATATACTCAGGCATCCCATATCATAATTGGCCATGAATCAAGTGCTAGATATGACATCTTGTTAAGTGTCGCACCAAAAGAAGAAGAAGGATGTACCTGGCTTTATTATACTGCTTGGCAACAAGAACATGAATACAGTGGAAATGCAGAAAACTAAACTCCCAAGCGTCTCCATACGGAAACCAAACCACTCATTGGACCCATTGTTGTGGAAATCCATACGTAAATTCGCGTTAACCCGTTTAACATTTTCTTGGAGAACATGTTCTGCATTCTGCAAGAGTGGATGGTCATAACTCCGGATATGCTCTCTGAGAAGTGATGGATAACAGGAGCTTTTGTGATTGAATTCAGTCGAGTTAATTCACGAGATGATGCAAGATAGTAACCCTAAAATCCAAACAGTAGCAAAATCTCAGCATATAATTGAGGCAAACAAGAAATTTACTTTTCCAGTCTAGCACATTCATATATCTGCATAGGGGTGCTTCAGTTCAAAACATTTATATTATCTGTCTAACAAGAGTTGGATTGACCAATAGTACTAGTATTCATGACAAAGATCATAGAACTAGATATTTTATTTTCCTGTCTAACACACATTTGTTAAACAAGAAGAACACATTCATTGCAACATTATAGTTCTTACACTGATAAATATCAACAGCATGATAAAAAGAATGACATACCTGGTACCAGATATTAAGCCAAATAAGTGGAATCAGCAAGAATACTGTTGGCCACGAATTTTGGCATACAACGATAAAGATGGCAAGCACAGTGATGTACATGGCAATGGTCATACCCAAAATGAAGAGAAGAAATTGAGATAGTATCTGATCAGTTTGATGCCTGGTGGTGGGTGATAAATTCTCATCAGTTAGCAAAGAAAACAACGTATACAATTTAGATTAAACAAAGAATAGGATCTCTCATCAACTATGACAAAAACAAATGCTTAAACAGAAAAAGAAAAGGTGAGCAATTCTAACTCACAAACTTTGTAAACGTGCAAGCTCACTTTGCCTGTTTCTTTCCCCTCTTCTTTGATGAGAAAAAAGTTGTCATTGGGTTTAGTTCATAATTACGATGCATACATTTTAGAAAGTAAATTCTTACACAAGCAGTTTTATACTATGAAATTCAAGATTCTTTTATCCTCAAAATGTTGGTGGATCCATAATTTTTGTTGTTGTATTTATGGGTTTAACCTGTATTATTTCTTATAAATAAAATCCATTTTTTATTCTTGCCTAATGGACTAATAGCTGGAAATCATTAGAATGGGAGGTATCGGAAAGAATTTAAATTCTCATTCCCCAATATCACTGGTATAAAAAATAAAATAAAAAATTGAAGAAATAACTCTATCCTAATTAGCTAAAGTTCTATTTTAAAATAACATGACAAAATTGTATATTTAAATAGTATCGCCGCGCGGCTATACTATTTAAATATATTATTTTAACGGTATAGCCGTACGACTAGTCTTTGAATATACTCGAATATTTTAAAGGTACAGACGTGCGGCTATACTATTTAAATATATTATTTTCAAGGTATAGCCGTGCGGCTATAAGCTTTGAACATATTCGAATATTTTAATGGTATAGCCGATCGGCTATACTCCTTAAATATATTCCAAAACGAACGCGAAGCTTGCACTCGCAGCCACAGATTCTTCTCTATAGCCGCTTCCAAATTACAAAGGCTCGGTCTTGAGCCTCTCTCTCTCTCAACTCAAGCTTCGATTTTTTTTCTTTCGTTTCAGCTGCTGCGTTGATTGGATTGGATTGGACTCTCTCTACGAAAACCATCATATGTCATTCAGCTATTGAAATCTCCACTAAGATAACAACTCTGATGCTATAAGGGAGTTAGGCGGCCTGGGCGGTTCTAGGGGGCGCCAAGGGGGCCGGGGTGGTTCTAGGCGGCCTGGGCGGTTCTAGGCGGCGCCTAGGCGGCCTGGGCGGTTCTAGAGGGTGGGTCTAGGCGGCGCCTAGGCAGCCTGGGTGGGTCTGGCCGCCTCCTTTTTGTTCCAAATGAAGACAGATGAAGCTTGCACTCGCAGAGGAATGTGGTGCGCTAGTGAAATGAAGAGACAGAGAAACGAACTCGATGAAGTTACCGTTACCCTTAGAGCCCTTGGCATGTTCTGTAAGCAACTTCAACTACCTTTGTCTCATAACATCGATGAAGTTACCCTTACCCTTGCTGTCAAGGGGACCCCAAACCCGGAGGACAAATTCACGGGTTTGCAGTTTCTTCTGGGTTTGCTTCGTATACTACGATTTCAAATTCTTGGATGAGTATGTACACCAAAGCTGGACAGTTTGATGGTCCCTTACTTATCTTTGAGACTATGTGCTATACTGATATAGTTTCTTGGAATACTACTCTTTCGGGGTTTCGAACAAGTGAAGGTGCATTGAATTTTGCTCATAGGATGAATTTTAATGGAGTTGTTTTTTATCCAGTGACTTATACTACGATTCTTGCTTTTTGTGCGGATCATGAAGATTTTCTATTTGGATTACAACTGCATTCTCTTATATTTAAGTCTGGTTTAGATGGTGAAGTTTTTGTTGGAAATGCACTTATAAGTATGTATTCGAGGTTGAGGCGGTTAATAGAAGCTAGGAGCGTGTTTGATGAAATGGCGAATGAGGATCTGGTTTCATGGAATGCAATACTATCAGGTTACTCTCAAGAGGGAAATCATGGGCTTGGGGCGATTTTTGTCTTTATTGAGATGGTGGGAGAAGGGATGGGGTTAGATCATGTCTCATTTACTAGTGCAGTTTCAGCTTGCGGACATGAAATGAATTTAGAACTTGGGAAACAGATACATGGCTTGACAATTAAATCAGGATATGGAAGTCATGTTTCAGTTTGTAATGTATTGATCTTGACATATTCAAAGTGTGAGGTTACTGAAGATGCAAAATTAGTCTTTCAGTGCATGATGATCGCAACGTAGTGTCTTGGACAACTATGATTTCAATAGACGAAGAAGATGCCATCTCTCTATTTAATGAGATGAGATTGGATGGAGTATATCCAAATGATGTTACATTTGTTGGACTAATCCATGCTATATCAATTAGGAAGTTGGTGGAGGAAGGCGAAATGATTCATGGGTTTTGCATAAAGACTGGCTTTTTATCAAAGCATAATGTTTGCAACAGCTTGATCACCATGTATGCTAAGCTTGAGTCCATGCATGACTCCATCAACGTTTTTGAGGAGTGAAACTGCAGGGAAATCATATCGTGGAATGCTTTGATTTCAGGGTATGCTCAGAACGGGCTGTGTCAAGATGCACTAAAAACATTCTTGGTAGCATCTATGGAGTCGAAGCCAAACAATTACACATTTGGTAGTGTCTTGAGTCCAATTGGTGATGCTCAGGATATTTCTCTGAAATATGGCCAATGATGCCACTCTTCCTTGATCAAACTTGGATTAGTGACTGGCCCAATTATTGCAGGTGCTCTTCTTGACATGTATGCAAAACGAGGAAGCATTTGTGAGTCCAAAAGAGTTTTCAGTGAGACGCCTCATAAAAGTCAGTTTGCTTGGACTGCAATAATATCTGCATATGCTGGGCATGGAGACTATGACTCAGTGATAGAATTGTTCAAGGAGATGGAGAGAGAAGGGGTAAGACCTGATTCAGTCACATTTCTTTCTATACTAGCAGAATGCAGCAGAAATGGAATGGTGGAGATGGGCCGTCACCTCTTTCATTCAATGGTGAAAGACTATCATATTGAACCATCTCCTCAACATTATTCAAGTATGGTGGACATGTTAGGACGTGCAGGGAAATTGGAGGAAGCAGAGGAATTGATGAGTCAGATCCCAGGACAGCCAGGGTTTTCGTTGTTGCAAAGCCTGCTTGGGGCTTGCAGGATCCATGGGAATGTGGAGATGGCGGAGAGAGTAAATCATTATACTTTCCAGCCTGTACTATCATCCCATCTCTCATGACCTGATATTATTTGGAGGTAATAAGTTTAAAATAAATATATAAGTAGGAAGGATACATGTACAAACTGCAATTATAATCTTACCAAAATAAGATCAACATTATGCACTGAAAACGTCATCGAGAAGATATATGTCACAATTTTGATATACAACCCTAGCAAGTTGTATCCTCTGTTTCTGGCCACCACTTAGGTTGATGCCACGCTCTCCTATCTCAGTTTGATCTCCAAACTCCATCATTTCCAAGTCCTTCTCCAAGCAGAAACCCTGACAACTTCCTGGTATCTATCTCTGTCCATTGGCAAACCAAGTAATGTATTTTCTTCAGTAGTCCCATTTTGAATCCATGATGCTTGAGCAACATAGGCAGTGATTCCACAAACTCGTACCTGTTATTCAAAAAGTTTATTAATTCAACAAGTACTTGATTAAACTGAAGCTTTTTGAGTGAGTTATCACCTGGTTATAAACTTATGGTTCAGTGGAGGGATTGTATGTCATAAGAGACATCTAGAAAAGGGTTTAATGGTATCAAATCGTACCTTTAAGGATAACTTGTACATCTCACCAAGAATTAAGGCTAGAAGGGAAGACTTTCCAGATCCCACTATCCCTACAATAGCCGTTAGCTCCCCTTTATTGACATTCAAATTTATGTGTTTCAAATCCTCTTCTTTGCTTTCATCATCGCAGCTAAATGGGCCATTTTTAACCTCCACAGCAGTTCTACTATCACAACCCTCGTCTCTCTTCGCCGCATCCTCCACCAATTCCCTACTCATCATATAACGGTCCAACCTCCCAAGAGATATCATAGCTTGAGAAATTGAAATCATAAATTGTGGGAAGGTCCTGATGGGATCCCACAAAATGTTGAAGATGCTTGTGGTTCTGAACAATGTCCTGGGCCGGCATCAAGCCGGACACCCAATAAGAGTGCAGTGCCAAATGTGAGAGTTGATATAAGTACTGGGGTACACAACATAACCACAACATTGGCAGAGATTGAGTACATGAACTTGGTCAGCCAGCTAAACTCCGACTTGCGGAAAGCCTGGATTCTCTTATTAAAGTGCTCCTCCCAAGCCTGGAATTTGATCATACGCATGTAGTTAGTGTCATTTGTTGCCTTCATTCTTGAATCCCGACACTTCATCACATTAGATTGGAACCTGTTGTTCCGTCTCGTGCCCAGCACAACAAACACAAGAACACACTCGATTCCTACTACAGATGTGATCACTGCTGCACCAAGGCTGTCATACAGAATGAACATTGCAATGGCAAGTTGCACTGGCATCATCCATATAGCATGCACTTAGCATTTTTGACAACGAAAACAAAAGAAAAACTAATGCAGAATCATGCTATCACATTTACCTGAGTTACTAAGCAAAACAAAAGAAAAACAAAAGGATGACACACACATTTAATAATTAACATAAGATTCTCTGTTGCACATAATCCAAATCTGCATGATCAACTTGCAGAACCTACACTGTAGAGATGCTGAAGCCACTGGTTTTCAAGTATCCTGCTACATAAACTGTGTTGGATTTGTAGGTGTCATAAAAGATAGACGTACCATGATCTAGAAAAGTAAAAGAGAGAAGCTCGAACAAACTTCAGTCCAATCCGAATGAAAAGTTATCTTGAATAGACCAATGAAATCAGCTATCCATTGTAACATATCTGGAAACTCAAGACAATGTTGAAGCCTGCATACAAGTGAAAAGGCGTCCCCCAATTAAAGTGTATGCAATCTATCTTCTTTCATCTTTATTTCTTCATTTTTGGATTGCCAAGGATGGTTCAATTTTATTACACTTTCTATGTTTTATTTTTTACTTTTTCATTTTGCTTGAATGATGCTTCTAAGTTCTTTCCTTGCTTTCAGGTTCATATATATGAGGACTGGTTCATGCCTCACACTGCAGCAAAATTAAAGTTCCTACTACTGGGATGAAGAGTGCCTTGAAGTCGAACCTCCGCCGAAGGACAAGCTATGATATCTGAGAAACATTGCATTGTAGAGTATCTAGTCTCATTATCTTTTGAGAGAATGGACAAGGTTGTAGACTTAAGTTTTCAGATGCATATGCTGAATTGGTACTTTTGGTCACAATATCAGAGCTTGTTTTTGCTTGAGCAGTGGAGAACGTGATAAATTACTGGATTTCTAATTGTAGCAATTATTCTCACAGGTTATTCAATGTACATTTCTAAGCCCAAACCGTTTTTACAAGCAGTAATACAATTTTAAATTTTTGTTTGGTTTTACAAGCACTAATACAATTCTCAGAGGTTTTGCGATTTGCAAAATGCCAAGTCAAACGTTTTAGACATCAACATAACTCTTCTGTTCACTGGTTCTCCAAAAATGCGTTTGATTGTGTAAAATATGAAGATAAAAGAAAAGGATTAAGGACGAACAACTCTCTTATAACAGAATTCACAAGTGGACACACAGTCATCACTTTTTTTTGTCATGCTTCGCCTTACAGACTCCTTCTCTGCAACCAAAACATAAAACTCTGAACCGAGCATTTCATGTATAGCAACATTTATAGAAGTGCTCAAATCCACCGTCTCCGTGATTACTTCTACAGTAATATTGAAGCCTAAAGTAGAATATCTGAAGCTTAGATTTATTATGCTGGGATTGCAATCCGCCACCTACCAGAATACAACATTGAAAGCTGATTCTGAGTATCCTCGAATCATTTCGACATTATTTTTTAAAATAATATATAATATTACTCATGGATTGGTGTGTATATGTGATGTAAGACAAACTAAAAATGTATTAACTATTTGATGATGGGTATGATTATATGGAGCAATTTCTGGACTTGCGAGTGAAGAATGTCCGTAATCATGAACATAATCTAAATTCCTTGTGTGAGGGTTTTGATTCCATTCCATGCATAGTGCTTGTTATGATTACATTCATATGATTACAAAAGCAAAAAAATACTTGTTTTGGTGGTTGTTTTGAGGGATCTTTATAATTTTGAGGCATCGGGATTAAGGGTATTCGTTGATTTGAAACCAATAAAATTTAATCAATCCGAGCCGCTGTACTATTTAAATATATACAAATTTATAAATAAACCCAATCCTAGACATGTATTTATAAAAAAACCCAAGCACTATTTAAACATAGAAACACACCCAAAATCAACCCCAAATCAATAATTGTATATTTTTTGGGTGTGTTTATAAATTGATTTTGAGTGTGTGTAATGATGGGTTTTGGGTGTGTTTATAAAGTGTTTTGGGTGTTGGGTTTTTTATAATTTCAGCCCCCATTTTGGGTGTTTTAGTGAAACTCCCTTAAATATATTATTTTAACGGTATAGCCGTGCGGCTGTACTCTTCGAATATATTCGAATATTTTAAAGGTATAGCCGGGCGGCTATACGCTTCAAATATATTAAAACTGCGCTTGCACTTGCACTCGTAGTCGCAGCTGTTTCGCTTCTCTATAAGCGCTTCCAAGCTTCAAAGATTCCTCTCTCTCTCTCTCTCTCTCTCTCTCTCTCTCTCTCTCTCTCTCTCTCAACTCAAGCTTAAAAAAAAAATTTCTTTCGTTTCGGCTGCTGCGTTGATTGGATTGGATTGGAGTCTCTCTATGAAAACCATCAAATGTCATTCAACTATTGAAATCTCCACTAAGATAACAACTCTGATGCTATAAGAAAGTTAGGTGGCCTGGACGGTTCTAGGCGGCGCCTAGGCGGCCTGGGCGGTTCTAGGCGGCGCCTAGGCGGCCTGGGCGGTTCTAGGCGGCGCCTAGGCGGCCTGGGCGGTTCTAGGCGGCGCCTAGGCGGCCTGGGCGGTTCTAGGCGGCGCCTAGGCGGCCTGGGCGGTTCTAGGCGGCACCTAGGCGGCCTGGGCGGGTCTGGGTGTCCTTTTTTTTTTCAAGTGAAGACAGATGAAGCTTGCACTCGCAGAGTTTTGTTGTGCGCGAGTGAAATGAAGAGACAGAGAAACGAACACGAAGCTTGCACTCGCAGTCCAATCTTCAAAATTCAAGTACTCGGTCTTGAGCCTCTCTCTCAACTCAAGCTTGGATTTTTTTTCTTCGGTTTCGGCTGCTGTGTTGATTCAATTTTTGTTTGTGCTTTTCTGTTATTGAAGTTGGCAACGTCAGATGAACATCCAAGGCAGTTTCTTAGTATGCCAGAAGAAGCCCAGCAGATGGTTCTTTAACCTGGGGCACACATTGCAGTTTGGCATTGGATTACACCATGCCGGTCTGAATGACAAAGATGGACCTCTGGTGACGCGGACGACTACATTTTGGTGAGTGTGCGTTTGTGCTGTGGTTTCTCTTGTTTGGTTGCTGAGAAAATGTCGGGAAACCAGGAAGAAATTGAGTAATTTGTTTACTGGAATTATGTTTATTTAACAAAACATAGATATTAAGTATATATTGTTTAATACCAGCTGGCTTTGGTTTTGTGAAATTCTAAAATGTTATATTATTTGATCTTTTGTGTGGTATTCTGTGGCAATCCTCTTCGGGAATGTTTTCATAATATAGAGAGAATACAAGCTAATTTCACAGGGAGGAGAAGCCATAGAAAAGCAGAACGCAGTGATGACTTTGATTGCACACTATGCTTGAAATTACTGTATGAACCTGTCACAACTGCTTGTGGGCATTTCATGCCTATTTCAGTCAATGGATCGATGTGAGTGTTTTGCTGTTACTAATTCTATTTAATTGAGTTAGTCTATATCTTCTAATCCCTTTTTAGTCCTTGACTTGTGTTAATTTTCCTAGGTAACAAATGTCCTTTGTGCCCAACAGTTCTTTTCATTACTCCTAGAACATGTGCATATAATAATTGAATGAGATGCTTGTATTATTTGACATCAGAATTGTTGCTTTATGGTTTTCTATACCTATGCTGTTTGTAATGGACGTGGTTGCGCATCCCCCAGGAGTTCCACCTATTATAGATTGAGTCTGGCATTCTCACTTCTACAGAGTATAACAATTAGTGGATTTGTGGTTTCTAGATTTTGGAAAGAAAAAAAAATTCCAAGTAATATGAAATTAGGATGATATGTGCTTTCTAATTTTTTGTGCTTAATTTAGTGCTATAGCTTTCAGTATCTTCTTTTTGTTTTTCCCATTGTGACACTTAATGACATTATACAAAAGAAATTCACAGAGGAATTTGCCGAAAGGAAGTTGGAGAATGATACAATGACAAACTTTATGTTGGTTTGATGCCACTCTTTGTAATGGATGGTGTCCTCCCATTTCAGAAGTTTCTGCTACCCATTTTTGAACCTCAGTATAGACTTATGGTAAGTTGGTTAGCAGTTTGTATTTTTCACATATGACATTCATAAAATATGGCAACCGTCGGATGGGAATGGTAGATTAGTGTCACTGGTCCTTTTCTTTCCCTTTTAACTTTCATAAGGTACATAAAGTTTGACCCAAACCATAAGTTTCACTGATTGTGGCTTGTTTTTTAATTTTGTAGGTTATCATTGATTCTTCAACAGGTTCAATAGCTGATTTTGCTTGTGAAGTGGAAATTACCAAGTAGGTCTTTCATCCTCCTTCTTTCCTTCTTAAATTTCTAGTATGCAGAATGTCATTTGTAAACTCCACTACCATGCTTCCTCCTTTTATTATTATTCAAGTTTTTTAATAATGATCCAACGCACTTATAATAATACTATTTCATGCATATTGAAAGTCGCTGACGGTTTCATATAATTCGATCTTGGGACCAAGATGGGTGAGTTGTCTTATGAGATGTCTAGCCATTCATTTGATCTTTAGTTACTGCTCTTGTTCAATATTTTTGTCTTTTGATGTGCTCTTCAGGTACCGTATGGGTAAGTTCATGACAATTTCGTTTGCTGTAATCTCTCTATTGGAGTGTGCTCTTTTCTTTTATATTTTATTTTTAAATTTTTTGTTGTAGAGGATAGTAAGAAGCTTGGGTTAAACTTAATATGGTGCTTAACAATGCTTTTGAGTTTTTTTTTACTATTTATTTATTTATTAATAAATTAGTCACACATTTTTCTAGCTGCAAAGTTGTGTAGTTTTCAACTTCAATTGGCAAAACTTGGGATACAATAATCAGAGCTTAAAGTGTTGTGGATGAGGCATCTTATTTTACATGTGACATGTGACCTAATGGAATTTGGTTGTAAATCTTCAAATGTATTATAGTTGTCACTGAATTAAGTCTAATAATGTCATTGCTAAAAGGCCCTGTAGCTAATGTATTAATAGCCTGAAGTGTAACATGCATCACTGTAGGAAGATGCAGGACAAAGTTCTTCCATGTTTTTCCCCTCATATTGGTTGCGCCTATATGGTTTAACTTCAATACCTGTCCAGTTGCAGGAATTGACAAATAATGCAGCAGAGTATGCTCAGTTATGGATAGGGCGGGGTAAAAGATCAGCACATCAAGGTAAAATGCTCAGGAATTACATCAATTGAATGAACTCGGAATTTACCTTATTTTTTGTTTTATTTTTTTAATGGGTTATCTCCATAAGTTAAATCTCGTAGTTCTCTATAATAGGTATATGGATGACCTTTAAGAATATCCTGAATTAGATTAATATTACTACCTGACTGAGATTGCATGTTTTAATTTGGTGGTCAGTTGTAATGGTTGGAAATGAAGGATTAGTTTTATTAGGGTAAACCTTTTGTTCCACTGAAATGTCTATCATATTCAGATTTCATCTTTAGGAAGCTTCTGCTTAGAACATTTGGGGAGGATCTTTATCTCTCGATCAACATATCTTATTTATATGTAATGCCAGTGTACATAAGAATGGTTTCTTCCCCTATTCTTGTGTTCAGTATACCTATGTGCCCTTTTGATGTATGATAGTATCTCTTTCCATATCGAAGACAATTTGAGAGACTTCTCGGCGTGGAAGCGCTGATGCCTTCACTACAAGATCCTAAGCGTTTCAGCTTCTAGGTAACATTATAATTCTCTTCTCGATCTCATTAGATAAATAAAAAGAATGGAACAATAAAACGAGAATAAGTAGTATTTCTCTCGAAAAAGATAACTCATAAGTATCACATTTTCAAACCACATTAGTAACAACATTTTATATGGGACGTCAAGTCTCCACTTATGGTATTTGACACATTACATGACATCCCACTCAAATGGTTCACTAATGGTTCACTAATGGGCTTCTAAACGATGGTCTCTTTGTGATTATTGTTTGCATTATGCAATTCACAACAAAATCTAGTTTACTTTTTTTTTTTTAATGCGCAAAATCTAGTTTACTATGTATGCACACAAAAGTCTACTTTTCTTTTCAATACATGAATTCTTAAGTTGTGGTAGGTTGTCTGCTGTGGCGACTTTTCATGCTTATTTTCTTAGCACTCAACTCTACCCTTTGAATTTGACCTTTATAACAAAGCTCCACATGCCAATTTGCATACATCACACTCTACACAAAACAAATTGAATATTATAATTATTGTCACGTTTAAAACATCACTTTTGAATATAACAGCAAGCATCTCGTCACGGCTTAACCATTTTTATTTTATTTTATAGCGTTATCTTTGATATTAGAATATAATATGCCCAGCTTCCAACACAAATATAATGCATTTAATCAAATACAGTTAACGATAATTCAACAAGTGTGTGCTGTGCTGTGTTTACGTGCGTGCGTATTCCCAGTCCCAGATGCCATTGTCAGCTACCTTATCTCTTTTATTTTCTAATCACGGTTACATTACTCGTTCGACTCTTTTTCTCCCTTTTCTCTTTTCTTCTTGATCTCTCTTCTCTACAACCACTTTTGATTCCAGGGAATCAACCCCTTCAGCTAATAAACCGGGCGACTCTCTCCCCCGTCATATTGTAGAGAAATTTCCAACATTTAATATAATAAGAAGCAGTATCAAAAACACCAAAAATCATTTTCTTTCGTCTCCTAAGTTACATTGTAAACCAAAATTGTTCAAAGTGCCTTTTCTGCATGAATCAAATCAAACCTAATTAAAGTTTGACATTGATGACATTTATATTAAAACTATTTGATAAAATGCTCTAGCCACCGCTACTTGGTCTACTCAAGGTCCAAAACCTTTGTATGGTAATGCCAAAATTGAGGATGTTATGAAGCTGCATCTTTGAATTTTACAAGGTTGCTAAAAATTTTGTAACAGGTAATGTGTAGAAAGGTGCTAAAAATCGTAAAATTAATTGGCAAGAAGAGCTGCCACAAATAAAAATCTTGTAACTGGTAATGTGTAGAAAGGTCCAAAACCTTTGGATTGGATTCTTATTTTTTGTTGTTGCATTTATGGGTTTAACCCGTATTATTTCTTATAAATAAAATTCATTTTTTATTATTGCCTAATGGGCTAATAGCTGAAAATCATTAGAATGTGAGGTATCGAAAAGAACTTAAATTCTCATTCCCCAATATCACTGGTATAAATAAAATAATTGAAGAATTAACTCTATTAGCTAAAGTGGTATTTTAGCCCTAAACCCTAAAATATCATGACAAAATTGTATATTTAAAGAGTATTGCCGAGCGGCTGTACTATTTAAATATATTATTTTAACGGTATAGCCGTGCGGCTGTACTATATTCCAATATTTTAAAGGTATAGCCGCACGGCTATACTCTTCAAGTATATTAACACTACGCTTGCACTTACACTCGTAGTCGCAGCTGTTTCGCTTCTCTATAAGCGCTTCCAAGCTTCAAAGACTCCTCTCTCTCTCTCTCTCTCTCTCTCTCTCTCGACTCAAGCTTCAAAAAAAAATTCTTTCGTTTCGGCTGCTGTGTTGATTGGATTGGATTGGACTCTCTCTATGAAAACCATCAAATGTCATTCAACTATTGAAATCTCCACTAAGATAACAACTCTGATGCTATAAGGGAGTTAGGCGGCCTGGGCGGTTCTGGGCGGCGCCTAGGAGGCCTGGGCGGTTCTAGGCGGCCTGGGCGGTTCTAGGGGGCGCCAAGGGGGCCGGGGTGGTTCTAGGCGGCCTGGGCGGTTTCTAGGCGGCGCCTAGGCGGCCTGGGCGGTTCTAGGCTGCGAGGGTGGGTCTAGGCGGCGCCTAGGCAGCCTGGGTGGGTCTGGCCGCCTCCTTTTTGTTCCAAATGAAGACAGATGAAGCTTGCACTCGCAGAGGAATGTGGTGCGCTAGTGAAATGAAGAGACAGAGAAACGAACTCGATGAAGTTACCGTTACCCTTAGAGCCCTTGGCATGTTCTGTAAGCAACTTCAACTACCTTTGTCTCATAACATCGATGAAGTTACCCTTACCCTTGCTGTCAAGGGGACCCCAAACCCGGAGGACAAATTCACGGGTTTGCAGTTTCTTCTGGGTTTGCTTCGTATACTACGATTTCAAATTCTTGGATGAGTATTTACACCAAAGCTGGACAGTTTGATGGTCCCTTACTTATCTTTGAGACTATGTGCTATACTGATATAGTTTCTTGGAATACTACTCTTTCGGGGTTTCGAACAAGTGAAGGTGCATTGAATTTTGCTCATAGGATGAATTTTAATGGAGTTGTTTTTTATCCAGTGACTTATACTACGATTCTTGCTTTTTGTGCGGATCATGAAGATTTTCTATTTGGATTACAACTGCATTCTCTTATATTTAAGTCTGGTTTAGATGGTGAAGTTTTTGTTGGAAATGCACTTATAAGTATGTATTCGAGGTTGAGGCGGTTAATAGAAGCTAGGAGCGTGTTTGATGAAATGGCGAATGAGGATCTGGTTTCATGGAATGCAATACTATCAGGTTACTCTCAAGAGGGAAATCATGGGCTTGGGGCGATTTTTGTCTTTATTGAGATGGTGGGAGAAGGGATGGGGTTAGATCATGTCTCATTTACTAGTGCAGTTTCAGCTTGCGGACATGAAATGAATTTAGAACTTGGGAAACAGATACATGGCTTGACAATTAAATCAGGATATGGAAGTCATGTTTCAGTTTGTAATGTATTGATCTTGACATATTCAAAGTGTGAGGTTACTGAAGATGCAAAATTAGTCTTTCAGTGCATGATGATCGCAACGTAGTGTCTTGGACAACTATGATTTCAATAGACGAAGAAGATGCCATCTCTCTATTTAATGAGATGAGATTGGATGGAGTATATCCAAATGATGTTACATTTGTTGGACTAATCCATGCTATATCAATTAGGAAGTTGGTGGAGGAAGGCAAAATGATTCATGGGTTTTGCATAAAGACTGGCTTTTTATCAAAGCATAATGTTTGCAACAGCTTGATCACCATGTATGCTAAGCTTGAGTCCATGCATGACTCCATCAAAGTTTTTGAGGAGCTAAACTGCAGAGAAATCATATCGTGGAATGCTTTGATTTCAGGGTATGCTCAGAACGGGCTGTGTCAAGATGCACTAAAAACATTTTTGGTAGCAACTATGGAGTCGAAGCCAAACAATTACACATTTGGTAGTGTCTTGAGTCCAATTGGTGATGCTCAGGATATTTATCTGAAATATGGCCAATGATGCCACTCTTCCTTGATCAAACTTGGATTAGTGACTGGCCCAATTATCGCAGGTGCTCTTCTTGACATGTATGCAAAGCGAGGAAGCATTTGTGAGTCCAAAAGAGTTTTCAGTGAGACGCCTCATAAAAGTCAGTTTGCTTGGACTGCAATAATATCTGCATATGCTGGGCATGGAGACTATGACTCAGTGATAGAATTGTTCAAGGAGATGGAGAGAGAAGGGGTAAGACCTGATTCAGTCACATTTCTTTCTATACTAGCAGCATGCAGCAGAAATGGAATGGTGGAGATGGGCCGTCACCTCTTTCATTCAATGGTGAAAGACTATCATATTGAACCATCTCCTCGACATTATTCAAGTATGGTGGACATGTTAGGACGTGCAGGGAAATTGGAGGAAGCAGAGGAATTGATGAGTCAGATCCCAGGACAGCCAGGGTTTTCATTGTTGCAAAGCCTGCTTGGGGCTTGCAGGATCCATGGGAATGTGGAGATTGGAACCTGTTGTTCCGTCTCGTGCCCAGCACAACAAACACAAGAACACACTCGATTCCTACTACAGATGTGATCACTGCTGCACCAAGGCTGTCATACAGAATGAACATTGCAATGGCAAGTTGCACTGGCATCATCCATATAGCATGCACTTAGCATTTTTGACAACGAAAACAAAAGAAAAACTAATGCAGAATCATGCTATCACATTTACCTGAGTTACTAAGCAAAACAAAAGAAAAACAAAAGGATGACACACACATTTAATAATTAACATAAGATTCTCTGTTGCACATAATCCAAATCTGCATGATCAACTTGCAGAACCTACACTGTAGAGATGCTGAAGCCACTGGTTTTCAAGTATCCTGCTACATAAACTGTGTTGGATTTGTAGGTGTCATAAAAGATAGACGTACCATGATCTAGAAAAGTAAAAGAGAGAAGCTCGAACAAACTTCAGTCCAATCCGAATGAAAAGTTATCTTGAATAGACCAATGAAATCAGCTATCCATTGTAACATATCTGGAAACTCCAGATGTAGCTGATATACATAAAGCAAGACAATGTTGAAGCCTGCATACAAGTGAAAAGGCGTCCCCCAATTAAAGTGTATGCAATCTATCTTCTTTCATCTTTATTTCTTCATTTTTGGATTGCCAAGGATGGTTCAATTTTATTACACTTTCTATGTTTTATTTTTTACTTTTTCATTTTGCTTGAATGATGCTTCTAAGTTCTTTCCTTGCTTTCAGGTTCATATATGAGGACTGGTTCATGCCTCACACTGCAGCAAAATTAAAGTTCCTACTACTGGGATGAAGAGTGCCTTGAAGTCGAACCTCCGCCGAAGGACAAGCTATGATATCTGAGAAACATTGCATTGTAGAGTATCTAGTCTCATTATCTTTTGAGAGAATGGACAAGGTTGTAGACTTAAGTTTTCAGATGCATATGCTGAATTGGTACTTTTGGTCACAATATCAGAGCTTGTTTTTGCTTGAGCAGTGGAGAACGTGATAAATTACTGGATTTCTAATTGTAGCAATTATTCTCACAGGTTATTCAATGTACATTTCTAAGCCCAAACCGTTTTTACAAGCAGTAATACAATTTTAAATTTTGTTTGGTTTTACAAGCACTAATACAATTCTCAGAGGTTTTGCGATTTGCAAAATGCCAAGTCAAACGTTTTAGACATCAACATAACTCTTCTGTTCACTGGTTCTCCAAAAATGCGTTTGATTGTGTAAAATATGAAGATAAAAGAAAAGGATTAAGGACGAACAACTCTCTTATAACAGAATTCACAAGTGGACACACAGTCATCACTTTTTTTTTGTCATGCTTCGCCTTACAGACTCCTTCTCTGCAACCAAAACATAAAACTCTGAACCGAGCATTTCATGTATAGCAACATTTATAGAAGTGCTCAAATCCACCGTCTCCGTGATTACTTCTACAGTAATATTGAAGCCTAAAGTAGAATATCTGAAGCTTAGATTTATTATGCTGGGATTGCAATCCGCCACCTACCAGAATACAACATTGAAAGCTGATTCTGAGTATCCTCGAATCATTTCGACATTATTTTTTAAAATAATATATAATATTACTCATGGATTGGTATATAAACTTAAGAAACAAGCGACTTATGCACCACCAAACTAGTGTGTATATGTGATGTAAGACAAACTAAAAATGTATTAACTATTTGATGATGGGTATGATTATATGGAGCAATTTCTGGACTTGCGAGTGAAGAATGTCCGTAATCATGAACATAATCTAAATTCCTTGTGTGAGGGTTTTGATTCCATTCCATGCATAGTGCTTGTTATGATTACATTCATATGATTACAAAAGCAAAAAAATACTTGTTTTGGTGGTTGTTTTGAGGGATCTTTATAATTTTGAGGCATCGGGATTAAGGGTATTCGTTGATTTGAAACCAATAAAATTTAATCAATCCGAGCCGCTGTACTATTTAAATATATTATTTTAACGGTATAGCCGTGCGGCTGTACTCTTCGAATATATTCGAATATTTTAAAGGTATAGCCGGGCGGCTATACGCTTCAAATATATTAACACTGCGCTTGCACTTGCACTCGTAGTCGCAGCTGTTTCGCTTCTCTATAAGCGCTTCCAAGCTTCAAAGATTCCTCTCTCTCTCTCTCTCTCTCTCTCTCTCTCTCTCAACTCAAGCTTCAAAAAAAAAATTTCTTTCGTTTCGGCTGCTGCGTTGATTGGATTGGATTGGAGTCTCTCTACGAAAACCATCAAATGTCATTCAACTATTGAAATCTCCACTAAGATAACAACTCTGATGCTATAAGGGAGTTAGGCGCCTGGGCGGTTCTGGGCGGCGCCTAGGAGGCCTGGGCGGTTCTAGGCGGCGCCTAGGCGGCCTGGGCGGTTCTAGGCGGCGCCTAGGCGGCCTGGGCGGTTCTAGGCGGCACCTAGGCGGCCTGGGCGGGTCTGGGTGTCCTTTTTTTTTTCAAGTGAAGACAGATGAAGCTTGCACTCGCAGAGTTTTGTTGTGCGCGAGTGAAATGAAGAGACAGAGAAACGAACACGAAGCTTGCACTCGCAGTCCAATCTTCAAAATTCAAGTACTCGGTCTTGAGCCTCTCTCTCAACTCAAGCTTGGATTTTTTTCTTCGGTTTCGGCTGCTGTGTTGATTCAATTTTTGTTTGTGCTTTTCTGTTATTGAAGTTGGCAACGTCAGATGAACATCCAAGGCAGTTTCTTAGTATGCCAGAAGAAGCCCAGCAGATGGTTCTTTAACCTGGGGCACACATTGCAGTTTGGCATTGGATTACACCATGCCGGTCTGAATGACAAAGATGGACCTCTGGTGACGCGGACGACTACATTTTGGTGAGTGTGCGTTTGTGCTGTGGTTTCTCTTGTTTGGTTGCTGAGAAAATGTCGGGAAACCAGGAAGAAATTGAGTAATTTGTTTACTGGAATTATGTTTATTTAACAAAACATAGATATTAAGTATATATTGTTTAATACCAGCTGGCTGGCTATTGTATTTGGTTTTGTGAAATTCTAAAATGTTATATTATTTGATCTTTTGTGTGGTATTCTGTAGCAATCCTCTTCGGGAATGTTTTCATAATATAGAGAGAATACAAGCTAATTTCACAGGGAGGAGAAGCCATAGAAAAGCAGAACGCAGTGATGACTTTGATTGCACACTATGCTTGAAATTACTGTATGAACCTGTCACAACTGCTTGTGGGCATTTCATGCCTATTTCAGTCAATGGATCGATGTGAGTGTTTTGCTGTTACTAATTCTATTTAATTGAGTTAGTCTATATCTTCTAATCCCTTTTTAGTCCTTGACTTGTGTTAATTTTCCTAGGTAACAAATGTCCTTTGTGCCCAACAGTTCTTTTCATTACTCCTAGAACATGTGCATATAATAATTGAATGAGATGCTTGTATTATTTGACATCAGAATTGTTGCTTTATGGTTTTCTATACCTATGCTGTTTGTAATGGACGTGGTTGCGCATCCCCCAGGAGTTCCACCTATTATAGATTGAGTCTGGCATTCTCACTTCTACAGAGTATAACAATTAGTGGATTTGTGGTTTCTAGATTTTGGAAAGAAAAAAAAATTCCAAGTAATATGAAATTAGGATGATATGTGCTTTCTAATTTTTTGTGCTTAATTAGTGTTATAGCTTTCAGAGTTTACCAAGATTGTTTGCTTCAGTTCTGACACCTTCAATATCTTCTTTTTGTTTTTCCCATTGTGACACTTAATGACATTATACAAAAGAAATTCACAGAGGAATTTGCCGAAAGGAAGTTGGAGAATGATACAATGAAAAACTTTGGTGTTGGTTTGATGCCACTCTTTGTAATGGATGGTGTCCTCCCATTTCAGAAGTTTCCGCTACCCATTTTTGAACCTTGGTATAGACTTATGGTAAGTTGGTTAGCAGTTCGTATTTTTCACATATGACATTCGTAAAAATATTTGAACGTAGAAGTGCATTTGCTGCAAAATAACTATGTTGAAAATGTTATCTGGCAAGTTTTGTATGCCTACTTGGTACTTTTCTACAGTCCATGTGATCCATGTGTTTTGTTGTTTTTGTTGAATATTCATAGATTTTTGCACACTATGCTTGAAATTACTATATGAAACCTGTCACAACTGCAGTGATGACTTTGATTGCACACTATGCTTGAAATTACTATATGAACCTGTCACAACTGCTTGTCGGCATTTCATGCCTATTTCAGTCAATGGATCGATGTGAGTGTTTTGCTGCCAACATAACTCGCCCCAAACAGAGAAGCTGTGTTTGCCCCATGCTCCAGTTGTCGCCATCATCAGCCACTTAATTTGATGGAAACAGTCAGTACCTAATCCTTATGCTAGCTAGCAGTTCAGTTCCAGAGAGAGTATATAATGGGGAGAGTCACATACCTAAATAATTGAGTTTATCAGGTTTTGCAGCTACCTCATCTTTAAGTTGGCAGCGTTCAAGGCTCTACAAGAAAATTAAGATTTCATGTGAATAAACATACAGCATTGTTTCATCTAAGTGAGTGAATGATGACAAACATATACAAACAAATCGTATAATTCAATCTTATTGTTTTTTGAGGCTATGGGTTACTCTCTTATGTAATCCGGAAACCAGATAGCATTGTGTTTTTTACCTTCCAAATTTCTTCATCTGAATACATTCCTACTGGATCAATGTTTCTTCCACAGTTCCTTCAAAAAGGACAGGTTCTTGAGGAATGATCCCGAAGCGAGACCTGATATTGTGAAGCCCTATTGTGGTTATATCAATCCCATCGATGATAATTTTGCCTCCTGAAGGTTCCACCAGCCTAAAGAACACTTGGATCAAAATTGATTTCCCGCTCCCTGTTCGATCCACAACACCAATCTTTTCACCCCAGTGAATGCTTGCCTTTGAGAACCAAAGGTGTATTTGGACGATATCAAAGGAACAGGGCTTATTTAGCTTGAGACAAAGTAACGGAGATGGCCAAGTAATGACAACTTGCATGCAGACCACTTCATTTGTGTTAATGTATGGTTTTTACTAATTTCTTTTGGCTTCCCTTGACAACTTTGTAATAGGATGTGTAATGTAATTTATCAAGCTCAAGTCTAGATTAGGGAAAACATTTATTGGTGCTCTTCTCTATTCTCTGCTCTATGGTGGCTCAAGCAAGTTGACAAAGGTATTGAGCATTGCATATCATTACATAAAACTGTTTTCATAAAAAGATGACTAGTCAACCGTTTCTCATATGACTAGTCATCCTTGCCTCCAGCTGGATAACAAACTGTTTTGTCCTATTCTTCTTTCACTCTCTCTGCTGTCAAGTGGGTTTGGCTGACCTAACGATTTCGTTGGTCTGTATAGCCCACGATTTTTCTATTTTGCAGCTGTCTCTTTTCGGGTGGAAGTTTTGGAAAGTTTGGCTTGCCATCTTTCGCTTCTTCTTCCACGAGAGAACCATTATTTCATCTATGAGTTTTTCCAATTGATTTCTTTTTGAAAAACTGCATTTGAAACACGAATCTGCATCTAGCTATTTAAATCATTCTATCATTTATATCTAGGTCGGATTCAAGATTGATTTCTTCAAGAGTATGGTTTCTTGAAGAAATTGATCTTTCTCCTTTGAATCCAAATTGGTTTCGGTTTGTGTTGAGCTTGCAAGCTAGTGCCATGGGATGAACGAGCTGGAGAAGAAGCTGCCATTGCCATGAAGGACTGAGCTTCAAGCTTTGCTAAGTTGGAGAAGAAGATTGCACAAAGGAGGTATTGCTCATATTCCTAAATAGACCTAGGTGCTTCTTGAGCTTGGTTGTGTTTCCTTTGTAAGAATCTTTTTCTACTTAGTGGATTGCCTGGTCGGTTGATGACTCCCAGTTTTTCCCAATGGTGGGTTTCTGGGTGAACAAAATCTGTTTTGCATATCTGTAATTTTTCTGGGTTTGTGTTCTTGGTGGTTGACTAGTCATCTGTATCTGCTGTTTGATGTTTACATGATAATGATGTTTTCACACACTTTCACCATAGTTGTTGCTAGCACAGGGGATGCCTAGATTGATGGGTCCTTCTGAGTGCATAGGTTGTCACTAGTAATCTTCTAGGATTGCAGGTACATTGTGGCATGCTCTGTGTATTCTATTGGTTGTGATTGTTTCTTGACTAGTAGTTGACTAGTCATATGTGTATTTGGTCAAGGTTTAAAGTGTGTGAAGCTAGCTGTGTTGTTGTGTCTTGTTTATGTGATTAAGTTTACCCCTCGTCACCTAAGTATCAATTTCAATTGGTATCAGAGCGTCAGCTCTTAACAAAAATAGAGAGATCCTAGGATTTGTTTTGGTGTTTAGGTGTGCTCACTATGGAAAGGGATCGAGTTGCTGGATCTTGCAACTCCCCTCCCTATTTTGACGGCAATAACTATGCTGCATGGAGAGAAAAATTTGAGATATTCCTTGATGCTCTTGATGAGTATGCAAGTGGGTATCTCACAAAAGAGTGGGTTGCTCCGGTCAAGACTGTTGAGGGTGAACTTGTGTCCAAGCCTAGGTCAGAATGGACTGAAGCTGAGGTGTTTGCTGCATATTCGAACAAGAAGGCCAGAAATGCCTTAGTTACAGCTTTGTCTAGCACACAATTTGCACATATACAGCACATCCCTAATGCTAAACAAGCTTGGGATAAACTAAGGGTAGTTCATGAAGGGGATGACCAAGTTAGAACCCTAAAACTTCAGATGGTGCTTGCACAATTTGAAGAACTTAGAATGTCTGAATCTGAGTCCATTTCTGAGTTCTATGGAAGAGTTGAGATGATCACAAATGAAGCCATGAGTCTAGGTCAACCCATTGAAGAGCTTCTTGTTGTTCAGAAAATTCTTCGTGTTCTACCATCTAGGTTTAGAGCAAAGAAAACCGCAATCATGGAGGTCCAAAATTTAAATGAAATTAAGCTTGGCAAGCTTGTAGGAAAATTGAAAACCTATGAGATGGAATTGAATATGGAAGAGAATGACTCCAAAAAATCAAAAAATGTTGCACTTCAAGGAGTGCATGTTTCGTCTCCGAAAGGTGGTGATAAATCCTCAGGTTTTGAGGATGAGATGGCTTTGTTTGTCAAAAAATTTAGGAGAATTCTTAAGGATAAGGGAAAGTTTGCTAGAGACGGCAGCTCTGGTAGTGAGAAAAATTTTAGACCATCAACTGATCGGTTTAATGAGAGGAATAAGGATGTCAAACCTTTCACGAAAGATTTTAAAAAATCTGTCAAGTGCTTCACATGTGGAGGCATTGGGCACTATGCTGCTGACTGTGCAAACAATCAGAAAAAATACTCCAAAGGAAAGGACAAGGCCATGAAAGTGAGCTGGAGTGAGAGTAAAAGTGAAGGCTCTCAAGATGATTCATCCTCCTCTGATGATGATGACCAACATGTTGCCTTTGTTGCCTCTGTACAGCCCATGTCTGATGAATCTGATTCTGAGTCAGATGACCTGTCATACGAGTCATTAGGAAGAAAATATGATTGTTTGTTTAAAGAGACCTTGTCCTTGAAAGAAGAGAGCCTCAAACTTGAGGCAAATAAACAAGATCTTCAAAATGAAATTCTCATCTTAAAAGAAACCAAAAAGGAGTTGAGTGACAAATTTGAGTCTCTAGAAAAAGAAATTGATGCTCTTGTGTCAATTAAGAGTAACCTCGAAAACCAAGTTAATGTGCTCAAGGAAAGTAACATTGGTTTCCAGAACTCAAACAAACAGCTCCTAGGTGAATTGAATGAAGCAAATAGGAAGATTATATCTATGACCATTGGTGCTTCAAAAATTGACAAAATGTTGAATATGGGAAAACTTCATGGGGACAAAGGTGGTCTTGGATTTAATCACTTTGGTTCTAGTTTGTCTAGTTCTACCACTAAGTTTGTCAAATCAGAAAATCCAGTCACGATTCCTCTTGATGTTCAGCAGGTTGTCAAGAAACCTAAGTTTGTTCCAACTTGTCACAGGTGTGGGTTGACTGGTCATATTCGACCAGTCTGTCATATGTATAGCAAAGATAAGACCAGAAAATTGTCTCCAAAATCTAAAAGGAATCCCAGATCTTTGCAAGATCAAGTTGATCATTTGCTGAATGAGGTCACTAAGATAGCCAAACTTGTCTCCCTCAAAATGAGTTCCCCTATTGTGCCTAAGTCTACTTGGATTGCAAGAGGTCATACCAAATCTCTTGTTGTGCTAAATGCTTTTGCTGCTTCAAATATCAACTCTTGGTATTTTGATAGTGGTTGTTCCAAACATATGTCTGGAGATAAAAATGTTTTCTCATCTCTCAGCCCCTTTGATGGAGGCACTGTGACTTTTGGTGGAGGTCATAGATCTCAAGTTGTTGGAAAAGGTACTGTTTGTATCCCTGGTCTGCCCGAGCTTAAGAATGTTAGATTTGTTGAGGGTCTCACATCCAATCTCATTAGTGTGAGTCAGCTGTGTGATGATGGAATAGTAGAAGTCAGATTCTCCAAGCATGGCTGCAAAATCATTGGAAAAGGTGGAAATGAGATTGTGAGCGTGGCAAGGTCTAGGGACAATTGCTTCTGCATTGATGGTGTCAACGATGCAAAAGAAATAGTTTGCAACAAGGTTGTAAATGAAACAAGTATTTTGTGGCATCAAAGGCTTGGACATGTTAATTTTAGAGACTTGCATAAGTTGTCCAAGAGAGAGCTAGTAAGTGGCTTACCAAAGCTGGAAAAATCTGATGAGCATGTTTGTGAAGGATGTCAATTAGGCAAACAGGTTAGAGTGTCACACAAAAAGGTCAAACACATTCAAACAAATGTAATTCTAGAACTTGTTCACATGGACCTTGTTGGTCCTATTCAAACCGTGTCCCTTGGTGGAAAGAAATATATTCTTGTCATGGTTGATGATTTCTCTAGGTTTACTTGGGTCTCATTTCTACGTGAAAAATCTGAAACTTTTCAAAGGTTTAAGTCTGTTTGTCATCTTTTGCAAAAAGAGAAGATGACTAGTCATCTGCCTCTTGTTAGAATTAGAACAGACCATGGCTCTGAATTTGAGAATTCTCAGTTTCTGAAATTTTGCGAAGAGATGGGAATTAAACATGAGTTCTCTGCACCTATTACACCTCAGCAAAATGGTGTTGTGGAGAGAAAGAATAGAGTGCTTGTAGAGATGGCAAGGGTGATGCTAAATAGCAAAATCTTGCTAAACACTTTTGGGCTGAAGCTGTCAATACAGCTTGTTACATCTCAAACAGGGTATTTGTGAGGTCTGGTACCAAACAAACTCCCTATGAGATTTGGAAAGGAAAGAAGCCTAATGTGTCATATTTTAAGGTCTTTGGTAGCACATGCTATATTTTGAGAGATAGGGAGCATCTTGCTAAGTTTGATTCTAAGTGTGATAAGGGAATCTTTCTAGGATATTCCACTTCTAGCCGAGCCTATAGAGTGTACAATTGTAGGTCCAGAACCATCATTGAATCCATAAATGTCACTATTGATGATTTTGCTGCCTCTATAGAGATGGCATTAGATGAGGATGGTCTTTTTCCTCCTCCTTCACTTGTGCAAGAATCTCCAGGTCTGGATCTTGTGGTTGACCTGTCAACTTTTGAAAATTCTGTTCCGGTTGACCTGTCAACCCCTTCAACTTCTAGTTCCATCTCCTCTGTCCAGGCTGACAGCTCTCATACTGATCATAGTTCTCTCACTCCATCTGCGAGTGTCATTATTGGCCCTCTTAATCAAGGAGTGAGAACTAGGAAACAACTTGCTCAAGAAATTAGCCATGTGTGTTATGTTTCCAAGGAAGAGCCTAGAAATGTGAAAGAAGCCTTGCACCATGGTGAATGGTTTCTTGCAATGCAGGAAGAATTAAATCAATTTGTGAGAAATGATGTTTGGTACCTTGTTCCAAGACCAGTCCACACTAATGTCATAGGCACTAAGTGGATTTTCAAGAATAAAACCGATGAACAAGGTAATGTGGTGAGAAATAAGGCTAGATTGGTTGCTCAAGGATACACTCAAATGGAAGGCATTGACTTTGATGAAACTTTTGCCCCTGTTGCACGATTAGAATCAGTTAGATTGCTTCTTGCCATTGCTTGTCATTTGAAATTTAAACTTTATCAAATGGATGTCAAAACTGCTTTTTTAAATGGTGTCCTAAATGAAGAGGTCTATGTTGAGCAGCCAAAGGGTTTTGAAGATCCACATCATCCAAATGATGTGTTTCGTTTAAAAAAGGCTCTCTATGGTTTTAAAACAAGCTCCTAGAGCATGGTATGAGAGGTTATCCTCTCATCTTCTAGGAAATGGGTATGTTCGAGGGTCCGTTGATAAAACATTGTTTGTGAAAAGGTTTAAAAAGGATGTCTTGATTGCTCAAGTGTATGTTGATGATATTGTGGTTGGTTCTACATCTGATTTGCATGTTCAAGATTTTATTCATGTCATGACTAGTGAATTTGAAATGAGTCTTGTCGGTGAGCTTAATTATTTCTTAGGTCTCCAAATTAAACAGAGCCATGATGGGATCTTTGTATCCCAATCTAAATATGCAAAAAATCTTGTGACAAAATTTGGTTTGGAAGGAGCCAAATCTGCAAGAACCCCAATGAGCACTAGTGCTAAGATTCATAAAGACTTGCATGGCAAAAGTGTGGATCAAACTCTCTATAGAAGCATGATAGGAAGTCTTCTCTACTTGACTGCTAGTAGACCTGACATTTCTTTTAGTGTTGGTGTATGTGCTCGGTTTCAAAGTGACCCAAAAGAGTCTCACTTGTTTGCTGTTAAGAGAATTATAAAATATGTGAGTGGGACTAGTGAATTTGGGTTGTGGTATACCTATGACACTTGTGTCAATCTTGTTGGGTATAGTGATGCCGATTGGGCAGGTTGTAGTGATGATAGGAAAAGCACTTCCGGGGGGGTTTTCTATGTAGGCAACAATCTTGTTGCTTGGCATAGCAAAAAACAGAATTCTGTCTCCTTATCCACTGCTGAAGCAGAGTATGTTGCCGCTGGGAGTTGTTGTACTCAACTCCTTTGGATGCGACAAATGTTGGAAGACTATGGTCTTGCTCAATCATGTTTTCTAATCTATTGTGACAACATGAGTGCCATAGATATTTCAAAAAATCCTGTTCAACACTCTAGGACTAAGCATATCGACATTCGGCACCATTTTATTAGAGACCTTGTGGAAGACAAAATTTTAACTTTGGAATTTGTTCCCTCTGAAAAACAGCTAGCAGATATACTCACCAAGGCCTTGGACTTTTAGAAACATGGTACACTAAGGCAATCCATTGGCCTTTGTTCCATTGATTGATTAGCTATCCCTTGTCTTCAGCACACTTCCAAACAGTTGACTAGTCATCTTGCTTGTAAGTTGCCTAGTCCACTATGTTACTGTTCATATCACTCATCTCTGCTGGTGTGCATGCTGAATGTTTTTGTGCTTTGTTTGACTTGTGCATAATCCCTTTTTCTTGTTTTTGAGCTATAAGTTGAGACCAAAATCTTGCTATCTTGTCCTCTTGGTGAGCCATGTATCTCGGCTTCATTTTGGGACTGTTCTTGTTATTCTCTCTTAGCTGGTCTCACTCTCTTTGCCAATCTATTTCAAATTTTAACAAAAAAAAAAAAAAAAAAAAAAAAAAAAAAGGAAAGGGAAGTGTGACCAATGTAGTCACGGCTCTAGGAAGGTATAAGGTGGTTTGATTGAAGAATCTAGAGCAAAGAGCCGTAAAATTGGGCCATTCTAAGCACTTATGTTCGGGATGTGCAAGTACCACAAACTCAATCATCAAATATTTTGTCCATAGAGAGTGCTGATTTTTTGCTGTGAGCCCATACTATGATCATGTCTTAAGAATGCAGTGTATACGTGTCTCTCCAAGAGAGATTAGATATCATCTCTTGTGTCCCTTGGCTCTAAACCTCCTTCTTTCCTAAATATGCCTTGTCTCTGAGCATGAATTGCATCTCATTGCGTGTCTCTCAGAGTTGATTGTCTATGTACACTGCATATGTCTTTAAACTATTCTTCCTTTTCATCTCTTTTCTTCATGTGTTGAAGACTTGGTTTAGACTATTGTGCTCATGCCACCTTGGTCACTTGATATATGTGCTGGTTCATGCTTCAAATAAATAATAAAAATAAAAAAACAAAAATCAAAATGTCTTTCACAGGGTCGATATTATTTGGTGTGTGTCATAATGCTGGTTTAGTTGCCTAAGACATCTATGCTTATGGTTGCCTAGTCATCTGGGTGTTTTGCCTTGCTGTTCCTTCTCATATTGCATTAGTTGACTGGTCATCATATTTGTGGTTGCCTAGTCATCATATTTGTGGTTGACTAGTCATCCGTCTCTGCCTGTGCCACTTTTGCCTGGGTTGACTAGTCATCTTGCTTGTGGTTGACTAGTCATCCGCTTTGTTTCCTAAACATTGCGTCTTTTTCATTTTTCGTTTTGGCGGTTATTTTTTCCATTTTTGGTTCTGAGCGGTTCTTTTTTTTAGGTCGTGTCGTTTGCGCCTTTTTCCTTTTTAGGTCTTTTATTTTCCCTTCTTCGTCAGTTTCTTTTGCCTCCTATCTCTCTCTCTGTTCTCGTCAGTCTCGACTTCGTCTCTCCCTCTCTCCTTGTTCTGGTCTCTTCGTCCCTTCTTCCTGGTGTTTTTTTTTCTCCTCCAATTTTCTTCCCGCTGCTGATCATGTCTTCCTCCAAGCCTCTCCACACTTACCACCGTCGCTCCAAATCAAAATCCCCTGACAGGGTGGATTTCAATCCGTCAATTCCTAGGGTTCCTCGAACCCGTTCTTCTTCCTCTGTCCCTGTTGAAGATTCCTCTTCTTTTGTGTCCTCTGAGGCTGCCTCCTTCTTTGATAAGGTTATCTCAAAGAGGAAATTCATTCCTGAGAGGACTTATCAATTTGATGCTGTTCCTTTGGCGGCTCAGGAGTCTGCAAATCAGATTTTGGAGCACTACCACCTTCAAGCCCTAAATTCTCTCTCTGGTAAGTTTAACATCCCTGTTGTTCAAGAGTTTTACTCTAACTTTCCTGCTGACCCTAAGGGGTCAAAATATCAGATTTTGGTTAGGTCAGTACCCATTACTCTGAAACCATCTGTTATCAATCGGGTCTTAGGCTTTCGATCATGCCCTGGTTTTGATTTTGCAAAATTTACTCTTGCTTCTGCTGAATACTCTGTTGATCTTTTTAAATCCATGGCATACACTGATCAATCTTTGCCTTTGACTTCTAAAGGTCTGCCTATCAAGTCTTACCTGTCCCCTTTTTATAAATTTTTGTGGGATTTTATTCGTCATAATGTTCTTCCCACTGGGAACAATTCTAATCCTACTCTTGCTGCCTGCCAACTCATGATATCCATGGTGAATCATGATAAAATTCCCCTTGGTGATCTCCTATATAATGCCATTCTTGGGAAAACCATTGGTCATGGTACCAAGCACAAGGGGACTCTTGTGTTCCCCTGTCTGATTCAGCGCCTTTGTGAGAAAAATGGGGTGGCATTTCTTGATTCCGATCAGTGGCACCCCCCCATTGCTCCTTATGGCAAGGCCTCTGCTGCCCTTAGCCAGAGAGTTTCCAGGACCTTTCTCACTTCTGTGTCGTCTTCCTCTGAGAATGCCTCTCTCAGAGCTCAGTTGGCTGCCAAGGAGGAGTATATCCAACATCTTTTGACCCTTATTCCATCCACTTCGGTTCCGGCACCTCCTGCTGCTGCTGCTGCTGCAGATCCTCAGTCTGCTCCTGCCACTGATGAGGACTCGGATGACTCTGTGGATTCTGGTGGCTCTTTGATCTTTTAGCTTGGTGTTCTCTTGGCTGTGTCCTAGATAGGAAAATCTGTACATTTTGAAAAGGGGAGGTGTTTTGTAATCTCATTGTGAGTAATCTGTGCATTTTGCTAGAAGGGATTGTTTTTGTAAACACATTATGGGTAGTCTATGCATTGTGATAGGGGGAGTTGTTCTGTCCTATTTTGAACAACTGGTATTTGACTAGTCATAACTCTATGGTCTGTACTGTTTTTAAACTATTGTTGGTTGACTAGTCATCCATCTATGAACATGTGCTGTTATCCTTGTTCCTATATGCCTATCACTTTGTGGTTAATCCCTTTTATCTGTTGTTTCTATCTCTCTGCCTTTTTGCACTTTCCTTATCAACAAGGGGGAGAACACTCTCAACCCCACATCGCATATCGTTTTTAAAAAATTTCTGTGATAATATGCTTGTTTTTGTGCTGGGAAGATTGGTTGTTCTTGCAGGTACCCTCACTTCATCATCTCCTTAGTCTCGGTTTTGGGTTGAGTGTTCTTAGAGAGTGTGTTGCCAAGGAAAGCCAAAAAGGGGGAGATTGTTAATGTATGGTTTTTACTAATTTCTTTTGGCTTCCCTTGACAACTTTGTAATAGGATGTGTAATGTAATTTATCAAGCTCAAGTCTAGATTAGGGAAAACATTTATTGGTGCTCTTCTCTATTCTCTGCTCTATGGTGGCTCAAGCAAGTTGACAAAGGTATTGAGCATTGCATATCATTACATAAAACTGTTTTCATAAAAAGATGACTAGTCAACCGTTTCTCATATGACTAGTCATCCTTGCCTCCAGCTGGATAACAAACTGTTTTGTCCTATTCTTCTTTCTCTCTCTCTGCTGTCAAGTGGGTTTGGCTGACCTAACGATTTCGTTGGTCTGTATAGCCCACGATTTTTCTCATTTGCAGCTGTCTCTTTTCGGGTGGAAGTTTTGGAAAGTTTGGCTTGCCATCTTTCGCTTCTTCTTCCACGAGAGAACCATTATTTCATCTATGAGTTTTTCCAATTGATTTCTTTTTGAAAAACTGCATTTGAAACACGAATCTGCATCTAGCTATTTAAATCATTCTATCATTTATATCTAGGTCGGATTCAAGATTGATTTCTTCAAGAGTATGGTTTCTTGAAGAAATTGATCTTTCTCCTTTGAATCCAAATTGGTTTCGGTTTGTGTTGAGCTTGCAAGCTAGTGCCATGGGATGAACGAGCTGGAGAAGAAGCTGCCATTGCCATGAAGGACTGAGCTTCAAGCTTTGCTAAGTTGGAGAAGAAGATTGCACAAAGGAGGTATTGCTCATATTCCTAAATAGACCTAGGTGCTTCTTGAGCTTGGTTGTGTTTCCTTTGTAAGAATCTTTTTCTACTTAGTGGATTGCCTGGTCGGTTGATGACTCCCAGTTTTTCCCAATGGTGGGTTTCTGGGTGAACAAAATCTGTTTTGCATATCTGTAATTTTTCTGGGTTTGTGTTCTTGGTGGTTGACTAGTCATCTGTATCTGCTGTTTGATGTTTACATGATAATGATGTTTTCACACACTTTCACCATAGTTGTTGCTAGCACAGGGGATGCCTAGATTGATGGGTCCTTCTGAGTGCATAGGTTGTCACTAGTAATCGTCTAGGATTGCAGGTACATTGTGGCATGCTCTGTGTATTCTATTGGTTGTGATTGTTTCTTGACTAGTAGTTGACTAGTCATATGTGTATTTGGTCAAGGTTTAAAGTGTGTGAAGCTAGCTGTGTTGTTGTGTCTTGTTTATGTGATTAAGTTTACCCCTCGTCACCTAAGTATCAATTTCAATTTGTCCGTCCACTACACTAGCCATGGAAGATGTACTACAAATATACCATTTGGGACGACAAATGGCTAGAGTTTAGCAGCTCATGGAATGTAATAAGATTTGACTTTATTTGTTCAGAAGATATAAACAGAACTGAAGGTAAACTACCTGCAAGTCTTTGAGCTCGACATTGCCACGGGAAGGCCAATTTGAAGGAGGAACACAGGTCTTTTATCTCCCATGCTGCTTCTGATGGGATGTTTGTAAATTGTTTTATCCTCTCAACTGATACCATCTTATTTTCAACAAAGCAGCTCATATAAATGGGCCAGAACAGCACACCATTCAGGGGCAATCCGTAGGAGAGAGTTAAACCAACATTCTCTGCACCATGAAGGAATAACTGATTTAGCCAAATCTCTGAAATAGACACTCATTTACTAGTACTGCAGCTAATTTATATCAGATACGCTAAGTATTATATACTCAGGCATCCCATATCATAATTGTCCATGATTGTTAAGTGTCGCACTGAAAGAAGAAGAAGGATGCACCTGGCTTTATTATACTGCTTGGCAACAAGAACATGAATACAGTGGAAATGCAGAAAACTAAACTCCCAAGCATCTCCATACGGAAACCAAACCACTCATTGGACCCATTGTTGTGGAAATCCATACGTAAATTAGCTCCCCTTTATTGACATTCAAATTTACGTGTTTCAAATCCTCTTCTTTGCTTTCATCAGCGCAGCTAAATGGGCCATTTTTAACCTCCACAGCAGTTCTACTATCACAGCCCTCGTCTCTCTTCGCCGCATCCTCCACCAATTCCCTACTCATCATATAACGGTCCAACCTCCCAAGAGATATCATAGCTTGAGAAATTGAAATCATAGATTGTGGGAAGGTCCTGATGGGATCCCACAAAATGTTGAAGATGCTTGTGGTTCTGAACAATGTCCCGGGCCGGCATCAATCCGGACACCCAATAAGAGTGCAGTGCCAAATGTGAGAGTTGATATAAGTACTGGGGTGCACAACATAACCACAACACTGGCAGAGATTGAGTACATGAATTTGGTCAGCCAGCTAAACTCCTACTAGCGGAAAGCCTGGATTCTCTTATTAAAGTGCTCCTCCCAAGCCTGGAATTTGATCACATGCATGTAGTTAAGCATGTCATTTGTTGCCTTCATTCTTGAATCCCGACACTTCATCACATTGGATTGGAACCTCTTGTTCCGTCTCGTGCCCAGCACAACAAACACAAGAACACACATGATTCCTACTACAGATGTGATCACTGCTGCACCAAGGCTGTCATACAGAAGGAACATTGCAATGGCAACTTGCACTGGCATCATCCATATAGCATGCAATTAGCATTTTTGACAACGAAAACAAAAGAAAAACTAATGCAGAATCATGCTATCACATTTACCTGAGTTTCTAAGCACGCATGGATTGTCAGTATCTATAAGTAAGTTTTCTGCGTCCAGAATTTCTCCATAACCATATCAAATGATAATTCAGACTACTCATTATGGTTGATGATGATTGAGATAGTATTAGAATGGGAGGTATCGGAAAGAATTTAAATTCTCATTCCCCACTATCACTGGTAAAAAAAAAAAAAAAAAAAAAAAAAAAAAATGAGGAAATAACTAATAACCTAATCTAGCTAAAGTTGTATTTTAAAATAACATGACCAAATTGTATATTTAAATAGTATCGCCACCGGCTATACTATTTAAATATATTATTTTAACGGTATAGCCGTACGGCTATACACTTTGAATATATTCGAATATTTTAGAGGTATAGATTCGCGGCTATACTATTTAAATATATTATTTTCAAGGTATAGCCGTACGGCTATACGCTTTGAACACATTCGAATATTTTAACGGTATAGCCGTCCGGCTATACTCCTTAATTATATTCCAAAACGACGCGAAGCTAGCACTCACAGCCACAAATGCTTCTCTATAAGCGGTTCCAAGCAACAAAGGCTCGGTCTTGAGCCTCTCTCTCTCTCAACTCAAGCTTCGATTTTTTTTCTTTCGTTTCAGCTGCTGTGTTGATTGGATTGGATTGGACTCTCTCTACGAAAACCATAAAATGTCATTCAACTATTCAACTCCCTTTTGTCTCATAACATCGATGAAGTCACCGTTACCCTTACTGTCAAGGGGACCCCAAACTCGGAGGCCAAATTCACGGGTTTGTAGTTTCTTCTGGGTTTGCTTCGTATACTATGATTTCAAATTCTTTGATGAGTATGTACACCAAAGCTGGACAGTTTGATGGTCCCTTACTTATCTTTGAGACTATGTGCTATGCTGATTTAGTTTCTTGGAATACTATTCTTTCGGGGTTTCGAACAAGTGAAGGTGCATTGAATTTTGCTCATAGGATGAATTTTAATGGAGTTGTTTTTTATCTAGTGACCTATACTACGATTCTTGCTTTTTGTGCGGATCATGAAGATTTTCTATTTGGATTACAACTGCATTATCATATATTTAAGTCTGGTTTAGATGGTGATATTTTTGTTGGAAATGCACTTATAAGTATGTATTCGAGGTTGAGGCGGTTAATAGAAGCTAGGAGTGTGTTTGATGAAATGGCGAATGAGGATCTGATTTCATGGAATGCAATACTATCAGGTTACTCTCAAGAGGGAAATCATGGCCTTGTGGCGATTTTTGTCTTTATTGAGATGGTGGCAGAAGGGATGGGGTTAGGTCATGTCTCATTTACTAGTGCAGTTTCAACTTGCGGACATGAAATGAATTTAGAACTTGGGAAACAGATACATGGCTTGGCAATTAAATCTGGATATGGAAGTCATGTTTCAGTTTGTAATGTATTGATCTCGACATATTCAAAGTGTGAGGTTACTGAAGATGCAAAATTAGTCTTTCAGTGCATGAATGATCGCAACGTAGTGTCTTGGACAACTATGATTTCAATAGACGAAGAAGATGCATCTCTCTATTTAATGAGATGAGATTGGATGGAGTATATCCAAATGATGTTACATTTGTTGGACTAATCCATGCTGTATCAATTAGGAAGTTGGTGGAGGAAGGCGAAATGATTCATGGGTTTTGCATAAAGACTGGCTTTTTATCAAAGCATAATGTTTGCAACAGCTTGATCACCATGTATGCTAAGCTTGAGTCCATGCATGACTCCATCGAAGTTTTTGAGGAGCTAAACATCATGTAAGTTATATCTTTGTTAATTTAATATATGTTTTTTTTTTTTTTTTTTTTTTTTTTTTTTTTTTTTTTTTTTTTTTTTTTTTTTTTTTTTTTTTTTTTTTTTTTTTTTTTTTTTTTTTTTTTTTTTTTTTTTTTTTTTTTTTTTTTTTTTTTTTGGGGAAAAAAAAAAAGGGGGGGTTTTTTTTTTTTTAAAAAAAAAAAAAAAAATTTTTTTTTTTTTAAAAAAAAAACCCCCCCCCCCCCCCCCCCCCTTTTTTTTTTTTTTTTTTGGGGGGGGGGGGGGGGGGGCCCCCCCCCCCCCCCCCCCCAAAAAAATTTTTTTTTTTTTTTTTTTTTTTTTTATAAAAAAAAAAAAAAAAAAAAATTTTTTTTTTTTTTTTTTTTTTTTTTTTTTTTTTTTTTCATGTCCATACTAGGGATTGAAATAACAAAAAATAACCCCTAGAGTTATGACTAGTATTTGCATGTTAAAATTGATCGAAAAACAATGGCAACTTCAATCAAATCAGTGCGCATGCATGTGTGATAATTTTTACGCTCAATATGTAAGTGATAGAGCAAAAAGCCAATAACTTACCGGTAAGTTATAGCGTGAAAAGCCAATATTTAACCATCATGTAAGTGATGGAGTGAAAAGCCTATAACTTACCGGTAAGTTATGGCGTGAAAAGCCAATATTTAATCGTCAGGTAAATGATTGAGCGAAAAGCCTATAACTTACCGGTAAGTTATTGCGTGAAAAGCCGATATTTAATCGACACGTAAATGATGCAGTGAAAAGACTACAACTTACCGGTAAGTTATCGAGTGAAAAGCCAATACTTTACCAAACATCAAAATTAAGACAATCTGGTGCGCCTCCACTAACGAGCACGCAGTATCGAAGAAACTCTGGCGTATGCATCCCAACTAGGATTTCAAACTTAAAATAATAATTAAAAGATAAAGCTTGAAAAAACCAAGCTATAACAATACATCCAGTCAAACTGGATGCTTATTATATTACACCCAAGGGGAAAAAAGTGAGAACCCGAAATGAGATAGCAGCATTTTTAAAGAAAAAATCCTATATACGAAGGCATATCCGCTTCAGATTTCGACTTTGCAAGCCTAAAGGTTATGGAAGACACTATCCCTGAGATTGTCGGTAAAAAGGGTTCTGGTAGCAGCTACGAAAAAATGAGACCTCTGAAGGATGAGGAGGAGACGGGCAGTGTATGAGTAGTGTATGTTGAAAGATCACCGGTGAAAATTTTCTTGGGAGGTTTTGCCTTGTGTGGAAATGATGTCCGTTTGTCCGTACTGATATCATGTTGGAATTTTGATGCTCCAGCCGCACTTGTGTTCTTTGTATTTCTATTTGCTCACTTCACTAAAACGAAGACGATTTGAGGAGAGCCGCAATGTCATTCACATAGATTGAACTTGGGTCGATTTCGGAAAAATGATACTTGTAGAGAGTTGCATTGGTTGAATTTCCATCGTATTTTTTGTTTTCTTTGGCAATTGGTTTTAAGCATATTTCATTTCACAAACCTTTTGAGTAGGGGAGGGGTGGCAAGGCAACAATATATTCAAATCAAGTCATTACAATAGTGACATGACATGGTTTGTTCAACTGATACATATACATCCAGTCAAACAAAGTAGGGCAAATATTCAGATATGCTCATATTCACTCATATTTTATTCTTCTCCAATATGGAGGTATTTATAAAGAAGTACAACCCTAAATAAAATAGGAAATATATCCAAATTACAATAGAAAATAAATATAAATTATAATAGGAAATAAATCTCAATTATAATATGACTAGATAAATGGTAAGTAACTAAAATCCTAACATAGTAAGGAATCAAAATCCAAACTAAGTAAGGACTCGCCAACACATCCTGTGTTTTTGAAGGAAAAGGAACAGAAATCTACTGGAAAATATAATATTGCTGTATGGCTTTCCTCCAACTTGTATTGCTGTATGGCTTTACAGTAATCGAACCCGAACATGTTCACTGGTAGTGTAATTAGAAGTAGTAAAAATCAATTATAAAAATACGAGAAATTTCCAGCATTCTATATAATAAGAAGCAGTATCAAAAACACCAAAATCATTTTCTTTTGTCTCCTAGGTTGCATTTTCTGCATGAATACAATCAAACCTAATTAAGGTTTGACATTGAAGAAATAGAGACAATATACAGGCTTAGCTTATCTAAATTACCATAAGAACATAACTGAAGAAAACCCAACAAGGAAATCAGCACCCCAATCCAAATAAATGCATGCTAAATTTTTGAGTTGCAATTAACTAGACCAGCGGGTCAAGTGCAACACATCCACTTGAAATAATCCAGATACTACGATAACATGGTTATAAAAACAAATGAACAAAAGGCATTTTCATTTAAATACCTGTTAGCAGCAGCAGAGGCAACACAAACCTGCCAAGAAATCTCCCCATGAGAGGCCCTTAGAACCAATCCAATCACTTCAAATTCAAAATCCCATCAATGGGTTTTCGATTAACATCAAAAATTCACAATCACAAAAACCCATTTCCCAAAGACTTCGAATTTCCTCAGAAACTCCCAATTCGAATAGGAACAGAAGAAAGCTGGCTGCAATTTAAATTCGTATATATTTAAAGCGTATAGCCGGGCGGCTATACCTTTAAATATAGTATTTTTGGAGTTCAGCCGAACGGCTATACTTTTAAAATATTCCGACCGGCTATACACTTTAAATATAGTATTTCCAGAGTACCGCCGCGCGGCTATACTTTTAAAATATTCGAATATATTCGCACAGTTTATCCCACACGGCTATACTCTTTAAATATAATATTTTCAGAGTACAGCCGGGCGGCGTTACTGTTAAAATATTCGAATATATTCGAAACGTATAGCCGATCGGCTATACTCTTTAAATATAATAATTTCAGACTACAGCCGTCCGGCTATACGTTTAAAATATTCGAATATATTCGAAATGTATCGCCGCGCGGCTATACTTTTTAAATATAATATTTTCAGCGTACAGCCGAACGGCTATACATTTAAAATATTCGAATATATTCGAAAGGTATTGCCGCGAGGCGATACTGCTTAAATATAATTTTTTAAATATTCTAGCAGACCCTTCAGTTTGATGAGTTTTTTCTCTCTTGCGCATGAGAGAGATGAGCAATTGATTTCTAAAACCCAACTTCAACTGCGCATGAGAGAGAGAGAGAGAGAGGAGAATTTTCAATGCTGATTATTGTACATGCAACAAAATCCTCTCGGATGATCCTTTGTGTTACAGCATCTGTCTGTGAATCAATTGAAGCCGTGACCTCGTCCATGAACAAGAGCCGGTTGTGCTTCAACATAACTCGCCCCAAACAGAGAAGCTGTGTTTGCCCCATGCTCCAGTTGTCGCCATCATCAGCCACTTAATTTGATGGAAACAGTCAGTACCTAATCCTTATGCTAGCTAGCAGTTCAGTTCCAGAGAGAGAGTATATAATGGGGAGAGTCACATACCTAACGAATTGAGTTTATCAGGTTTTGCAGCTACCTCATCTTTAAGTTGGCAGCGTTCAAGGCTCTACAAGAAAATTAAGATTTCATGTGAATAAACATACGGCATTTTTTCATCCAAGTGAGTGAATGATGACAAACATATACTGCAGCTAATTTATATCAGATGTGCCAAGATAAGATGCTAATTTATATCAGATACGCTAAGTATTATATACTCAGGCATCCCATATCATAATTGGCCATGAATCAAGTGCTAGATATGACATCTTGTTAAGTGTCGCACCAAAAGAAGAAGAAGGATGTACCTGGCTTTATTATACTGCTTGGCAACAAGAACATGAATACAGTGGAAATGCAGAAAACTAAACTCCCAAGCGTCTCCATACGGAAACCAAACCACTCATTGGACCCATTGTTGTGGAAATCCATACGTAAATTCGCGTTAACCCGTTTAACATTTTCTTGGAGAACATGTTCTGCATTCTGCAAGAGTGGATGGTCATAACTCCGGATATGCTCTCTGAGAAGTGATGGATAACAGGAGCTTTTGTGATTGAATTCAGTCGAGTTAATTCACGAGATGATGCAAGATAGTAACCCTAAAATCCAAACAGTAGCAAAATCTCAGCATATAATTGAGGCAAACAAGAAATTTACTTTTCCAGTCTAGCACATTCATATATCTGCATAGGGGTGCTTCAGTTCAAAACATTTATATTATCTGTCTAACAAGAGTTGGATTGACCAATAGTACTAGTATTCATGACAAAGATCATAGAACTAGATATTTTATTTTCCTGTCTAACACACATTTGTTAAACAAGAAGAACACATTCATTGCAACATTATAGTTCTTACACTGATAAATATCAACAGCATGATAAAAAGAATGACATACCTGGTACCAGATATTAAGCCAAATAAGTGGAATCAGCAAGAATACTGTTGGCCACGAATTTTGGCATACAACGATAAAGATGGCAAGCACAGTGATGTACATGGCAATGGTCATACCCAAAATGAAGAGAAGAAATTGAGATAGTATCTGATCAGTTTGATGCCTGGTGGTGGGTGATAAATTCTCATCAGTTAGCAAAGAAAACAACGTATACAATTTAGATTAAACAAAGAATAGGATCTCTCATCAACTATGACAAAAACAAATGCTTAAACAGAAAAAGAAAAGGTGAGCAATTCTAACTCACAAACTTTGTAAACGTGCAAGCTCACTTTGCCTGTTTCTTTCCCCTCTTCTTTGATGAGAAAAAAGTTGTCATTGGGTTTAGTTCATAATTACGATGCATACATTTTAGAAAGTAAATTCTTACACAAGCAGTTTTATACTATGAAATTCAAGATTCTTTTATCCTCAAAATGTTGGTGGATCCATAATTTTTGTTGTTGTATTTATGGGTTTAACCTGTATTATTTCTTATAAATAAAATCCATTTTTTATTCTTGCCTAATGGACTAATAGCTGGAAATCATTAGAATGGGAGGTATCGGAAAGAATTTAAATTCTCATTCCCCAATATCACTGGTATAAAAAATAAAATAAAAAATTGAAGAAATAACTCTATCCTAATTAGCTAAAGTTCTATTTTAAAATAACATGACAAAATTGTATATTTAAATAGTATCGCCGCGTGGCTATACTATTTAAATATATTATTTTAACGGTATAGCCGTACGACTAGTCTTTGAATATACTCGAATATTTTAAAGGCACAAACGTGCGGCTATAGTATTTAAATATATTATTTTCAAGGTATAGCCGTGCGGCTATAAGCTTTGAACATATTCGAATATTTTAATGGTATAGCCGATCGGCTATACTCCTTAAATATATTCCAAAACGAACGCGAAGCTTGCACTCACAGCCACAGGTGCTTCTCTATAGCCGCTTCCAAATTACAAAGGCTCGGTCTTGAGCCTCTCTCTCTCTCTCTCAACTCAAGCTTCGATTTTTTTTCTTTCATTTCAGCTGCTGCGTCGATTGGATTGGATTGGACTCTCTCTACGAAAACCATCATATGTCATTCAGCTATTGAAATCTCCACTAAGATAACAACTCTGATGCTATAAGGGAGTTAGGCGGCCTGGGCGGTTCTAGGGGGCGCCAAGGGGGCGGGGGCGGTTCTAGGCGGCCTGGGCGGTTTCTAGGCGGCCTGGGCGGTTCTAGGCTGCGAGGGTGGGTCTAGGCGGCGCCTAGGCAGCCTGGGTGGGTCTGGCCGCCTCCTTTTTGTTCCAAATGAAGACAGATGAAGCTTGCACTCGCAGAGGAATGTGGTGCGCTAGTGAAATGAAGAGACAGAGAAACGAACTCGATGAAGTTACCATTACCCTTAGAGCCCTTGGCATGTTCTGTAAGCAACTTCAACTACCTTTGTCTCATAACATCGATGAAGTTACCCTTACCCTTGCTGTCAAGGGGACCCCAAACCCGGAGGACAAATTCACGGGTTTGCAGTTTCTTCTGGGTTTGCTTCGTATATTACGATTTCAAATTCTTGGATGAGTATGTACACCAAAGCTGGACAGTTTGATGGTCCCTTACTTATCTTTGAGACTATGTGCTATACTGATATAGTTTCTTGGAATACTACTCTTTCGGGGTTTCGAACAAGTGAAGGTGCATTGAATTTTGCTCATAGGATGAATTTTAATGGAGTTGTTTTTTATCCAGTGACTTATACTACGATTCTTGCTTTTTGTGCGGATCATGAAGATTTTCTATTTGGATTAAAACTGCATTCTCTTATATTTAAGTCTGGTTTAGATGGTGAAGTTTTTGTTGGAAATGCACTTATAAGTATGTATTCGAGGTTGAGGCGGTTAATAGAAGCTAGGAGCGTGTTTGATGAAATGGCGAATGAGGATCTGGTTTCATGGAATGCAATACTATCAGGTTACTCTCAAGAGGGAAATCATGGGCTTGGGGCGATTTTTGTCTTTATTGAGATGGTGGGAGAAGGGATGGGGTTAGATCATGTCTCATTTACTAGTGCAGTTTCAGCTTGCGGACATGAAATGAATTTAGAACTTGGGAAACAGATACATGGCTTGACAATTAAATCAGGATATGGAAGTCATGTTTCAGTTTGTAATGTATTGATCTTGACATATTCAAAGTGTGAGGTTACTGAAGATGCAAAATTAGTCTTTCAGTGCATGATGATTGCAACGTAGTGTCTTGGACAACTATGATTTCAATAGACGAAGAAGATGCCATCTCTCTATTTAATGAGATGAGATTGGATGGAGTATATCCAAATGATGTTACATTTGTTGGACTAATCCATGCTATATCAATTAGGAAGTTGGTGGAGGAAGGCAAAATGATTCATGGGTTTTGCATAAAGACTGGCTTTTTATCAAAGCATAATGTTTGCAACAGCTTGATCACCATGTATGCTAAGCTTGAGTCCATGCATGACTCCATCAAAGTTTTTGAGGAGCTAAACTGCAGAGAAATCATATCGTGGAATGCTTTGATTTCAGGGTATGCTCAGAACGGGCTGTGTCAAGATGCACTGAAAACATTTTTGGTAGCAACCATGGAGTCGAAGCCAAACAATTACACATTTGGTAGTGTCTTGAGTCCAATTGGTGATGCTCAGGATATTTATCTGAAATATGGCCAATGATGCCACTCTTCCTTGATCAAACTTGGATTAGTGACTGGCCCAATTATCGCAGGTGCTCTTCTTGACATGTATGCAAAGCGAGGAAGCATTTGTGAGTCCAAAAGAGTTTTCAGTGAGACGCCTCATAAAAGTCAGTTTGCTTGGACTGCAATAATATCTGCATATGCTGGGCATGGAGACTATGACTCAGTGATAGAATTGTTCAAGGAGATGGAGAGAGAAGGGGTAAGACCTGATTCAGTCACATTTCTTTCTATACTAGCAGAATGCAGCAGAAATGGAATGGTGGAGATGGGCCGTCACCTCTTTCATTCAATGGTGAAAGACTATCATATTGAACCATCTCCTCGACATTATTCAAGTATGGTGGACATGTTAGGACGTGCAGGGAAATTGGAGGAAGCAGAGGAATTGATGAGTCAGATCCCAGGACAGTCAGGGTTCTCGTTGTTGCAAAGCCTGCTTGGGGCTTGCAGGATCCATGGGAATGTGGAGATGGCGGAGAGAGTAAATCATTATACTTTCCAGCCTGTACTATCATCCCATCTCTCATGACCTGATATTATTTGGAGGTAATAAGTTTAAATAAATATATAAGTAGGAAGGATACATGTACAAACTGCAATTATAATCTTACCAAAATAAGATCAACATTATGCAAGAAGTCAACATTATGCACTGAAAACGTCATCGAGAAGATATATGTCACAATTTTGATATACAACCCTAGCAAGTTGTATCCTCTGTTTCTGGCCACCACTTAGGTTGATGCCACGCTCTCCTATCTCAGTTTGATCTCCAAACTCCATCATTTCCAAGTCCTTCTCCAAGCAGAAACCCTGACAACTTCCTGGTATCTATCTCTGTCCATTGGCAAACCAAGTAATGTATTTTCTTCAGTAGTCCCATTTTGAATCCATGATGCTTGAGCAACATAGGCAGTGATTCCACAAACTCGTACCTGTTATTCAAAAAGTTTATTAATTCAACAAGTACTTGATTAAACTGAAGCTTTTTGAGTGAGTTATCACCTGGTTATAAACTTATGGTTCAGTGGAGGGATTGTATGTCATAAGAGACATCTAGAAAAGGGTTTAATGGTATCAAATCGTACCTTTAAGGATAACTTGTACATCTCACCAAGAATTAAGGCTAGAAGGGAAGACTTTCCAGATCCCACTATCCCTACAATAGCCGTTAGCTCCCCTTTATTGACATTCAAATTTATGTGTTTCAAATCCTCTTCTTTGCTTTCATCATCGCAGCTAAATGGGCCATTTTTAACCTCCACAGCAGTTCTACTATCACAACCCTCGTCTCTCTTCGCCGCATCCTCCACCAATTCCCTACTCATCATATAACGGTCCAACCTCCCAAGAGATATCATAGCTCGAGAAATTGAAATCATAAATTGTGGGAAGGTCCTGATGGGATCCCACAAAATGTTGAAGATGCTTGTGGTTCTGAACAATGTCCTGGGCCGGCATCAAGCCGGACACCCAATAAGAGTGCAGTGCCAAATGTGAGAGTTGATATAAGTACTGGGGTACACAACATAACCACAACATTGGCAGAGATTGAGTACATGAACTTGGTCAGCCAGCTAAACTCCGACTTGCGGAAAGCCTGGATTCTCTTATTAAAGTGCTCCTCCCAAGCCTGGAATTTGATCATACGCATGTAGTTAGTGTCATTTGTTGCCTTCATTCTTGAATCCCGACACTTCATCACATTAGATTGGAACCTGTTGTTCCGTCTCGTGCCCAGCACAACAAACACAAGAACACACTCGATTCCTACTACAGATGTGATCACTGCTGCACCAAGGCTGTCATACAGAATGAACATTGCAATGGCAAGTTGCACTGGCATCATCCATATAGCATGCACTTAGCATTTTTGACAACGAAAACAAAAGAAAAATACAAATTTATAAATAAACCCAATCCTAGACATGTATTTATAAAAAAACCCAAGCACTATTTAAACATAGAAACACACCCAAAATTAACCCCAAAGTCAACTTTTTGGGTGTGTTTATAAATGGGTTTTGAGTGTGTGTAATGATGGATTTTGTGTGTGTTTATATGTTTAAATAGTACTTGGGTTTTTTTATAATTTCAACCCCCATTTTGGGTGTTTTAGTAAAACTCTCAAAGAAAAACTAATGCAGAATCATGCTATCACATTTACCTGAGTTACTAAGCAAAACAAAAGAAAAACAAAAGGATGACACACACATTTAATAATTAACATACGATTCTCTGTTGCACATAATCCAAATCTGCATGATCAACTTGCAGAACCTACACTGTAGAGATGCTGAAGCCACTGGTTTTCAAGTATCCTGCTACATAAACTGTGT